AGGGACTGCAAATATGATGGGCACAACGTAATGGTGTTTCGTGAACCGTACCCGGCATATATTTCTCTTTACTCGTGCTACATACAATACAAAGATCTGTACAATATTATACCGGGAAATCATATACAGATACATGAGATTTTAGCTCTTTCTCGCAACAGTTAACATATGCAAACTTGCTAATTACTTAAAGTTAATATGGTTCATATTACACAGATAATTAATACAGCCAATTTTTAACAAAACTTTTTGTGACAGGCCTTCGGATATAAAATATTGGGTTGTCAAAGCATCAAAAAAATAATATTGTATTCTGACTTTGATAATTAAGTTTTTTAGTAAGTAGAGGCAGTCGTCGAAATCAGATTTATGTTTAGACCTGTTTTTGAAGTGTAATTGGTAAATAACTTCTAAGGTACCCGGTAAGTGTTGTAGCTAAAAATACTGGAACAGTGTAAAAAATTGTGATTTGTGTTTGATTCTCCAAAAATATTTTTTGACGGGGACACGATTTCCAGCTTTAAACTATGAGCATTTATCACACGCGCAGTCAACTGATCAGCAAGTGGGCAGTGCCGTTCGCATTGATAAATAAGCCAGTATCACCACGCAGTTCAAGCCGGAAAAGGGTAACACCGAATGTCCGTTGGAGAAATCCATTTCCTGTCATTGACGCCTCCATATCCGTTTCTCATAGGATAAAATAGGATCCTGTTCCACATTTAATGACCAGCATGCTCGTTTCTCGCAAAAGGGAACAATAACGGCACCCAGCTACCAGTGTTGGCCCCCACATATCCCGCGCTGTTGATTGTTTAGGGCTTTTAGTCGACCGAGGCTTTTAGCTGGCGCTGGCCGATGTATTGACGCTGGGAGAAATCAATTTTTTCCTATTAAATACGCTGAGGTCCAGTTTCTGGATTAAAACACCCATGGGATAAGACACTCTTCAGCAATTGTCCTTTTAATTAACCTTTTCCATTTCTAAACGGGTTCGGATTACAAATCCATGACCAGAATTCTGCGCTGGATCTGTTGAAATATCATAATCCCTTTACTGGTGATTTATACCACGCTTCCAGCCCACATAATGCTTCTTGGAGCAAAGTGTTTATAGCGTTCAAATCCCGCTGCTGACAGATATCAGATTATTACGCCCATGTTCACCGTTTTTGTTAACACATGTATAGCAATGTAGCTGCCCATGTAATATACGTAGGAACACACAGCATGAACTCAGCGGAATGGTTTTTATCAACTTTATGCAACTGAATTACGCACCTGGCCTTACAACGTTTCCGCAATAATTCCACCTATGATTTTTCGACAATCTTAACTTTGAAATTGCACAATTTGTCAAACACGAACTGCAATCTCTATATATCATCAATTCAATAAAAAAATTGAGTTATGACATGCGTGCAGAAGCTGCTAACGCTTGCTTATGAACTCATTTTTGTTTCAAATTTTTCATTAAAACGTTTCACAGAAGGACGACATTTGTACGGGAGACCTTATTAAAGCCAGTACGCTTAACTATTCAATCATCCTCTGGCTCTGGATACAGACTTTCCGTATATTTAAGGACGAGCTCGTATTCTGTTCTTATTTCAGTCTGCTCTCTGCAATTTCATATGGTTGAACAGCCAGGCATAACTAATCAGCTGCACTGGTCACCTGGCGGACATCACCGTTTCCGCGGCCGCAACCGCAGGAATGAATAGAACGGTTACGGCAGGTGTCCTATCTTAAACTTCCATCTACTACGAAATTAAATGAGGCAGAACGAACTATATATGATTAGTGCATATGCGCGATCGAAAATCTGTAAAGCGTGAAAAGTGAACACTGCCACCGCATCAGCTCTTGTCAAAATTAATTTCACTGAAAATGTGTGATCTCAGCATATACTCCGGCCGCAATATTGAGTTTTGTAAGGCCAAATGTGATGCAGCTTAACTAATGTATAAACGACATATATTAACATGATGGGTTATAGTTAAATCATTATGGAAAAACACCTTATTTCAGAATTCAGCCAAGCTGAGGCCGGATATTATAGTAACCACCCTAAATTGTCCACCACATTCATAACTCACGAAATTTTTTCTTGCCATGAAAAGATCAGGCACGATTAATCTTTACGATCTTTGTTGAATTTCCGGTAGCATTGTTCCAACTTTCACTAAAATCGTCAGAAACCGCAATGGTTAATAGCTTACCATCTGGGCAAGTTTAATAGTTCTCTCATGAAGTTTACAAAAAGAGAACTATTTTGCGTCGATTTCAGACTGCTGTTACGTCAAGTGCTCCTCATGGTCAGTTTAAATTCTCGTGGCACTACTAACACCATACTTTACAAGAGCAAGCGTGATGAATCAAAACTTACATTACTTCTGCATTCTTTGATCTTGTTCTGTCGACAGTTCAGGGACTGCAAAACTTCGAATTTCGATGAATATTGTACTGCCGTACTGACCGTATGACGATCTCCCAAATTTCTATCGTGCTGCCATCTGGCGATGCTATTATTGATCGTCAATTTTTGTACGTCTGCATGGCGCATACTGTACAAGCACACAATTTTATTATGTACTTACTTTAAGACTTAAGTATGTATTTACTTCTGCTTATCGAAGCGATACGCGTTATTACGCGTTATAAGAAAACTAGTGTTTTAGAAACCTTTGACGGCTACCTGGAACTTATTCTTGTTTTCCTAGACCAAGATTTGAAAGCTAAGCGAAATAAAACACTGCAAGCTCTACATAGAATTAAAGTATGTCTCAGTCAGTATATTTTTATCAGCTTCAACAGAAATTTCTTCCAAATCGAAAGCTGAAACAAGTGAAAACGATGATGTCCAAACAGTGAGTTTTGTAGTATTTAATCATGACAAAGTTAGATAATCTCAGCAAATATCCAAAGATTCCAAAGAGGGAAAATATATAAAAATTACACTCGGAATGAATAATTGAATAGATCTATAACAGAATTGCGGTAAATCGGTGTCCCTCACAGGTCAATAAGAGGTGTCCCTTGCTAAGAGCTAAACTGTGAATATAGATATACCTAGCCATACCTATGCAGTTTTTCAGCGGGCTGTTGTTAATTGTAGAATCCACAGGCCTTAAATCACACGTCAAAATGTAGCTACCATGCAAGTGCATGAAGTGGGAGATCAGGCCAGGACCCGTTCCAGTATAAATTGCCAAGTTTTCCTAATCCCGTGTAAGTGGTCAGCCAAATCGGAAGACAAAAACACGCATGCGGCATATAATAAATTCAAAGATGCACAACCAAACGGCCAACTGTTTTTTAACCGGTAAGTGCGGATTGTGATACTGATGCGTAAGACAGCTATCGCGTACTTTATCTTAATACCAAAAGAAAATTTAAGTTTCCTCTACATACTGAAAATGCATCTACACTAAAATCGACACCTCACAAAAGTGTAACTCGAATTGTAATGGCTATGTCATGATATGACAAACTTTATTCAAGTGATACATGACCAAACCATGCAATACTAAATGATCAGTGCGCGCGTCCACATCTATTCACAACAAAACTATCCCATATGCAAGCTGAAGGCTACTGTGGAAAGTAGACTTATATCAATGAATGGATAGAGCAATAAATTGCAGTTTGGTATTCAATTCAACAAACCCCGTAATTTTGAAGCGCGAAGCATTGTTTTGACAATAATACAAGCATGCTGTGTCCTTCATGAATGCTCGACTTGAAGCATTGATGTTTATCCCTCTTTGACTATGAGAGAAAAGGTTTGCACGACAACGAAAGTAAAAGAGAAGCTTATAGTGCCACGAATCAGTCCCCAATTGTCCTTTAACTACTGCCGCTGAATTCATGAAAAAATCCTAAGGATGGCTTAAATTTCGCATTAATTTTTCTCTGTTATTCAACGGCTTGAAAGAAAGTCTCAAAGGGGCGGTACTCCGTCTTTGTGCGACGAGATGTCGGGTCGGTAGTTAAAATTTTCTTCCACACATTATTATCGTGGCTGTGTAATGCATCGCCAACTGCCTGGATACGTTCGTCTTGTTGGGAAAGTTGAAACTGCTTTTTACTTGAGAAATTTATTACACCCTTGCGTACATCCGATACATGCAGTTTAAGGTTTTCCGAAGATCTGTTGCGCATCTGCGTATCTTGAAACCGATGGGCTGCACATCCCCTTATCATTAGAAGCAACAGCGTGTATGTACAGAGTACATTGTACAATAAAGTGAGCCGGTAGCCATCAAAACTTACATACAGATACTTTTTAATACCTACACAGAATATGGCAATTCCCTTTAAATATTTGAAGAAATTGAAATTCCTGTTTCTTCAAAAGAAACAGAAATTTATAATTTCGTTGTCGTGCAAACCTTGGAAATTGTTGGGAACGCTAAAAGAACTGGCGTAATGCGACGATGTACTCTATCATAATAAAACAACATTAATGTACTGTACAAACCGTGAAAGCATTACGCATACTTCGAAGTATCTATATATCGTACTTACTTTTGTTGCAATTTTAGTTTATTTGAAATGTTAGCGAGTTCGTTTTTATTCTGATTACGTACGGTACATCGAATCGTTGAACAGTAGTTGTTGTCCTTGCTACCAATCTTATCAAATTCAAACTCCCTCTTTACAGCCATGCAAAAATCCCGGACCATAATGCAATATTCGATCGGAGCTTTAAATCTTTTAGATGCTTGGTAGCTTATCGCAATCAGTAATTTCATTGACATTGAAGGGGAAAGAACAAACGATTAGGTGGAAGTGCTGAAAAACATACAGGCGACGCACGTGCACACTATGATAACACGATATAATGCTTATACCGATAATCGATTCGAAGGCTCCTCAAAAATTCCTTTAAACTGATAGAATACAATACAGTAATCGGTGGTTTAAAAACAAGAAATTTGAGAAATTACGTAGGGATAGCAAAATCTGATAAAGCAAGCGGTGTGAAGTTCGAGCTTATCGCATGATAGTGCATATATATAGCCCCGCATGTCCGATTTTGTTTTGCACTCCTTTCATTTCAAATCTTAGAATTTAAGTAAAGTTACAGAACCAAGCATGGCAAAGCTTGCAGTAGTTTTTTTCGTTATGGCGGTTACGGCCACATTTTCCGACGCAGCGTCCCTCCTTAAACCCAACGGCAAATTTAATGCCGCCGCATTCTTACAGCATATTCTTCCGGCAGGGACTCGTGTGGTAAGTGATAGGTCAACAAATTCTATGTTTCTGTAAGTGCAGTAGCTTTTATTCAAGCGTATTTTGTTTTAAAGCGTATGAAAAGCTCGCACGTAAATAAACGTGTCCATAAATTTAGACAATTCCCTTATCTGCGCTTGGATACAGAGTGAAAGATTTGGCATGGTCACGCTGCGGAAATATTGTAAACGACCGCATCATCCTCCACGGTCTATCGTTCGATGACAGTACGCCAACTTTTGTGCGCTACATAAACTCTTTAAAAAAATTGAACTTGACAAAATGCCAAAATATTTACGAACATTTTAAATGCAGTCTTTTTGTAAGTGCTATTGTAGTCGGTACATAAATACCCCCGTGCTAAATTACATAATAACGTACGTACATTATCAAAGTTTTATTTTACAGACTTGGCGGTCACGGCTCAAGCAGAAATGCTCGATGATATTGTGGCTCCATTGGGGGTAAGGTCGATCATGATCTCTTTTACTAGATGTAGCAGTCACTCAGACTCGAAACATATATTATAAAAATTGTTGTACGGCATTTTTGCAGTTGGATCTTGAAATTCAAAAACGCGTTCTGTTCTGGATAAAGATTCCCTGTCTGTTGGGAAAGTTTGGTAGTTGCCTGTATCCCGATATCTGCGCCAAAATGGCTGAATCCGAAACCTTGACCGGTGATCTACTTGCTCATGGTCTTCCTCCCGGATGCCCATTCCCAGCGGTAAATATGGTTTTCTCTTCCGTGATTTTGTAGTCATAACTTGAAGTTAAATTAGTGCCCTCAAGCTCGTGCTTGTTGTTTGTTGCGTTTAGCAAAGTACCCATTACTTGAAGCCGAACGACGTAAAACATACTTCACTTTTGACAAGTGAAAAATAAACATATTTTGATAATATAGTACGTACGTAATAGGCTGTTGAAAATAAGCCTTATTTCTACAGGGAACGCACGAAATGAACAACTTCGTCATGCGCATGAATATAGAAGGCGAAACTCCGAACATTCCGTCATTCATCGGAGCAGGTGCGTCAAATTAAAAATTTATTTTTTTAAAATTATAGTTAATGTTTTGTGTTCTTCCCTTAAACTGTTACTGTTTTCAAATACCGTGTTCGGTGTTGCTTAAATATTATGCCCTACTACATGGTTCGTTTTGCAGGTGCTTACAAAGTAAAGGTCATCCTCCTGCAACAAGAACAATCGGTTGCCTGCATTAATGCATCGTTTGATCTGGAAGATGTTTAATGCGATCGAAACGTGAAACTGGAGAACTACGTTATTTATTAGCCGAATCACGTCGAACTTCTGACCGAGAGAAAAGACTACTTGAAATCTCATGTGCATCTTGCTTCTTTACTGATATTTTACAATAAAAATATCTGAAACGATACTTGACTGGTTGCTGATCTCTTACTCTGTTATTCGAAGGCTGACTTGTGAGTGCAGCTCCCTTCATGATATAAAGTCAACGACAAACCGCTGTCAGATTCCTGAAAGTAAATTTTAGTATTACTCGCACTGGTTTGAGAGTCGGAACCTCCACTAACTGTACTCGTACAGTCTGTACTCAAGCCATGAAAAAATTGATTAGGTAAAAAGAATAGCAAGAAAACATTTGGCAAAATCTGAACGCCAATTGCTCAAACTTTTTTATTTAACGCACTACGCATGTGCTGGTGAACGATGTGCTAGATACCTGTTTCATACATTTTTTTAGTTAGCTGGGTTCCGCTAACCCCTTGTTAAATCCGGTTGATCCCGATGGCCGGTTACAACATTATTTTTTTAACACTCGTTGAAACATTTTTGGTATGTTCTGGAATTTTTTTTTCAAAAAGCCCATCGGACATGGTTTAATACGCGGTCATAGAATTTGTTAGGACAAACCTACTCGTATACCTAGTAAGTAAATAAACCTTTTTTTTTATTCTGCGCTCGTAAGTCGTACGAACGTAATTTAATTGCAATTACAATTTATATCGCAAGTTCTCAAACTTTATTGAGTTCCATCTGCTGCTATGCGGCAAAAAATCCCCTACTAGGGAAAAAGGCACGATTTCAAAACGTTGACAACATTCCCTTTACTTAGGTTTGTAATAGCCTTGTACACTTACTTATTTCTGTTTTATTTTAAAACAGACGTTTTTGTTTCCGGCGTAACTTTAATTACTGCAGACGTATCTACAGCTCCTTGCGGGCCGGCAGTTTGTCGACATCATTGCGCAAAGCCTTCACAGAATTTCGCCGTCCAGTCTCCAGCTTTGGGTTTCGGTCGTCGTGGTACTTACTATTACTTGTCTCAGAATGTTTGGAATTGATTAGTTCTGGATCTCGATCTACCTATCTGATTTGCATTAGCACGAATACAAAACGAAATGTTTTCTTCTGAGTAGCTTCCTTTGTTTGTGGAACTCCCACATATGAATCGCTGCAAGCCTTCGACCTGTCCGCCGCTGTAGGATCCATCATTTCACTCTTTTGATCTTACATTTAGAAACGCAGGACACAGAAATGGATGATTCTGTATCCCCCGCTGCATTCGCTGATATGGGTTTGGATGAGCGTATTTTAAAGGTTATTGAAAAACTCCGTAGGACCATTATGAGGGACTTGTTGTGATTTCTGGGGTTTGTTTTCAGGCCATTGCCGATTTGGGATGGAAGGAGCCAACTTTGATTCAGGAGCGGGCGATCCCTCTGGCTCTCGATGGCAAAGATATTGTGGCGAGAGCACGCACGGGGTCAGGAAAGACTGCTGCTTTCCTTATTCCCATTATACAAAAAATCTTACTACGAAAATCCGATTTGGATCAGAAAGCATGTTGTCGCGCTCTCGTCGTCGTTCCTTCTAAAGAGCTCGCCAAACAGGCTTACAAGAACCTCCTGGTTAGTGGGTTGAAACTTGAAACTACGCGGTCTTTTTTCTGATGAAATCTATGGTTTTTATTGCAGGAGTTGACTGCTGTGTGCTCGACACAAGTAAGATGCGTGGATTTGTCAAACCAGGCTGATCTTGCAGCTGAAAAGTAAGTTACACAAATAATTGAGGTTTAAGACTAAATAGTTTGCAAGGCTTTGACTGTAACTGTACTAGCATCTGGTTTGCTTTTCTTTGTGAAGATTTTCCTTTTCAGAGTATTTCTGCGTTGCATTTATCCATTTATATTACGTTTGCTTTTGATGGCTATTTCCTGTTAACTTGTTTATATTGGTTGACGTAAAGAGTCTAGTTTGTTGTTTAATTAAATACTGTACGTGAAAATTGTGTCCGCAGGTTTTTGGTAAAGCACATTCATGTAGTAAAAAGCTGTTTAATAAAATAAAGGATTTGTGTGCACTGTTATCATTGTATTCTAGACCGCTCTTAAAGGAAAATCCGGATGTCGTCATCGGTACCCCTAGCAAAATTTTTGCCCACTTACAAAGTAGAAGTTTGACACCGAAGCAGAAGCTGGAATTCATCGTTTTTGACGAAGCCGATCTTTTGTTTTCATTCGGCTACGAAAGGGATATTCAGAATATTAAACCGTATTTGCCAGAGATGTGTCAAACTTTTCTGACATCAGCAACATTGTCCGAGGATATTGTCAGATTAAAGAAATTGTTTTTACATAATCCCGTGAGTGAGCATGTCCATTTCGCACTGATATTGATGCAAAAGTATCTTCCCTCTTAGGTGACGCTGAAACTGGAAGAAAGTCGCCTCCCAGAAGCTGATCAGTTAACGCAATACCACATTCAGTGCGATGCCACCGAGAAGTTTGTCCTGCTGTATGCGATGCTTAAGCTGAATCTCATCCAGGGGAAAACCATCGTTTTCGTCAACAGTGTGGAGCGTTGCTATAGGGTCAAATTGTTTTTGGAACAGTTTGGCATTAAAGCTTGTATTCTGAATTCAGAACTGCCGGTAAATTCAAGGCAAGTGTGTTATCTTTGGAAATAACGATGGTACATCGATATAACGCCGTGGAGTATGTTCTCTTTAGGTGCCACATTGTGCAGCAGTTCAACGATAATGTGTACGACATCCTCGTCGCGAGTGACGAGATCAATCTGAAACCAGCTGCGGCAAAAGGGAAGAATAAGCGAAAATCTGACAAAGAGTATGGAGTGTCCCGTGGCGTCGACTTCCAGAACGTATCCAATGTGATAAACTTTGATTTCCCTCTGAATGTTGATGCTTATGTGCACCGTGTGGGAAGGTTTGTACATCTGTAAATCTTGAAGCAATTGTGGAGCGACTAGTCAAGGCATGAAAACCACTATATTTTTTTATTCCGACATTTAGAACTGCACGAGGCCAGAACCAGGGCACTGCGCTTTCCTTTGTATTGCCCATGGAATTACCTCTCCTTGAGGAAGTTGATCGGCTACTTTCTGAAGCGCTGGATAGTGGCGGTGGAGTACCTACGGAAGCAGCATCTGTATTTAAGCCTTATCAGTTTCGAATGGATCAGATCGAGGGTTTCCGATACCGTGCAGAGGTACGTACCGTATTTTGTGTCAGCTTTTGTTGTGTTTATTGTTTTATCTCATGTTAGCTCAGCACGGATGAAATATAGGCCAATGAAGATAATAAAAAACCCTTGTTTTACTAATTTGTTGACTTTAACACTACTGTGAACACTTTAAACAAGCAACCTGGTTGACTATTTTTGAGTTACCCATAAGTACAGGAGTTTGCTTTTGTTATATGCTGACTGTTAGTGTCCATTGTCAATGGTTTTCTGAGTGACCACTGGACTAATTTTATGAGAATTTCTGATGCGATAACCTAATTAATCCACGATGTTATCGTAATTAAACTGATTCTTATTATTCAGGATGCCATGCGAGCTGTTACCAAAGTAGCTGTGCGGGAAGCTCGGATTAAGGAAATTCGTCAGGAAATGCTAAACTCGCAGAAGCTGAAAACATATTTCACAGACAATCCGCGAGATTTACAAGTTCTCCGGCATGATAAAACTCTTCATACAGTCCGTGTTCAGCCACATTTAAAGCATGTACCGGATTATTTGGTGCCACCAGTGCTGCGACCAGTTGTGAAAAGCAGATCAGACACGCCGAAAACCAGCAGCACGAAGAAGGTTCATCCTAGCAAGGGAGCATTTCGCAATCGAGTAAGTATTTTTGCGCAAAATGCACCTGGCATAGTTCTTTCACTGGGTTTGTTGAATTCTGTTTTTGCAGAAACGAAAAGCAGATCCTTTAAAAAGTTTTGAATTTGGCGGACTAGCGGAAATGGTAAAAAAGAGACGTCACAAGTGAATAGTTTTATTTTGCTATTGTAAGCGAGAGATGACAACATTTTTTTTGGGTAAAGTTTCTGTGTTTTCGCGTCCGTGATTATAAAACAAACATTTAACTGCGCATAAATTCACGCAAGTCAGTGCGCTGTTCGAAGTCAGTCATTCTTAAACGTTTAACTGCTCTAACGCTACATGAACATCCGCTGCCGAGCCGTACGCAGGACCACCCTGACGCCGCAGGACCCATCGCAGCCAAAACGACGAATTGCTGATACTTCTGCACGCAAGTTGCTCCTTTGTAGGCAGCACCGCAACGGTCCTTGTAGTTTTGGGGTGGAGCGGTATCATTTCTGAAATCAAAATTAACAAGTCCCGGTTAACGAACAGCCATAATACAAAAACTGCTTTTGCCATGAGCGATTTCAGTGTTTTGGCTACTGTCTCAGTCGACGTCAGTTCTTCAGTGTTAAACAACTCTTTACCCGTATTTGCACTTAATATTCCTCAGTGCGCGATATGGTTGCCAGTATCGCAGCTGAATTGGATCGGCTGTAAAGCACTCTTCCTGGGTGGTCCCCGGTGGGAGAATCTCCTCCACTTCTTCGCATAACGATACAACAGGCGTTTTATCTACTGGAAGGTTGGGTAGCATACCGGCGTCATCGTCATATCGCTCGGTTGTCGTTGTTACTGGAGGTCCAGCTGGTCTTGCTGCAAATGCCGCCGATGGTAGTTGTACCGCGCCAGGGATGGCCATAATACCGGGCGCGAACGGTGCACCGACACCGGCTGGGAAACCGGGTAGAGGCGGTAATCCGGATGCAGGAAATCCGGCTGGTTGCGGCGGAAGGTCAGGGAGGCCCGGAAAAGAAGGTAGGCCGGCTGGTTGAGAAGGCAGTACCGGTAGTTGGGCTACAGGCTGTGCATTCCATTGTCCAACAGATGCCGCGGGTCGAGGAGGAGGTAGCTGAGCAGGTTGCGGCAGGGCTGCAACTTTCGCTGCTGATGTGGTCGTTAGCATGGGAGTAGTCGGAGGCTCTGTTGGGAAGGTTTCGGTTCCATACGTACCACCTTCGGATAAAAACCTGAGCTTTATACTTCATAGTTGCGCTAATACTTTTGTTAGTTTTACCATATTTTTAACTGATATTGCGAAATACGTTACGGTTGTTGCATTAACAGAGCGTACGCCGGTGGAACCTAACATCCAGCAATAGTAATCACAAAAATATTATAATCGTAATAATTATGTACGTTACAATACAAGTATATGTGTATTAATAAGTATAAACATTGCCTTTGTTATTGTTAGTCTCTTTCAAGCGTAAAAATTTTATTTTTTCTTACAGTATCATAATTAACTTGTTATCAGTTTTACTATTACGTATACGATATTTCTTACCTTCCACTGTCGTCCTCCGGGGCGCGGTCCTTCTCTGTCCATCTGCATGCTGAAGCCCGCAAAGCAACAGTAACCGTAAAATAGAAAGTGTATTCTGCATGGCGTCTACCGTCGTAAGATTGTGATATCACAAATAGTTTCTAGAGAAAACATTTGGTACGATATACCGATCGAAAGAAATCGTGTCGATAGCCGTTGGGCATCTACTAAATTACCCATGACCTTGATGAAGTGAACAGTTCGTGATCGAGATCATGGTACAGCTTTTCGCTTTTCACGGCCGCATTGCATCTGCGAATTACTTTCGGCATGATTCGCGGTTGTTTGTTGATTTTTATAACAGCAGTAAGCCAGCGGAAAGTGCGCCAGCCTTCCCAGCAGTTGTTGTTTTGTATTTTATGGTCATAACCAAATTGCAGCTGATTCATTCTTCGCACTGAGCGAGCAACATGTGATGGACAAGTGCAGACTACCTACTGACCCACACCTAAATGTTCTGATGGGCTATTGTCTTAATTCAGTATCAGCATTACCACCCGAGGCTGAACAGGTAGATCTGTTGGACAAACAGCCAAATTATGGCATCTGCGAAGAGTTTTGTTATCGAACCTTTCTACATATACGTTGAAGCCTCCGCGCATGATATTTTTTGGACCGCGGCGATAATTACGCTTTTGCAAAATGGCGTCTTTCAGTAATAGAAGGGTAAGTTTGGGAAAAATTCTATGTCGATTCCAAAATTGAGAAATTTGTTTTTAGGGATGTTACGTATGTGCGGCGCTGTTATTGCTGGCGTGTCCCCTGTCCGCTTTGGCACGCAGGAATCCCACTATGCCAATAACGACGACGACGGAACTGCCCACTACGGAATCCCTTGAAACAACGGAAACAGACGTTATAGTTTCGACTGCTGCAGCACAGACTACCACTACTGCGTCAACGACTGCATCGAAAAAGAATGCCTCTACGACGTCTGACGTCAAAACTCAAACTGAAGCCTCGAAAAAACCTGTTCCTAGTTGGACCAAAACTAGCATGACATTAGGGACTAAATCACCGGCAAAAGGTACTTACAGCAAGTACGGTAAAGTACGATAGCGCAAGATCTTGCGCAGTAATAACGCCAAATACGGTTGCCAACCTTGCCGGCGCGGTACCAAACGTGGTTACCAAACGGTACCAAACGCGGTACCAAACGTGGTTACCAGTAAACAATTAAGCCGTTACGTTTACTTACTAGAGTACTGTAGTCTGTAAGTGTGGGATTCGATATTAGCAATCCGTTAGAAACGTTGATAAACATGTGACGCCTGTTATTCTTACTCTGTTATTAATAAACTATAAGTGCAGTTAAAGTATTATTGACCTATGCTCCAAATAAATCCCCGGCTCCAAGGGATTGTTACGATTAAGCTCCCGGGAATTCTTAATCCAAACCGTCGTGGCTGCAACCGTGCTATGCATGCAGTTCGCTTTTGGAAGTGCAATTTACGCTTTCTGCGGAGCTATGCAAAGGCCGCTAATAAACTGATTTACTATATTCTGTAATATGTGAATCGCGCGCTGCATTGCTGCAGTACAAAATTTATTCTAGCAGATCGTGATATTTTCCGAAATGTTGGGCAGTGAACATGTACATATTATAGGTCACAATTTTTTGTTTTGTTGAACTATGCTCACTTAGTCTAATGTTATTTGAAGATCCTGTGGAGCTTTTCTTGCGTGAGCCAAAAATGCAAGCTGATAAAGATAAGGTCGACAAAAGAGGCCGCGCGGGGCGCAAAGTCGAAGAGCCGGGAGTCGCTGCCGGAAAGCCTGTGGCGTTAGCGGACGACGCATCCAATAAGGGCCAATTCCTGGGAGCCGGAGATTTCGACGACCAATTACCCCTCGCCGCACCTAAGACCGGTAATGTTGCTGCACCGGCTTCACGCAACGATGACTACGATGACGACAGTGCTGCCACCACTAAAGCCACTACGAAGAAAGCCACCACTAAAGGTAAATCTGCGCAAGAAGCCACTACCCTTTCCGACGACTACTACTACGACGATGACGTAACAAATCCTCCTACGACCACCACAACGAAGCCAACGACGACCACGACGACAACGACTACAACAACCACAACAACGACCACCACTACCACAACACCCACCACAACTACCACCACCACCACGGCGGCAGCGGCAGCAACGGGTCATTCCAGGAGAAGGAGAAGCACAACGCCGGGCAAGGCAGCGGAAACCATCTTGACAACCACTGCAGCCAGTGCTAAGCCGCAGCCAAAACTTACGTACTCGAAGCCGGCTAAACAAGTCACGCCGGATATTGATCTCAACATGATCAACAACGGAACGGAGCCTCTTCTGGATGGGTCGTATCTTAGTGACCCTTGGATGTGCCGGGTGAAGCGAGGTGTTGTTAAATCGCCGGTGGTCATGGAGACGTGCACGGGACAGAAACGTGAAGTCGTAGACTTGAGAGTGTATAAACTGGTGGGGATTCCTACCGAGGAGTGCGTGTAAGTCAAAACGCCGGTTTATGCTGATTGCATGATTTTCTCTCTAGTTTTTACATGGTTTACGGTGTTGTTATAGTACGACGCCGGTTGCCCTTGGGGACCGCTGCACATCTCTGAACGGAGGGAAAGCCCGGTGCGCACAAAGATACGTTCGATATGGATTAATCGCCAAAGATACCGATTCCGATAAAAAGGGGCATGAATGTTTCCGATTTCCTAGTGCTTGTTTGTGTCAGTTAATAGTTGATGGAAAGTCCGGTCTTCCCGAGAAAGATGGTGTAGCAAAACTGCCGTGATACCATAGTTTGTTTTGCTTGCTGCAAGGGTTTGTCGTTTTCTATCTCCTGTATACAAAATACGATGTTATTAAAATCTTAATGTAAGAAAAATATTTTTTTAGCTATGCAAATATTGTTGTCGTAATCCAACGTGATTAATTTAAGTTAGCTTCAGTTTTCAGTCTTCCGCAAACCCATTGTGCCATGAATATGCCATGCGTCGGCAGTGTGAAAAAATCTGAAAAAAAGTAAGTAGTCTAACCAGAAGAATTTACTATGAACGATTTACCCAAGCTTCATTAGACACAATTTAATATGCAATTCTGTCTCTTACTTACGTTAATACCAGTAATATGTAGTACGACAGTAATATGTAGTACAGTGTACGAGTACTTGTATTGTAAACAGCAGCTGTACTAAATGTGTGCGATGTGTTGGAGCATAGATCGTTTTAATTTGATCTCTTCTCAGTCTTCTGCCGGCCGACGACGTATTTACTGGATGTAGAGAAACTGGAATCAGTAACAACGTTTGCCTTATACCAGTCTGCAAATGAATTTGAACAAATCGAATAGACCTTTTTTTTTATTTTTTTAATTATTCCACAAGAACTGGCAAAACCGTTTGAGAGGGGAAGGCTGCCGGAAATCGCAGACTCGTATACATATACGCCAAAATGAACTGACAGTTGACACCCTGATGCAATACAACGCAGGCAGGCGACGTCGTCTCCTCGTTTAAACTGCGTGAAACGCCTTCGTAATAAATATGCGTATTATGAATCTATGATAGATCAAACGATATGGAAATGCTGTGCCTACTGCTAGTTCTGTAATGATGTATCAGAATACTTTAATACCTTCTGTCGCTGCATAATGCTGCATTGAAAAAACTTCGAACTTCGAAGCATTGCAGTACTTATTTTCAATTTTGCGAACGCTTGCACAACTGCTACCTACCTAGGTGTTCGCGTTTGACTCTGATATTTGCTCAAAAATCGATTCTTTATGCTCTGGTTAAGATTGATTACGAAGTATGGTTTGTTTTGGTACACTTGCTCCACATGTATTTACTAATATGCATCTTTCTTGCGCTGCAGTATTAGTGTAGTTCCAGTAACACAGTTTTGTGCCTTCTGCACCGTGAGGTGCTTGTACCATTGCGAGTGTGGAGTTTGGAGCAGAAGAAGTGTTATCTGCTAAGTAATTGTTTTAGACTCGATTCGCTTTAGAGTTAGACAGCAGCAGATTATCGCTTACTTTTTGTCGAATTCTTTACTAATTTGCTCCTTACGTGATACGGAATTCTCCTCGAGCATGGCTAACGATGACGATTTCGACGGACGGGACAAAGCAGGAACCAGGTGCGACTCCATTTCAACGTTTTGCACTTTTCCCCTTTAAGTTGGTCAATGGCTGATTGAGCCTGATTAAATGTTTCGTATTCTTTACTTTGAAAATCGCACAGAATTTGATATTTTTCAAGTCGTTGATACCTGGTGATTTCGTTAATAAATTATGTTGGAAATTTCAAGCGTACGTGCGGTGAACAGTGCTAGACTGCTAGTTGACTGTTGAGCCTTGAGTCCTATCCTAATTGGAGTTTCCTGCTCCGTCAAAATTCCAGTTGAAGTGCCTTAATAAATTTTTATCATTTTGATTTTTCGCTTACTACGCTTTCGTTTACGGATCCTACTACAGATTTTGGTACTCATCAAATCGTATTATTAGTAACTTAGTTTTCACTTTTGTGACTTGTCGTCAATTGCGACTTTTTTTGCAGTAGTAATCTGTTGCATTATTTGTGCGTTTTATTTTGTATTGTTATTTATTTATGCGCGGAGCAACAGTATTGCAGCCCTGTTATCTGTTACTGTATTGTATTTAAATTCTGACTGCCGAAACTACGGTAATGATTTACCTAAGTATTTCATCAGGGATGTAAGTTGTAACTTGTATTATGAGAATCATCTTAATATGGCGTTGTGCACAGTAATATTAACTTCAAAGCTCTTCACAAATATTCAAATCTGACAGACAAGTCAAGGTATGAACGAGGTTTCAGCGGTCGTTTTTAATCGATAGCCTGCGTGAAGTGATACACGAAGCTGTGAACAGTACATTGTACACCTGCTGTACCAATTTCACTTGGAAATCCGAGATTGTGTTTATGGGAGCAGACTTTAATTACTGTACAGAGGTGCATTACAGAGATATCCTTAATCCGTTATAATATTTCGTCGATAATTGTACGACTGTTTCAACACGTACGCATTTATTGAATATATATCTGCAATAAAAATTATGACATTATACAAGTCAAAGTGCTCGTAGTTTCGCTCATCTGATCGTTAATTAATTTGTATTATGTACCATCATTACCATGGATCATTGGTTGGATCATTTTTCGTTTTGTGGATGTGAATCGTTTAATTTTAGTAATTTGCTTTTTCGACTGGGATGCTACATCCAGGCAATACAATACTTAAAATTCTATAGGTGCAATATTGTACAAAGGATATACAGTAGAAGTATACGAAGGATATACAGTGTACTGCAGGCGTGCTATACAGTAAAATTATGACAGGACAGGACGCTGATGTGAGCTTTTGTTTTAGTAAGACTTACGGTTAGTATGTGAAATCACTGGTTTTACGAAGAAAAATAGCAAATTTTATTACATTATGCCGTAACATAATTATAAATATACTACAGCCTGTACAAGTGAGCATACGCTGTAGCGCGCATATTTCGAGAAATGTTCATAATTTTGAAAAAGTGAGATGTTGATATTTTTGTGAAATGAAAATTTTTTGACGTTTTTTTTTCTGCGGAGCAATTTACTTACTAAAATGCGTTAACTATTACTGTTAGAGATTTCGAGTAGCATTTTGCGATCTGTTGCACTTTTGCACAAAAAAAGCGTCGATTTCTACAGTACGTTGTGTATTATAATATTTATAATATAATATAGAAAATACTATAGAATCAGAACTTTTGCAACTTTTGCAATCTGCGAGGATTATTTGACGTTTTCGTATGAAAAGTTTGCAGGTGTTGCGCGTGGTATGTGACATTTGCTGTTAGTAGCGTTAATTACTTACTATAGCTACATTACCCGTATTGCGACGATCCTTCAAAGTTAATTTTTCCGACACTTCACATTTCTGGAACTCTAATTTCGCGTATTTGGTGCCCGTACTTGTATTAATGTTTTGTGGTACTTTATTGATTATTCCTACTCGTAGACAATCGAAATATTCTAAATGTAAAATGTGTTCCTGGTTTTTTCTCTAAATATATTATAGTATTTTTTTCATTACATATATATTATATATAAATGAATATTACAGTAACTTTTGCATTAGCGTTAAAATGTTATTAATTTGCTTGAATTTAAATCCAAAAGAAAATTAGCAGTACTCCTATTAACACTAACTATAGTAGTTAGAAGCTGGCAATCTGCGTTACATAGGTTGCAACTTTAAATTCTTTGTTTTTTAATGTGGCAGTGTTGCTTTGCCCATTGACAATTAATATGAAGGTTGTATGCCGTGGTTTTCTTTTTGAAGTCATTTTAAATAGTACTGTTCTGTTGCTTTTGCTTGATAAATCTCTGGAAATTTTCTCGATCGAGATTTTTGTTGTGGAGCGATTGCGTAAGCTGTAGACGTATTTTCCTACGCAAAAATGTTGCCGTGACTTGAGATCACTGGCTTCCGGTTGGTGCAATCAGATTGTGGGCGGTTGTTTGTGTGACGGAAAAAATAGTACCTGTATACAGTTTAATAGAAACTCATTCCCTGTGCACACGTTGTACTTAAATGCTCTTTTTTCTCCAGATCACTCTTGTTACTGTATTTAAGCGCCATTGGGCAACACTCTTTGAAAGTAAAGTATATAACGCTGCAAACGGTACCGGTTTTGCAATTTAACATCGTTATTTTATCGTTGTTACATACTGTGTAGCCAAAGCCGCCATCTGGGTAGACTATCTGCTTCCCATTTACGAACGTTTTGATCGCATTTCCCTCGAATTTCGGTTGCAATTTCTGTTCTTGGACTTCATTTACAGTGTACCATTCACAATTTGAATCCACTTAAAGTGGATGCTTAACGCAAGATGCGCAAAAAATGTGAAGTTTCTTTTTCTGTTGAGAAATCAGTTTCTTGATTTGGACTTTAAAAAAGTGAAATGCCTTGCGCTTCCAAAATGGCCTTGTCGTCGTTGCAGTATGTTGTAGTTTGTGTCATTCTGTGGAACGATGGCAGATACCAGTCAGTAAGCAGTAATATAAATAATTTTATTTTCAGGGTTTTCAAAAAAAGTAGCCCAAATGGAAAGGTAAGTGGACGGCAGCATGCGACTGTCACTGATTTTCCTGACGTGTTGCCCAACGGTATCCGTACGACTACAGATTACGGTGTATCTGGGAAAACGGGATTTCGTGGATCATCTGTCGCATGCGGATCCAGTCGGTTGGTGTTGTTGTTAGTTGACCAAGCGGTGCTGCCACACAGCACGTTCCGTTGATGCTTCATTACCGTGTTGCAGATGGTGTTATTCTCGTCGATCCTGAATACATTCAAAATCAGAAAGTGTTTGCCCACGTATTGGCGGCATTTCGTTACGGCCGAGAAGACCTGGACGTGCTAGGACTAACCTTTCGCAAAGATCTCTACTTGGCATCCGCTCAAGTAAGTTTACATTACGCTGTGCACCAGATAAACGTGCGTTTTGTGTGGTTTTTGAATTGAATTACTTTAGTGCATCTCCCGACAATAACGCACTGTGTTTGTGTATGTGTTCATGATGCCATACGAAAATACGGTTGTTTTGACAGCTTCCGGTCTATTTGGTGGCATGCTGACATGCTGCTGCGCACCAGCATGCCTTGATAAGGACTGGCTAATATGATTTGTTAAAAGTTTCAAAATTCTTTGTAATTACATTCTTGTTTGGTGCGAAGTGTGCAGTTTGCTGCATAGAGAAGATTGGTCTTACGCATTTGTATTGTTGCTTTTTGTCGCTTCGTTTGCTTTTTCTTAGAACAGCTGTAATCACATGCAATATAGTTAGGGGCATTTTTGATATTTTTGCACATTTAGACATTTGGCGGCGTGAAATTAGCATGGTCATTTCTTAGCTGGCTGATCACTCGCTTGTCTGCTTTTCGCTATTTATAGCGGCTTATAAAAATGGGTTTTACATTTTTTCGTGCAGCTGTAGCCGAATTTGTCCTGCAGCAGTTTTTATTGTTGTAGATATTCCCTCCGGATCCGTCAGAAAAGCGGCCCTTGTCGAGACTTCAAGAACGCTTAATAAAAAAGTTAGGCGAAAATGCCTATCCTTTTCATTTTGAAGTAAGTAGCTGTCGTGTCGACACTGATTTAAGCAAAAATTGGTTCTTGTTGTTAGAAACATGTTTTTCAGCTTCCGTCGCAATCGCCGGCAAGTGTGACATTACAACCGGCTCCGGGAGATACCGGAAAGGTTGGTAATAAACTATGGTGGTTACATAAACAGCCAGTTTTGATGAAAAGTTGACGTATTGTTTCTCTTGTTTAGCCTTGTGGAATCGACTATGAACTTAAAGCATACATTGCGCCTTCGTTGGATGATAAGCCGCACAAACGGTAATGAACATTTGTTAGAACATTCAAAATATGAATACAATGTGTACAAAAAACAGTATTGAGAAAATTAGATTGAGAATTGTATAAGAAATGCAGTTGGTTAAGGGCAGTGTGAGCCCTTGTCGGTCTTGGGAAAAAGAATGGAATCAGGCTAATCTTAATAATCTGTGTTTAATGTTTTTGTAATGCGTGCTTCGGCAGCAGTAGCGGCATCCTCATCAAGAGCCATCAGCTAATTGGCGGGGCCGCATCGTTTAGTGTGTGTTTTTTTTCGACAGGATATCGTCAAGTAATTTACTTAAGCGTGATAGCTGTTTAGAAAAGCGATTTAATCGATTATCAATCGGTGCATAATGGCTCGAGTGCTGATATAGGGATACCGTCCGACTGGCTATCCGGAAGTTATATTATGCACCGGAAGTTAGCCGTGAACAGCCTACCATTGAGATCAGCAAGGATTTTGTTATGAGTCCCGCAAAGCTGCATCTGGAAGTTACACTAGACAAAGAGGTACGGAACAGTGGGCACTGGATATGCTGAAATATTTGTGTTTACTAGTGAAATTAAATCAACTGACTAAATTAAACGTGAAAGTTTATGTATGAAATTATCATCGATATTTCCGGTTCACGCGGTTTTTTTCCTGCACGAAGCCAGAAAGTCGGTTTTTCGATCTGGGTGCACTGTTTTACCATCTTGAGAATACGAAATTTAGCGAGGCCAACTTTTTTCTGACAAAAGTATTTGCCTAAGTATTCAGTTGCGTTGTTTCGTGCACATGTTTGCTCTGTAAACAAGGCACGTGTAATTGAATTCTTAAAGCTCCAAATCGACTATTGTGGCCGTTTGAGCTTATTGTACAGCTTTTGAGCTGTTGGAAAAACGTTATTTCGTGCAGAAACATTGAAAGTTATTAATTTCTCCCCCGAGCGCACGATTAAGTAAACACATTTCTTGTTTGTACTTTAAGTGTACAGCGTTTTTCCATTCAGTTCGTGGTCTGATTGCTGGATGTGGTCAAAGATCAGGACATTTTAATTTGTAGTACAAGTTTAGTTAATTTAGATTAGGTAAATTACTTTTTTGTGCAAGATTAAAATGTATGAGAATTACTTTTTAATCTGACGTAAATATTGCATTTCTGTGTTTTGGCATATTTAATCAAAAAAATTTAACGACAGAAAAGACAAATATTTACTTTTCCGGAAAAATTTTCCATTTTAAACATTAATTTTTATTGTGCAGTTTTTACTGCTTGATGCTCGGTTATTTAGTGTTGACGGCTTATGTGTGATTTATTCTTATGATTTGCAGATGTATTATCATGGAGAATCGATCGCTGTGAATGTGCAAATTACCAATAACAGTAGCAAATCTGTCAAACGAATTAAAGTCGGGGGTATGTGATGATGCGAGTTGGATTAGCTTGGTTTCTTTCGGCCTTCTGTGGCCGTCCTATATGTCATAATGAGTTTACAATTGCAGTCATTCAAGTTGCCGACATCTGCCTCTTCTCAACGGCCAAGTACAAATGCACAGTGGCGGAAATCGAAAGCGAGTGCGTAGTACTTTAGTATAGTAGTTTATCTATAACTGCGTAATGCTGGGCGGTAATGTGAGGATATATAAATATGCATTCCTTTGCTTCGGGCGCATTTTTCCACGGAATTCCATTATGTAACTGATACGATTGTTTTGGGCTTACGTGACCGGTGATGAATTAGATTGTAAGGAACTGATGTCAATGCAGGGAAGGATTCCCGGTTGGACCTGGCTTCACGTTATCCAAAGTGTATTATCTGACACCGCTGCTGGCTAATAATAAGGATAAACGGGGCCTGGCTCTGGACGGCAAGTTAAAGCATGAAGATACGAATCTCGCGTCTTCCACAGTGTAAGTTTTTGTTGGGAATCTGCATCTTGGATTTGGGCATCTTTGTTTGCTTAATCGAAAATAAGTGGTTTAGCGGTGAACCTTTTTCTGGGATTCCATTTTAATCTCATAATTAAACAAACTTTCCATCCAGTATACTAAAAGAGAAAATAGGGCGGTAATATTGATGAAGGAGAGTGACAGCATCATGGATGCCGGGTTTTTCTGTCAAGAATAAGTGTGAGGAAAAGTCAAACCAAATGCGACGTGAACGCTAGGGCTCATTTAATTCGATTAAAGGTTTTTTGGCATCATTAAAATTTCATTGATCACCCATATCAAGCTAAGTGTGCGTGCATGATTTGAATTAAATTGATTACGCTCCAGCTGGAAATATGGGTAATTTCGAGAGTTATTTTGCTGGGGACAGTTGTAAAACAATTGTGTGGTATTACTTTTAGAATAAGGTTTCGTAAACACTGCTACTTATAATATGTGGCAATTTGAATTACTTGTTCGAAATTTTTCGAAAGGGAGAAATTATCTTTAAGCGATGAATTCGGTATGGATATAAGTATGGCATTGGCTTTGAATACACTAATACTTCTCTACAAATACGGGAGCAGCACTTATATTTGTTGTTTGAATTTATGCTTGAATCTAGATTGTCATAAGTACGTTCTTCTACATTTATGACATGTGTGCACCATCGGCACTGCATGGAAATCCAAAACTTGTTTTATGGACTACGCCGTTTTCGCATGTAGTTACAAATGTGTTCTGTGTAACCAGGTTCTTCTAAAATTATGATTTCAGCACATTTGTTGCGGTATGATCCATTTTTATTATGTTTTTAGTTTGGGCGATACAATCCAGAAGGAGAATCTGGGAATTATCGTGCAGTATCGTGTCAAGGTTAAACTGATATTGGGCGGATTCAGTGGGTAGGCAGAAGTGCACATGGTCTAGTGTGGGCAGACTCCTGCATATGTTTTCTTGTATTAATCGGTATGATTCCTGGCACCCTAGGGATTTGGTAGCCGAGTTGCCATTCACGCTTACGCATCCCAAGCCCAAGGATTCCCCGCCGCCATCCCGACCCCTGACGGCCAAGGTGTCGGACAGCGCGCAGGATATCATTGTGGATGCTAATTTAATCCAGCTTGATACCAAGTAGGTTTCTGAGCATGCTGTTCCCCAGATTGTCTTTGATTCCTGGCGCGGGAATGAGTTAGCATGGGTGGCGGATAGGGATTAATATTGTGCGGTCATGTTCATACGTTCTTCGCTTCCGTGGAAGGGAAACCGGCTGCTTTTTGAGCTGGTGCATTTGTGCGGCTTCTGCGATCGTGTTGTAAATAGGCTTGCGCTAGTGGCCAGCGGGAAATATCTGCGGTTTTTTCGTTGCCTTATTGGTGTTTGGGCGTAGTTCTTTTTGCCTGTTATTGCCAAAGGCTACACGAATCGTATAGAACACATATTTATTTGCTTTTGGATTTTAATTTCCAAAGATTTGGAAAGCAGAGTGCATTTTTTATAATTAGCAGACGGGCGTGGACCTATATAGCTTAGTGTTGGCTGAGGAGAGAGCCGTTTTTAAATGCTTCTGGAATTCTGGATCAAATGCTGGCAGTGTACTTGGTTAAATGACACGTATAGAAGAATGGATGTTAGTTTATTAATACGAGTAAAATCCAGGAATTTGTTGATGTAATAATGAGTGATTCTTAAAAAAAATGCTTTGTGCTTTAGTGAGGACAAAAGAGTGTACGCGGATCAGGATGATGATATCATATTTGAAGATTTTGCTCGCCTCCGCTTAAAAGGCATTGAAGGGGAGGATGCTGATGCTTGAACAGAAGTGAACGGATTGTTGTGTTTTGATGATTTTATCTTAATGACGAAAGAAGTGATCCGCCAATATTGGGAAGTTCAACCAATCAAACCATGTCCGCTTTTAATGCCTAATAAGCTTCGCAGATGCCTGTCCGATTTTCACAACGCTCAGATTACGAATGTGCGAGCGACGCATAAGCCGAGCAGCGCACCAACGTCATTTCGGCGCTCCCGTGATTGTTGTGGATAAATGTAGAATCTCTACGTTCATAATGTGCACGTGCATAGTGGTCCACAGTGTTAGCAATGGTCGGCTGTCCTTTTGTACAAATTTGACATAGAAATTCCTGTCATGTAGGGATAGGCTATAAGAACGCTTATGTTTTATCTTTTATTTTCGTTTTAACTGTGAATGTCCGATAGCTGACAAAGTGATTTGATGGCTCACTTGGTCGCACTTAACGAGATTTTTTATTTTATCTTTTAACTTGTGGTGTTTTGCATTCACTGGGTGTATTGTTTTACTGTATTATTCATGTTGGCCTTATCATTACTCAGTGTTTAATATTATTTGTATAAATAAACTTCAAACCGGTGATCGTCTTAGTCCTTCGTTGCTGTTGACAGCCTGCTGGAGATTTTGCAGGATAACAAACTGCTGTTGGAAACGGAATTAATTGTTTTGTTATCATCACACGATCTTACGGTGCAATGATAAGCTAATTTTAGTTTTTATGTTAAGCTGAAATTTTGAATTTAGATTTTGGACGTCGTATTTTGGAACATCACATTTAAGAAATCCATCCTTATTAATAATAACAATTGAGCTGCTGTTTTATTTTGAGGTCAAGATGGCCACTTGTTTAGCGTACGAAACCTTTATTTTTGCTGGTCAAAGCAAAGTATTTATTTCGTTCAACTTTCTTGATTATTATTTCCGTGAGAATCCCCATGAAACGGAGACAAACTTGGCAACGTTTGGATTTTTGATATGATCAAAGTTACACAAAAACAGTCCTTGGATTAATCTGATAAATTTATATACTTGTATATGCTTTCGCATTCAGTTACTAGTATTAGTATAACATCGTCAAACTTAGCAACGTATATAGCCATGTATTGTACGCAGGCAGTACGTACTATACAAATATATAACCTGCCATATAATTTAATGATTTTTTTAAGAATGCCAAATTAAAAGTGGCAATCTTATAAGTAAGTCGTCATAGAGGCAGCAGATGACCACTGAGAAACTCAACGATGATGTCGCTACGTATCGGTATATAGTAAAATTGTGAGTCCAATCAGTAAACGGGGCCGGACGTTAAAAAGAGTCTGGTCAGCCGTCGTACGGTGCAATTTCTATGGCATAAGCTCTTGCACTTTGTATTTCCGGTTTGCTGTTAAATGCGCTGCAGCGGGCTGCCGAATCAAACAGACCGATCGACAGTTAAACGTTTTGTTATCACCAAATAATCTTACGGTTTTCGGAATTACACCCGAAGAAGAACAAGTTACGAAAACGAGAACTTTTGTCCAGCTATCGATTAAACCCCATGTAAGGAGTTGCTAATAAACTCTTCGTGTGATATTGACTCGATTTTTAAAACACTTTTTACCGGTTTGTGCTTTTTGGAACCGGTGTTTTCTGCGCAAGCCGGTCACAATGACCGTGCCGGGAGGTTTGTTTATTGTTCTTACGTGCGGAATACTTACTGTCTCAGGTAAATGACGTTCTTAATGAATTTAGTAAAATTGTTACAATGCTTTAATCAATTTCAAATATTCTTCAGGGCTTTCCGACCAAATCCCCCCAATATGCGCAAAAAAATCGTGTACAGAGGAAAATGGTATGTCTGGGAGTATTGTTAATATCGTAAAAACTTTAAATATTACTCCAAACTTGTACAGTATTTAGTTTGCTCGACATGTGTTATACTAAGATATTTGTAAGTGAATACTTGCTGTTCCATTCTGCATCTTTGGAAAAATGATACTGTTTTTTCAACGATTTAACTACCGTAGGTATCACTATTGTGAATATACGAGGGCTACTCGGAAAGTAATGATAATCAGTATCAGTTAGTAATCATAAAATTATGCACTAATTTTTTAAAAACTGTAGCATTCATAACTAGATCATAGGGCAATGGCCGTGGCCATACCGCCTAAGGTTGGCGGTTTGCAAGACTCTGAACATGGCTGGGTAGCGCTGATTTTTCACTGATCACTGAAAACGTTGCCTTAATTACTGGCCAGTTTTCATGATATTATTTTGAAAAATTGATTTGCAGAGAGAAGTGTAGAATTTTTTCATGCTGCATTGCCTGTTCTGTTGCCTTAATAAGGACCATTCTTTGCTGATGTTGCCAGCTGGTTCCAGCGAACTCGCACCGAGAAATCCGTTTTGACAACGGTGCTCAAATTTTGGAATGTTTTTTGCGTTTTCACTTTCGAAAAGTCCTCATAGTCGAAACCCTGATCGGGAAGTATTCATTTCCGACCCCGAAGCAATAGCAGAGGGTCTAAGCATTATGGAAGGAAAGGTGTCGAGGGTGTGCTGCAGCTTCTTACTGATAAAGCAGAAGAAAATGGTTTTTGACACGGTATCACCCGTGTGGTGCAATATCGCGAAAATCCACAGATAAGCACTCCGTCATTGCTTTATTTTTTTTCTCGGCCTGGAGTAAAAGTATCGTTCCACATTATTTTCTTAGGTTACCTTAGTCCTTTATCTGTTCGAAATATTTCCTGGCTTGAAAAAATTGTTGCGTGGCAAAAAGTTTGAAAATGATGAAGAACTGGAAGAAAATATCAGTACACCGATCTCTAAGATACCGCCTAATTTCTTTTCGAAAGCGTTTGATGAGTGGCTGTTTAGCTGTTTACGTTGTATAGAGATTAAGGGACATTGTTTTGAGAAAATACGAGGAAAGCGCTGATGCAATAAAAAATCGTGCGATAGTTATCATTACTTTCCGAGTGACCCTCGTAGATATTGTCCATATACAGTATACGCGCGTTACTTCAGTGACATTGGTACCATACTTACACAGCGCGTATTACCATACGCGCTGTGTGTCAGTATGGTATTGTTCATTATCAAAAGTGTGGAAAGTTTCGTTTATCAAAACATTGACTGCGGTCATCGGATCCATCGATGCGCGTTTCTAAACTGTCTTTGTTTTCGCCACCCTAAAATTACGCGATTTTCACCAACAACGGAAACTGCAAACCCCAGAAGTACATAAAATCTCGGTTCCATGTAACCCTGTAATAACAGAATTAAGCGCATTTGTAATACCGAGTGTGGAGCTTATAGTTCTGGAGATTATAATTATGAAATTATGAAGCTTATAGTTATGGCTAATAATCCGTAATTTTGTGACCAGCCAAACAGATTCTGGTGATAATTATTTTTCTAGGCGTCTTCGCTTACGAAACGGGGAAGACATATCGCTACCTATATCAGACTAATGTCAGCTCGGATGGAGTCCGATCCGGCGAAGAAGCATTACATGGAGTGGATTTGATTGCTGATTTAAGCGTCATGAGTCCATGCAATTACAAACTAACCACAACACTGCGCAGTGTCAAGGACAACGGAGTGATACCAACCGAATCCGTTGTCCAAAATCTCAGAAATGTTCTGGAAGCCAATGATCTGTACTTCGGCTTCTATAACGGACAGATTGGCGAAGTTTGTTCCGCGGACTCTGAATATGCCACAGCACTCAGCATTAAAAAGGGTATCTTATCCACGCTGCAGATATCCGCAACACAAGATGCCGGATTCAGTAGCGGCACTTTTGTGGAGGTAAGGTTGTTTTTTTTCAAATTTGCAAGTAATTAGCTATTTCGTTAATTTGCTCAAAGTAGGATTAAATAAATATATCCTTGTCGTTTAAATATTGCAGAAAATTTCCCCAATGTTTCTCTCGACACATATAATTAACGGTCATTTAGCCCGGTCATTTAATTATAGGTGACTGCTATGCGCCCCGACAAACCGGGCGCATAGAATTTAGCTATGCGCCCCGCGGTGTCTGGGCGCAGAGAATTTTGCAAACCAAAAGGATACCCAAGAAACCTAAGAATACCTAAGAAAACCAAAAATACCTAAGAAACCTGAAAAACCTAAGAATACCTAAGAAACCTAAGAATATTCTAAGAATATCTAAGAAAACCTAAAATACCTAAAAAACCTAAGAAACCTAAGAATACCTAAAAAAATCTGAGAGCCTAAGAAACCAAAGAAACCTAAGAAAACCTAAGGAACCTAAGAAATCTAAGAAAACGGCCGAAATCTACCAAAGCCGAAATGAGCGGTGGCCGAAGTGAGCCTCGGCCGAAATGAACGTTGGCCGAAGTGATCATGTGTGGCCGAAATGTAACGCGGCCGAAGTGATCGGACGCGTTTTGCTTTGCGCCCCGAATTTCCGGGCGCAGAAATATCGGCGATTTTCTAATTTTCTGACGCTTTTTACTTTATGTATTTAGCCACTTAATTTTCCTGTCGTGTTGTAGAATACGCTATATTGTTTGATGATGTCATATACCAGAATGCATTTAGACTTTAGGCAACAGGCGCTTTCCAAAAAATCTGGAGAGGCAGTGGGAAAGTTGCTAACTTTATAGATAAGTACGCATGAAAAAAGGACAGCCTATGCCTCAATCTGTAAATTTATTAGCGATTACTATGGCCTTGTGCCCGTTGTGCGTAGTAATCCAGTAGACTTCCGTGTCGTCCTGGCCTATAGATGGCCTATAGCCGTTGTTACGCACATGACGGAAAAACCAGTGTTGCTTATTTGTTTACTGTAAAACCATAGAAAATAAAAGTGGCTTTTACTTTCTATGGTAAAACTACTGAAAATCAGGATCTGCTAGATTGATTCTGTGATGTTTTGGAAATTTTTTCAATAAACCAGCCGATAAAAAGGCGATTAACTAAACGAAAACGTACTTATCTATTAAGTGTCCTCAGATTTTGCAGTCCCCTCTCAACTCCTTCTCTCCTTCAACCTTAGTGGTTAATCGAACAAAAAGAAATTAGGAAAACAATTAACTGCTAGAGAAACATGAAAATTTTGCTATTTTTCTGTGCCCAAGCATTCGGGGCGCATAGCTAAATTCTATGCGCCCGGTTTGTCGGGGCGCACAGCCATTTCGTTAATTATAATATAAACCAAATGGTACTTTAAAGTTTAAACCGCAATACGGAAAAATAATCCTAAGAATTTTTTATAATTGGTACAGGTTGATCTAGCCGGGGAATGTCCCACGGTTTATACCATATCAAACAGCAGCGACGGGCACTATGTAATACAAAAAACGCGCGATACATCGCTATGTTCGCAATCTTTACCCCGGACACATCTAACGGCATATTTTGGTTCCGACTTGAAAACCCCTCCGCTGACTGTCTCGCGGCCCAACTGCGAACATGTGGTCCGGAATGGTATTGTGCACTCCACGTTGTGTGTGGAAAGTCATGCTCTGCGACCATTCCGCGGATATGCCGCCTCTTTCAGCATGCGTGTTACCCAAAAGCTGACCTTTCAGGGAACGGTCACTAATCCTCAACCGAAGGAGCAAGGTCGTTTTCGATTTAACTTAATTGTTGTGCATCAATCCATAAGGTTATAATTCAAACTTTCTTGCATGTTACATTTAACGTTAACCGTTACTGGAAAATTTTGTTGAATTTCTGCCGAATATGGTTAAATTTTCTGACTGGTATTTATACCGATAAATTAAAACAATATTTTGACCAGGATCATTCGAAAATATCTCGTTACACTTTTGTAAGTTACAAGACAGCGACACATACGGCATGAAAAATTTGGTTCTCTTTTCCAGGTGAATTAGTGGAAGGCGAACTGCGATTTTCACTTTTGGATACCTCGGCACTTCCAAAGCAGGCTGTTCCGCAGTTGTTAGACAGCCTGTGCAATTCCGTTAGTGACGACATTCGACCCGACACACCAACGGCTTTCACCGATGTGGTCCAAGCACTCCGCATGGAGAAGAACTGTTCCAATCTGATGGAAATCTATCGGTCGGTGGTTTCCGGTTCGGTTTGCTCCCGCTTGGCGCCGAATCAGCGGCAGCGTCTACTTTTTGATGCCATCCCGGCAGCCGGCACATCGTGTGCTGTTGAACTGATGGCGAATATTTTACGGGAGAAGGATTACGATGTTGACGATAAGGACACGTGGTTTGCCTCGTTGTCGTACATTAAACGACCAGAGAAAGAAATGCTGGATACGTTGCAGGTAAGGCTGTATAAAATCCTTCTTATTTTGTAAACCTTGGTGCGTCAACTTACCGCAGAATCGCAGATGCATGCGTAATGAAAAAGGTTTTCACTCGAAAGGTATTTTTTGAAATATATATTCAGTTATGTTGTTTTACTTGTTAATTAGTCTTATCTTTAATAAACCCATCGGTTGTATTATGGAAGCAGAAACATGCAACTACTGCTGCGGTAATATAATCACCAAGAGCTTTGCTTTAGCCATTGTTACGAGATGCTAAACTCCCTCGTTCCGGATATCTTGGTATTTCCGCCCTTCTCCAGAACTACTGCCGATATCACAGCGGATGCGATAGAAAACTGATTGAATCAGTGGAGAATGACATATCTCGACGTATTGATAAAACCTGCAACACTGTGGCGGAAACTGAACAGGACGAGGTACAATAATGCGAATCTTGTTATAAAGACTAGGTATAACACTTTGGATTTCAGCAAGTGGCTCGCTTGTTGGCGTTGGGAAACCTGAACGTTAGCCGCAATACACTGGACACCCTTACTCGAATTGTGCGATGTGGGAAAAAGCCTTCATCAGTCCGTGTCGCGGCGCTGCAGGCCTTGCGCAACCGAAACTGTAATCGAAATTCCCAAATAGAAGTACGTGTCTCCAGATATAACGCGTATGACAATGTGGGAATGAAGCATTTGGTAATGCCGGCTGCATGTACAGACTGAACTAAGTCGCATATCATCGGACGTAACCGAAGATGTGGAAGTCAGGATAGCGAGTGTACAGCGGTTAATGGAGTGTCCAACTGAATCCGTTATCAAAGCCATTACAGGACTGTATGAAGACAGCACTGTTAATAAGCAAAGTATTAAAAGTGCCTTTGGGTTTCGGAAGAAAACGCCGTTTTCTTTCGAACGCTGTATCTATCGTTTAATTTAATTCAGCTGATGTGTATTTCATTTGAATTTATAGTCAAGAGCTACATCTACTCTTATATTAGCGACATCCAGTCGTCTACGGAGCCTTCTCAGCAAAAGTTCCGTCAGCTCTTAACAGGCACTGAGCTGAATCCACCGGAAGCATCAAACTGGCTACAGTCATCTAAGCACTTTCAGGTAGACGCGTTGTTATGTTCCCTTGCACCTTGCACGGACACTTCTCGTATTTTTGTTTATTTTTCCAGAAAGCCTTCGTTAGTGCACACATCAACGGCAGCATTGATGGCAGTATTGTATTTGCCGATTCTTATCTGCCACGAGCAGCTGATCTGGGTGTCAACATTGAACTTTTCGGGAGAAAATTAGATGTGTTTAGGGTGAGTAGTTCACGTTTACAAGCCAACTAATCCTTTTGAATAAATACCACTAAAACTTAACGAAAACATGTTGTCAGATCGGTGGCCGACAAGAAGGACTGGAAACCGGCATCGCATCGCTTTTGGCTGGGCGGGGACCGAACGATAACAAAGTAAGCCGGCAAATGCTACAACAAAGCTCAACTTAATTTGCCGGTAGAAGACTAGAAGTACAGTAGTTAATTTTTTGGTACATCTGTTTTTCTTTAACTAAATAATTATGAGATAGTATAGCTGTTTTTATGCTTTCTCTGAATTTATGGTTGTGTACAAGATTGATTGTTTTGTGATTGTTTGATGGTTTATTCCAAGTGAGTATGTGTTTTTTACGACTACTAAATGCGCAGTGTGTCTATAGGTTGATTTTTCTACATATGTCCGCCTATTTGGCAACGACATTGCTCTTCTAACCAGTCGCGATGTGGAAGAAACGATTGGTAATTTGGCCACCTTCGACTTCATCATGGGTCTTACGAAGGAACAATCATTTGGGTTTGCTCGCCACATGATGCTGCTGGACGCTGCCTACACCATCCCCACAGCTTCCGGTCTCCCCGTGAATTTAAAGGTCACAGCCAGTGCCCACGCACAGCTGAAAGGGCGCGGTGCCTTAAACATCGGCGGAGTGTTGAGTACTGAACCGGGAATGAGTATTCGCGGTGACATTCATCCCAGTGCCGCCGTGCAGGTAACAGCCGAGGTCACCATCGCTACAACCGGCATCCCAACCGGTTTTAAGACCGTTTCCACCCTCCACTCCTCCACCAGCTTGAGCGGTTCCGTAAGCTACCTTCGTGGGCAGTATTTCCGAACCAACATCGATCTCCCAAAGAACAAAGTGGAATTCATCAACTTTGAGACGAAGTCGTATGGAATCCAGGGCGATGACCAACGCCTGATTGTGGAGTCGTCGGTGCCTTCGGTGCGCAGCAGTTTATCCGAATGCACCGCCCCACTGACCAGCCGCATGTTAGGCATGGAGCTATGCATGGAGCTGGAGTCTAATGATCCGAAGAATACGTCGATCCCGCGCAACGGTCTCATGCCAGCCAATTTCCGTGCATTCCTTCGCAAAACCGATAAAACCATGAGAGGGTATAAATTCGTCATGGAATATCCGCAACCTAGAGGCGGCGAAGGGCCGGTATATGGGTTTAATGTTCTCTTCGACACTCCGGGCAGTAAGATTAACCGACAATTCCAGTTAGGATACACGTTCCATTCGTTAAGCGGCATTCTCTCGGGAGCGGCAGTGTCACCGTGGAAGAAATTCGTTTTAGAGGGACAGTACCGGCCGACACCTATTGGGTTGAATGTGACGGTGGTGGAAGACGACACCCGTCGGCATACACTCGCTTTTGAACTGGCAACACGGATGATGGATGATTATGCCAGTGTTAATTACCAGTCACCAGCTGTTGTGCCGGTTATGAATTACAAACCGTCACTACGCCTGAAATCACCTACCATCGGAAGTGTGGATGTTTCCGGTGACGTTAATATGAAAATGGATTACTCCGCGGTGGTTGTAGATTTGAGCTTTACATCCGGAGTAGTTCGAGCAAGAACGAGAGGGAATTACGAAGGAGGTCAGGGGCATAACGTTACAGCTACGGTTTCCTATCAGTTCGGACCGGGCACGCCTTATCAGGAATTTGCGCTTGTCCATCAGTTCAAACCGCTCCCGATGAAGAGTGGGTTGTGGCGAGTGGCCGCGGTAACTAGCCTGGAGTCGACACAGTTTCCTGCTCTCAACACAAAAGTGGAAGTGGATGTATTGCGATCGCCGAACGGATGGAAGCAGCTGGAAACTGCAACCATAATTCGCCGGCGGAATTTTAATGATGATAACGGCAAAATCACGGTGCTGGCAGCGTACCATATGACACAGAATAGCTCGTCAAATAAATTGACAGTCAATGCCGGCATTAGCGGAGTGCTGATCCCAGAAAACAGAATACAGTATGTTCAGCAGTGGGATAGTGGATTTGGAAAATTCGACGGGGCACTCACTTTGCTGTGTTCGAAAACAACAAATACCGGCAGACTGATGTGGAGCAATGACTGGCGAGTCAATAAAAGGTCAGCCATTTTGCCCATTTAGCATTTGTTTTACCTTTATACCATAAATATTAGTTTATCCTCGAATTGTAAAAGCATCTTTCGAGTAGTAGCGTTTTTCCTGAAGCAGTTAATTAATTTCAGGCTGCAGATGGAATTTTCGTTGGCATCACCAGTGCATTCGCTCACAATTCAGGGCGGTTTAAGTGACGACAGCATTCCCCTTTCTCGGCAGTACCCTTTCCACTTTTCAGCCAAATCCACCATCTTCCGACCAATTGCTATCACTGGCGCTGCCAGCATGACCCCAACCGACGCCGGCATACAGTTGGATATCCAGCGCGACACGCGTTCATTGCTGACCTCAACGCACGTTGTGTCGTGGAATCCGTATAGCGTGACTTCGGATTTCAATTTGCTGAATCACACCGGCCAACTCCGCGTGCAGCTCGTCGGCCTGTTGAACTGGGCTCTTGCGGCCAGTTACCATCGGGGTGACGAAGCATGGAAAACGGAAATCAGCTTCCGGCCCACCGAATCAAACATCACTAACGCGATGGGAATTACGGCAACCGCAATAGTTGAACGGTTAAGCGCTGGCGCTAACCGCATTCGGTATGGCGGAGAGGCCGGGTATTTCCCGTATCCCAGGGCGCCTTTGAAATTTTTTGTGTTTATGCGTGGATATGCCGGAGAAAAGTCCGGAGAAGTCTTCTATCAACATCTGACTCAATTAACTCGAAATTTCCAACACACTTCAGACTTAAAGGTCACAACCGATTTTTTCTCTGAGATTCCGAAAAAGACCATATTCTACGTGGATGTGCAACATGGCACACATGCGACCGCTGCCACCCTTATGGCAGAATACACTAATCTCCGACTGAATCGCATTGAACTGGTTATGCATCATAACATAACTGCTGCCAACACCCATACGAACACTGTACGTTTGATTAACACCCGCAACGATCAGGCAACAACATCGCTGTTTTCTAAATGGACAGTGCGTTATGCTGCGGACCTACCACGAATACTACAAGTGACGACAGAAGGATTTATTAACGGGACTCTAATCCGTATCGGTCGATCGGCCGATACGATCGCTGTGCAGTCGCAGTTTGACTTCGACGGTGTCACTCGCCAGATCACCGGAAAACTCCGGTCCACCTGGAACACACGCAACCCCACCCAGCAAATTGATGTTCACTATCATGGAAATTACTCCTACGGCGACGTGGAATTATCGTCGAATTTATCCATTACGACACCGTTTGACCGCTTCCGGCAGGCGCAGCTGCATGGCATCGTACTGCGGGATCGCGATGGCACGCGCAGTATGCTGGCCAATGTGATGGTCAATGATGTGTCCGTGATTAGAGTGGAAGGAAAAGCTTACACTCCGTCCAACGATGTGATGGCACGGTATCCCGAACTGAAGTCGGTGTTAAAGCTGAAGTCCGTGGCGACACATGCGGCCAATTTCACCATCAAGTTTCCGTCCAGTGGTATGGGCGATATCGAGTGGATGGTGAAAAGGTCAGTCGATAGGGTGGACAACGCACTGGAGTACAGTGTAGATGTTGGGAAGGTTTTGGACATTGAGAACCCCATGGGATGGACGTATCGGAAGGCGCCAAAGAATATCGATTTGGAATTGCGATTTTTGGAGAGATCGTTGTATGGAAGACTGTTCAGGTAATCGGCCACCTTCGCTCTCTCTCTCTCTCTCTGATGCCTTTTGAGCGCGTCGGCTTTATTGTGATGGAAAGCATTCACAGTACGTTAGTTGTACACAATTGTATCTGCATTTTTTGCATTTTTATTTCAGAGGTGGTCCTGAAAAGCAAGGTTTCGAAATTCTTTGGGATGCTAGTCGTGACCTTAGCAAGAAATTTGGCATTATCCGTGAGACATCGTGGCCGGAGCGTTTTCACGAGACTGTATCATTTGAACACCCGCTCTTCCCTTATCCCCATCGAAAATCCATCGGTCTCAAGACGATTAAACAGCCTCAAAACTGGGAGCTGATGTTCCTTGTTGATGACCAAGTGATCATGAACGTGATGCCAGTCTTGGATTTAAAAAATCGTTCTGTGACGGCTAAAGTATTCCTGCCGCAAGATCAGCCCGCTCCGTACACAGTGTTGGCCACAATGCTGGACGATAATCATGTTAACGTCAGCTTCGTGGATCCTGAAACAAAGGCATTACTGTTGTATCGCATGGCTCTGGAAAATCATCAAATTTTAGTGCAAGAAGCTGGTTGGAACCGGACATTCACCAACAGAGTTAAGGTAACCTCGTCTGCACAAGAGCGTATTTTATTTGCATATATACTTGTTGATTAATACGTATTTTTCATATTTCAGGGTTTGGTGTCTCTTAAAGTAATGGAAGTATGGGATACATTGCGTTCTTTATATCAGTATTCCAAAACGGAGTTGAAAGATGTCGGAAAGACTTTTACCGATAATAAAGCGTACATCCCGGTGCTAAACGCTCTGTCATCGCTAGCTTCATCTGCGGGAAATATGCTGGAACGACAACGCCGCAATTATGGATTCCCACCATCTCAGTGCTCCGGTAGCCAAGCGGACAGTGGCCAACAACCACCGCAACAAGGTTGTGGTGGGGGATCCAGCGCCCCGTCGGCATGCGGTAGCAGCTCGTCAGCATCGCAGGGATGCAGCAGTTCTAGCGCTTTTGCAGGTCAGGTCATTACTTACAAGCAGTTATACGTAATAAGTAGTAAACGCGTTAAGTGTTCACATTTTATGCTACTTACACATTTTTATGTTACAATTATTACAGTAATTCTTTTCGTCAGTTTTAGTACGTATGTGCTACGCTGTATTAACAAACTATTGATTTTTAACGTTTACTTCTACCCCAGTTGGGTTGTCAAATTTTTTTCTCGTGTTGTTCATACGGACACTTTCAGACTCTTTTGCTTCCTTTGCCAACCAAGTAAACAGCCAGTTCCAGCAGATGATGCAGGACATGATGAGTAAACTACAGCAGCAGAGCTCGCGGGGTCACCAGTCATTCAGCAGCTCCGTTAACGTGGTCAGCGGCGGATGTGGCGCTCCGGCCCAACCCCAGTGCGCACCGGCACCAGTAGCCTCGCCTTCGGTCCAACGTATCCAGATAACCATTCCTTCATCCGGCGCCTCACCATCCCAGTCACAACAACAGTCGTATCGCCAACAATCGTTCTCTGGATATGCCGCATCGGGCTCGGCTTCCTACTCCAGTGGCTACGGTTCACCTTCCCCTCCGTCATACTCTCCTTCGTACGGATCCCAACCGCAGCCGCAGGCTCAAGCGTCCCAGCAAGTCCCCAGTTATGCTCAGCCTCCTCAAGGTGCCCAGATGCACGCCTCCCAGAAGTCACAGTATGGTTCAGGTACGGTAATACCACGCTTTACACAGAGCTCATTATTTTCTTTAAACTTCGCTTGAAAACATTCATATATTGGCAGTCTTTGGCTTAAAGCATGCTGCATAATAACAGCGAAAAAAGCAAAAATTAAAGAAACATCCCAAAATTAGTCAGAAATTTTTAAAATGAATAAAATCTTGGTGACAACTTAGCATGCGGCGACCTGTAAGCTTGGGTAATATTTTTACTAGTAAATGTGACTTATGATTTGTGTAGTTTGGTGGTTATTTTAACGTTTACAGTTTGTATTTGGTATTTTTTTCACACTTTAGGTTCGACTCACAATCAAGGCGCTTCGTATTCGCACACCATCCCAATGGGCGACACCCGTTTAACAATTCAAATCTATCAACAACCAGCTGCTCCCAGCCCCTCCACATACAGCGGAAGTGGCCAGTATCAAGCTGCGGCGTCCAACAACCAGGAACAATCTCTATCGGGTCAGGCGCAGTATGGCGGACGCGCCGAACCCCGCCTGCAGTACTGTACACCTGGATCATCTGAGAAGGGTGTCTGCTTCCATGGAGGAGCCGATTCATTGGAACCAACTCGCTCCAAACGCTCTCTTCCGACTGCTGATGCTACCATCCAAGATTATGTGCTGTTCTGTGTCGGCACGGTTCAGGACTATGCTGGTGAACTGTGGGGCGTTTTCTTGGCGCAACCAGAGGTGCAATATTTTGCAGACGTTTCCGAGCGCATGTCACGATATGTAAGTGCAGAAAACACAGCGTAACACGGAAAATCCAATTCGTAGTGTTTATTTGTCACCGCATAAGTGTTACTTTAGTTTTGTATCGATGAATAGCGTTTTTCCGGCATTGTCAACAACAGCAGAAACTTATTCATATCTATTTATTTTGAATATTATTGCAGATCACCCCCAGATTAGTCAGTGGAATGCAGAAGGCTACACTGGATGTCAAAAAGCAGCTGATCACATCATTCAGGAACAGGGTCACTGCTCCTCTGGTGAACTGGGACCTTAATGAAGATTTCAGTGTTTTAGGAGTGACGCAAAAGCTGCCTGTTCCCATTAATTCTCTGAAAAAGCCTCTGCCGAAAGTACTGACCAAATTAGGTGTTTTGCCAAGTTGGATTCGATAAGAGAAGTGATAGTATGAAAAATGTTTCTGGTTTGCTTGTACAGCATTTGCATTGGCATTGAATTTCGATGCTTTTAACTTGTTGACCGGTGAAATTGCCCCCATGTTCCGGTGAATATCTACCAAGATATTTCAGATTGTGCAATCTTGTATCGTACTTCGATAGCATTACTGTATTTGAAATTGGATAAGGTATGTTTGCCCGTATGTGCCAAAGGCAGTTCATTTTCGTCTTTAATTTTCGAGGAATTAAAAATTTGCAAATATCGGTTGTCGGTATCTGAGATGACCGTTAATTAAGAACATCCAAAAGTTATCCAAAACGCTGTTCAACCGATTTCTGTATTTTAATGCGATGCAAAGCCGAAAAATCATGCAAAAATATCAATAAGCCGAGGAAACTGCGCTACTTTTGTACAAAAATTCTAGTGCCGTAAGTTCGAAGTGGCTTGTGGCCGGTGGCACCAAAGACGCACAATAGCTTAACAGTGAAGGTTGCGTGTTGTTGATTTTAACAAGAATGCGAGAATTACTTAAGTTCCAAATATTACAACATCTAAACTGAACTTTCTTTTTTAATTTAAGAAAGGCAAAGTCTGTAAAATCACTTGTCAGCTGAAGAGTGATTATATGGATGCGACAATATTAGGGTAACGAACCGGTCGTCTGCACACGTACTGCCACCGGCTTTGTGCTTAAGCTGCGGTCACTCTACTTATGACGGATGAACTTGTGCTGTATGACTCAACCATACAGATGGATTTCTTCTTCGTTCAGCATTGCACCACCCTTTGAATAACGCCAGCAGTACGTCCCTGAGGTCCTTAAAGGTCACGGCAAACAGAATTGGGTCCATCACGGACTGCAGTACGTAGAGCGCCGCTTCAATCTTATAAAACGTGTCGGGCAGTTCGATGGCCGGATTGATTAGTCGAATAGTCCAGTAGACCTGTGACGGTGTCCAGCAGATACAGACACTGGCACTGAGAACCGTCAGTACGAGAAAAGCCCGTGTGGCTTCTCTTGATAACAACAATTTTAAGTTTTTATGACCATGACTCGAAATCGGTCCGTTCCCGCTTGCCGCTTGTAAATTCATCGTACTAGGCATCATGCAGCTAGCTCGACGCTCATTTGTTCTGGATTGACGTTGTACTTGTTTGTAAACAAGAAACGGGTATGCACCGGCAATGAAGACAACCGGCATGTCGTAAATAAGTAGTTGTGCGGTGTTGATCCAGGCCACCTGCGCCTCACCGTTGATACCGCAACCCGTTGACAGAGACTGCCGGAAATAAAGGGCATCCAGTATGACCCCCGGCAAGCAGATGGCGTGCACAAATAGCCATGTCAGCAAAATAAGGAGAAAACCGCTGCGGTGACTGCTGCCGTGTTGGCGTTTATAAGACAGCGGGAACTGCATAGCCCAGATGCGGTTGGCCGTTATTAAAACATGCATGTACATCATGCCGCCCGCCAGAACCCAATTTCCGTACAGATACAGATTGCATGCCGGCATACTCAGCCACCAGCAGGTGTAGAGATTGCCGATGATATCCAGTGGATAGTTCATGACGCACAGCACGATATTGGATGCGAGGAGTGCCATGATATTTAACGTAAACGCCGTCTGGAGATGGTCGTAGTGGAGAAACACAATTAATTCGGCCGTATTGAGGATGATCGCAAGGACGGTGGCGGCAGCTTCGAAAATGACGGACCCAGTCCACGCTGGATCATCTTGAGAGCAGAAAGTCGCATTTGCTGCCGTCCAGTTGGTCGTGGCCGTGTAATTGACGGCAATAAGCACATTCGAATTCGAAGCATTTATTGACATCTTTTACATTTACCTCTATATTTTGACAAAAAGTATGGAAATAAATGTCAGGATCATCAACACTTGAACACGATCTTGAATTGAACACTTGCGGGCAATGCTATGCAGTGTGTCATGCACATCATACAAGTGCATCGTTCATCCCTTGCATCTCTAATTGAAGAATTTCAAAAAAAGATTTGATTAATGCCGTTTTGTCTGCTTCAGTTAAAACGCAAATAATATTGCTACTGCTGAATGCACATTTATACTGGCTTACTAATGCTGACAAGAGTGAGGCCCATTTCGGAGCAGAGTGACCTTTCATATTGACGAAGAATGATATTCTGTGGTGTAAGGGGGAAAGCGAACGGCACAAGTGCTTGCAGTACTAGCGGCAAACAGTCTTCACACCAGGGATGAAATTCGGGTAAAATACGATCATCACGATCAGAGCAGGCGCAAGAGATAAGGTGGATAGATACAAGGTACCATTATAGAGTCGGTGTAACTGAAAGACGTTTCTTGGACAGTCATTTATAACAAGCTTTCGCCTTTCGCCAGTAGGATGTGCACACTATGCACTTCAAACGGCAATGCGCGCAAATGGTTCATCGTAAAGATTTGTACGTTGAAGACCACCTGTCAGGTCGACGGTTTGTTGGCGCTCCTGGGAAGAAAACAACGTATGCCTATAGCGCTAAGGCTGCTTCAACGCATCCACCGGATCGTGCCACGCGGTATGTTTGCGCTTTACTCCAGGCTGGCGACAGTTCCGGATTCTTAATCAAAACTGTGAGCTTACGCGTGACTGCGTCAACCTGTTAATCGCAATCATACTAATTCCCATCGTGAAAGTGGTGCATTATTGACTGTCCGCGTGTCGACAGACACCGAGGTCCAATTGCAATAAGTGACCTTTCAAAGGAAAGCACTTGCGCCCGTATTCACCTTATATTTAATGCAAGTACCCACAATTAAAGCACATCCACAGATTCGTGTATTTAAGCGGCTTCAATAGTCAATACTCTGTGCCTGTTTAATTCCCCCCTGCCGGCGTCGGTGTGCTGTGACCCGCGCCTAACATGTAAACAACATAAAAAGTTAATTTCGAAAAGCCGATTTGAGGGTCGCTTCTAAGGTCTAGCTGTCACATCGATAAAATTTCAAAACATTCCGCAGAGCCCTTTGCCGGAGTTTGGGAAATATTCTGCAGAGTACACTAGGTGATGTAGATTGTAGAGGGCAATTTGCATAAATGACAAATGTCCTCATACTAATGATGCAATTTGTTTTCTTTTATACACTGTTCTGTATGTAGGGTAAGCCAATACGGGTCGATAAACAAAAAAAGATAAAAAATGTACTTTAGCATGAATTTATTGTGAGATAATTCTTCTGCAAAGTGGACGAACAATATTCGTTAACGCTTTTGGGCTCGCTCAATACCAAACGTTGCCTCCTTAGAATGCCGGAACACACGTGATCAGCCTGGGAAATGTCCAAGCAGCGCTCCGAAGGGCGCCGCCTTTCAGTGCGTCGAGAACGTTAACACAAATTCCTTTCAGTTTTGTCCTCGATTTTGCTAAATTAACGCAATGTAACAAACAGCGCTGCGAGTAGGGTAGAGAACTACGCACAGAAGCGTACAGTGCATTTAGAAACAAAAGATCACTTAATGTTCATGATCAGCGCACTGGTTTTACGCATTTCCCAGTTCCCTACCGGTCGTGGGTTATGGACTTTACATCTCTACACTCTGTACTTCATTATTAATGTTTGCGTTGTTGCATCCAAATTTACTTACGGTCCACAGGCATCACCAAGACCTGCATGATTTATATTTATCAACAACAAAATTACTGGACAGCGACACGGCAAGTTTTTGATATGGAAGAAAGGCCTGGTTACGAGCGACCCGAAGCTGTTTTGCATATTCTACATGAAAAATGGCGGAAAAAGACGCACGAGAGCAGTCATCTATAGTATGTCTGCTCTCGACGCACTCAAGCTTTTAGAATTCGAAGTTGCTCATGTTTGCTCCCGACAGATCGGCGGCTTAATTGAAATATCAATAATCAGCGGCATTAGTGCATAATATTAATTAGCGATTATACCAATTATTCCTCGCAAACGTGCACGTATTAGATCGATACCAGTGCTTGCGCAGTTATACCGTACGTTTTAATCACTCAATCCGGCAGTTACCCGTAGTAATCCCAGAAATGTGTGATATGACATCCAGATTTCGGTTAACTTACCGGTAAACTTGTGACCGATGGTCTGTCCCATTATTAAAGCACGAAACTGATGAGTAAATTACGTAACTGAGTATATTTCTAATTAATATATTTGTTATTACGAAGTTCCGTAGATAAACACCTAATGCGATTGCCGATTGTATTCGACGAATGGTATCATGCCTCCAAAGCAGTTTTTATATAAACTACTCCTGTAATACTATTATAGTATCGTAGTTTGTGTAATCGTATGGCATGCCAAAATTTGTATTCGTATCCGCATTATAATTTCATAATAATTATAACTTCATAAGTTGGTATGGTATGGTTATTAATTTTGGTGTTCTCAGGATAGTCAAAAGTTAAAACTCAGGACAGTCAAAACATGGCTAGTACCCCACAAATGCATCCTTTGATTCGAATCATTCGGTGACGCATTGCTCATGCACCTTGACATTCAAAATTCATTCGCGTTCTAGAATTAATGTGGAAGCTGTGACAAATGCCATACTTGCAATGAACCATTTCAGTCCGCGTCGCAAATTACTATTGGCTCACCATGCCACAGAAAAACCGAATTCTGAGAACTCTTTTTCCCTGGCGCTACATCGTCCTGGAAGTGACCGCAAAATGTGTGTTGACTGGAGCTTTATACTAAATGGAACCAATTCTGTCTTGCTGTTTTTCAGTGTTGTCGTTCAGCCAGTGATTATGGCGTGGCTTGTAATGATGTTTATTTGTATTTTGATGAGAAAAATGCGTATTCCGAATTGCACAAGCAGCCGGGCTGGATGTGCGCGAAAATCGAAAGCCAAAAAGTGCGCGTTCTGACGTTCTTCCGTCTGAAGGTAAGTTAGCAGAAAGGACATTCAAATATTAAACTTTTTATGATCAACTGCAGGAAATCAACAAAATTATTCATAAAGGGACATCCCTTACTGTATAAACCAGGGAACAGATTGGTCTACTCCAAATAGTACAAACAAAACTTTGGAATTGTGCTGACAACTGTAATCCCGCGCTTGACAGCCAAAAACCCCCAGTTATCAACTTATCAGCAAAATGGATAGGAAAGCGGCTTTGGTCACAAAATTAGTTACAGTTTTAAATTATCTCTACGACGACGATGCGATTATTGTCAAGGGGCTTTCCAAATACTTGGCCATGGCCCTCATCTTGGCCATCAACATTCCCAGTCCGACGTCCTGTTTGGCGTACATGCACAAGATCAAATTGGCGACCCGCCCCAGGCCGACTTTTCCATCCTAAATCGAACACTTTATAAATTACTTAGAATCCACCATCCAGATCTATATTTTCTCAAATGGAAAGAAATTTATGATTGGAAGAAACCATATTATCAGTTACACTTACATCAGCTATTATTGCAGGATGCAGATTCTTTTTTGGCTGCCATACAGTAGTAATGACACAGCCTGTAATTTATTACAGGCCTTTCAGCCACAATTCATCACATTTATTATTACTGGTACTATTGTAAATAAAATATTTCAAATATTTTTGCTAGTGTAAGCAATTTTCCTTGTGTCATAGAACGGTAGACTTTACACACTTACCATGCAATCGAAAACCAAAAACTGCAGCTTGTCATCATGGAAAGCAGCCCTGGCACTCTTTTCATAGACAGACCAAATATTGTTAGCGATCGCTCCTGTTACTCGCGCGTCCTTGTCGCCATATCCCGAATACGCTAACAGGACACCCTCCTTGTTCAGTAATCTATAAATTACAATGCAGTGATTAATGACGGATTGCTGATTGCATGTTCCAGCTATAGCGAACGTAGAAGTGTCATCTCTACCCAAATCAGTCAAATTAAAGCAGCTGGATTCCCATCCATGTCAAAAACGGTCCAAGCAAAGCAGCAAGTAATTTATCAGCCGTCTTTTGATTTAACAACTCGGATCAAATGAAACGAGCAGATGTTACTCCAGAACTTTGGAGAGTTTAGTCACTTTAATAAACCGTAAGTCAACTCACACACAGTGGCTGCCACCAGTGTAATTACAACTTATAGCAAAAGTCTACCAGTGCTTATCGATTTCCCAGCTGACCCTATTCCAGTTCGCTGGATGAAACACCAGATTCCAGCTGGATATGCTGATAGAGAGTCAGAGACATCGTACTAGCGTACTATATTCTGATTTGCATTACTTTCACAGTCTTTAACTCAATTAACTGTACTTACAAGGTGCTTTGCACTCCTCCTGTGTTCGACTGATTAAGAATCTGAGATAGAACTTTCGGTCGCAACATTTCCTACTATCCCAATTTCAAAACAGGAAGGTAACAAGCTTGTTTAAACTTTCTGACGATTATAATCCAGTAGATACGTTTGCCTCGAACGAATATGGTAGAAAAGAACTTGGGATTGGGGAAAAAAGCTTAAAATTCTTGGGACGCAAGGCTGCACGGCGTTTGAGAAATCAGCAGACAGATGTGCGATATTGGAAAATGCAAACACAGTTGCCTTAACAGAATAGTAATAGCGAATGGGCGATTAGAAAAGTCGTATTTCCTACGCGGCTGTTTGTTACCGCGGCAGATCCGGCCTCCAAAGGGCGGTACTGTGCAAGCATTTTGTTTGCCTTGCTGAAACGCTACCGCTTTAAATATTAATATTGTTGCCGTTTTTATTTGGATTTTATGTGCATACACTGCATATAGATAGTGACATAGTCCTACTGCTCGCTGTTGCCGCTACTTTGTCTGAACTCTGAACAATAAAATACACAAAAGTGTCTAGAAAGGAATTCTCAGTTGTCGAAATATTCCAAAGCAATATTTCATCTTTTTCTCTGCATGCGTCGGACGCCGTCGGTACTTCTTTTTGATACCGTAGTCTGCAACATCTTCGTATTTGATGAATAAGCATCCTGTTGCCTCAGGCGAGTGCTGCCGTACAACGTAGCCAAGCTTTATAGACTGGGAATCAGTACACTACTTAGTACTGTAACTACATACTTACTACTCGTTAATATTCGGAACAACTTTAATATCGCGACAGCGCTGTTGTGGATATTATTGGTTTCTTTTACCTTTGATGTTTGGGAGCATTCTGACGAATCCTGCTTTAGACACAGCGCCAGCGGTCTGCTTGCTTTCGGAGTAATTTTAAAGAATTGTTTGGTGAGTGAAAGTCAAAAACTATAAAAACGCTTACTTTAGTTTGTTGGTAATTCTGGATGTGATTCCTAGCATGCTGAAGGAAAAAAGTTACAATTTACATAAAGTATTTTTATGTGAGATATCCACACTTTATGTATTTATTTTTTTTATGTGCTCAAGTCTTTAAATGTGCTCTGTACACACTTCGAATTTATTTTCACCGTGCAAAAAAAGGTTTTATTATTTTTAAAATATATAGAAGTCATTTAATTTATTTAAATTACAAATTACGTTCTGTATTGACAATTAATATATACAAAATTCTGATTGCAACCATGATTAATAATTGCAAAATTTGTTAACTTGTTACAATAAGGTAGCTTACAAGGACTTTAGAACCCTTGTGATTTCCTGCTATAACTGGACTGTTTTATTAAAAATCAAATAGATTCTAATTTTACCAAAAATGTGTATTCTGTCCAGATGGTGATCTGATAGGTTCGGATGTGAGCTTGAGTCACTGACAACATCTGTCGGTCGAATTTTAAGGTTAAGTGCGGACACAATAAACGTTAACTGGTTAACAGTAAAACTATGCATATGCATATTTCCAGATTTAAATGGTTTGATAAATTGATTTGATGATGATGATGATTTAATGATTTTTTTATGTCATCGCATGACTGCATTAATTATAATCATAAAACAAAGCAGATAACATTTAAGCTTTTCTAAAAACTCAAAAACAGTTCATGGATGTACTGCGTTACATGTGCCACACGGTCCACACTGTATAATCTGATTGGTATAAAATTAGGTTCTAAGCTTATTCTTTGTAATTTTTATTTTCGTACTTCGTGAATCGTGGCGTACGCGTGTGTCGAAAACGTTGCAGCACACACTTTCTGGATTATAAGACACTTCTGAAATTTTGTTGTTCTGTTACAGAATCTGTTCTCGCAGTTTTGGTCGTTTTTGTCTTAAATGTGCAAATGCAGTTAACACCAGTTAGATTTCGTTATTAAATACCTTGGTGATATCGATGTGAAATGAACGATACAAATCATTATACCAAATGGGGATAGGTACTCGCGCAATTTATGGCAACACTACAGATACACTATAACAGCTGTAGAAGTAAATCTGTCTTGTTATTATTCTGCTTTTTTGTGGGCTAAAATTCAAGCACTTATTTTGATTTGTATTGATTATTTTTATGATATCAATTTTGAAACTGCATCAGGTGGCGGTTTACTACGAGTAGCATCAAGAAATGTCAAAATTATTAACATAAGTCCGGGTAGGTTAACCGGATCCCAGTTAACCATTTTAGTAAGTACATAGCAGCTTCGTACACTTTCGCAGTCGCTTGGCTGTTTAATACTGGCTGAGCTGCATAATCTTATTTATTTTGCCCGGTTTTCAAGTTGCGAAACTATGAATTTTATGCATGATAAAATGTAATTTCGCTCACTGTTTACATCGCTCTTGAGTGTCTCTCTCATCATTTGTAAATCGTAGATGTAATTCCGGTGTTCGTTTCTCTGTTGACAGACTTGGCACGAGGCTGACTTAATCCATCTTTTCACGCGCGAAATGGACTATCCAAAGCTGCCAGAAAACACTGTAGAATATAACGTTTTCTTTATTGAAAAGACGGGTGTTTTAAAGAAGGATTTCAGCGATGTTTGGCCACAACTTGAACGCTTTTGTGATGATGTTTACTCGTTGTTGGCCAAGCCGCTTCTCGATTACATATGGCATAACGAGCCTTTTCGCCTATCTCCCTTCAAGCGGCCATTTCCGCATGTTGGCGGCCGTACGCATTTTGGAGACAACACTGAAGATGAATGGTTTATTGTCTACATTTTGTTGGAGCTATCAAAACAATATACCAACACCGCGATCTCGTAAGCTCGTCGCTGTTGCGTGTTTTTTGTGCTTTTGCGAAATATGTAGGGTTTAATTTGCTGTTGCAGTGTGTATGATGATGCTGGCAACTTCCTGCTCATCGAAGCGGTAGAACATTTGCCGGCTTGGTTGGGACCCGAGAATAGCCGCAACCGGGTTAGCCTCATTGACTGTAGTTGTTGCTGTAGCAGGAAAAATTGGGTCAGGTATTATTGTTACGACTTGTGTCCCGCAGGTATGGATACATAGAGGTCGAATTCATATCATTTCGGAAACACTCGCTAAACAGGGCACAGGAAATGCTGGAGATGAAGAGTTTTCCGTAGAAGCAGCGCTGGCATGCTTGGCTAAAGAGCCGGCGCAGACAGTAGCACCAAAGGCCGTAGAAAACGCCATAAATAAAAGAATTAATGGGTAAGGGTTTTTCAGGGGTATTTGTATTTTCAGTGACTGATTACAGTACTTGTGTTACGGTCTTTCTCGTTTTTAATATACAAAAAACAACATTGCGGAAATGTGCATTAATCTTCCATTGGGTAGAAATCTGTCACGTTTTTTTCTAAGGATTTGCTTTTAAGTGTCCTAACATTTGATTCCATGCAGCTATCCAAAAAAGATTTCGGATGCGCAGCATCGGATGCACTGCTGTGTGCCGGCATCCGTGGCGGTTTTAATGAAAGTGAAACCCAGTGTGTTATCAGCGGCGATCGAAGCGTTTTATTTACGAGATCCTATCGATCTGCGGGTAAGACTAGTGTGGACAGTAGTCTCGATGTCCCAGACGCTGACTTTTTTCCGACTTATTACAGGCTTGCAAAGCAATGAAGCATTTCCCGCCGGAAACGCGTGTGCTGACTGATGTAAGTTGATTGTTGCTGATGAGCCTCTCACTCTTTGAATGCCTTGCCTACGTGACCCACTTCCGCGCTGTAACAGGTCGCCACCTCGAAATTGCAGTATGTGCAGCTCTTACAGCAGAAGTACTGTCCAGACAAGAGGACCGGATGGGATTTGCCTGGCACTGATGATCCACACTATCGAGCTCTCGATCTTGGTGTGAAAATTGTATGTGTTGGACTTCCCGCAGTGCGTCCGCGGTGCTGATTTTGGGACTGTTTTTCTAGGCTAGCGGCTTTGAAATCCTGTGCGCATATGGTGAAAAAATCAAAGGAAAAACGCGATTATTAACTCACGAGGAGCTGGACGCTGACAAAGAGTGGAAAGATTTTCATGAAACACTGTTGAAAAAAGGTTATCTTCGGGTATGTAATCTCTCGGATCCTAATTCACTTTCAGTTGGTTGATAAAAACCATACTGTGGCACATATTTATGATAAGTAATACAGTAAGTAATCTCGACAAAGGTTAGGCTGAAGGTGCAGGAGAACTTAAACCAAAAAGAGGCTGCATTTAGAAACCTGGCTTATGTTTCCTTACACGTTACGCGATTTACCTACGGTAGATGTGATATCGCAACGCGTAATTGTAATTATCAAAAGCTGCTTTATTTGTAATAAATCAGATATAAGTTTTTGCCGAGTTCGAATATTGAAAAGCGTTTTTCATTGAGCTCTTTCTCGGTCTCTCATGCATATTAACTTTACTTCCGTAACTAAATTTTATGTGATTTGGAGTTTTTTCGTCACTAAAAGTGCAACATATTTGCAATTTAAGCTTCTTACAAAATCTCGTGAAGGAATTTGGAAAAAAGAAATGAAAAAAGGAATGATTAGTGTTCGATGTTTGTAGCGCAGGTCGATATCTTGTTTTTTCATGAACGAACAGCTGTCAGATCGCACAGGTTTCGGACGTAAAAGGGTGTGCGTATCGCCACTGAGTAAATACTAAATATGCAACTGTTATTGACTTGAGCCGCAAAAGATTACTTGTCTGGTTGCATAAGTCTAAATATTAGTTCAAACATGCTAGGTCGAAATTGGTTTTATGATCACAGTAAATTCACGCTTCCCATGCATTGTGCGTACCAACTCGATGACATACTTTTGTATGTCAAGGTTTGTCGTATACGAAGTATAGATCGATGGAGTTGTTTGCGTGCTTTTCCGTATTGTTATTTGATATTGATGTCTGACTGTCGCCACAGGACATAAAAGATTCAGGGGAACAGACAAATAAACTAAATCGGGCCAGGGATTTTTTTATTGAGTCCCGACGTGTGGACGATACATGTTCCTCCAGAGAACGACATGGAGCATACGTGCTCCATTTGCTCCGTACCGCTGATGTGGATATCGATGCGCTGAAGAAGCAGAGCTACCAACTAGCACCACCTGATGGTAAGTCCTCCTGAAAAATGCAGGGTAATAATGGTTTAACGGGTATGTTATTGTTACACAGATGATTCGTGGGTGAATTTAGCGCCCGATGATGTGGAAACTACATTGAAGGCAAGGTCGGGACCACAGGGAAATGGTTCGGCTAAGCGCCGTGAAGCGGCTTTTGACCCGACATTAATCACCGAGAGCATGAAGCGTTTTATGGATATCGCGTCCGGATTAGAAAGCGCAGAATTTCCAGAGTAAGGCGAACGTTAAGCTACTGAATCGTGCAACCATAGTATCACGTTGATATAATTGTACACATTTTAGAACATTACCGCGTTAAGGCGCAAAGTGGAACTTAGTACTATATTTCAAATTTTTAATACGGATTGGACAGAGCACGAAAGCGTTAAGCATTCTTACAGAGTTACAGTAAGTCGACGAAGCTTATGTGACAGTTTGCACTGTACCGTGTCACCATACAAAACTTTTATTGCTTCTGGATCGTGTAACTTTGGAAGAAGCTTTATACAAGTGTATAATAAATTATACAATTAACAATTTCGATGTTTAAAGTTAGGAAATCACTATAGCCACCACCTTTCAACGTCACTGCAATACCGACTTTCTGCTGTTATTAACGTGATATTCGTGACCTTTCTGGGCCGGAAGCAATCACATCAACGATAATGTTAGGATCTTTATCGCGAATTGGTTAAGACGTGATTTGACATTTTTTCGGTTCTCCCTCCACGTTCGATAATTGTCACTTTGTTTCGAATGTTTGCGACGTCGGTAACAGTGATTGCCTTTCCAGTATATTTCTGTGGCCATACAACGTCAAATGGCATTTTGAGATTTTTAGAGGTGACCGTATCTAACGTGTAAAGTGCTCGTCCTAATGTGAAAATTCATTTACTTTACTTACGAGGTGCCTATAAAAAACAGGGTGTCTAAAAAGAAATTAATTGATTAAAAAAGGGTGCCTATAATTAATTGAGTGCGGAAAAAGGGTGGCTATAAAAAACGGGAGTGTTTGGGGTGTCTATATACAGTAGTGTCACCCTTGAAGTTATATTAAGTATTTAAGTACTAGAAACAAATTAATGGAATGCACCATTCAATATAGGCTGGCAGGTTAATATTTGGTGCTGCATATTGTACCGTACAATGTGTACGTAATCGTTTGAAATGCTTGAAATTAACAGTTACCTGGAAAAACTTAAGGGTTGCTCGCGGTCAGTATTGTCGTTTATTTTGTGCATCTGTAGCTTATTAATTTTGTAGTGAGAAAGATGATCATAATTCTATGGACACCCGGGCAATGGATAATGCGATTGGTAAAATTTTGGAATTACACATTTCCGAGACGGATGATGAAGGACGGAACTCGTCCGCTATGACAGATTACAGCGACGAAGAGGAGCATGTTTTTGATATGCCGAGAGGCAGTAAAACCGAACTGGAAAGTATCCAGTCATATCTTCAGGAAAAGATGGATCGTGAATTGGCCAAAACGTCCGATAAGAAGACCCTTGCCCGGGAGAACGGCATCGGGCTGGGAAAATCCTCGACTGACGCACCGAAAGCTCCCCGCCGACCTCCGCCTCCGGTTCCCGATCGTAAGAATTCAGCTATGGCTGGGGATTCTAACGAATCCATTGACGAGGAAGACGACGATTACCATCCTGTTAATGTGAACGTTAACCTGCTGAAAAACATTCTCGAAAGCTGTAACTCACAGCAAGGTTTGGCTGGGCCGGCATCGGTCATGCTTAAACGAATGGGCGTTAATCTGCCCGCTAATACGAACCAGCCATAGGGAAGTTCATACCTGATTTTGGTTGTATGGATGATGGATTGCGGATTCACTGCCCTTTTCTGTCATTTTGTCTGCATTTGTTGTTGTGTTTTCTCTTGTGAAATTAGATTTGATTTGAGTGTTATAACAAGAGTTCCAGTTTTTCCCTGCATTTAGGGTTTGCAGTCGTGCCGTTTAGCATGATTTTCTCATATGCCGAAGGATTTCACGTAGATAGTAGATAGGTTTCTGCATAATTTGTTTGTGAGAAATTTGAAGTCTTGAATCTGGTCTAGCTTCCTGTTTTCCTGTGTGTATAATGTGATTTGCTTACACTGCAGTCAGTTGTTAGAAATTTATGTGTGCAAATGATTAACCGAAAATCTCATTTTGTGATTGTGTTAATTGATCTCACACGCCAACAAATAGCCGGTTTCAAACAGTAGACACTGTACACTGCAAAAATACGTTGCTTTAACGGTAACACACTACAGTTTGAGTTTAAGTACGAAACTATTACAACTCCTCCAACAAAAATTACAAATAGATAAAAACAATTGTAGACAACAAAATATTACTACGCTGAAAACAGAAGTCCAAAACATTCAAAACTGTAAAGGGAGAAACGAGTAACGCAACACAGCCCGTCCGTAATGTACGAAGAAGACGCTAAATTACTAGTACGCAAAATTACTACCAACAAAAAAATTTTAAGGCTATGAATTGTTAGATATTAAAGCGGGTAGTGGCTGCAGGGAGAAGTTCAGAATACGAAATAGAGTTCAACAAGCCTGTCTGGACGTTCGAAGGTAATATATCCCTCGAGTTCACTGATTACTTCACAGAAATATGAATGGACCACGTGACGTTAAATCTTAAATCGGCACCACTGGAATCGGTTCATTTCTGCTGCGACGCCGATTGGGTTCCTCTTCTTTCCATTTCCCTTTGAAAACCATTTGCGCCGGAATCATCAACTCTTCATTCGCATTGTCCGGGTTGACAATTCCCGTGAATTCACGCCCATTATTCAGTACCAACGAAGAAACTTCGCCTGCGCCATAAGCATAGAATCTGGAGGCACGGTCGCGAGACTGTGTTTCTATAAAAAAAACAAGGCAATTAGAGCAGAAACTACGAACACTACAGCTGGTCAAACGCAGAACACTGTAAAATGAATTCGATCTTGCATTGTCTCAAAGTAAGATCTTTGACAGAACTTACCCCGTCGATGACGTTTTCCATTGCAGACCGCATTCCCACTGACAGGTGAAACCGATCGTTTAGCCGCACAGCCAGACACAGACCGCGAAGCTCTCCGGTGCGAAACAGAGCCACCATTTCCGTTGATGTCCTCCGTCGTCGAATCAGCCGCACCGACTCCAGGCGGAGAGATGGCTGAAGTTTTCCTGCCGGACGGTCGACCCTGCTTCCTTTTTGCAGGACTCTCCACGCCATTCAAGGATTCCGGTGACGGAGTCGGTGATTTCCCGTTGAGAATCTTGGTGGACAAGCCCATCACAGCTCGCTTACGCTGCGCTTCTTTATTGTGTGGTCCTTTCCAGTATTCTTCCAGCAGCTCATGGCAGCTCAGGTTGCGCTCCGGCTCCCAGGTGCTTTCGGTGACAGCGTAACCCTTCCACTTGACCAGATAGCGTACTGCCCCGGATGGCTCTTGATGGTGGGCCATGATACGTTCGACTTCGAAATCTAAGGGTGCACTCATGGTTTTTACCACTTCTGGAGTTGGTTGCGCTTTGTTGCTGCTCGCTAGTCTAGGTTTAGGCATGGTGGATCGCTCAGAACAATGTCAGTGTAGGTCTAAATTAAATGTACACCAAAACTGGAGGAAGAACCGTTTGCTAGAATTTACCGTTTCCCACTGTAAACCTTCGACGTGCCAATCTACCTAATTAGTGTCAACAAACAGTGCAAACGCTAACAATCACGCGCTTAAACTGAAGTTTTGAAATTTTACCGAGTCCAGTCAATCGAACAATGAACCACACCTGGATTGCAGCGGGTGTCACCGGTTCGGGTCACGGGCTTGGTACGGCTTGTGCGCGCGTACCGACCCGAACAAAACCTTATTGGGCTTGTGTAGGCTTTAAAAAGCCGTAGAGGATCTTAATATTAATAATACTAAAGTAACTAAACTAAATAAAATTAAATTTACAAATTACAATTAGATAGTTATGGAGTTGGTGGAGTTCGCCTTTAATTCTTTGTAGAGCCCGGCGGATATGCCCATTCAAATTCTAAAAGAGACATCTTACATCGGACAGAATAAACTTTGCCCTGCTAAATTTTTTACGCTTCAGATGTTAACGTTGTTTTTTTATATTTCTATCATACCATTTATTCTACAAGCTTTCTTTAGAGGATAAACAATGCTCCACCCGATAAACATTAGCTATTATTAAAGATATTTTACTGTATATATTGGCATAATTACTAATATATGAGTAATAACTATTTATTGTCTTAAAAGGACTTCGGGTTTGTTATTTTAAATTTCACTCGCCGCCTCACCGTCGCCTAATCGCGGTAGATGCAACGGCCCGTGATAAAACTGAAGGAAGGCGGAAACCGGGAACGTCAACTCCGAACGGATCAGAATGTCAATCAATTCTGTAGAGAAGCGAAAACCAGATAAAGCATCAAAACCGCTGGAGACAAAACCAGCACTGAAAGCCGCAGTAATACGCTTCAATTAAATTAGCGTTTTGTGGTTAATTAAGTATGTATGCACTTCGTATTTTGCAGCACTGCTGAATTTTTTACCTGGATTGAGAATAGCCTTTTCAAGACTCCATGACACATTCTTTACCTGCTCGTCTTCTTCCAGCTGCAATTTTGAAAACAAGAAAGAGAAACTTTTTATGTTACTGAACCGTTTCTCGAGATATTTCAGTTTATAACAACGGTTTCTTCAATGAAGTCCAGTTAATATAATTTTGTAGCCGGAGTAGTAACCGTATGCAGCAACGAAGATGTACAAATGTACTCGTAACCTTTCTCATAATCAGCTTGCAGGTAACAGCTGAATTAACTTAATATGACCGGGGTCCGGGTTAGCTGAGGTTCGGAAGTACAGACTGAATAATTCACAAGCAAATTGGCAACTTACTGTGTACAGTGTGGAGAGAAGCAAGCTGAAATGAACCATCTTCTCCACGAAATCCTTTGCTACAGCGGCAACATCACCGGACGAATATACGGTAGCAGTAGGTGCGGTGTCAACAGGCAACAGAACGAAAGTGTTAACAATTCTGGCTGGGACATCGCTAAGAAACAAGACGATTCGCGTATCCTCCAAAAAACTGCTACTTGGATTATCCAGATTTTGAAAAATTTCTTCGATTTTTGTCGAATGTGCCTGCAGGTATATATATACAGGAACACTGCAATTAATTGCAGATCGCAGCATTCTGCGCCAGGCACTCAATGAAATGTATTGTGAACTCTATTTGCAGGTTATTTATTAGATTTTCACGAATAACACCTACCTCAAACATACAAGCGGCAACATTGGAATATATTAAACTGTAGCCGGTTATTTTCTCTCTTAAGCTGGATTTAGCAACGGTAATGCTGTGTATGTAATCTGAAAAATTAATAGTAACCTTATGTAGAACTGCGCACGAGTGATATCTATAGAAGTATTGACTATTACACAATGAGCACTGCTAGTGCAGATGTAACTAAATCAGAGCCACCGTCATAAAAAAAAACAGGTCCTACAAAGTTTAAATGTTGATTCATTTTTATCCGTGTCTACTTGTGCAGGTATATATATTATTGTACAACGGAAACTGGCTGTTGTCGAAAAAAGTCTCGTCTAATGCCTCGGCCGATGGTTATTGATCATAGACCAAGAAAAAACAAGTACAGATATTGGCGGATGCACAATTAACGATAAATATGTAAAGACAACATATCAACACTAAGCGACAGTAAAAAACACTGTTCTGTTTTACAGTAAATCTAAGCATATTAAAGTTTTGCTTTAATTGGTGGGCAGCAAGCTTATTAGCATTACAGACCGATGCAATCTAAGGCGTTATTTATAAAAAATTGCTGCATCTTGTACATTACTTACGTGCCTAAAACTTCCGTTGAAGAAGGAGTTGCTTCGCCAAGACCTTGACCACGTATTCTGGACACTGTGATCATTCTGTGAACAGGAAACTGTTGCTGAAAAATTTTAAACACGTGTCGGAATATCACTAATAATAAGAATCCCTTGACTACGCCTACGGAATACTGAAATATCTTTCAATAAACCCGCATTTTAATTACAGACTGTTCGCATTGTACTCTGTATTTATGCCGTTCATACCATGTTGGGCAGCTTACAACTTGTGTTGCTTGCAGTAAAAAACACAGAAAAGTCTTCTTCAGGCGCGCGTGCGGATGAGCTTTGAGCGTGAGCTGGTCCGAGGGAGTTTCGTCGTGATCGCTGTCGTATGGTCGTCAGGGAATCCCGAGCAGGATTGATGAAACTATTGCGGGCCCTGGATGACCTTCGGATGCCGGCACCCATAATGCTTCCTTCGTTTCGCATTATGCTCCCCGCGGGACCACTGTGCCGGTGACTGATAATCGTAACGCTGCTGCTTCGCATGCCGACATTTTTTTCAGATGGTATTTGATTGACATCTGGCCTTTCGTGGCGAAGTTCTTCGATTCCAGAATTTTCACCAGACGGAAGAGGAGTAACATCCGACAAAACATTTTGCGCTGTCTCATCTCGATCATTTTTTTGCGACCCCATTCAGATTTCGAATTCAGTTTCAGTTTCAGGAAAAAGTTCTTCTCAAAATCAGATACACATACACACTGGTTGCTAGTTACTGTACTGTAAGAGATTTGTGAAAATTAAAGTGAGTACTATAAGTGCACCTTTATTAGTGCGTGTACGTAGTAATGGTTCTAATTAATTTTTAATTCTACGTACTCATAAAATCTTGGCTCTGAAATCCTTGCTTAGTGAATTGTAAAGTAGGCGCAAGACGTACCGTATACAATACAGTTCTGTTTTTCTGTAGACTACCTATGTGCAAGCATTTTTCAAACAAAAAAGGTTTTCTGCGGTGACGGAGGGAGCACTTCCCGCGTACTTTCTCAGTTTAACAAAGAAGGTTTTCTGCGGTGACGGAGGGAGCACTTCCCGTGTACTTCTCAGTTTAACAGAAAGAGACAAAAAATTTCAGAAAGTGTCAGAAAGAGACAGAAAATTTTAACAGAAAATTTATTTCTGTTAAAATGTAAAGTACACGGGAAGTACTCCCGCCGACACCACGGAAAACCTTTTTTTGTTTAATAGATGCTTGCATACACAGCCTACAGCAGAAGTGTTGCATATGATATGTCTTGAGCCTACTTACAACTAAAAAACATATTTTATTACTAAAATGCTATAGTACTGAAAAGCGCAATCACTAGCTGCAAGTTAAGGTAATTAGAATACAAGCACAGTACTTAGTTGACAGTGACCTTTTCCCTTCGGTAATTTCTTTAAAAAGAATATGCGCAAGCCTTTTTAAAATAAAAGCCACAGCAATTATTAGTTAAGTATACCAGCAGTGTAAAACGCGCAGTTGTTGTTGTTGCATAAATATACAGCCTAGTCCTTATAAAGTCCACTGCTTCAACAATAATTACAGTAACGGTAACTGCCTTTGTTTACCGTAGCAACAATGTGCTATTAAGCGCAGTAGCGCACTATTGTTAGGAATATAGTGCTTGATTTTTGAAGATCGCGAAAGATAATATTGCTGTTACAACATCGAAACTAACGCGCAGTTGCTTTCGATTATTACTAAGAACAACAAGTTATGTTTCAGACTTTCAGGTTATATTCTGGGCAGGTAGCTAGCTATATAGGGTGTTGCGTTGTACCTAGAACCGTCGAAACTGAAGACATTAATTCAGCGGATGCGGTTTTACAGACTCATGATTGTAAGTTTTTGAATTTCAGATAGGCATATTTATTTCACTATACGCCCGAGCACAGTGACGGTTGCTTCCCGAATTCCAGATACTGCTCGAATCAGCGAGCTGAAAAATCCACCCAAAAACTTCATTCTGAACATTCGCGCCAAACTTTCCTGACCATGACGTCTTCATGCAGCATGTTGAATGATGTCGATATCTCTACATAACTAGATGTTGCATACTGATTACTGCCATAAACATGTAAAACAGATCCTCAATGCCGTTTTATTCAAACTGGAATAACGGTTTCAGGTATACGATTATATTGCATGCGAATTGGAATCCATCCCTAATTACACGCTTCGCTTTAAGCCATGATGAGAGTCGCCATTGTTGTTGAACGTCAAGCAAGTGCTCCAATGTTGTTGCTGTCTCAGCTAATCCTTTACGCACCTGTATCCCGGTTGTGCGCATAATTACGTAGATCCAAAGGGCGCAAGTAAAAATGATCTAATTAAGGTGCGCCAGGCTTTAATATCCGTATATGCCGCGGTACGTCCGGATTGGACTGCAGCGGTTGCCGGCGCAGAATAGGTAAGGCTATGCATCCGTCAAGCTGTGTCACCTTATAAATTTTATCCTCCATACGGGATCCGATTGCATATATATATATAACTAGATATATGATGGTTAAATTGGCTGTGTTTGCGTCATTGGAAAAAAGGCGTGAGTGTCAAAGGAAAATCGATGGTGTGTTCTTAAATCACGGTGGCCCCTGTCGTCACACATCATGTATACACACACGGAGCCACAGAGCGCGGTACACAAAGTAGACTCCCATACAGCACATATCGTGGCGCGATCGGCAAATCTCCCAATGTGCGCACAGGATCACTGCACATTTTCGTACTGATCCACATCCAGCAGATCCGCTTTCATAACATGTGATTCGCAGTAAGTAGAGCTAACTGTCTGGTTCTCGCGCGCGCACTCTTATGTTTCTCTCTCTCTCTTTCCTCTCTTTCTGTAGCGTAGTTCCCTAGCCGAGCGGGAGACGCACGGAGCCTAAGTATTCTGGATCAAGTATGATATGTTGACTGCGTCAATGGTAGCGTCGGCATAATAGTCTATAACTGCTGCCGATTAACCACAGCCTGTGGATTTTCTTAACAGACTTCATTATTATACGCCGCGTATTGTCCTCACGTAAATCAAAATACAGAAGGGTTATTTTCTCCTTCAAAACATTTTTATCCGCGCAATGGGAGAAGACACACTGAAAAAGATCATGATGCGCTGTATCTGTTGGATGCATTATAATGCTTATAATAGGAGTGCGCGTGTGTTGATGGCCTGATTTGACAACACGTCCGCCGGTAAAGAGGTAGGTGGCACAAAAGATATCGTCCTATGTGGCAACGGATTCTTCCTTAAGCTGTCGGCCACGGTTATCCCCGCACCGTAAATGTATCCTTCTGATCCGTATTGATAAAAATAACTGAAAGAAGTAGATGTAGCCTTAATCAGGGTTAAATGTAGCGCTTTTCCATGGTTAATCTTTGCTCCATATGGTAGCAGGAGATTGGTGCCTGTATCGTGTTAGCCCATATGCACATGCTGTGGTATAGCATTTGAAACTTGCGCCAAGATGATCGTGAGAATGGTCGGCGTAGCTAAAGTGGCTGCGATCGACCTGAATTTTTGCGGCGAGCAACAGCTGGCAGTGAGATGGATTTTAAAATTAGTCGCCAACTGTTTCCTGTTTTTCCGCCTCTGCCCGATAGCGTTCGCTGTGTGTATTGCTCTTCTACAGCAAAGGTAGTTTTCAGATTTCGAAGATATCTGTGTCATTTATTTGTGCCGTTAAAATAAGATGTTGCTGGATGTTCACCTTTTGCATGTTTATGACAGTTTGGTCATTAGTGATAAAAACAGTTGATAACATTATTTTTCTGATTGGGACATGCTCAGTTTGAAAAATATTACTTTATTAGCAATTCGTGATCATTTTGTAACAATAATGTTATTTATGCATATGAGCGCAATCAAAATGGTTGAGTCGAACTTTGCGCGAGCACGTCAGTATCTTTAATTCTGTATTGTAATTAAGTCGAAGTTAATTAATAATTATCACAACAAAACTACAAATGACTACAAAACTTTGTCCATCTGCATGGCAGTGTGAAGTTGTAAACTACTGACTGCTGGGTGCTTGGGCGTATAAAGATGCAAGCAACAGTTGAAAAAATTATTTAACGAGGACGTTTATTTTATTATTAATATGTAATAGCGTACAGCTTACGAGGAATGTGTTTGCCATTGCTGACAGTATTGGTCCGTAATCCAAAGCCAATTGGCTGACCAAAATCGCTGTTAATCTATGATAAACTTATTCGAAAACTATATCTGTACTACGAAATTGCATATAGACAACACATATGAAGCTTTAGTAAACTTACTTGTGTGTTGAGTACATCGATCTATGACTTTTCATTTTTGTTGCGCTTGGATTACCAGCTCGGGTTCAAAATGCGTTATATGGAAAATAAAAATGAAAAGGCATGTTCTGTCTATTTTTTTTATAAATCTTCTAATAAAGGCAACCAAGTACTACAACTTCGTAAAGTAAAGGGAAAGTTCTCCGGAATTCTTTAATTTGGGTAATTCTAGTTCAGTGCGTTATCGTTAGTGCTATACCACGTGCAGCGTTAACTGTAATAGCAGTATTAATTGTTGTGATAATAACGTTTTCTGTGTAAAATCATTATGTTTTCCGTATGTACGACAGTAAGAGCATTGCAAACTAAATCTGCAGTAGTATTTAGTATTTAGTTTGCCATGGTACTGATATCGTATACGTACGAGTGATGCTATGCTGTGAATGCTACATAGTTTAACACTTTGCATTTCTTTTGAGGTCACTTTGTGAGGAAGCGGTAAAATGCAATGAATCCGAATAATTCAGCCATGCTGTGGAATGTTCCCTGCACCTAACATGCATGGACCTATCCCGCGGATCCTAGAACCGACTGCGGATCCGACGGCTTTTCGCAATCCTGTCACGCAAATTTTTCCAGGTACAGTACTCCGAATGTGCGCCTGTTAACCATTCTATTCTGGTACTCGTGCATGTTAGCGAATATATAATTGCCGTACATGTGACTTACATTTGTTGTACATTTAAGAAGGTTAATATTGTAATCCACGTTGTGGGGATTAGATAAGTAATACGTACCTCGCAGGGTATCGTTGCGTTAATCCACATGCTTATATCCACATTCTGTAAAAGTAGCTTCGAAACAACAATTCATGCTCAACATCAGTTAATAAATTATTTAGTTTTATATCTCTTCAGAATTGGGGATTACTTATGTTCGTACTACGTATAACTATGCAATCAGCGTCAGGGTCTACCAAAGTTACGTGCACGATGCATCAGATGTCAATGTCGTACCGCACTAGTTAAATTTCAGGCTGCATGTAAACTATGCCTGTAAATAAATGTAGCAACAAGCGCCTGTTTAAACCCGGTCTGATGTTTTATAAATAATATTCGTTTAAATATCAACTTTTTGCACGGGATTGAAATTTGTAAGCAATACGTTTTTTGATTAATCGGACAGGGACTTCCAAATTTTTTGTTATCCTTTAAAAACCATGTTTGATTTTTGTTCCAATGTAACGTAACCTTGCCTACGGTACGTAAGCAAAATCTATATATTTCTAGTGCAATTGCAACAATATCCTCTGCAAAGATACTTCACTATTCGATCCTACTAATGGAGCTAAAACCTATCATGGTTGCAAGTTTGTCGATAGAATTTTTGCATTTGGACTCGTTAATTAAAAAACAACTGTATACGGCATAAATTGTCGACTATTATATATCTCATAACAAAAGATCGAAATAATTGGGAACAAATAAAGTATTGATTTAAGCAACAGTTGGTTAACGTTGGATCATGCACGCTTAAATGTGAGCAATATACTGCTAGTACTGCATTTGTAACAGATAGGCGGAACATCACTATACACATCGCATCGATTACAGTAAAAAACGTGGAATCGTTCTGTTACGAAATTGACACCCATGCGCGCGAAAAAGCCGGAAAGGGCTTTGCTTACAAACAATTTCTTGGGTAAACTTTCTTTGTGACTGAAACAGTTTGTCGTACTTGCACAACTACAAATCCACCATCACCAAAAGCCAGTCATTAATTCTAAATTGTACTGCAGAACACTGCATGATTACTTGTGTTATATTGTATTTATGCAGAATATTGTGTGGCGCACTTTAAGAAAGTTGTGTGATATACAGGTGACCTTTACGCCACCTTCCAGTCTCCGAACCAGCAGCCAAATACGTCAATAGTCAATCCTAACCATCTGTCCGTGCCGCCGCCTTTCGGTGCTCCTTCCTGGCACGTGAGACCAAAAATTCGGTCTAATCTTAACGCGACCACACCGCGTTTTCCCCGTAAATTCATTCCCTCGCTGACATACCGCCAAATTGCGCCTAATAGTACAGTGCGTCAACGGGCAGTGGGAACCACAAGCATTGTCCGCTCCGTCAACGGTCTCACCGGGTATCCGCGCGGCGTTCCCGTATCGCATGGCACGTATCGATCAGCCAACAGCACGCCCCCCGTACCGGTATCCGTCGCTCCGGACCAGCAGCTACAAATTCAACCATTTCTTTTGGTGACGCAGACGGGATCTCCAAACGCCAACACACTGAATCATCGTTTTGACCGTCGACACTCCGCCCCCAATAATTCCTTCCGTGTTGCGCCATACTTTGTGGATCTCCATGTCGCTTCCGGTAGTGTTGTACAGGTGCATAATGGCCCGGAGACTCACGTTATTCAAGGTAAACGTTTTTCTAAGACGTCAGCTGATGTCAGAAATACTCTTATGAATTATTAGCGGTATAAAAGCTACATACAAAGTACTATAATCCGGCAACGTCAAAAGGATGTCTCGATTCATTATGCTGTGAAAATAAGTACGAGTACTTGTACATGAGAAACGATGCAGCTGATAATTAGGCAGGCAGGTAGCCAGTTTCCAATAAGAAATATTATTACAATTCTTGCCACAATAATTTATGGGAAATAACAATTAAGGTAAATTTAAAAAGAACCGAAGTATTTTTCGTTTGGTCCTTTTGGATAGGATTGATGTTTTTTAAACCGATAGCCACTGTATGTATGTCACGCTATATAACTAGCAAGATTAATAAGCAAGCATGTTTTTAAAGTTTTTAAACTTCTCACCTTACTCGAAAAAGGATTCGGTTTAACTTCTTTGTAATTTATCGTTAATATTTATGTACATTTAAGTTTTAACTGTTGCGCACAAGAACGATCACCCAGCAGTGAATGAATGGTTCGTTCATTTCTCGAGATTGCTGTGAAACGGGTGCCCGCCTTGGTTAACAGTGACGTATGAACAGATATCCCCAGCCGGTGCTTTCGCGCGCTTTACTGCGAAAATAAGGTGGTTTTTTTTAGATTTATTATTGGCGCATTCCTGGACTGTCACTCTTCTATGGACACATTAGTGTATAACATGTTTACGTCTTATGTAAACGTAAACTTTATGTTTGGTTTCGAAAAATGGAAATCTCAGATTCTGTCGAAACTTTCGATAAAATCTTGGCCAGTTGCGCAGTACATTAGTGGAAGCCAACAGAGTTTACTGTATCTGTAAGTGCAGTACTCGTACATATGCATTGCATTGGCTCTATTCTTCAAATTACACGGAGCGACGCACTGCGTGTCTGGGGTTGTAGGGTTCGGCTCACCACAAGGACGTGTTATTTTCCGCAATCGACGCCAGTGGGTTACCTCACAAAAATAGATGTGTCTGCGCTGTTTTTTGCCAGTGGTAGTGAATATGCGCTACTTACAACAACTTTTTTGAATCTTAAAAGTGTGGCGACGTGCTCCAAGGTTCGATTAATTTACAGAAAAGTGGAGAGAAATTTTAACGACTGCTTCTTTTTGATCTTTGTCAATTTTTATTGCGAAAGGTTTTATTTCGGTCACGCATGTGCTTTCGAACGGCCATTTGTCATGTTGCAAGCAGCAAGCGTTTGTTATGATCTGACGTTTCTGTGAGTCCGGAATAAGGTACGTGCCTGCTGGCTGCTGCATCTGTGTGCTTCACTCGTACGCATTTCTTTCTCTCTGCATCACTTGACGTTGGTTCAAGGTTGCCGTACACAAATAATGCATAGCTAAGCGGCCATTAGAATGTCGTAGACCTTGAGTCTGTTGAGAAGTAGGATAAGTCCGATTTCGGTACAAGCTTCGATGGCAGACACTGCCTAAGTCGCGTGGAGTCCTTACGAACATCATTAACATTTTCTTCCCATATATCCAGTGTACGCGATGTATGATGGTCCCATATGTGTCGATCGCGAATCCGTGATCATTATTTTGGAATTAGAACTGCGCATTATTTCCTGGTTGCTGATGTAGACGCAGACGGAGGATACTGATATTGCTCTTGGATTATAAAGGGAAAATATTATGGTTGTAGGTCCCGCCAGTGTAACCATCATGTCCAACTGTTCCAATCCACCGACTGCCATTCCCGTCACGGTGCCTCCGGGACAATATGTTCAACAATTGATTGACGATCACGGCGTATTGCGTTCTGTTTATATCTCTAATCAGCCCTATCCGGATGGTGCGACACTGGAACCATTTCAGCATAGCTATTATGTGAGTGCGCATCTTACCTGTAATCTTCTGGTTTTTATGAGCTTTGGCATCAGACAGCACAATCATACCATTGCATTTATGATTAATCACGCATTATGCTGACTTTATGTTGCGATTTTTGCTGGCTGCGGCACACCGTGTCAGAAGATGATTGGTGCATGTCGCACCCTATCTGCTTGTTGGATAGCTCAGACGTTCTTGCCGCACATTTATCACTATTTTTATCTGGCCTCGTTTCGATAAGACCTTAAAATATTATCTGCTCGGTACGGATAGGCTGTCTTGTACATATGTGTTTGTCTGTACAGGTTCCTGCTCAAATGCAACTGCAGATGCCTATACATGCTGCAAGCTTTCCTGCTCAGTATCCCGTATCCCACGCTGTTCCCCTAACTAACGGGATGCAACAGAACGGTTATGCCACACAACCGTCGACGGTTTATCCACCAGGTAGTCAGTTTTTATTTTTGTTCTGATTTTCTCTTGAGGAGATGACTGTAGTTATGTGTTCGGCAATATCCATAGCTTTTTTCTTCTACAATTAAAAGCTTTGTTTGTTTATTGCGGTTTCTGCGAAGTTGCTGCTGGGCCAGTAGTCAACCACATCGGAGCAGAATAGAACGATGTAAAATTGGGGGCAGAACGATATAAAGTTTCTTCACAGAAGATTTTGTAAAAACGTGCAGGCATTAATAAAACGTAAAATTTTGCTCAATTGAATAACTGACTGTGCAACGTTTTTTCTTATTCACGATCGGAAATTCAAACTAAGAAATTGATAATTACTATGTTCTCCGATATACCGGTTTCTGTTGCGCCTTATTTAAAATTTGCATGTTTGTTACGTAATTTATTGTGGATGCTAAATGACAAACTTCGTGCTTGATAGTTCATTTTTTAAATTGAGCAGCTTAACATGCATTTTCGTTTCTGTCTAGATTATCATCATCACAACTATATTCAGCAACCGCAAAATCCTGCTCTATTGGATGACCGTAATTATGCTGCCCGTCAAAAGCTAAAAAAGAAATTCGAACGCAAGCGACCAATGTACAATAGTAATGGTGGCGCGGGTAACAGGCGTTATAATCAGGAATTCGACAATGACAATCAAAAGAGCAACGATAGTGGTGCCGTCCTATATGACACGGAGCATGAGAACGGTGATACGGAGGGATGTGGATCAGTCAGTCCGCCGCCGACCGTTAATGGGATGGAAAACGAAGATGATGTACTGGCCGCATTCCTTGGCACAATCAAACCTGTTATGGTACGTGACACTCGTACTCTGTGCATCGCTTTTGTACTTTGTAGTTGCTGTTAAAGTTGAGCGTTCGTAACAATTCATGTAGGTAAAATAGAAAATAATGTGTAAGCGTAGAATTTATCGGAATATTTGCTAAAGAATTAAGCCGTGTGTGTAAGAAACATCGTTTGCAATGACAGAGAGCTTGATTGTGGAAATTAAGTTGATCGCTCTCATGCAGACGTGCAGCATTTCTGGCCGATCTCGTACTCCATGGCCAAAATGGCCTGGGGACTTTTCTGTAACGACTGTGAAATGGTTGCGGTGTATTGAGCACATTGACATGGTGACTGTGGCGATTTTAATCAACAAAATGAAAACTTAGGCAGTCGTCCATTGATTGCATCGCTTTACCACGGTTTGCGCTTGATTTCAAAGTTTAACCTATGGCTTGCTCAGCATTTTGTACGTAATTATACACATATTTGTACAACAAGAATTTAAAATGTTTAAATATTTAGAACAGTCTATGACGTCGTGAAAGTAATAAAAATAATGAACAGTACGATTTTTTTCGATAATAAAACACATTTACTTATCCGCTTAAAGGCTGAAATAACGCTATTGCACCAGCCGAGCAGTTAACGTCGATGCGCGAATTTTGAAATTTTTGGCCCTGGTCAAAACTTCTGAAAACTTCGTAGCAATGATACTAAAATCAGCACTCTAAGTTGTTTCGAAATGAATTTCCTTAGAGTGCTTGCTTCGATTGTGAAGTCGGTGAAGGCGAAAGTTTGTGGTTTTTGGATATTTTTGCAGTTAAAACAAAATTCTGAGTTTTTGAATTTTTTTCATTGTGGTAACGGGCCTTCGAATCAAGCTTAAGCGATACGCTACTGCCGACACGTCTTGAAATTTTCGTTTTTATTCAAAGAGTAGTCTGTTATGATTGTAGAAAGAACTGGTTGGTTAAAACGATAACGATAATTTTTTTAGGTGGAAAACATTAAAGCCAATTCGGTTACCATAACTTGTACTCCTCTGGATTTCTCGCTATTGGATTATTCTCAGTTGGAAAAGCATGCTGATATTAAAGATGGTGATCTGGAATATTTTGTATGTTGTGGTGAAAGCGTGGATAAACAGCGGATATTCAATGCGGGTTCGGCGCCTCAGTTGACGTTACAGCTCGTGGAATTGCGTCCTAATACGGAGTATTTAGTCTGGTAAGTGTTTTTGACTGTTTGTGTTGCGTACAAGGTCAGGTGTGCACGCAATAACTTTGTTAAGAGTTATCTGCTACAGTGGTTCGATTAGTCACTTCATATTACACCGTATTTTTATTAAGTGAATTGTTGCTATATGGTGTGAGATAAGCGAAGTGTATTTTTTTACCGTTGCATAACGAAATATCTAAACTTCTTTCAGTTTTATAAAGTTAATGATGCCTTTTGGGCGATTTTTATTGGTGTTCAGTTAGCGTGGGTGGATTTCGGTAGATTTTTCATTTATTTATAGGCTTTTGTTGGGCTGGAGCAGATACTGCGTAAACTAACGTCTCGGTGTTGTTGTTTTGTTTGTTTGTGGTTTGATGAAGCGTGTATGGTTACTTCAGATTTTTCAGAGCATGGCCGTCTTGTTGATGGAACGATAAAACTTAAAGCTGAATACTGCTGTATTTTTAGTACACAAGTCGGATATGGTGATCTTAAAGGCAAGCAAAGTGAATGTAAGTTACATTTTGTACACGATGATCCATCAGTGAAATCTTGTTATCTACATGACTGCTTAATATTTGGACGATTTTCTTTATAGCTGTCACTTTTCGCACCGCTAAATCGCAACCGGAACCACCAGAAGCTCCGCGGCTTGTAGCGCGTACTAAAAACTCTCTCGCCGTCAAATGGCTGGTGAGTGTGTAATGTGTGTGAGTGTCTGTATTAAAGTTAATGAAATGGTTCACGAGTAGTACAGAGAGTAATAAAACGAACTGACCGCATTTTTATGGTGGTGACGTGTGGTTGGCGAGCCGGATGTTCTTATAAACTGCTTGTTTGTTCTCGTAGCCGTCACGATGCGATAATGGTGCGAAGATTCTGCGATATATTGTGGAACATGATCAAGGCCAGAACGACGATAGTAGCTGGATAGAATGCTATCGCGGCAACGATAAACAGTTAAAGATAACGAGATTGCAGCCCAATACAACGTACAGAATACGTGTGTACGCGGAGAATGAGCTGGGCCCCAGTGTGGCGTCACCGATCCTGGCCTTATCCACCGCTGGTGTTCCGCCACCCCAGCCAGAACCGCCACGGATTGTGGAGGTTACGGCACATCATGTCGTTTTCGAGTGGACACGCCGGCCGTGTGATGATACCTTTGTTTTACAACTGGAAGATCCAACTTCGGTGGGCTAACTGTGCGAAACGTCAAGACTGTCATTGATGTCTTATTTTGACGATTGTCCACAGGGTCATGGCTTTCTTACGACCTACAGCGGACCTGAAACGTTCTGCTCGTGTAAAGATCTGAACCGTGTTACCGACTATAAAGTGCGATTGAGTACCGAAAATTGTGAAGGAGTTAGCCCTTTTAGTAACATCGTCAGCATAACTACGCGGCCGGATTTGCCGCGTGCGCCTTCCAAGCCCTACATCAAAGGGAAAGCATCGCCAAATTCCTTTCGCGTACAATGGGGTGCGTAGATATATTTTTATTCTTGGATACACTGATACAGTGTTGTTTTATATTTTGAAGATGTTATGCATGTTTATAACGGTTGTTCTTCGAATTAAGCAATTCATATGCTTTATGTGTGTGCACGAACGTCTGAGTTAATTCGGTAATCGCTTCAATAGATCCGCCCTCGGATACCGGTGGTGAAAGTATTAGCCATTATGTGGTGGAATGCACTGGAACAGACGGCTTTCGTCTGGATCATAGTGGTCCTGAGTCGCAGCTCCTGGTGTCCAGCGTTGAGCCCGGTGAAACGTACTTCGTACGTGTACATGCCTGCAACAGTGCCGGGCAGGGCGCCTATTCTGACGTATGTATGGTCCATACGCCGCCGGTAGCACCAGGTGGCCCAGCTCCTCCTGTCCTCGTGGGAAAACCCAAAGCCACGGGTGTGACATTGCGTTGGGGTGAGCAATAGTGTACTTATTTCTAAAAATAATGTGAGTAATATTTAATTAACCGCTTGCATTTCAGATCCTCCCAAGTACACTGGAGGCGAACCCATAGCCAGTTATGAATTAAAGAAAATTATTCACTATGATGGCTATTCGCCCGAAAACGACGGTGTCGTAGTGTATTATGGTCCAGCCAAGGAGAATCACGTGGAGGGATTGAGTGCCGGGAAGGTGTATTTGTTTTTGGTTCGCGCCTACAACTCCGTGGGGGTACACGAAAATTACATTAATTACTGCTTGAAAAGGTTGCTGTAACATTTTGATGATTTACAGCCCGGTCCATGGTCGGGAGTGGCTCAAGTGGAAACTGGCGCCGGTCCCCCTGATGCACCAGAATCGTTAAGGTTACAAGCCAAGAATGCCAGCACCATCATGGCGGCGTGGAAGGAACCATGGTCGAACGGTGCACCAGTGACGGATTACAAATTAGAAATGGCTGAAGAATCTGATGAACAGTCGTTTTTACCGGTAAATGAGTGCAATGGCAATGCTATAGCTGCCTTTCCGGTATAGGTCTAAATTATAACTGCTGGAATTTAACCATGCCAAAACATTGACTCCGTTTGAAGCACAACGCAGTATAGTGTGGGAGGTATATGTTATCTGGCAGTAACGCGATGTTGTTTTTCAAAAAAATATTTAAAATCTTGCTATTCTACAATACTTATTGATAGCGGGCAGTAAAATTTCACAAATATTAACTGATTTTGTGACAGGTCTATAACGGTGCCAAAACTAGCCACGAGATCAAGAACCTAAAACCCAACACCCAGTACTTCTTCCGTCTAGCGGCATCGAATGCGGCTGGCCACGGACCATTCAGTCCGCCGTATTCCTGTTGGACACCACCTGCATGTCCCGGCAGTATCCAGAGCGATAAGGTGACCCATCTAGTCTCAGCCACTGCGATTACTATATTTTGGACGCCACCAGAGGATAACGGCAGTCCGATAACTGGCTATAAAGTGGAATTCGAGCACCAATTGCGCATTGTGGACAAGCCTGTACCGCAGTGTCTACTGGATGGCCTCCAGCCGGATACTTTGTACAAGTACGTTTAACTATCCGGTGACATATTTAGCTCCTATATCGTGTCAGCTTTTTGCTGCGGGCAGTGCTTAGTTACAGGATTTGTCAATTAGTGTGCATTTCATGTTATGGTGGCACCTTTTCCTACGAAAACGGATTTTAATCTGAAGTCGTATTACGAATGGTGTAGACACCACTTCCGTCTGCCTGTACCTGTTCAGTGGCAGGATGCCGCTTATGTGAGATAATTACCATGTCGATGTTTATCATTAGAATGTGACTTTGCAGAATAAGAATTCAGGCTACAAACGGTATTGGCGATGGCCCATTTTCTCAGCACATCCGGATTAAGACGAAGCCGGTCGTTCCCGACATTCCCAAGCTGGAAGTGGTTTCAGTCAGCCATAATAGTATTAAGGTTAAATGGACGAATGTCGTCAAGAATAACGTCGAGGTGGATTATGTGCTGGAAATGGCATTCAACAAAAAGGATGTGTAAGTTTTAAATGGTTTGTTTGAGGATTCATTATACGAATTTGCTGAAGAGATTTGAGAACTTGATTTTATTGATATTTCTGCTTATAATACTGAGTTGATTTGGGTGATCAGCTTCTGATTACACTTTCTCAAATGTAGTTTTTATCTCTTTGTTGATTTCCTGCATTTGATGTAGAGTGATCATATATATCTGCCTTTTGTAGTTTCCAGACAGTGTACCGGGGTAGCCAGACGTCTCATAAGCTAAATAAAGTACGGGAAGAGACGTTGTATTTCTTTCGAGTACGCGCCGTGAATGAGGCAGGTGATAGCCCTCAATCGGAAATTGTCGAATGTCGCACACCGAAATCGCCGCCTCCTGCCATAAAAGGTACCTAATTTATTAAATTAATGTATGCACTGACATGGTAATTACTGGTTTCGCTTTCGCCATTATAGTACCGAAAATCGTTCCGACTGACGATTGCTGTCAAGTGCAGTGGGTTAGACTTCCTCAGTGTGACGGTGAAGACATTTCCTATGTCCTTCAAGTGTCGAAATCCGGAGGAAGCTTTCTCGAGGCGAGTTCGTAAACTGAATAACGCTGAATCGGTTTTGCAATGTACAAAATACTTGAGGCGATGTAATAGGTATATACAGTTTTATTAGCCTGGAAAATTAATCTTATTGATTCACTGCGGTTGAATTTGGTAATAATTTTGGACTTTCGAAAAGCGAACTCGTGATGGCCATTTCTCCTAATAACTGTAACACGTAAAACTAATTTCGTTGTTCACAGTTGAGCAGCAGTAAGCTGATGCTGATGTGGCGTGGGAAATAGGTGATAATGTTCTTAATGGTATGTTATAGGTATACAAAGGCAGTGACAATTCGTACAAGTTCGGTAAACTGGAGCCGGGCGTGCCATATCAGTTTCGAGTGAAACCCGTCCGTGTACTGAGTGATGCTCGCAGCATTCCGGGCTCGTGGAGCCCAGTAGCCAATTACACGTTGCCCTTAGTGTCTTCCGGCGCCGGCGCTACCTCGAAGGATTCCTCCTCCGTCCCTGGAGTGAACAACTCACCTTCTTCCGTGTCATTCCCACAGCGATTATGGCGTGCCATCGATTTGAAAGACGAACGGGTGGCTATTGCGCTGGCCGGTTTCTGTATCCTTTGCTGCGTTATCATCATCTCAAGCTACATTCTCATGAGTAATTAAGGCTCTTCCCGCGCGCGCGCTGCTTGATATCAGTATCATTATTCTCTCATGGGAAGGATGGGAGGTGAGCACGTTCAGGGTGACGAATGCTTCAGTTAATCCGCCGCTTTCCGATCTGTCTGGTACACACACGGGTGCTGCATGAAGAAATAGTATGGTTTTCGACCGTTCGTTGGGAATCCAATCATAGTTTTTTCTCTGTGGTGATCTATTTTTCTTACAAATTTTTTATGGAAGTTTTTTGTATTTTTTCCCTGCAAAATGCGACGTTATTACGGTTTTTTGTATGATGGAAGTCTGGGTTGATTGCATTTGCGTTGTGTCGTTGTTGGGGAGATTGAGGAAAGAGGTTAATTATTATTAACGAATTATTTTTTTCTTTGCATAGCTTTAATTGAATTATTTTTAGTTTGAAATAAATTATTCCGCCGCACCTCTTCTTGTTCTGCGGTTCGTATTAAAATCCGGTTTCTGAGGGTGCGGAAAGATTGTTTCAGCTCGATGTCGAAAGATTGTTTGTATAAAAGTTTTCAGATGGGATCAATTCTGTGCGTTACTCTTAAATGTGGTTCGCTTGTAGGAAATGTACTCGGAAGATTTATAAGACAGATAGGTATCTGATCCACCATATCGCTTCTGAAAGTGGTGTGGTACACACGGTGGCTCCATTGTGTTGCGTTGCATATTAAAAAAAATTTTCCGGTTGACTGCAACTTGACTGGAAGATCAACAAGTGAACGAAATTCTTTCCATTTCAGAAAATGGTTTGCATTGCAGTGCATTGTTTTTTTGCAAGAGCCACTGAAAGTCGGTCTTTAAAGTTCTGACTGATTTTTTGTTTGTTTTGCTGTTCATGTTTCTTTGTATCTGTTCTGGAAAGATATATCTTGGTGCATCAAACATGTGAAGACTTTCCTTCAGTTTATTGCATACACGGTTCTAAACAAAAACAAAACATCGAAAACACACGAACTGCATGGTGCTAAATTTACAGTCGAGCAGTATACAGCTGCGAAAAAGAGAATCAATGGTGCGAGATGCTGAAAAGTGAAAACATTTTCGAGATCGCCGAAGCAGGAAAGAGAAATTATGGACGGCGCGGAGTTCGGTGCAAAGCGGGATGAATAAATACGTATTTGCTGTATTAGGAAAGATCAAGTGTATCGCTTACAAAATAAAAGCAAATAATGGAATAAAACGCATGAACTTTAGAAACTCAGTAGTCATTTTGAGCGCGGCAATTCGCTATACCGGTTATGCGAATTCTGTTAAAGGACTCTACAACACCCTCGAGTACAAAGTATTACTTTCTATGGACTCGCCACCACGTCGTATCCTTCCACACATCCAGCTCTTCCCGGTTGGGAGGCATGCGTTTGGGCCGGCTGCTGTAATACACATGCCGGCTTTCCGGTGGACCCATTTCGTAATTATGTCGTACGCGTTTCGTTGTCTTTTTCAACTTATTTTTGTATGCTGCACTGTAGCGTTTAATCACTTCTTCTTCGTCATCCGACTGGGAGAGTCGCTGGTACGAACTACCGGAACCATTGCGACGGGCTTCCTGACCTTCCAGGATCTGCAGGTCGTCCTGCGACGACATAATGTTGGCTTTCCGCCGACTGGCGGAGGAGCCATCCAGCAGACCGGCGTCCACATAAACGCCGGAGTCACTGTCATGAGGAATAAACGGTGGACTGGAAAATTGTGCATCCTAAAAAATAATCAATAAATAAACTGGCGGAACATTTTGACATTACAGCGCAGTCATAAATATTGAAACCACTTGCAGCTTGTAAAAAAAGCATTGCAAAAATATTAATAGTATTTAGCGTTACCCTTTGTAAGTTTTGCTCTGATACCGATTTTCCGTCCAATGCAACTTCCTGCTGTAGAAGCGGTTGGTTAGAGATTCCCGGCGAGCCGGTTTCGTCCCGATCGTCTCGCACAACGGTATCATTGTTCATGGCACTGCCCTCCGCTTTCAAATCGTCTTGCTCGCTGTCGCGAACACGAGTTTCTTGTTGCAGATTCTCGTAGACAAATTCTTCTCGCGGTGAGTTGTGCTCGCTCTGGATGCTCTCTTTTCGCACAGCTTCCGCTAAATGCTCGCCAGTGTCGTTACCGCGCGGCAGCGCTTCCGACCGCATTAACACACCGGAACTAGCAGGTTCACTTTCTGCGTTGTCACTACGCACAATGGTTTCCGTGAACACTTCACCATCGCCAGGTTTGTTAGCAAAGAAGTCAGCCACGTCATCGTCATCGATTGCCATCGTACGCGGCAGCGAATCCGGGCGTACAACGGTTTCGGATGCATCGTTGTCGGCGAACACTTTGTCCGTTTCCTCCGTGTCGTTTCCGTTTTGCGGGGTGGTAGCTTCGGATCGCAAGCCTTCGGTGCTGCCCATCCCATCTTCGGCTATACTAGTAGTCTCCATAATTTTGTTCATACTGTCCCGCGAATGGAATGCACTGCGCTTCTTCAACAAGGATCGCTTCTACAGATACAAAATAATAGCAGTGAATTAACCACGACCTTTGTATTAACCGAGTTCTTTAAAACATCATTAATTTTGCTAAGGTATTCCTTACTCGAGGGCTTTGCTCTAAGGATGCATTGTTATCCACGGCCAAAAGGGATTGACTTGGCTTCTGCAACGAAATCGTATTCGAGTATGAACTATGCAAACACTGGGTGACCTTTACTATTTTGCTGGTACACCAGTAATTCGTATGCAAATTCCAATACAGCAATACACAAATGTATTATACATATGCCATCATACATATACATACATTCACCATGTACATATACATTCACCATTCCTTTGATCACAACGAAATCGCTATAATAATAATTATTAGTAAACTTACCCGACTGGATGGTGTTGCATCGTCTGTGCTGTCGTTCTTCTGCAACTGGAAGCTGTCCAATGTACTCGTGCGCGAGAAGAACGGCTGCGTGCGATCCAGCATGTCATCAATGCTATCCCTTTCCCCCAGCGCACCGAATTCTTTAATAGCTATTTCTCGTTGAACTTCGGAAGGCTTACGGTCCAAACCACCATCGGGCAGATTCTGCAAAAAGCATCGTTCGTGATAGCCCATTATAATTAAGAATCTTTTCGTCAGTCTCATCTCGATCTGTACGTCTTTGTAAGTCCATAGATTTACCATTTTAATGGATTCCGCCATGATCTTCTCCTTTAACTCTTCCTTGGTGTCATACATTTCCTCGTCCGAACTGGCTTGGCGCGAATAAAACGCCGGCTGCACTTTGACAATTTCATTAATGACGTCATCATGGGCATCCGCTTCCGTTGTCGTTAGCTTCCGGTCCTTCAGCGACATTTGCGATCCCCCCAGGTTTTTTAGTTCTTCTTCTTCATTGGATTTCAGGCTTTGCCGGTCTTCCGGACTGGCTTGTCCGTTGCGCTCGGTATCTGACAGTTCCTCATCCAACGGCTCAATGGAGCTAACGTTGCCGCGCTGTTCCAGAACATAGGCCGGCTGGCGTTGGATAGATGTGATCTGGTCGCTTTGATCATCGTCATCGCTGCTTTCGTCGTCTTTGCCCTTGCCCTCCCGCTGATCTACCGATGCCTGTTGTGCCTCAATGTCTTTTAGTTGCGAAAGGTCAACTTCGCGTTCGAACTCCACGTCCGAGCTGGACTCCTTGTAGAAACGGGATGTCTGCTCCATAACATCATCGAAGCTATCCCGGAATCCCATACCTGATTAAATGTACAACCTGATTAATTATATGGCTACATGCATTGTTAACTTGTCAATGTGAGGTTTTCTTATCAACAGAAATTGTAGTTTGGTTTTGGAAGACATCTATGTATTCTTACAGTTAATAGGTTTTCTCAGCAGTAGGTCTCTGTTCTCCTATATAAGTCAGCACGCAGTAAGCGTTTTCATTACTTTGTATTGCTTTTATAAGAGTAACGTCTCCGTTATAAATTGGTGAGTAGCTGGTGCTGTGATGAGCGGGAAAAGCAATCAGCTATGATATACACGCTGCCATGTAATCAGGACTATTACCGATTTATTTTAAGACAATCATTACATACCTAGTCGACGCAGTTCATTATCATCGAAACGAGTATCCGTGCCGGCGACCGGTGAATTCATGCTATACAGCGGATCCTTGTCGTAGCTCCTATGTGGCAGTGTATCGACATCCATTCCGTCGTCTTCCATAACCAGACTCTCCGTTCGCGGGATAGCCAGCCATTCGCGTGTTTCACTGGAGGCGCGTCTAATGCTGCTCTGCGCTTCCAGGTGATACTTTCGTGCTGATAATTTAGCAGCCGCCAGTTGTTTGACCGAGTTGGAAGGAGACGGCGGCAACTCGTATTCCGTGCGCAGTAATTCCGGCTCGACACTGCCAATGCTGTCTTTATTGACCGGTCGGATTTGGTCTTCTTCCAGCATCGGTTCCGTTCGCTGTAATGTTCCTTCCTGAATTTCGGTCTTCTGCATAGGTACATCATCATCCAGTACCCTGGCTTCTGGAATATCATCTCGCACCTGGGTTTCGGATATAGTCATAAAACTGTTGGATTCTTCGGTAATCGGTTCTCCTGGTACACGTTCGGCTTCCGTTGCTTCTACACAACGTAAAAAATTAGAAAAGCGGCTTTGTAAAAGCTTCAATGAATCTTAACAGATTATCTGATACTAAGTATTAATTTATATCATATTGCTCTGCAAATAAATACGGCAAAAAATAATGAAACGGCTCGATTGTAAAAGTTTTGACCAATCGTGACCTTTACCAAGTTTTTGGGTCCGAGAGAAGGTTGATCCCTGCGAAGGGCTAAGCGCCCTCATGGATGCTTCTTCCGCTAATTCCTTCTCTGTGAAAGTTGGTACCTCCACTTCTTCCCAGGTGTCCACATCGTTGCCGCTTTTATCGACCGACTGAACTTTGGTTTCAGTGACAACTTCGCGAATAGTCTCCTTGTTCTCGACTTCTCTACTCATGTTGTCAGTTTGCGGCAGAATGCGAGAGCGGTCATTCAAGCCTTTTTCGAGATCCGGCTCCATGGCTGAGGGGGCGGGACGGGGCGCGTTGGGATCCAGAGAAGAGCCTTCCGGTTTCAGCTGTTGATAGCCGCCCACGGGTAGAGGGGCAATGGACGAATTGGGCTGCCGTGGACTGCGCTGGGCAGCTCGTATTAAGGCAACCTCAGGTGCGCTGTACTGCCTGTTATATTAAACACAGATTGCAAAATTTGTCCCATGAAATTGATTTAGGATTGTCGCCACAACAGGACAAATTCCACAATTAATTATATTAACACCTACAATGCAATACAAGTGCAATCTTTTGGTTAAGTCGGGGTCAAGTGTTTGATATACATTGTATACCTATAACACTAAATTTAGCAGCCGCTTTGCTTATAACATTCGAAGTTTACAACTACAGTTTTCTGCAAGTTTTGCATACGGCGCTTAAGATGACAATTTCACATTTCGGTAATATATAGCTTGATAGGTATGAACTGGAAATAAAGGCGAAACGACACTACGAAAACTTCCATAGGTAAGAATTAAGATTAACATTTACTGCAAAATTAAAGGGCAAACTTACTCTTCTTTGCCACAATTCCGACAGCAACAGTATATCATGCAGGCAAGGAGAAACAGGACGAGCAGGCAAGCGAGGATAATAGCAATAATCAGTAATATGACTGCAAAAGTGAAAACAGCGTAAAATACACGTTGGTTACTTGTTATATTGTCCTGGAGGATACGATGCGATACGATTTCCTACTATTAAGTAAGATCCTCTGCATATCGCTTTAGACTGCGTACAATTAACTAAAGGTCATTTTGACTCTTGGGTAGCCCCAAAACGTTACTTACAATACGTTTTATATAGGCAAAGATTGGCGAAAACGAAATTTTCCGGCGGGCATCTGCAAATATAGACGATTGTCGTCATCAACCTTAATAAAAGAAAGAATGACATGAAATTTATCTTACGTAATGATGGTTAAGTTGACAGGGACGCTGGCCGCAATAAGGGATGAATTCACACAATTCCTCCCAGGAAATGCCGGATTCGTATCGGTGTATCCAGGCCGGCATACGCAAGTAAAAGCGCCGAAAGTGTTCTGGCAATTAGCATTTACGCCGCAGGCCATTTGGTTAATATCGCATTCATTAATATCTGTAAAGACTTGAGATAATTTTGATTCGGTGCAGGTAAAAACTGCGCTGCCGTTGTGATATCGACAGTCTTTTGTGCCTCTACTCGTATAAGTGGAGCGGAAGAGGTCAGGATTTACGTGTTTCCTTTTGGTATTTTCGACCTGACCATTAATGACGCACGCATTAATTTACTTAGACCGGGATTGTATCCCAGGGCATCTATGATTCTGCACGACGTTCAACTATTAATTTTATGAATCAAAACAGGTAGTTTCTACATTTACAAAAGCCATGATTTTTGTACGTATATAGTCCGTTTTCATACGCAGCCAATCTCGGCATGTATCTTACCCCCAACAGAGGGCGGCTGAAAAAAGGTTTGAGTTCTCCCCGATGCGTCCGGCGGAGCCAGACGCACTTTGAGCCCACCGGCATCTCCTCCAACGGCGCCTTGGTTGTTGTTTAGCGCGGTACCCAGCGCCGTGGCCAGTTCCGTTGGCAAAACGTTATCGTCGCGTGCAGGTACGAAAGACAGGCCGACGTTCGTCACCACACTTCCGGGGGAAAAGCTGCGGGGGTTACACGAACCGGGACTATACTGGCCAGCTGATAAGCCGGATTTGTTCAGTAACTGCTCCATCTGTAATGTTACATCATGGTCACACAACGCCTTTCGTTCACGTACGCAAATACATATGCACTACAATATAGTTCTCCTGCAACTGCATTCTGTTGATAGCAGTAATTTATTTCGGCATTTCTCTACACTGTCGGTTTCAGTTCTTTTATGCCAGTACTTGAGCAAGGTCTGGCTGATTGTTAAAATTTAATATCATATATGCATATTACTGTACAAAATAGCGAAATGCAAATATTTATATTTATGCAGACATAATACTCTGTACTTACTTGATAGCACACAACGACCGCTAACTGTTGAGTGGTGGGATTTGAGAAATTAAACATGTAGGACTGAAATAGCAACGGTTTCCCGCACAATTCAGCCATAGTTAGTCCAACGCTGTACTGGACGGATGCTAAAAAGTAAAAACACGCATACATATTTTAACAGTGACTTTGATTATCATAATGGTGTAACAATCGCGTGGTGCCCACCTTGGCATTTTCCTGTAATAGACGTGCGAGTTGAGCCCGCCAGGCAATCACACCGGCCCGCCACACTATTGCACCGCTCCGTTGCATTGACATCGCAGCTCTTATCACAGCTCTTAATATTTTGCTGCAGAGTGGCGTAGGCTTTTCTGAATAATTCTGGAAAGCAAGGGTACATGACTTCAAATTGGATGCCGGTATCGTTGACAACCACCGGACTGTCGGTAACGGTCCGCTGTGGTCCGGTGGGAAAATTCAAGAATACCCCCGTTGGATAGGTTAATGGATTAATTTGCGGAGGCAGCGTGCTAGTCTGTATGGACGGTGGCGACGAATTTGTCGAGCTTATTTGCGGACGGTTTGAACTTGAGGTGTTTACGGCAAGCGTGGGCGGTTTTGTTGTTGGGGAGAGTGTGGTGAACGCGACTGTTGTTCCCATAGAACTGCCGGTCCCGGCATCCATCTCGTCAGATCGGGAGCTCGGAGCGGTTGGTCGTGCTGAGTTGTGAATATCCGTCATACTGCCGCGCGTAATACCATTACCAACAGTATTATTATTATTGCCGCTGGTATTATTGCCCAAAGAAATACTACTGGCATTGCGTCGCAGCGTGGAAAGGTTTAAAAACACGGGAATGATTGTGTTATTATTACTGCCGCCATGGTCGGCTATCGCTAGCGCTACGGTTGTGGTTTCTGGTAGTATCAGAGGTTCATTCATCCGAACACCGCCGGTCGTCATCGGCGACAAGGACGACATCCGCACTGTGTTACTGTTTGACGCAACATTGCTAGCTGAACTTTTTACTGTACTAGATTCCAGGATGCTGGTGACCTTTGTCGGTGTACCGGCTTCCTGGATTGCATTTGCGGCTGCATTCGGTGAAAGAGGGTGCGATGTACCAGCGATACTTGTAATGGTGTCATTGTCTATTTCGGTGCCGGTCGTATCCTTTGTGTACGTGGTTGGGAGTGTCAGTGTGGTCAGGGTCGGTCGCGAAGGTCGGTAGATGGTGAAATAGTCCGGCTGTGGTGGCACGGGACGGCTTGTAGTGGAGGGCGTTGTTTCTGGCAAGCTGCCATTTCTATAGCGTGATGTCGTAGTAGTCCCGGTGGGTAATGTGGTCATTGTGGTGTCGGTGACATCGGTAATATTGGCAGTCAGCCCGATTCCCGTTAACGTCATACCTCGGACAGTCGACCCATTGATCACGCTGTTAATGTAGTCTGCAATTGTAGTGTTACTGTTCACCGCAGAGGAATTTGCAGATGAAAATGGCGGTACATTTGAAATGGTTAGACCGGCAATGTTGAATCGGGATGCGGTTACTGTTGTAGTGTCTAAATGTTGCTCGTTAGACTGTGGGGTAACAATTTCAATTCCACTCTGTGGCCTTCCCTGTGTGGACATCGTTGACCGAGATACCGATATCGACGGTGTGGGCAATGTAGAAATTACTAAAGTTTGTTGTCTTCCGCCAGTACTTGAAGTGACTGAGGGGGTAAGGTTGGTGCGATTGGTCGATGACGAGGATTCAATGCCACCCTGCTTTGCTGGCGCATTGGAAATGTTTGAGAAAATCTGGTTGGTTGCGAGAGAATCCAGTGGGACGTTCCCTATGGGATTACTTGTGGTAGAAGATGATTGAGCTTTGAACCGACTTAATGCATCCAAGACAGCCTGCCAGTCACGATCACTGCTTGTTCCCGCTTTTTGTGAATTCTGATTGTTGGTTGCAGCCGACGAGTTTGGTGACCTTTCATTATGTGCGCTGTTAATCTGACTGGTGTTGGATTTATCTGATCTGGTATTAATTTGGCTGCTCGGACTGAACACTCCCGCAATAGTCGCACCTGGACGGAACTGGGAGACCCCTGCATTGGATTCGTTGGTGTTAGGGTTTGCCGTATTACGTTGTTGAAGGTCAACCCGGTCGTCCACAGATGGCAGGGACAGATTGCTGTGATTACTGCTGTTGTACGTGCGACTGACGGATCGGTTAGGATCGCGGCCTGTTTCACACAATGAAGAAAACTTGCTTTACTTTCCAAAATGTAGCTTATAAGTTAATACAAGACACAAACGCCGGCGTGAAACCAAACGAATATGTTCTAGAAGTACTTGAATTTTACTGCATGCGTTAGTGCAATTTTGCCAACAGCAAACTTTTTAAATACATAAACAAATTATTTACGCATTTACATAATTAAGAAACTGTCAATATTAATCATCAAAATGCTGGTCAGTTCTTCGAAAGATTTAGCTTGAACGGGCAATTGCATTCATTGTTTAAACACTTGATATTAATCAGTTAAACTGTATTTAACAGCAACGTACTACATCGCTAATAATATAAACTCACCGCAACTCATATTTTTTGGATTGTCGTTTTTTGGAGTTTATATATCTCTAAAAATTACGGTTCATATGCGCGCATTATTTCTCAGAGGTGTCATATATAAATAATATAACCATTGACGGCCACTTAATGGCGTTACAAAAAAGGTAATTAATTCAGTAAATTAGATAAATACAATTAAGCGCTACTTATAAGATGTACCTTCCGATTGTTGCGCAGCGTTTTCAGTAGGGCCGAGAGTTACAAACTCAGGACGAATGCAGTCCTCACAGTTAGGAAGGACAACGTAGGGATTTGATTGATTCAAGTAATTGCTTAATGGGCTTAATCCTGAATTACTGGAGCGTACGCTCCATGTTGAGCCTCCGGGGTATACGAGGATATCAACGGATGCCGGCAGATTACTGGCGTTCAAACTGGCCTATAACATCATAAACCATCATACATGCACACGTATAACTGGATTACTGACAATTGTTTATAGCCAATTTAGCTTCCTTTCAATTATCGTTTCCAGCGGTATGTAAGTACCGTGCAACATTGCAGTGACTTGTACCAAATGCGTAAGAAAATTGACTAAACTAGTTTCGTACCGTAGAGATAACGGAGAAGAGCCCGAACTGAAGTATTTCTATTAATAATAGTCGCATGGTACCGTTGTGAATACTTCGCCGACTGCTGTACATAATACTGTGAGATATGCACAGGCCAACCGGGTAGTATGAAGTGCCAGTACAATTAATAATGGAAACTTTCTACACTACAGATCATGCTGGTCCGGAATAAGGCAAACTGTGCGCAAAAATTATTCAAAATTTGAAAATTGACAGTATGCGTAAGAAAATAGAAGAGCTCGCATGTGCGCACTGACATTGGCAACGCTGCTATATAGCTATCGCAGCCGATCATCTGATGCACAATGTCTGCATGCGCATGGATGGAAAAATGAACGCGCAACATGTCAGGAGGTGAACATACAAGAATCTCCTGCCCTTTACCACCTCTCCCGAATCAATTGAGATAAACAATTGCAGAGATTTGCCTATTTATTTTCCATTCATAGTATTGATTGCGAGATGGCCACACGATGCGCTGCGTAATGATCTGGGAGGGCGGTGAATAATTCATGGCTGTTGGCTTATGTAACTGCAGATAGCCGTAGCAAATGGCTTTTAAAGGGATAATGGGGTATAATCATAAAATTGCATTTAATAACGTATTTCCTCCCCTATTATGTGCGTTTTTACATAAATTCAAGTCTGAAAGAGAGATCTCATTAATAAACGCGAACACCAACTGACACGAGCGATGGTCCATGCAAAACATTTTAAATATAGCTCGATCTCTAATATTATGACCTTTTCCCTGTACGTCTAGTTCGTCCACGTCTACCTCTCTCTACTTGTAATCTAATTTCGTTAATTTATGGCTATGTTTCAAGAATTTTAAAAAAAATAGCCATATTGTTTCTGTTTTCAAATTCGTATCCTCGTTTCAAGACCGGCAATCTGTACGAACAACAGCCAGTTCGCAAACAGTGTTCGAGTGTGACATTTACGGGGGTAGCACCTAGTATTTGGCTCGCTCTTCCATTCTCGGTTATATGGGACTGAATCTGCTTACGATCACTATACCGCAGTTGTTATCTGATTATACAGAGTATAGCCTAGATTGTCGATTTTATTTTTATTGAAATACGTACTCTTAATGCATTGGCAGCATTAACTGGAGTTCCGGTGAACCCATCCATTCGAATAAGATCGTCGATGACCTTCTGTGACAGCGCGGAGAGATTTGATGGTACTGAAAAACAAATGCGAAGTTTACTAACCTTATCACCTAGAGTAGCGAAACTGATAACTTAAAAAACCAGCTGCAGGCACACCACGTTTTCTTATTAGAACACCCTCATTAATATTGGGAGTAAAATGATTATTTTTTAATACATATCTAAAAAAAATCAATTATTTCCGATCTTTGATTACAACGCGGGCAATCGCAATCACTGCGAAAGTTGTTATTCTTATTGTTTTTTACACTCTGAATTCTTACAAAACAGTCTTAAGCACTTGACTTCCTGCATGTTGCATTCCTAAAACTTCGATGCTTTTACCTGCCCAGTGCGCACTACTTGCGCGTGCAAGCCTTCAACGATCACTTAAACGTAAAAAGCGTTATAATGTTCCGGGACTTACTTATCACGCAGGTATTCCCATCCCAAAAATATCCACCGTTGCACTTGCAAATATATCCCGGTGCCGTATCCGTACAATCAGCATGATCACCGCACTGAAAGCGCGGCCAGTCAACCGCGAAGGAGCATTCATCAATAAATTCCGGCACTTCATCCGACCCATCGCCACAGTCCTCATGTCCATCCAAGAGTTTCTCGGGACGAATACACGCACCGCGATTAGCGCACAGAAACATTCGGACCGGCGCATTCAGGCAGCTTATAGGGAGCGTCGTGTTGGCAGTGATCTTATACGCCATCAGAGCGCCTCCTGTGGCGTTCCAGATCTTTATCGGCGTGATAATGCTACCCGGTGCCCAGGCCGTCACGTGGTCCTCTGGATTGCTCAACGATCCCGGTTTGCGGGATGTTGATTGCGTTGGCATATAACCGAACATCGCGCCGTCTTCCGTTACTCCATTGAAACCTTTCAAAAAGAAATCTGAATAAACTTTTTCGATTACGACTTCAATGTTCCGCAAAATTTATGTACCACAAGAAACTGTAAAATTACTCTGTATCAAGTTATCAACAGAGCATTTAATTGTACAAATAATAGTTAATTTAACGTGCAACAGCAGCGGTTACACTTTCAGCTGCCCTTTTCGTTGAAAAATAAAACGTTTTCCATAAGCGCCCGATAAACGTGAAATGTAGAGATAAAACACTGCAGCTGTGTTACAAGGTCGATTATTTATAATTAATCTCAGAGTATACACCTCTGGAATTGTTTGCAGCAGGAAACTGCGGAATTGTAAGCACAAGATTGTACCTTGAGATGCTTGTAGATCCGTAAGTTTCGATTTGCTCGCGTCACTTTGCTCGTAGTTGACAGAGTACGGCGTTGAAGTATTTATCACCAGTTGTTTATCCTTCGATGTTGTCACAACAAATTTGGGCAGTTTTTCGAGGAATTCAGCCACGTGTCGATACTGGGAAGTCGCCGCATTTTCATCCACACCGGCTTCTGTCGTATTGGCGAGCTCCACTGTCACCCAACCTGTCCCATTAGCAGGCGAATTAGCATGCGTAGTAGGTATGAAATTAGCGGGTAAATTGCTTAAGATTTGCAGTTGTGGTGGTGTCGATGGTCGAACAGCGCTGGCACGATCCACGCTGCCATTGGCGAATAGTCCTAAGCACCATACTTGACCCGACTCATTGATCATTAGCGATCGACTGCGACAAACAATGCGCGCACTCGGTACAATTTGAATCAGGCCGGCGGTTGTGGTGTGTTTTTTACTACTGGCCGCCGGTGAATCTGACTCCTCAATGTTGCGGTATTCTCTAACGGTGACCTTTGACGGATGCCGGCTGGTAAGACGAGCGCCCCACAAAGCACTGGCTGATATCGAGGCATTACCTTCGTTTTCCGGTTGCGCCAGCAGCCGCGGTGTAGTCCTTTCAAGTACGTTTGTGCCCAAGTCATGCAGAGAAGTGGCGTTTATGTAATGATCCATGGCAGCGGTGGTGTCGGTGCGCCATGTTTGGATAATTAGTGGTTTGGCTGATGTGACGAACTGCGGCATGTTGAGCGGCGCGGGCTGACAGGTTTCCCCCGGGCCAAAATACCCACTACGACACCGGCACGCGTAACCGTCCGGCTGCGGGATACAGTCGGCGTAGGCTGAACAGCGAAAATCCGGGAAATATGGTGCATAATCACAGATATTGACGCCGGATGATTCGTCTGATCCGTCCGGACAATCCTTGATGCCGTCGTGCACGCGCTCCGGCGGTATACAGCCGTTGTCGGCCACGCAGTGGAATGCGTGGGGATAAATAAGGCAATTGAAGCTTGTTATTCGATTGAATAGACGAGGTGGATCGCGCAATTGAGCAAGACCTATCAACAAACAGGTGAATCATACCACAGGCACAGTATATACTTTTCATGATCCAAACTCCAAAGCCTCAAATATTGCAGTTACAGTATACTGGATATGGTTACGCATGAGGAAGCCTACTACCGTAATTATAATATTGGTGGTGTGCAAGACGCAAACATATTCGGATTCGTACTATCAGAGATTACGTTATTGATTCCAATTTGTGATTTCTATTAAACTTAAAAAATCCACATCTTTCTCGCTCTTTGCGAATGAGTTTGTCATCTTTGCCCTGATGTAAAAAAGCGGAGTACTCGCATAGTTTTTAGCGAGAAACGGTGCACTTATTTATCACTTTAACTTCCGGGCTCTCTTAAATAAATTCTAGCAAATATATAAATATCTCTTCTAATTCTTTTTATTACAAAATACTAATGCTTATGCTTTCACGAAGATATAGTACGAATAATGCCGATCAGTGATTTAACTGAAGAATGCGAAACAATTTACATCATGAAAATGATTAAATTTATATATGGGCTGGAGCAGCGCGCTACAACGATTTGCATAAGCTGCTTTCGCAGCGTCTTTAATAATTTATATTTCAATGGCCACTAATTAGGTAAGTACGAATGTACGGACTTCTATATTTTGAAAAACAGAAGCATGTATGGTTCTTAAATTCTTATTAGAGAATTAAATCGCAGGGCGAAGCTAGGGCAATCGATTTGGTTCACGATATCAGGCCAACGAACGGTGATTGCGCAATTTGAAGGGCACTTTTAAAGGATAAGTTTAGGACAAACAACTGACGCATATTTTCGCTGTTGTTTTTTTATTTCTTAAAATTAATAATGTTTTGAGTTATTCGTCATATTGAAATTTTGCCGCAGGTCAGGCGTTGAGCAAATCTTTTTTGTTCGCATTGACGCCGGTGCAAGTGATAAAAGCGGATTGCCCGAGCTCTGCCTTCTTCTCGCATCTGTAATTCTGCATTAGATGTGTAAATTAATACGTCTGCGGATACACTGTAATAATAGCCTGATTTTGGATATTAGATAATCCGATAAAGTTGTATATAAGCAAAGGATTCTTCAATAATATTTTCGTTAGCTCTCTTGCTATCGTTCTTTTTTTGCTACCGGGTTGACCAACGCCTTGGAGTACTAGTTTGCAGAAATGCCAGCAATTAAACATAGCAGCCATTTTAAAGTACCACTTCAACTGTCCACTTCACTTTTTCTGATTGAGATGTGTAACCCACATCCACACGATTTTCCCGTAATTTGCTCATTACTGCCATTATCGCCCCCAGCTAGTAAGTACTGCATGATATGAATACTGACGTATGCATGACTTCACTTCACCGGAGGCTATATGCGTACGTAATCATTACAAAAACAGTTATAATTTAATTTTATTTAGGCTGTTATTTACTCTAATTATATCCAATACGATACATAACGAAATACAAAAACCAACTCTTTATTCTGACGTCCTGTCTAACGAAAGTTTCCCTATTAAATAACTGTTTAAGGAAATGCATGCAAATATATTAAAAGGTGGACACATTTGCTGGAGTACAACTACAAATAAATAAGCAAAACTCAAGCAAAAAATTCCGCAAAAGTTTTCAAGCATCCATCAGCAGAAAGTTTTATAATTTTTTACTGCATATGGTATATGCAGTAAGTATTGTAAGTAGGGCAACTTATGACTGCGAGTTTCCGGTAAAGAGTAGCGATACATATTGCCTGCTCGCTTAGCGCTTATTAAAATATTGCTATATTTTGGCAAATAGATCTCGGAATACATCCTACGCACCTGTCCCGGTGAGCAAGGATTCCAAAATGATTGCGATAATTACACAGCGATCCATAGATAATTGTGCCAGCATACGATTGACGACCACCGTCAGCTACATATCCACATACTGCCGTATCTTCCTTGTGGTTTATAATTAGCCAAGAACAAACTTTTCCAGGTAGACAAATTATACTTTCCAGCCTTCCCGCGTCTCACTTTTCCCAAGATAAATTTTGCAACAGCGGTAGACCCCGATCGATCAGTACACATTACGAAGGTTTTATTATATTATCACTGTGTTAGATAACACGTACTGTAGGTAATTATGTCCCATCACAGCAAGAAACTTATTGTGCTTAAATCACTTATATCATGAGTATGTGGTGAAAGACGCTGTTTGCTGGGAAGGACCAGGCGGACAGGTAGGTGATATGATCCATAATTTTATTTTCCGTGCGGTGATCTCACCATGTTTGTGGATAAAAACCCAATCGGTGAACTTGATTGAGCCTGGGTGCAGATGCGGAAACGACGTCCCTTTACACAGACCCCGACCTGCCTAACGTAAGCGCATATCCACCATACCGGCTAAAAGGGTTAGCGTTTGTATCAACAGTGGGAAAGGTTCACGGACGTGACGATCATAACTACGTTGTTCAGGGGATGAATACCGGCATTGAAAGGTGCGCGAATATTGATAAAAACGCCAGCCGATCGAAGGACTCTAAGGTGCACATGCAGGGATGAGGGAGAGCGTTACGTGGGCCTTCATCAAATCTTTATACGCCAGTTATATCAACGCATACTGAGCGCAGCAGCAGGCAGCTGTACCTGCTCACCGGATCATTCAAAGATTCTGTTTGACGATGGCACGCACCCACTGACAAGGATGATGGCTCGCTGTTTAGCCTTCGATTTATGCTCTGGCTTTGTTAAGAGAATTGCTATCCCGCTTATCATGAGTACCGCGCTGGCGCTTGTGCTGGACTATATATATACTTATGCGGCGTATATATGGCCCCATGATGCGTAATGTGCATGCGTCTGCATATAAGGCCAACGATGCATTACGCAGCCACAGCCTGTCGATAAAATGTTATGGTTTGAAATAATTCATGGTGAATAAAAGTGGATGCTGTACGTTGGTAAAACAATGTGCTTCCGGAAAATATTGATTTCGGATAAGGTAGCTCTGTAAATACACTGAAAGGGTTGTGCGGCACTGCGGTAATCGTAACTGGAGATATCTACATACAACTGATACAAGTATTGTTATGGGCTGTTTGTGGTTAGGCGCAAGGATCTTCATAACAGTTACTAACTTTGCATTAATATTTGCGTACATCACGGAGAGAGTTTTAACCTGCATAATGTTGAGTTAATACAAACTTTTATCACCCTTTCTAGGAAAATTTTGTCAAACGCATGCATAACCAAAGTTGTACTGCAGTTTTGTGCCTGGAAGCTCTTTACTAATTCAAATTCAAATGAACAGTTACAATGAGCGCAAACGAAAAACTTTTAATTTCTGGTACTATTAGGTGTACCAAAACAAACGAGCCAGATGAGGAAGAACACATGCGCGAGATGCGCCAAAAAATTTTGATAATATTAATGTTGGCAAAGCCTTATATTTATAAAAATGTTACGTAGCTTTGAACTACAGTACATATCTGTAGCTTGCCGATATCTTTACAGTTCGACTTTCTTAATGTTAAAAACTGGACATTAAAAATATATTAATCTTGTATCTGCGATATGCGGATAATGATGCTCAAATTTTAATCAGTCGTTTCTGAAACTATTTTAACGAATCGAAGACAAATCAAACGAATGAAAGATAAATTTTAAGTATCGAACTACAACATGATATGATCAACCCGGTCTAGCAAAGCCAGCCTAATTATAATTATTAACCTGACTGCTTAATTATTTTGCAGCAGATTAAGCATGAAAATTCCCTTACCAATTTTTGGACTACTGTACAGTTTAATGTCCGACAACCCCAACGACCAAATTTGAAAATTCAATAAAAAATAATGTTAACAGCTTTCACTCTTAAGAAGGTAAGGGTTGATTTTTTCACCCCTTCCAGATCAGTCTAATGAGTGCGTAACATCGACTGTAAATCTGATCACTTGTATACGTAAGTTATAATAGCACCCATGTCAATTAACAGCAAAGTAATAGTGCCATCGTTCTTCATATAAAACAACTCAGTGCGAAGAAAGTTACTACTGTTCTTCGGATCCGGACTGGATCGGATGTGAATGCCACGCTGGTCGTTCACTGTCGTTACCGGAGTCCGCACTGCAGGCTAATCGTTTCTGGCATACTCCCTGAAATATGACAGCAAAATTATGCGCTTAGATTTTACATCTGACAAGGAGCGCAAGACGGATATGTATGCTACTACTAACATAGTGTACAGATACCTAACGTAATAAACATCTGCATATTTCTAGCCTAAATTTGTTTAACCATCATTTAAAAAGTAAGTGAATCAGGGTACAAGCCGGTGTTAATTAACATTGCGTATTGCTGTACAAGCTTGTTGGGAAAAGGTCATGTATTGGGTACTGAATAATTGTACCTCGCAGCATCCAATGAGAGAATGCAAATCCTGACCAATTCGGCACTTGGAACCTTGGCAGCTGTAGCAATCCCTATCTTCTTGGCATTCTACGACATTTAAAGTTTGGAAACAATTGAATTTTAGAGCAATAAACCTTTGTGCACACGAATCAGTTACTGCATATTACATATTAATTACTGCATACTGCATATTAGATTTAATTAGGTGTCACAGTCACGTCACTGCATAAAATTAACAACACGTACTCAGCCAGCAACGCTTTCCCGGCACGGAAGTTCGCTTTTCTTGGCATTTGAAAGAGAGGTCACTCACTCCTTGGAGGCAATCAGATTCGGAGTTGCACGGCTGGAATGGAATGCACGTGTAGAGACCGTTCAAAATTCAAACAACTAGTTTCAGGCTTTAACAATGGCAGTTGTGATACGGCTGCTGATAAAATATATAATGTGTACAAATTAATCTAACAGTAAAACTGGTAAGCCGACACTTCTCGCAGTCTTTCACCCGAAATTACAAAAAAACTTACTTTTGGACCAGAAAATTGGCAGACATCATTGTGGCATCGATACAAAGAGCGGCAATCGGAATCGCTGGAGCAAGTGCCATCTGCAATACAGTTTGTCGATGGAACAAACTAATGATTATAAATATCTATATATATTTCTCGACGCCCTACAAAATACAGTTTGTAAACCTTCTGTAAAAAGTGAAGGTAATATTGCAATAAAAATTAATCCCAAAGATAAATGTGTTTTTACAATCATAATATCACTAAATTCCATAAATTTTCCCACTCAGCTTTTTCGTAACTGTTGCTTTTTCACAAAACATGTACTTACCGAGGATACGCAAGTTTTAGAAACTAGAACGAAACGCACTAAAACAGTTTTTATTGAATTTTTGTGACTCGCACAACACCCATTAAGATCCAAAATCTCATAAGAGAGTATTGAAAAACATCGACACCGATCATTTTTGTTTAAAATGCACACCAGCAACCATAATTATAACAATAACAAACACCAACATCAGAATCATAAAACCTAAATACGCCAAAATTTAATTTCTTCGATGTAAGACATTTTGCACGCAGGTGCATTTAATTGAACACTGAATACATCAGTACAGCAGTACATACACATAATTTCCAGTTAATAACTACTAACAGGAATACCAGCGTTATCTTGTATTAATACACCAAGAATAACTTTGTCAAAAAGTTTTCAGCGAATGCCTGTTTTACAGTAAAAGCTTTAATTTTGAAAGCCGGACAGTTATCAGTAATTACCATGGCTTTTCTCTATTTTACAGCCTCAAATGGCCAACTTTAAATATGCTAAGTGTTATAGAAAATTTTTCCTATGGACAATAACTAACGCGAAAATATTTACTAACATGCGTGCAACTTACAAGTAAGTTCCATGGTTGGCGCTCCACGCGGCTTGCAGAGTCGCAGTTTGGTGTCGCACACCGGTGCTTGCAGGTCGTGTTCGCAGTCCCGATCCTTGCTGCAGTACTGCATAGCATTTCCATGGCTGGTCAGAAGCTTCACAACGGCATCCTTCGCGCCGGTGGAATAATCCCCATGGTTCTTGCTCCACTCTTTGTCCAGCTTCGCGCAAAAGGCAATGCCCACCGACACCAACAACGACAGAAGGATCTTCATTTTCCACCACTGTTTTGGAATCTACGTTATATTCGGGTTATTCAACTACGTTCAAATTAGTATGAACCGTTCGTGTCACAAACCGAAATAACAGCAGAAGCCATGCCAAACAGAAGGTTATGTACTTTATTAACGATTTAGCCGATCGCTTGGCGTGGACTTTGAGCCCAGCAAAAAATTAGCATTGTTTTCGGTCATTTGCTAATTGAGGTGATATACTCACTAACAATTCGCTTTACTATTTCGCGGGGGAGAAGGCAAAAACTGTATCGCGACGTTCCAGTTTGCAAATAAAAACACGGACCACATTAAGAACGTCGGCGGCAGCTGTGCGGAGAAGATGACGAAGTGGGACTGGATAAAACATACAAGACAGACCTTTCAACTTTCGGCTTTGCGTTGCACCTACATAAATAGTTCAAACGACTACGCTTGTCCACCGGTTTCAATGCAGATGTTACGGAGAGAAAACTAAAAGAACTTTAGACATTCTGTTCAAATGTAACTGAAAGGTCACTGTCACTGTAAATTGTAAAGCTGAATCATGGACCAGCATTTCAAAACGCAGGCACACCGTCAAAAAACCACTCAATCGTAATTTTCCAGGAAAAGAAAAAAAATTCCACTATCGGACATACCGAGTATAAGAATTTCAGCGACGATTCACCGGACGATTGGGTACTGTACAGTAGTAGTTGAGTTGAGAGTCTGAGACTGATAAATTGGTCCAAATTATTATTGCTGGTTTGTTCTTGCATATTGTAACATAAGAACAGCTGCAGCTCCACCGATCTGATTTAAACTCACAACCGGACAATTCACGGCGGACAACTGTATGAGTATTAAGATATTCCGTGGAGATGTTAGCATTTCCGGAAAAAAATGTTGGTTGTTTAAGGGTAAATTATGTCGCAGAAGTAATTGCGCAAATTTTATTTACCTGCATATTTATTTTTTATCATCTTGAAAACACTTCAGCAGCACATGAATTATACTTTGCACGAAAACAAGAAAAGCTAACAACAGCATAAAATGTCACAAAAATTTAAGGCTATCTTTTCTATCACAAACAGATCGGTTGGGTTTGTCACCGTTCAGTTTTTGTCAAATAATTTTTAAAAAATTCATACACAGACCAGGAGACGGCTGTTGAGGGCATCTGATAAATTACCCGGGCCTGCAATCCCTGGAAGAAGCCCCACATTCCCCTGTGCGCATAGATGGTGCTCAGCGCGCCCAACAAGCCTTTGATCACCGTCCCGTTCACTCGCACATTCCCCACCCCACCGGCAGCATCCACGCGCTTCTTCATCAGCTCCTGCGTATTCAATAGGGTCTTGCACACATCCAGTGGCGTTGTAAGGGCAGCGGCGGCGCCTCCCGCAATGGCACCGGAAACGACATGGGTGGCCGGTGAATACTGCCGCGAATGATTTAATACATCCTGTGACGATTCATAGATGACGAAATGGGAAGCTTGAAAGGGAATGTTCATGACCAGCTGCGTAGTGTAGCTGCGGTAGAAGGCTTTCAGTCCTTCGGATCGATACATGGACACCATGCACTGGAAAGTGTTCCGGTACGGAGAATTACGCATTTGCATGCGATTCTTCACGGTGTCCGCGGGTGTCATGATGGAGTCGTGGAGGAGCGTGGCAACGGCGCCAGCGCATGCCACGGCCGCGGAGCCATGCAGTATGGAAAACGAGTCGAACAGACGCTTCAGGCGTTCGTAACAGGCAAAATACAGTGCGTGCGCGGGTCCAGCGCCAGCGACCATGGCGGACATCCCGCGTAGAGGCCGAAATAGACCTTCCTCGCGAACAATCAGGTGGAGGGTCTAGAATCACCAGGTTTTCAAGTGCATAAATAAACACAGCTGAATAAACTGATTTTCGAACCTGAAACGGTCCGCCATTCCTCGTCACACTGGTTATGCTCTGCATCCTGGTCTACGATGGACAAAAACAATTTTATCCGCTATTTTCTTGCTGTTTTGCCATCCTGTCTCTTTACCTTCACAGAATCGATGGGGAACATAATGCTGTGCTCCATAATGCCGGCCAGCGAACCAGCTGCCATATATGTAACCATGGGCAAACCTTCCGGCAAGGACTCGTAGTCATCATCCTCCATCTCCAAAATCCGGCATACTCCGAAATAACGGAAGGTTTAGAACTAGCCACGCACTCACTACTTCGGAGACTTGCGATATCACAGCGATTCAAAAAGCTCTAATGTTAAAACAATAAAGAAGTACAGGAACATGCAGTGGGAAGCATCTGATGTATACTCCAGGCAGTATAATGTATGGCAGGCATAAAATATTCGAGAAATGCAAAGATGCAGGACAATCAAATGGTCTGTAGAATCCTAGCGAAGAGCAATCGCTCGAAAGAATCAGAAATGGAAATTTGTACCCTCTCCACAAGGTACAATGACAAAATCTTGTGGAAATAATGAGTAAATGTTGACGCAAGCAAAATCATAATGGCTAATGCGATCGTAATCTGGCAAACAGCAAAAAGTAAAAAATTTGTAAAAGTAAACAAGAAACAAAATTATTACTCGTAGAGAAGACCGTTTTGCGCTGTGCCGGCTGCATAGTAAACGATCGGTTGTAAAATGGAAGCCCGACGGTCTTAGACTGTGAGCGCCGTACGGCACGTCGGCACGACGCGCTGTATGAACTTATTATACTTTCAAGTCGGTCTCATACTGGTCGGTCGGTATTTCGAAATTTGGCCAGTCTTTTTTCGATCAACATGCAGTTTAATTTCAGTGTTGAACTGTTGATGTACCGCGTAGCGAGTACAAGTACTTACGAATTATGATTATTTTTAATAGTTTTTGTGTCAAATAAAATCCTAAACTGTCACAACCGTCTTTTATGTTTTAGGATAGCTTTCGAGCATTGCTGCTGTACTGTTAGCTGGAGTTAACAACAAATCGGTTATTAAGAAACGTAACCATTAACCAGTTATGTATTGTAGATCGTGACGTTTGTTAATCAGTGCGCAATTGCGGATGCTAGTCCGTTCTTAACTGTTCCGTCCTCGTATTATTTGGATTTCCGACAGCCACTTATCTGTACATCCAGTTCCCTCGTTCCGTCGCATACTACGTTGATTTGTGTACTGTGGAAGTAAATATGCACCTATACAGCTTCACTCTTCAGCGACCTACGGGTATAAACTGTGCGGTTCATGGTAACTTCACGGGAGGCAAGCACCAAGAGATCGTTCTCAGTCGCGGACAATGTCTGGATATTATTCGTCCAGACACAGATTCCGGCAAAATGCACATTCTGCACAGTACAGATGTTTTTGGCGTTATCCGTTCCCTGGCTAGTTTTCGACTCATTGGCGGTAGCAAAGGTAAAGCTGACTTTTACACAGGCAGTCCGCAGTCAGAATTATCCGGAGTTTAATGCTTAACGCACTTCTGACTTCTGCAGACTACCTCATTTTGGGTACGGACTCAGGAAAGATCGCTATTCTGGAATTCAACACTGCCAAAAATGCTTTTGATCGGGTTAGTCATTAATAACTAAACAGATTACAGTAAAATAGGAGTAATTTTTGAATTATTTTGTTATAAGCGTAGCCCTAGCGTACTCTAGTATAAATTTTGCTTTGACTGTGTATCTGGCTGATAACTCGTAGCTGTCAGAATTACTGTAGTTATGTAAATTCTGAATTTCCTGACTCTGGCAGTGCCATCAGGTGACCGGAAGAATCGCTTGGCTTCCGGACTTTGTATAGTGCTTGCATACAATTTCAGATATGGTGATTACAGTTTTTCGTATTAAATGTTATATTATTGTCGGTCGGTTTCCGAAGCGCGCAGTTCTACCGTTAAGTGCAACGTTAATTGTTTTTTTCTAGATACATTTGGAGACGTTTGGTAAAAGCGGCTGCCGCCGCATTGTTCCTGGACAGTATCTTGCCACTGATCCAAAGGGTCGCGCTGTCATGATTGGTATGAGAACTGTTTTATTATTTTTACCCCCTTTCTCTGCTTTAACCAGTGCCTAATACTAATGAATTAATTTTATGAACAGGTGCTGTGGAAAAACAGAAACTCGTCTATATCATGAATCGAGACTCTCAGGCGCGGTTGACTATTTCCTCTCCACTTGAAGCCCACAAAGCCAACACTTTTCTATACAATGTTATTGGTGTTGATGTTGGATTCGAGAACCCTTTGTTCGCTTGTTTAGAAATGGATTATGAGGTTAGCGTCAGCTTATTATTATTGTTCTCTCCTTATATTGGCTGATCTGTCATTTAGGAAGCGGATAATGATCCGACTGGCGAATCAGCCCAGAAAGCACAGCAGAGTTTGACATACTACGAATTGGATCTTGGTTTGAACCACGTCGTTCGGAAGTTTACGGAAACCCTTGAAGAACGAGCAAACTTTTTAATTGCGGTACCGGGTGGGAACGATGGGCCTGGCGGAATTTTGGTCTGCTCAGAGAACTACATTACCTATAAGAATCTCGGCGATCAACCAGAGGTTCGAGCACCAGTACCAAGGCGAAGGGTATGAAGTTACGAACTTGATCTCTGTGCTACGCATAGCTGCTGTGGAAGTGTATCATTTTTTTGTTTTTGCAGCACGATTTGGAAGACCCCGATAGAGGCATGATGTTCGTGACTTACGCTGCCCATAAAACGAAAAATCTGTTTTTCTTCTTGCTCCAAACGGAACAAGGGGATGTGTTCAAAGTTACTCTGACCGTGGACGACGAAATGGTGAGTCGATAAAATGAGCTTGAATTCGATTTATGATGGATGCGATCACGTATCGTATTTTCTGTTTAGGTCAGTGAAATACGGATGAAGTATCTTGATACGATTCCCGTTGCCTCGGCTTTGTGTATTTTACGGACTGGATTTCTTTTTGTTGCTTCGGAATTCGGCAATCAGTAAGTGACATACAATGAGTGGTTACTACTGTCATAGCTACCATTCAGTATAAATATGACGGAATTTGTAGTCGGTTGTGCCAGATTGCCCACCTGGGCGACTCACAAACAGATGACCAACCCGAATTCAGTAGTTCTACCCCGTTGGAAGAAGGTGATACATTTTATTTTCGTCCCCGAGAGCCCAAAAACCTGATCATGGTGGATGAATTGCAGAGCTTGTCCCCGATTTTGCATAGCCGGGTGAGATGCATTACTGTTTGTCCGTTAAATTTTGATACTTTGAACACCTTGCCTTTTGTCGCTCCAGATCTTGGATTTAGCTAACGAAGACACGCCACAGCTCTATACTTTGTGTGGAACAGGCGCGCGATCCACTTTGAGAGTGCTGCGACATGGCCTGGAGATAACGGAGATGGCTGTCTCTGAACTTCCTGGTAATCCGAATGCGGTGTGGACAGTGCGAAAACACGCCGACGGTCAGTAGAAATTTTGGTCATTATTAGTAAACCTAATGAGAAATTCATTAATTTGATAAGCTTTTTTAGGCTAACTAAGATATACATAATGTCCTAATATTCTTTGTGTGTGCATGTTGAAATAAAAGCCGAAGTTCTGATGTGCGGATTGAATTAGACATGAAATAGAAATGATATTGTTTCCGGAATTTTTGTAGACAAGTTTGATGCCTACATTGTGGTTTCTTTCGTTAATGCCACGCTGGTTCTCTCCATTGGAGACACGGTAGAAGAAGTTGCCGATTCGGGATTCTTGGGAACGACACCGACCATTGCCTGTTCGCTATTGGGTGATGATGCTCTGATCCAAGTCTATCCCGATGGAATCCGCCATATTAGAGCTGACAAGCGCGTTAATGAATGGAAAAGTCCGGGAAAACGCCAGATCACTAAGTGTGCTGTGAATGAGCGCCAGTTAGTTATTTCTTTGAGCGGAGGCGAACTGGTATACTTTGAAATGGATGCTGTAAGTCGATTTGTCTTTCATTGTTATTTTCTTTTTTTATATGCATTTTTGTAGAGCGGTCAACTTAACGAGTATACGGAGCGGAAGGAAATGCAAAGCGATGTCGTTTGCATGGCATTGGGAGACATCCCGCCCGGCGAGCAACGCTCTCGTTTTCTGGCGGTAGGATTGGCTGATAATACCGTACGGCTGCTGTCCCTGGATGTCCAGGTACTTTAATCCTGTCCTAAGTATAAACAACAGCCCATTGCAATGAAAGACGATTACTGCAGCGTTTATGTATGTGTATGTAGGATTGCTTGTCCCCTTTAAGCCTACAGGCTCTTCCAGCTCCTGCAGAAAGTCTCAACATCGTTGATCTGGGATCGAGGGATTTTCGACGTGACACGTCTACTCCAGCGGAAGCCAGATTAAAACGCGGTGTTTTGTACCTGAATATCGGCCTACAAAATGGCGTACTGCTTCGCTCTGTTCTCGATCCGGTTACCGGGGATTTGTCGGACACAAGAACACGCTATTTAGGCTCGCGGCCTGTAAAATTGTTTCGAACATCGGTCCAAGGCAGTCAAGCCGTTTTAGCCTTATCCAGCCGATCATGGCTCAGCTATCACTATCAAAATCGGTTTCTCCTGACGCCCTTATCATACGAAACGCTGGAACATGCATCAGCTTTCTCGTCGGACCAGTGCCCAGAGGGCATTGTAGCCATTGCATCCAATACTTTGAGGATTTTGGCTCTGGACAAACTGGGTACAGTATTTAATGAAACCGTTACCCCACTCCGCTACACACCCAGGAAATTCGCCATTCACCCGAGCGTTGGAATTATGGTGACGATTGAGACGGATCATAATGCGTATACACTGGAAGGGAAGATCGCTCGCAAACAGCAGATGGCCACAGAAATTTTGTCCAGTGCCGAAGCTCATGAGCAGGAGATGGCCAAGCAGTTGGTACAGGAGATCCTGAGGAGTGACCTTGCAGACGCAGATTTCGGTGCGCCAAAGGCTGGACTTGGGAAATGGGCCTCGTGTGTTCGTATCACTCACCCGGTTGCAGGGAAGACCATCTGGGTAGAGGATCTTCCGCAGAACGAGGCGGCATTTAGCGTGGCTGTTGTTAAGTTTAGTGGAAAAAGTGGAGAGGAAGAATATTTTGTAATTGTGGGAACTGCAGTTGGATTACAACTGAACCCGCGGCAGCTGGCGGATGGGGGACGTTTGAGAACGTATCGATTCGGAGCAGATTACCAGAGACTGGAGCTGCTGCATGTGACACCTGTCGACGAAGTGCCGCATTCCATAGTGGCTTTCCAAGGCAGGTTGGCCGTAGCGGTCGGACGATCCTTGCGAATTTATGATCTAGGAAGGAAAAAACTTCTTCGAAAGTGTGAAAGCAAGGTGAGAATGTTCTTCGGTTTCCTTTTGTTGCTCCTTTGTGATGGATGAGCGGCATGAGCTCACCCAATATCTTTCAATTTTTAGCTTATTCCTAACATGATTGTGGATATTAAAACGATGGGACCGCGTTTATACGTATCAGATTCCAACGATAGCCTATTTTTCATCAAGTACAAAGCGAAGGAGAATGTTCTGAACATCTTCGCCGATGATACCTTTCCGCGCTTCATCACTTGTTCCGTGTTGCTGGATTACAACACTATCGCTGTGGGGGATAAATTCGGAAACGTGTCAGTGATTCGATTGCCGAGCTCTGTGAATGAAGATCACGAAGACGACCCGGCCTCGTTTTGGGACAGAGGTTATTTGAATGGAGCTTCTCAAAAGGTTAGTCCGAAATAGCAGCGAAACGTATGGAAAGTAGAAATAGCATGGAAACGTATGGATAAGCTGACTGCTAAATAATCAGGCATGTTTTTTGAATCGTAGGCGGAGACGGTTTGCATGTATTATGTTGGAGAAACATTGTCAAGTCTTCAGAAAGTTACGCTTATTCCTGGGGGCTCCGAATCGTTGGTTTTCACGACACTGTCCGGTCGGATTGGTGCATTGGTCCCGTTCACATCACGCGAAGTATGTCTAATTGATACTGGAAGCAATTTATTCTCGTTTGTTAGATGACGCTTTTCAGTATTTTCCCGTTTCTAACGATTAATTTTGCAGGATCGTGATTTTTTCCAGCATTTGGAAATGCACTTACGCAACGAAAAGCCTCCATTGTGTGGCCGGGATCACCTGCACTTTCGGTCATACTACTTTCCCGTTAAGGTACAGTACGTATAGATATATTGATATACTCGTAGAGATAGAAGTAAATAATAAACCACCTGTTCGCCTATGTTCGGTTTTTTATTGTCGAATTTTTTACCGCAGGGGGTCGTTGATGGAGACTTGTGCGAGCAGTATAACGCACTCGATTACGCAAAGCAAAAAGAAATTGCAGAGGAACTTGACAGAACACCGAATGAAGTGGCGAAGAAACTGGAAGACATTCGAAATCGTTATGCATTTTAGCGTCTTATTTGTACAACTGAGTATTATTTATGTTGATCATTGTTGTTTTTTGTCAGTTAGGTCGTTGAATAATTTTGGCTTTGAGTTAACATCCGTTTCCGATCGATCTCTGGTTTTATTTTTCGTTGAGACAAGGAACCGAACAAGGAAAGCACCGTTTTCACAACAGAAACGAGAACTCAAACAAAAAAAGATTCAAAAATAATGTCTGATAGCGACAAACCATAAAAGCTACGTAGATGCCGAGTTGGCTATATGGAAACGCTTGAGCGAAAGAAGAACAGTTTGAGCTGTGGAAGCTGTATTATTGTTCCGCAATGGAATTGACACTTCCATCCAGCGCCGGTTTTCGTGAGAACTGCGAATGGCATCGCACACACTACGAGCGTACTGACAATCGACGAATCCACCGGCTGCCTGAAGCTCATCTGGGGAGAAACAACGTCGTTCAGCTGCTTGCTGGAACGCTGTCTTCAACATACTGCACAAGTCCACAACACCGGATACCACCCATTCCGGATGGCGATAGTCGAATCCCACAGCCAGTTCCTAATCACAATAACAAAATAACCATCATTCATTAAATGATAAAATTCAGATAAAACAAATGGGCAATTGCAGCAAGTACTGAAATAATGGCATAAGAATTCAGATTACAAATTCTCAAATCGGCTGCTTACATGTAAATTCAGCTTAAAATTAAATGTTCCACTTCAGCAATGTGTTTGGGAATTGATAGCAGCTAGCAAACACTTGCTTACCGACTTATCGGGCAGCACCGCAGGATCCCTATCATCCAATACTGTGCCTATCCGTTCTCGACAAAACTCCGGAGATTTCTGTACGTGTATGACACCGTCATCTACCATGACTAGCCCTTCTCGTCCGGAAATAGTCAACCGGAAGTTGAAGCTGCCTGGCTGATTGCTGTTGACGAGACAGGTGCAGGGAATATTGCCTTCCAGCAGCATTTGCCAACTGACGAAATCCTCGCGCGTCATATGCTGATCGTACTGGAAGTGCGCTGGGCTACGCTGGAAACGGCGCACTGTCCCACACACCGAATAGGCCCGCTTCCCGGACAGAAACGTTATTAGATCGACAATGTGACAGACCAGTGTGAACAGCGGACCGCCCAGGAGACGACCGATGCATGTCCAATCGTACGGCAACTGCCCGACGGGAGCACTCGGCCCACAGTTAACTGTCACTTCAACGGACTGAACTGCACCGATCTGGCCACTTTCGAGGATGCTTCGCAGTTTGGAAAATCCTACAACCACAAGAAAATTGTGAAGCAGCAAGGCACTGCAAAGTGTCATGATGATTCCTTCAATCTAAAAATATTCCCATTAGCTCAACAACAGATCAGTGATATTTTAACCTGGTGTATGTCGCAATCCAAATGTGGAGATTGTTAATAGTGTAGGATAGTAGAGAGCCTGCTGCATGATAGCAGCGTTGTCTGCGCAGGTGATCCCCAAAGGTGGCTCGCAGATAACATGCTTGCCTGCTGCCAAGGCTTTTGTAGCGATTTCCTTGTGGAAATAGGCCGGAGCAAAGATAAAAACCAGATCGACTTCTTGGTTTTGCAGTAAGACCTCCACTGAATCGGTCGGAAAGGGAATCTGGAAATGCTGACACCATGCGACAGCAGTTTTCATATGCTGATCCCACAATCCAACCAATTCAAACGACAGCCGCTGCAGTTCTCGGATTATGGCGGCGGCCAACGTGCTGCTTCCAAATATTCCAACTTTTGGCAACATAGCATTAATTTTCACGAAGAAAGCCTGTCAACAATCATGTTGCTTTCGAGTCTTGATAGACGAGTTTCTGCGCTTTCATGAGCGAAAAAATGAAATCAACAACAAACCAATCCTTTCCATTTATTGGAACTTCCGGTCGAATCTCCATTGGGCGTCGGTTTCCTTCGCTACGTATCCACTATCCACGCGAAATGCTGACAGGCATCGCTGGCAAGTTGGCGGCGAAATTCATTTTGATTTATGATAAATCATCAAAATGATTTATGATAAATCATCATCGTTTTGATTTATGATAAATCATCAAAATGAATTTATGTTGTAACTGTTGTTCATTTGGGTTCGGGTTTTTATTAATCCCAGTTTTCTCTCCAGGCCACCAGATTTTGTGAAGCTTAGCTGTATCTGTCACTTTTTCTAGACAGAGGACCGAATGCCTCTTCATAATTATTACGAGTCGCTGGAACTTTCATCTCAGTGTTCGGCTGAAGACATAAAAGAAAGTTACCGACGATTGGCCAAGCAGGTAGATAGTAACTGTTACCTTCGTGCTTTTATTGGTTTCTGTCTGGTTTTCCCTTGTTATCCCGGAGTGCATCTTGTGGAGCGAGATTTCAAAAATGAATTTATGCCGTTTACGGTGTCGTGCTATAGTTTGAAAGCAGATTGCTGCGGAACCGGAATAAGTCTTCTAATTTCATTGACGATGGTTTCTTTTTCCAGCTTCATCCTGATAAGTCAAACTCATCATCGAATAGCCCGGCGGATCCCTCCAGATTTCTTCTGATCAGCGAAGCGTATCGTGTCTTGAGCAATCCCGAAATTAGGAAAGAGTACGATAAATGCAGACGAGGTGTGCACTGTACACTTTGGGTATAGTATGTCAACAGTTAAGACTTATAGAAAATATCAGCTCTGTAAAGCATACGGACGCATAACCGGCATAGGTAATTCTTTTAATAATTATAACCTTCACATTGTGAGATGACAGTAGTATTTTCATGATATTTTCATTACCATCTGACTTTATTATATTTGCAGACGCAGAGAAGGCTCATCTGATATATGCAGAAGTGGATTTATCCGATTTAGTTTATTTGGAAGGTAATGTTTGCATTGAATATTGTGTAACTAAACTGCTTTTGTTTTAGCCTTCTAAATATTTTTGTGGATGTAGATATATGCTTGAAAATTTAATTGTAGCGGTGCACGCATTTTATTTAAAATTTCCATGGCTTCTCTGTATTCGCCTATGGTAGCTGAAAGTTTGAATGTTTTGAAACCAACGTTTGCAGGCGCGCACTAGGATTTTACTGTATTTTATACTTTTCACTACCTACTACTTACTACTTATTAGTATGCTTGAAATTCGTCAATTTTTTTCGGCTGTGTTTAATGATACGGTCATTCGTAGGTAGATGACTTTATATTCTGTCGGTTTCGTTAAGTTTTAGTGAGTTTGTTTATGAGTTAATATTTTGTCCAAAAGGATGCTTACATTAAGTAGTGCGAACAATTAATTTCGTAGATTTTGCCACCTTCTCATATCCATGCCGATGTGGTGATTCCTACTGTTTGTCTCAAGACCGACTAAAGACGACCCGAACCCCGCAGTTGGTTATTCCTTGCTCTTCGTGCTCTTTTGTGCTTCTCGTCAATCGGAATGGGGAATGAATTTTATTAGACTTTGATTGCTCGTGAACTGGCGCGAAAGAATTGTTGAAGTTTTTCTGGTGTTTTCGTATCATGGTAATGACTGTTGGTCCATAATTGGCTATTCTCATAAAATGTGTTTTCAACACAACTACCATAACGTAAATACAAATTTTTGCCGCACTTTTATGTTTTTTTTTGGGTAAATTAAACAGTCTGGTGAACTAAAAATTGCTCCTAACCCTTTGTTGCACTAACGATAGTTTTTCTAATGACGGATAATAAGTGTTGCATGAATTATCATCACAAAGGGCATCGAAGAAAGAAAGAAAGCAAGATTGTCACTGCGAATTGCGATTCACTACTGTTGGATAAACCAGATGAAAATTTTTGAAAAAGTTTAAAATGAAGACACATGTAGCCTCCTCCCGGCTCGCAATGGCATTTGGCTGTAGGCTAGCTGCTAGCAAGAAACTTTGCAATCGTGTGTCAAACCGACTGAAACGTTTTCCTTTTTTCTAGTCGTGTGATGACGCTGTACTATTTAGTATTTACGCCCGTTTGTTAAGTATTTATACTTCACAGTTTCCGAGTTTCGTACTAAAAATTCAAAAGCTTGCAATCACAGCATTTTCTGTAGGTATAGGCATTGGGACTTGAATCGTCTGCACTTGCACTCCCCATTGCCCAATGCTTCGTTTGTAACCGAAGTTACTGCATGGTGTGCGCAGTTTCGTGGAGTTAGGTAATCCGCGAATTTGATTCCACCGTGGATCTCATCCTTCGCATACTCATTTTACTAACTGTAACCCAATACACCAAAATGGCAAGCCCTGCAACCCCCTGGTCGGAGAGAGTGTATGAGACGTACCATCTGCATCTAGCCAACGACAGAATCTTTATTGAGCCCCTGGATGCAGAGGTGAACCAAGTGCTTATGATTGATCGCATCACCCAGGAGACCGTCTTCCGCAGCTCAGCGACCCTGCCTGCCAACGGCACTGCCGATGTTAAATTGGTATTTGGCATTCTTGGACGGATTCATTTGATCGGAGGATGGTACTTGGTGGTTGTAACGGGACGTGAACGAGTCGGCGAAGTAGAAGGACAGACCATATGGCGAATGACGGGAGCCGAATTGGTGCCGTACACCAAAAGTCTGCTCTTTTTGAGTACGAAGCAGCTGGAATTCAACAGCATCTATAAAGGCATGGTGGAGTCTGTTTTGAAAACGCCAGGATTGTACTTTTCTGCTAGTTATGATTTGACACATTCGTACCAACGTTTGGCTATGATTCACGGGCGCGAACATTTGCGAGTAAGTTATTCAGTGTGCCTTTGTAGCTTTGTAAATACCAGTACAGGAACAGACTTGTCGTAGCTTTATCTCAGCAGCAGAATTGTATTCTTAAATGCTTTTATGCTAATAAAAATCTGAAAGTTCGCTATAGATTAAAGTATTTTTACTGCGCTTCAGATGGCTTTATTATGCATTAATATTTAAGTTTAATTTTGAAGGGCTACGAGTACGAGTCAGTTTTTGACAGTTTTTTGTTTGCCTTTATTGTTACTCCGCATCCGTTTTACATCAAAGTTTTTCAGTCGTAATGGCGGTCATGCAGGTTTTACATAAATACTCCCAATAGACTTATTAATTTGTTAATTGATATCGGATCGAATTGATGCTCAGTAACAAATTTTTGTTGTGCGGTTGTACTGAAATCCAAAAATGTTCAATGTACTTATTAACTGGCAGGCTGCTGTGCTGCTCTGATTGTCAACAAATTTTTTATTACTTTTGTTTTCGCATCAGTTTGTTAGGCTTAAAATGCTTTCCTGTTGCAGGAATCCCTTTTCCGGCGTGCTGATCGACGGTTTGTATGGAATCGGCATCTCTTGCTCAATTTCACATCGTCTTCATCAGAGAACTTAAATCATTATCTGCTTCCTCTGCTTCATGGATTTGTTCAAATCCAGACAATGTACATCCATAACGTCAAAGTGGATTATGTGGTCATTAGCCGTCGCAGCACTTGGCGCGCAGGCGTGCGTCTTTACACTCGAGGTATCGATTCCACGGGCGCTGTAGCCAACTATGTCGAATCGGAAGCCATTAGCATTTGCAACAACCGCCTGGTCAGCTACGTACAGAGCCGTGGTTCTGCTCCGATCTATTGGTCACAAAAGCCGGATTTAAGGTGCGAATGAATTAGCTACATAAATTTAAAGACACCATGAAAACAGGAATTAGGTAACTTTAAATGTTTTTAGTTATCTGCCCAAACCACGTGTCAACGTTGAGCATGATCATCTTCTTGCACTTCAAGCGCACTTCCAGGAGCAGATTGTCTTGTATGGCCCTCAAACTGTAATCACTCTGGTCAACCATCACGGTCGAGAGGAACTGGTTGGGGCTGTCGTTCGTGATGCTATTCACTTGTCCCGTCACCCTAATATTACATTTGTGGCATTCGATTTTCACGCGGAAACCAAACATATGAAATGGGAACGATTAAGTGTGCTGATGGAGCGTATTGAAGCAGAAAGGGTGCGACAGCAGTACTTCGTTAAACCTTTAGATGGACCAGTGAAGCAAGTACAAAATGGTATATTTCGCACCAGTTGTATGGATTGCCTGGATCGAACAAATGTCGTGCAGGTACAACAATCTTTTTGAAAACTCTGTTCCAGCCTAAATTACAGCAATTGCAAAGTTGGGTTTTACTTTAAGATGTGCAAGGTGGGTGTATTGAGAAGCTTGTTTCCGTTGTACGTGGAAACTGGAAAGTTTGCAGTATTTCATTATACAATTAATATTGAGTGACATCATGGCACTCGTGCCATTATTGTAGTTGTACTATAAATTACGGACAGGCAAGATATGGATTCAAAAGCATTTTATGCTACAATTAGGTTAAAGGCAACTTAATGCAACACATAAACTGCTCATCTGAAAAAGCATATAAACCCCGTACAAGCATTTTTGTTTTGTCGAGTAGGGCTTGATTGCTAAACGGGAATTCGAAGACCAAATGCGCTATTTTGGAATTTTTGGGGAGCACGAAAAGCTGGAAGATGACCCTTCTGCTCACAGTATTTTCCGGAATATCTGGGCTGACAATGGGGATGTCATTTCACAGCAGTACGCTGGCACCGGCGCTCTTAAGAGTGACTTTACCCGTTTTGGCCGGCGGAATTTCTATGGTGTTTTGCGCGATGGTCTAAACAGTATGCAGCGTTGGGTTAAAAACAATTTCATGGATGGATATCGACAGGATGCAATTGACTTATTTTTGGGAAACTACGTTGTGGAAGAGGAAGAAGGAGCTACGAAGATTTGCCCTTTAGAAGCCAAGCGGGGATTTTTCTGGACCACGCTGCTGATGTGCGCCTTAGCCGCTACTGCCATGTGTGCTTTGTGCATTTTGTCGCCAGCTGAGACGGACTGGACAACACGATTCTCCTGGTTTGCTTTGTGGTTCGGTGCACTGGGCATCACTGTGGCAATTATTTACAAAAATGGCATGGAATACGTAGACAGGTTTGTGCACAAAAATACTTTCATCATTTACTTCACTGCATTACTTTACTTTACTTTGTGGCTTTAATAGACCGCGGCTTGTCCCGCGATAATCGGGTGAGAAGGAGATGCTGTGGATGTGCCTTGGTATTCCCGTTTATAATTGCGTTGCTCGATATTTCAGCTCGTGCATGATCCGGTTGGCTGCATTTGGATCCCCTATGGATTAATAAAATAAAATTGTTTTGAAGGCTTCAGATTTCAGTAATAAACTACTGTGGAAGCGCGCTATGATGTCACAGAAAGGGTTGAAATCTTTTTTGCTAGTTTCAGGTTTTGAGTACGGTTGTTTTGGTGCAAGGTTTTCCATTACAAAGTGTTTGTTTCTATTTGTGATAGTTCAGCAAAAAAATGTTTTTGATTGAAAATCTGTACGATCTTTACAAATTAAGAGTTACTGTAGGTTATAAAAAGTGCTCACGGTGCGTGATCGCAGTGACCGCTGTTGGTGTTTAATACGTTGCGAGTAAGGTGATGGTTAAACTTAAAACCACTTTATACATACTATAAAGTTTATAGTGCGTACTGTATACAGCAAAACTGAAATATCGTATAAACCGGTCGGTTATTATACCGATAAATAGAAATTTAACCCTTATTGAATACTGTGCCGCTAATATTAATAATAGTTATACTGTTACAAATACAAGTACTTAAACTCTTCTGGTCGACCTTGCGGCTTGCAGCCGCCTAAAGCATTTCAATTTTCAGTTACCTACTTCTTTTAACTTTTAAGTACTTACTTATTTTTAGAGTTTTCTGATCACGCTACCGGGCTACCTGCTCAGCTGCCGGCTACTTCGAAATGCTAGGCTGACGTTAGGCGGGTCGACGGCGTCACAAAGCAGGTACTTTCGCGCTTCAATGCAGTCTGCTGTCACCAGTGCCAGTGCTTTGTCTGCACACTAGTGAACAGCTGATTGAACCAGCCGTCAAAATGATCTTTGTTCATTTGTCCGCGATTTCCAACACCTCCAGATTTTAAAAACGTGCGTTAGCTGCTTAGCAGGTTATTTAAAACGTGCATATTTATTTGTCCCAATTGTTTATTGCGGCCTTGAACATTCAAGCATTAAGGTAAGTGGGTTTTTAACAAGCTTTGAAGCCTTGCAGTTTTTAGACAGAAGTGCGTAGATTCTCATAGTTTTCTGTGTACTTTAATTTATCCAAAATTTGACCAAAAACTAACTTCTTGGTTCCGTACGCAGCCGGTACGCTCAACAGATTCAAGAGCTTTTACTTCTGATGGTGAGATGGGTGCGAATTTGGTACTGTACAGTAATTACTAATATCTGCGCCTCACCCCAGTGCAATACGGTTTTTTTATCTTGGACATAGAATTTTGAAGAGGTGGTTGTGACGTGATACTTATTACAGGTGCTGTAACTTCCAGTTTCCACCGGTAAAAAAAGAATTTTGAATGCTAACCATAGCCATACACTTAACCATAGCAACTTAACCATGTCGGTAATGATTTACAACTTACCAAGTAAGCTTTAATACAGCTTATTAAACGCTTTCAATTACCGTTACGAGACTTACGACGTTTCGACTTTCGAGTAACAGGAGTAAATTATATTCGCTATGTTTGAGTCAGGATTTAGCTTTTTTTATGTTGGTGATCTTGCGTTAAACATCGATGCTTATTGGCGGTAACTTTGATGTCGCGAACCCAAAACATGGGAGGAATTCAGGGTATCGACTTTACGCACAGGCGGTGCAGCACTGTGCGCCAGCACAGCAGCACTGTGCGCCAGCACAGTACTCATCAGAATTCAGAGACATCTGTAGACTGCAGACTGTAGAGCACCTGAACATTAATAATTACCCTGCTGCTTAGCTCGTTTTCGAAATTAGTATGACTATACGCTGAAATATTATATCGTTCCTTAGTTTCCTAGATCATTTTAGATAAGCCATTCAGCATAATGCAGTACTCCATAAAATTTAATGAAAAATCAGGGCCTGGCAAAGTTGGTCGTTTCATGATGTGTACAATGTGTACGGTACATATACCGTTTAAATAGTACGTGAACAGACCATGATCGTATGCCGTATGGTGACAGATCGTTTGGTCCGTAATTCGTAGTTGTTCGGACTCTGGTCAGAATGCACCCTACTCGACTTTGCAATCACTAAATTTCGAAAAGATTTTGCGTAAAAGAAAAACGTCCAGTCCTCCACATATTCTTGAGCTTCGTTTTTTTAAGCGTTATAAGCATAAAAGAAATGAACACTTCTTGCGTGGCGGTTTGCCATGTTGAATAAGCCAATAAGGACTGCCTGCTAACGAGACGATCTCTCACATGAGGGGTGAACCGGCAGATGGCGTTAGTGGTTACGAAGGGCAATTTTGCGCGCCTTGCCGGCACTGCATAAGTTCCGGTACGCCACCACCGTACCGCCACTTTAACCAGATCCGTGTGCAAAATTTCTCGTATAAATAACAAATCGCTGATTTTTTAGGTTGTTGTAATGTTGTAGCGAAGATTTTTGGCATAGAAGTTAATTTTTTCGACATCTAAAAACTTCAAACGCAAGGCCCTGCTTGCTTTAGAGTTTGCGGAAAAACTATATTTATTTGGTATATTTATTTAGTAATTTGAAGAAGTTTTCGTGATTTATCGGTCGCGGATTTTTAAATTGTTTCGACCATCTGATACGGAGAGGGATGGTACGTGAGTTCCTGTATAGAACTGGAAAAGTGATTCTGTTGTTTTGGTTCTCCAAGTCCTGCGGTTTTTTTTGCGTTTTACCAACCGGAGAGAAGCGTAGTGACAATTTTTATACTGGTTTGCAGGATGGATGTAAGCCCCACTGAGAGTGCAGTGGAGGACCGTAACGCTTCTCCTTCAAAACATCCAGCTCTGCACGGTACGGACTATTGACATTATAGCGCTAACATTGATGGTTTTTTCATTTTGTATTATGGTTTCCAGCTCTGAGGAACCTGAGTAATTGTTTGCCGTATATGCTGACGCTGAACTTGCTTTTGATTTTCAGATACGATTGCAGCGAAGCTCGAGAACCACAAACTCAACGGTGTTGAAAGTGGCACCACAGGTAAGATTATAGCCAGTTTAAACCTTGAACAGTTGAACTGTAGATTACGCTTTGGTTTGTGGGCTATGAACTAGAAATGTTAAGCAAAACATTATTTTGAAGAATTAAATTTTAGATTCTGAGCACGAAAATACGAAGCCAGCCAGCCAGTCCGTTGTCGAGGAGAAAAAGCTGCCGATACAGATCGTGAAACCCGAGCCAAGTCTAACCATGTCAACAGCGAGAACTTCGGATGACTCCAAAATGCAGAATGGAACGGGATCGTATGGAAAGAGCGAGCAGGTCCCCTCAAAGGGAAAGTATGTCAAGCGCTTGGAAAATACGAAATACATCAAGGAGACCACCGTCACGGAGCAGTATTACGATGATGGAGTGCTGCGTTTTTCGCATCCGCCCGTAAGTTTGTGTGCGAAATATTCTAGCATTCTGTGAAATTTTTTTAAGTGTAGTTATGGATTGTAGGACATTCAGCGCGTGGAGACGTCCCCACCCAATTTTTTCGTTAACATCACCGAATGCACGGATGAAGCGTTCCGGGCGGGTGAGATGCGCGCCAAGAAACGTTCTGCTGGGCGAAGCACCGCAACTCCTTCTGTGGATAAGGAAGCGGAGCCAGAAAAATTTCACGATTCTGGTATGACTGCGGCTTAATTATCCTTTGCAAGATGGAATTGCCATGTATTCTGGTTTCATTTTCTACCTCGTAGATACCAACGATGGTGAGATCGTGAAGCGCAAGCGTCCCAGCAGGGCGACGACTCTGCTGAGTGAAGACGAGGAGGATGAAAAGGTTGAAAAGCTTACCGAGAAAAGACGGAAATCCAGCGAGCCAGTAGAGGAGAAATATACGAAAGGTCCGTAGTTTCATGCAACTCCTGAGTTGTGCTTCGAAATTTATAGTTCAAGTTTCTTCCAATAATTCAGTTTGTTGCATTGTTATTTATAGGCACTTACGTATTGGCTAAATATAATGACAACAATTATTATCCGGCCCAGATTATCGTGAAGGACGCTCAGCCAAGGTGTGAAACCCACTGCAGTTCCATACTATCTGTTGCCAGAAATTTTTTCTAATACCGATTTATAATTTCATTCGCAGTCGATGGCGCGTTAAATTTACGGATTCGAAAGAAGAAGATCAAATTCACGAGACCGATTTGTTGAAACCGGGTGTTTGGCTGACTGTAAACCGTGCTATTCTCATCAAAGCTGGAAACGGTCTTGAAGGGGGAGAATATCAGGGCGCGACGATCACACAACTGATTAAAGAAGAGGGTAAAGCTCCCCGATACATTGTGAAAATCCAGGACAGCAAGGAAACCAAAACGTAAGAAATTCTTTAAACATTTACTGCGTATCGTTTTGGTAGCAGCTTGGCATTAATAATATAATGTAAATGGTATCGAAGTGTGTACGCTACTCTGTTCTCATTAGCTGTGTAGTGGTGTGCGTTATTGAGTTCTCATATTTGCAATATGCGGTTTTTTCAGAGTTAATTTGGCTGAAGTGGCAATTGAAGCGGATGAAGTGCTTCGAGAAAAATTTGGTAATGGAACTGGCACTGGTAAGCATTTGAAGAGGATCGTTTCTTCCGATTGCGTTACCGTAATATGCTGACAAATTTTGACGCTGTGACTGTTTTTTCTTATGTTCATAATGCTTTTGTAGATAAAAATGCAGTATCTGCGGCGGAATTCGATGAAGGTAACTGATAAAAAAGTCCCGAAGCATTTTGTATAGAGAAAGCCAGAAAGAACGTCACAGGATAATTCGTTACTTTATCGGATCTACCCTAATGATGTGATTATTAAATTTGCCATCCGCTTCTTGGTTTTAGGGACGGTTGTCTTTGGGCAATGGAGTGATGGATGTTATTACCCTGGAAAGATCACGTCTTTTAATAGCAAGAACAAACAATATGACGTCGAATTTTTGGATAACGAAACAGCAACCTTGTCTGCTGATCAACTTGTCCTGGCTCAAGATATGGTTAAAGCGGATCATTCCGTTCAAGTCAAAATTAAGACTGCGTACGAGAAGGGACAAATTGTTTCCGTAACTGGTACCGGAGATACTACACAGGCTATGGTGCGATTCAGTGCTACCAAACAAGAAGAGTAAGTACTGCATCAGCAAAATACCCCATGATTAGCTTTGAATTACGGTATCGTTTTGACTTTGTGGGACAGTACCTCATGTCTTTCGTAAATGCTTCATGCCTTTTTCTGATTTTCGCTCTTGGAAATTTGAGTAATTCTTAATTTTTGCAGTGTTCACATTTCCGAGCTTGTTTTTGATAAAAGCGAGGTCAAAAAGGTGCAGAAAGCTAAGGTCTCCAAGAAGGATACTGACACCAGCTCCAACGATACGTCTACCCCCCAACGGTCTAGACAGTCTACGCGCATCAGTAGTACCACTTCCCCGCCCAAACCGAAGCCAGAAAAACTTGCTGCGTCCAAACCGGAAAAAGCTACCGCCACACCGAAGGCAAAACCGGAACCCAAATCGGCTTCAAAAGCGAAACCAGCCTCTGCTAAAAAGTCAAAAGCGGTAGAAGAAATAAAAATCGAGGACGACGACGAAGAAGATGAAGATGATCAGTCTAGGAAGTCCATTGAGAGCGATAAAGGCCAAACGTATACGGTTGGGAAAACCACATTCAAGCATAGTAAGTACAATACAAATGAGTACGCTTGGTTTCTCGCACCCATTTCATTGCTAAATACAGATTTATAAGGTTACAAATCATGGTAAACGGCATTAAACTGACATTTCACATTGCAGAAGAGCAAGTGTTCGGAAAATGGGAAGACGGACGCTGGTATGCTGCATGGGTAACGGGAGTTCGTCAGTCGTAAGTACTTGTTTTCAGAAAGATGATAAGTAAGACACTCACTTTGAACTTTGAAGTAGTTGTGATAAAAAACTGTTTTGAGCAGAAAACTGGAAGTTTCTTGGTGTGAAAACCAACAGCGGAACCATTTGGTAATGGAGGATATTATTCGCGCTGCCGATATCCTTGAGGAAGGACTTCGTGTAAATGTGATCGTGGAGGGGAAGAATTATTACGATGAGGTTGTGTTTGAGAAGTGGGTGGATGATGGACCACATCTTGTGAAAAGCAAAAAGAAACAAGTGATCGAGTACGTGTAACTTACACTGTTTTTTAAATGGTGATGGTGATGTTTATTGCCCTGCGACTGACAGGAAGAAGTTTGAGGAAATGATGATCCAGAATGATGAAGTTGGACGCTGGAGGAAGAAGCGAGCCCAGAAAACTCCTACTACTTCTAAAGAAGAGTCGTCGACGGAGAAAACTGCAACGCCCAAATCCTCATCAAAGGCGACTCCATCGGCCAAACAGACGAGTCCGAGGGTTTCTCAGGATAAATCAACAAAAAGTGAGTTATCTGTTGTGAGACCATTTATTTTTAGCACCAACTTGATTGATTAACTTTCTTACTTTTGATTAGAACGTGCGCGATCGACCTCTTCCGAAGACGAGATAAAATCGGCAAAAAGTTCAAAGAAGCCTGGTAAATACCCCTCCAACAGTAGTTTGCATTTTGACAAGTCCGTAAGGTCCATAAGCGTTGAAAAAAGTCCCATGATAAAGAATGTTGAAGGCAATACTGATTACTTTTGCATGAATAGCCGCAAAGGCCTCTTCACCACTGGAGGAATCTCCACCACGCGATACGCAAGGACCGCCGTTGTCTCAGTGTTCGTTCATTATAACAAGTGGCGGAGAAAAGGATCCGTCGTTCGATCGTGACTATATTGTTTCGAAAGTTACGGAGTTGGGAGGGAATGTTCTTAACGCGTTTGACGATCTAGTGAACGTATGTGACTGTTAAGTTGACTTTAACCACGTGGACTATATAATTCAGTGAAAGTCTCACATTTTTAGGTTGCTGGCAAACGTTATTTGATTTCTCCCAGCCCCTGTCGTACCGCCAAATTTCTGCAGTGTTTGGCCGCTAATTTCCCATGCGTATCCCATAAATGGATTCTGGATATAGCCGATAAGAATAAGTTCGTTGATTGTGGCAAGTATCGACTAAAAACTGGAAAGTCAAGCACGGATCAAAAACTGATCGATTGGTATGAAGCCTAAGGCAAATGTATACAATACCGAATTACGATTTTTGTTTTCGATTTTAAATCAGTAATGAATTATGGCTAGAGTAGGTAGTTTTTGCATACTTAATTTTATATTGGCTTAAATGTGTTGTTACACTAGTGGGTAACCACATAAGTATTTTGACTTCTAATGCATGTTCCTTGCCGATTACTTTACACGTTTAACATTGTTATAGCATTACATTAGTACTTACAGTACGAGTACGATTAGTAGTATGTGTAGTGTATTCAGACGTTATTGCATATGTTTGTAACTTTGTACGTACATGGAAAAAACCTTATTTAATAATAATTCGTAGTTAAATCCTACATGTTGCTAAACTTTTAATAGGACGCCGAGAAAAACATTGTTGGACAATATGCGGATTGCTTTATATGGAGGCGTGTCGTTCCGATCGACGTGGGTTCCTGCGCTTAAACAGGCGAAAGCTACACCGACAGTGTTGGAGGATCAGGATACTGATTCAAGTAAGCCCGGGTCATTCATTTTTTCCGAGCTGTTCATTAATATTATGAGCGAAACTATTATTGGTTTGATAAGACTGATATGGCTGTAATAATGACGCTCTCTGCAGACATGAAGCGGTTCGACGTGGTGATTGTCGAAGATCGCGCTCCCGCAGAATTGATCAGTGGTTGCAAGGAAGACAGTGTTCCTGTCACAACAGTGGAATGGCTGATTCAGACTCTGATTCACGGAAAGAAAATGGAATTCGCTAGCTGGCCATACCAGGAGGCCGCCCCTGACGGCTAAATTATCAGAGAAAAGTATCATTGCGTGGGCGATCCGCAGTCCTTCACTTCGCTGAATGTATTTGTTTGATTGTTTGCGAGTTGGGTGTAATAATATGTACTAGATAAGTAATCGGTCTTGTATAGGTTTAGGCGATTTCATGATTCCTTTCCAGCTTTTTCAATCTCATTCAGGATTTGAATATCACACGAATTGTTTTTATTCACGCGGGTTATTTTTGCAGTACAACACACAATTTTTTTGTTACAGATTTTTTGATGTTTTGTTTACAGTTGAAGCCGTGCTGAGAAATTAGATATTCAAACAACAATGCGAACAAGAACTTAGAGCTGTTTTTGTGCTTTGGCAGCCTTCACTGCTGCTGATCGCTCGTCGAGCTCGCGTTGATATTCTTCCTTGATCTCCGCTCGACGCGTTATGAACTTTCTTGCATCACTGAATGATTTTACACTCATTTGCTCTCGTCGGATTTCTGCCTTTTGTTCTGGCGTGAAATATCCAAATATATCGATTAGTTCTAAAATGTTCAACAGAAATTGTCAATTACTGTAATACTGTTTATGATACCGATAATACTGCGAAACAAAGCACGACTACAGCTATTAGGCTGAGTATTAGCGGTTAGCCTATTTACTAATTAATTCTACTACTTACGGTTATTAGTCTACATGTACCTGTACTTCATTAACCTAAATACATACAAGTAACCAGACAAATGAAGACAGTAATTCCTAAACAATTATTTGTTAGCACTGTTCGTGGTAAGGAAAGAAACATTACACGATGAAACCGCGCCAACTTTACAAGTCTAATACAATTCAAGCATAGCGCTGCAGCAGTTATCCAAGTACTCCTCACCTGGATGCTTCCAACAATTTACCGCATCATCCACCACCATTTTAAAAAGAGGGTAAAAGAAAGTACCCACGGAAACAACGACCAGGATCCCAGCAATTGTCCGTTCATCCCGAAGGCGAAAACGTCGGAACAGCTTCCTTGTCCACGAAACTTTGGGCCTGTTGGAGAGCTTCTCCACCCAGTTCTCCGGGGGATCGAGAGTGGGATCTTTCCGTCTGATGTACGGCGAGCGGTATGATGGGTCCATAGTGCGCACGGAACCTTGTAGGCTTGTACCGATAACGGCTTTCAATCGGAATCCGCGAAATTAAGATTCCGAACAGCTGCTCAATAACGTATCAAAAATAAAAGGATCATAAAAATGATAAAATTAAGGATAAAATCCGAATCGCAGTCCACTTCACACTCCACTTAGTTCACACTTCACCGTTCTCGCTGCGATGAATCCGTCAATCTGCCTGCTTGGAATTTGTGAGGCGTTATTGTTAATTGTCTTTAAGAGTCAAACATTTGACTGGCAAATAAAAATTATATAAATTCACTACACAAAAATTCAAACTGAAACTAGTCGAGACTCTACGTAGAAGTCTAGATCCCTGGCAGTCTTTCGCCTTTGCCCAATACCAGGCTACCATTATTTAAGTAGCTGTCGCTCGTAGGTGTGGAATTATGCACAATGGCTTACAAATTGCGATTTGAATCCATTCAAATGATTTTAATTTAATACGTACTCACTCGATCATTGATAAAATTAAAAAGTATTAAGAATTTTCATGTACAGTACAGACTCAAAAAAAATAGATGAGCTTATACTTTTTAGCTACAATGGTATTGGAGATTTCGTTGAAACTTTTTGTGTGCTGCTAGCGTTGGGAATCTACTTTTTGGGAGTTTGGTTGAAATGGAGAGTATTATACTTAGTACTTGCTGTATCGGTGACCGAATAATGCCGGAGCATTTTTTTCTCTAATAGCCAACAGTGGTAATGGTCTTACTGCACTCGTAGCACCGTGGTGGTGCTAAAACGTTTTTGATAATAAGGGAAACACCGTTCAAACACGTAACTGTCTTCAATGTCTCATCATTAACAATACACACCCGCACAAAAAAGGTCCACGAATCTGTAGAATTCAACACAATAAATAACGAAAAAAACAACAAGTTTAGAAGATTGTCGTAAAACAAGTGCAATTTCACACAGCAAAAGGCAACAGCAGCTGTTCAAAATTTCTCGTACAAATAGTATTCCAACGCGTAATAACAAATTAACAAGCACTTAACAAGCACTTTCAACACTTACGTTAGGTTGCGGAAATGCCTACGTTACAGTACTTACTGCGCGCACAGAACATATTAAGTTCAGATAGATTGAAAGCATACTGAAAAGGTAAAATGTTGCGATAATGACAACTGCCCAAACAAATAATCATGACCGATCTCCAAACTGGAGATCCTTTTGGCTGCGTTAAAAGTCGGCGGAAGTTGTGAAATCGAACAAATCGGCACGATTATTCATGACACCGGCCTTCTGGTATTCTCCAACTCGTTTTTCGAAGAAATTTGTTTTTCCCTCCAAGGAGATGTTTTCCATGAAATCAAAAGGATTATCAACGCCGTAAACCTGAAATAAATCACCCATTCACGGTCAGCAAGCTCACTTGTGAAGTACAATACAATCAAAAAGCCTGGTGCTGCAACAGGTTCGATAGAACAATCAAACAACAACAAATTTTCAGCACCAAATCACTTCATGCTTACTGTATTCGTTGATTCCTGACACTTTTATTATTATCTTTACAAGGCCCTGTCTGTACAAATGTTCACCTTATCGACGCCCAACTCGATCAGAAGGCGATCCGCTACAAATTCGATATAGCGCTTCATGAGCGTGCAGTTCATTCCAATCAAGTTGCACGGAAGGGCTTCCGTGAGAAATTCTTGCTCTATCGTTACAGCATCGCATACAATATCTTTGATTCTCTCTTGTGGGGGCTTGTGGATGAGGTGAGAAAACATCAGGCAGGCGAAGTCACAGTGCAGTCCCTGAAAATAATACCACATTTGCACGGCTACAAGTTTGTGTACGACCGAGTCAGCTTCATGAGTATTACAAATGATCAACAGTTTTCAGAAGCATTTAATGTCAAACCTGCCGTCATGCCGGTTTCAGTGAATAACGTACTGTAACAACTAATCGTCAAATACTTTATAGTTGCAATAATGCAAATACACAGACCTCGTCGCGACTGATTAGTTCGTTGCTAAATGTCAGTCCCGGCATCAAACCACGCTTTTTCAGCCAGAAGATGGATGCAAACGATCCAGAGAAGAAAATTCCCTCAACGGCTGCAAAGGCAATTATCCGCTCCCCATATGTCGCGTTCGTATTGCTGATCCAGTTCAGCGCCCAATCGGCTTTCTTTTTCACACATGGCATTGTTTCGATCGCATTAAACAAGTATTCGCTACAAAAGTAACACATTAAAGAATCCTAGATTACGTAATCTTGCTGTATATTATTATTAATCTACAAAAGATTTACAATCTCAACACACAAATACCAAAGCAGTTATTCAAACAATCTAACGAACTGTAATTGTACTAACCGTTCAGCAGGATCCTTGATATATGTATCGATCAGTAGGCTGTACATTTCCGAATGGATATTTTCAATAGCTATTTGAAATCCATAAAAGCAGCGAGCTTCTGTAACTTGCACTTCTTGGCTGAAACGCTCTACCTGTAAAATAAGAGTGAGATTCGTTATTACTATTTTTTGACAGAATTGGAGACAGAAAATCAAAGGCAAAACTTGCCAGATTTTCGTTGACGATGCCGTCGCTAGCGGCGAAGAAGGCAAGCACGTGAGAGATGAAATATCTCTCATCGTCTTTCAGCGACTCCCAGTGTTTGACATCTTTCGACAAGTCCACTTCTTCGGTTGTCCAGAAGGATGCCACGGCTTTTTTGTACATCTACCGAAATTCAGTAATCAGTATGCATACCAGACAATATTAAAAATTACGAATCAAATATTTTTCTCCAGCTTAAAGGAAATCAGATTGAAAATACCGAATACTCTAGCATGTTTTCACCTTCCAGATATCATGATATCGAATGGGGAAAATAACGAAACGTCCGGGATTTTCCTCCAGAAGCGGTTCACGATCTGTGTTCTCTGTATTTTCGGCTTTTGAGGGCGTGATAGCCTTAAAGGGGCTGCGAATGGGGTTTTTCTTGGGGCTGCTTAAGTTCATTTCGGCCAGAGGTTTATACAGGGTTTTAGTTGGGGAGTTCTTCGGGGAAGGCCTTGAATAAGGTTTCGAAGCCATGCTGGAACCGGAAACTGAAATACAAAATATGAAACTTCGTGATTGCTATCCGGTATCCCCTATCGCACGCTTTTTGTTAGTAAACTACGCCATACATAGTACTTATTAATTTTGTAGGCGTTCGGTTTTCAGCCGTTCTTTACCTAAAGTTTTCAACTACAAGTGCTGTATGCCGCTACAGTTTTGTACAATCAATAACACTTCAAAGTATACTGCAAAACTGCAAATATATACTGCAAAACCCATTGCGGTGAATTCGTGTAGCACAGTTTATCTTCTTAAAAACGCCTCATGCCAACATAAAAACTAAATAATTTACAGCATTCGCAAATTTGCCGAAGCTTTGGTTCATAGCAAAAAAAAATACAAAAGCTATTATTATTAACTTTCATGTACAGTACTACACTCAAAACTCGTGTTATCAATGTTCATTTCGGCGATTTCGCAATGAATTGTTCGACCATCTACGGTAGACTCTACTTAGAGTAAGTGCCAAGTTGCCAACCATCAACATGCATATCAGCTTGCCGCCAAAATAGTAGGCGGAATCACCACCGGGATGATGCTAGACCATTCCCGCCTTGTAGCGGAACAGTCTGGTACGTGCATGCAGATGGCAGACCATAGAATCAAGAATGCTTTATCATTTTGCCGCTCAAAACATTTTAGCGATGATCCTAGCCTTTAATTAGTTTAATACCGATATATCGTATCCTTACCGCACGCAGACTGATAGGTTCGAAATCTGGAACTTTTGTTGTTTCACTTACCGTTGACATAGTAGTAGACTATTTACTAGTAGTGAGTACTAGTGACTCCGTTTTACAGTAACAGAATCAAAAACGACGCTATTTAGCTTTTAATTTAAAACATTTAATTTAGGGCGGCAAGACAGTTTTATCTCAATTATCTGTATTTTATAATTGGTATTTGTATTTCATAATATGATAATTGTACTATGATATTAACAGTGTGTGTTTTATAACTGTATTATTACTATTAACTAAAGAGTACTTCTGTATTTGTAATTATACCATCGGTGCAAATCATCATGAGAGCCACTGACGTAAACAATAACAATCGAGTTTTGCAGCTTGAATTTTAGTCGTTAAGTTTCAGTCGGTCTACATACCTTGAAAATCCTGGCAAATAAATTGAAAGGGCGACAAAATGCGAAAACAGCAGTTTATAAGTTCAAGGCGTCAAGCAGTCCCGATGTCCCTACAGTCCTGACGAAAGAAAAATTGACTGTTTCTAGTGGGTATCGTAACCACCATAGAGTCAAACCTTTCAAGAAAAATTAATGCAAGTTTCGGGTTTCGGGAAAACCTAACCGTTAGATTCGGTTTGAAAATAAATTGTACACCGAGGTGTGCGCGCGGAGCTCAAAAATTAATGGCAACTCAAACTGCGGCGTTTCACGGTTTCAGTTTGACAAGCGATAAAAGTGCTCGTACGTACCGCGGTACAGAACTTTTGGCGCACAATAAAAGAGATGGAAAGCCATTCAGTCCAAATGAATGGTTAGGATTACAATGTAGGCTGCTCGATAAACCATTCGGCCCTGCATCGTGTACATGACGTCAAAGGTAGTTGAGTGCCTCCTTTTGCTGCCTTGGCTGTTGTTCCTTGTTCCAAACTTCCAGCCTAGCTTTCTGTAGGATCGTTGAAGAACTGCATTTGTTACACTTTCCACTTTCTACCATATTATGGTAGAAATCTGTTGTAGACGGATTAAAAGAAAGCGCTTATAAATTCTATTTTTTAAATAGAAATGACTGTTCTTGTTGTCAATGGTTAGATATTAAGGGATTTTATATAGTTAAGAACGATCGAGTTTGCGTCCAGAATCACGCGATGAGACCCTTTCCACAACATTCTGCAAAAGTTTCCGCTGCAGACTGTATAGAATATACCGATTTCTCCAGCTGCCCAGCTTAACAGCCTGGCAAAGTTATTTCCCGCAAGTTTTATTGCTGTTTGACTCCACGTTTAGTGTCTCGTGAACCATGAGAGATGTTTATCTGGGCACCACTCACGAATCCTATTTAAGTTTGAATGACATCATGGTAACCGAGGAGAAAATCAGCTGTTCACTTCGGGTCGATTTCGCGGGTCTCGGTAAGAAATCCGCATCTTCTATTTTCGTACTTTTTGATTTAAGTTAGAAGTACTTAATCTGTAATGCCATCGTTCCCTACTCTATTGTTTAGTAAATTAGCAATAGCGCTCTGACATTCAGAAATCGGAATAGCTATTTGTTGGTCGTGTGATTTGTGTAGATTGGCAGGGAGTTCATAACTTGTTAACAATTTATCATCTGGTCATTTGCAGATTTGCTATTTTATTTTAGGATACATCCATCCTAATAGTGCTTCTGGAGATTTGCTTGCCACTCCGCATCCAAATGTATTCACAGTCTTAGATTTGCCGTTGTGGATGGCGCAAGCGTTATATGACCGGAGACATGTCGAAGTTCGTGTGCCTAAAGCCTACCAGGAAGATGCTCGACGTATTTTGAAGGCCGATCCCGGTGTGGTTGATCTACGTAAAGAATGCACAGCTGGGGCGAAATGGAGATTCTCGGAAAATTACTATGCTTTGGGACTTTATGTGATACCGATGTCAGTCAGGGACCGTACTGAGATCCAGAAATCATTGACGGATGTAAGTATGTTGTGCAATTGTGGAATGTTCGCTTTGCGAGAAACTTTGGTGCATTTGAAGCGGTGCGAACGGTTACGAGCTTACTTATTACTCGAGTAGTTACTGCTACGTAATTATCACGAGATTAATTAATTATTACTAACTCAGTAGTCAGTACTAATGTAGTTAATAGTTATCGGAGATTGGTTTTACAAGTGCAGCGTATAAAACTAGCTTGAAGCTGCAGCAAAAAGCACAATGGTGGTTCTAAAGGTGTAAACAATTTTTTTTGAAAATATTAGTTACGGTTAATTGCCACTGTCTCACTGGCATTATTTATTAAATGTGACGAGACACGAGGTGAGCATAGAATCATAGACGGTACTGTACTTTTAAGTAAGTACTGTACTTACTCATAGTGGCTGTTACAATACCTCATTATAATTATTTTAGTAAATTAATTATGAGTAGAAGTATAGGTGATATTTACATTTTAAATTGTGACCATAGAGGCAGTGCTTTATACTGTAATTGATTTTATGTGCGGTTCTGCGTTTTGTTTGCTACTCTAACTTGTAAGTTCTGGCTTTCCTGTTTGATCTGCCAAAAGTTGCCGATACTTAACCAATGAAAAACTATAATTTAAAAAAATATTTCCGCACTCGTATACGTACTAACGTAGACTAGTTTCAGTAAGTACTTCAAAAGTACAGAAAGTCAGGAACAGAACTGAAAAATGCAAATCTGCAATTTGGATTGCGAAGATACCGAACCTGGGTATTTACCGTTTCGGATTAATTTTGCAGACTTTTATTCATCGATTTCGAAAGATTTTTGACTGGTCAAACAGCACGCATCGCGACATTCTTTCGCAATACACAAATCGACTGGACAGGTCGGAGGTGCAACTTCTTAAAACCGGAAAAGCCGAACAGACGATGGTTGTTCAGTGGCTAGAGCGGAAATCCAAGGTGTTAAAGGCTTCCACTCTGGTAAAAGAAAGTAAAACTACAAGACCACCGCCTATGTTTTCTGAACGACAGGTTGTTAAAAGGGCGCGTGTCTAGGTAACCTTATGTGATAGTGCTGTCTCTTTGCTGGGTGCCCGTGATTTGTATTTTTTGTTGTTTTTATTGCATTTCTTGTATTCTTAACGTCCTTTTTTGTGCCGGCAAAATTGATAATCTGACACTGTACTTACTGAAATCAGTGATGATTACCGAAAGTGTGTACATTTATTGTGTTGTGGTTAATCTTGTGGAAATTTACTATGCTGGGAGTCTGGGACCCTGGGTTTTCATACGTAATTAGCTGTGAAGGCAACGTACGTATCCAAATTATGTACTGTACCTCTTAATTTTAAATTGAAACTATTCCATGATTATTAAAAACAAAGGGAACTGTACAATTCACTGAAGCGCTGTTTTGAACGTCTGATTTTGACGCACACAAAAATCAGCATTACCCAACAACGCATAAATTCGACGCTATCTAACACCAGCAAAGCCACATAATTCCACTCGCTGGAATTTAAATACTCCATTAATAAAACTTGACGATGAGGATTGATGTGAATCATCGCCGTGGTCTTTTATGAGGATTGCTCGGGTAAGCGTCATGTCGATCCCTGTTTCGCTGATTATCGTACCCATACGAGTCAGAGCGACTGTATCCAGCAGAAAATGATCGCTGGTAATCGCGGTTACTGTAATTCTCATAGCCTCCATAATATTCATCGTGACGAGTGCTAGAAGAATATCGTGAATCTTCGTACGCAGAATCCTGTGATCGAGAACCATAACTGTGAGAGTGATGCGATCGTGCATCACGAGAATCCCCCCGATAAGAAGCGGATGCAGTGTAAGATCCATGATTGTCTAAATCTCCATAACCGTAATTTTGACCCGGTATTTCCTGTGGCGACGCGCTAGGCTGCGGCGTCAGAAAATATCCAGACAGGTAGCTGAGAGGCGGAATGGCATTGACGGAAACCAGCAGCTCTTTGTTGGTGTCATTCACTTGGTCCAGGCCAGGCGGAATTTCAAAAAACGTCGGAGCAAAAGGCGGATACCGAGGACGTGGTTTGGCTTTATGTACTCCGGAATAATTCAGCGACAGCGAACTGCGAAACAAGGTGACTTGATCGAGCACGAGCATAGCATAGCGAACACTAACCGCGTGCTCGAAACGCACGAAAGCCATAGTTTTCGTTGCGTGTTCTTTAGGAGGAACCAAGTTGATCGACTCTACTGGACCTGCCTGCACCATCAACTCGTACAACATTTTCCGTGTAACTCGGGCATCCACATTTCCAGCAAACAAGGTCCGAGCTGTTGGACTCTCATCATGGGTGAGAAATTCTGTAAGGCCTTCCAGAGACTCGTTCCCTCCTGATCCATAATTTGAAGACCGATAGTGTGAAGACATTATGGATATATGTAGCTCGGCTTATCCTGGCACTGCGGCACTACTCGAAAATACTTTTCAAAAGACGCCCTCCAGGCTCCAGGATTTCTGAAATGAAATGCCCACAAACTCGACCGAATCAGCCAATACAGTAAAGTTCAGAAAGAAAATCAGCGATGAAAATACTTACATAAAATTTTCATTATTGGCATTTGTCTCATAATCTCATTTGAGATTTGTCCATTTGCCGTTGCGTCGTTACTTATTTTTGTGTGAGAGACTGACTCTTTCTGCGCCACTGGGCGGGACAGTATTCTACACTTCTTTCGATTGGGTCACCGCCACCGGTCGCTTCCGGTGCCGGCAGGACCTCACAAACGCTTGCCCGCTGTGCATATCCTGGCGAGTGACGGCTGGCAAGATAGTGCCTAACGAAACGTTTCACTTTCATAGCATTTTGATATTCTTAAAATTAAAAATCGTAGAGCCACCCGTGTTCCGCACCGTTTTGTTTAAGAATCTGTCAGGAGAAACTGTTGATAAGAGCTTCCTGTTAGGGAACTTTTTTGTTTTCCTTTTACCGTATGAACACACTGGTGGCCCTGGCACATTGTTGGTGACATGCCTCCACAAGAACGCGGATTTATAAAGCCAGGTACAACCGTAGACGGTCAAATATCTATTCGTCGAACTATTATCAAAATGTTCCCTGTCAGGCTCTAGAGACTAACAACTGGTCAATTAAAGTATGTAAATTGTTCGAGGCTAAGAACAGGGTAAGATAGTATGGCTGCGTCGTTGATTTGAATGGGTGAATTTGTGGTAAATGCAGCTGTAATACGTGTTGTCAATGTTGTCCCAGATGATGCTCCTCAGGCCCCGGGATGGCGCGAGGAGCGCTTCGACAATTTCAGTGAATTTTCGGGGGCTGCATTTGTTTATAATCCATGGCGTCATTACTCGATCGATCAGCAACGACAGCGCTTGCCGATCTTCAAGTTTCGGAATCACATCCTGTATTCTTTGGAGAACTTCCAGACTACCATTATTGTGGGTGAAACGGGATGTGGAAAAACAACTCAGATTCCACAGTATCTTGTGGAGGCGGGATGGTGTTCCAAAGCAGGAACCAGAGTGGGCGTAACGCAGCCGCGAAGAGTTGCAGCCATTACGGTATGCATCGTCGGGATGACTAGTTTGAATCAAAAGCTTATGAATTTACTTTTTTTTATTTACAAGACTGACTCCATGATGGTGTGTTCGCAGATCTCTCAACGCGTAGCAGAAGAACGCGGTGTTAAGCTTGGTCGCGAAGTAGGATATGTTGTGCGTTTTGATGATTGCTCCAGCGCGCAGACCAAAATAAAATTCGTTACTGACGGAATTCTTGTCCGCGAAATGATGGCAGATCCCTTGCTGCAACAGTACAGTGTTCTCATGCTGGATGAAGGTATTGCACAGTACTCCTTTCTTTGCTTAAAGTTTAACTTTGTGATACCTATTTTTTACCGTAGCACGCATTAAACGTTATTATTAATAGATTAAATCATTAACAGTCGCTTATGTAGTTTTTTTTTGAAAATTGTCAACGGGACTTTTAATAAATCGTTAGTCCACTTCTTTTAGTTCACGAAAGAAGCATTCAGACCGACATCGCCCTTGGACTGCTAAAGAAAATTCTTAAAAAAAGAGAGAATTTGAGACTGATCATTAGTTCTGCCACATTGGATGCGGAATATCTTCGAGACTTTTTTAACATGAAAGACAGTATTAATCCAACATCCACGATTCTGACTATCGAAGGCCGCACATTTCCGGTAGATGTGTTTTATCTTCAAGATCCAACTCCGAACTACCTGAATGCGTCCGTTGAAACTGTGGTAAAAATCCATCGCAGTGAGCCAATGGGTGATGTTCTGGTATTCCTGACCGGCATGGAAGAAGTCGACCAGTGTTGTCGCTTGTTAGACGAGCATGCCGATGCGTTGGAACGGGAGACAGCCACTAAATTAAGCATTCGACCACTGTACGGCGCTCTTCCTCCTGGCGACCAGCTGAAAGCCTTCGAGTTACCGTTAGCAAAAACACGGAAAGTGGTGGTGGCTACAAATATAGCGGAGACTAGCGTCACCATCAGCGGCATTGTCTACATCGTTGATTGTGGTTTCGTGAAAATTCGCGCGTTTAATCCTCGAAGTGGAATAGACAGTCTTACCATAGTTCCCACCAGTAAGGCATCCGCGGAACAGCGCGCCGGGCGTGCAGGGCGTGTGCGCTCGGGTAAAGCATACCGATTGTATAGTGAGGATGCGTACCGAACTCTAGAAAACGCTAGCGTACCGGAACTGCAGCGGACCAGTATGGCACCGGTTATTTTACAGCTGAAAGCCCTGGGTGTGGATAACATCCTGAGATTTAATTATCCGTCCCAGCCGCCATCGGAAAATATGATACAGGGTCTGGAGTTGTTACATGGTTTGGGAGCGCTGGATGAGAATGGTACCCTGACAGAGCCACTGGGGATGCGTATGGCTGAGTTACCGTTGCAGCCCATGTTAGCCAAGATGCTGCTAACTGCGCACCAACATGACTGTGTGGAGGAGGCCTTATCCATCGCCGCCATCCTCCAGGTCGAACAAGTATTCATTAAGCCGGGCCGGGGTGAGCTGAAGGTCCACGCTGAACGGTGTCGAAGGAAGTTCTCCGTTTTGGAGGGCGACCATATCACATTGCTGAATGTATATACTGCTTTTCTCCATTATGGGAAAAGTAGCCAGTGGTGTCGACAGCATTTTCTGCATTATAAGGGATTGTGTCGGGCCGTGGAAATCCGTGCACAATTGGTTAAATTGCTGTCCCGGTTAAAAGTTCCGGCCAAAAATTCTGCAGGTTGGTTTTGCGATGGGTGTTTTGTATTAGCCCGTGGCAGAGCAAGAGTAACTATGGTATTTTTGTTTAGAGCAAGTTGCGGGTGCTTTATATGACATTGACAACGTTCGCCGTTGCATTGTATCGGGATTTTTTGCTAACGCCGCATATCGACATTACTCCGGATCGTATCGTACGGTACGAGATGATCACGAGCTGCATATTCATCCTGGATCGGTCCTTTATACGGAAAAACCTCCAGACTGGTAGGCGTTTTCTTCCGAATTTGATTACGTAACAATAAGCTCTTGGTTTTAGCAGTCGCAGTAGAGTTTTTTTTCCTTTTGTGTTCGTTTTGTTCTTTACAATTTTTATGTGTGCTTTCAGTGCATTGATTATCCCTATAAAGCTCTGCTAATTAGTGATTGTCATTTGGTTATTTCAGGGTTGTTTACAATGAAGTTCTGCAGACCAATCAGGAATACATGAGAGATGTGACCGCCATTGAACCGCAGTGGTTATATGAACTTGCACCACATTATTATCAATACGCTACCGAAAGAGAACTGCTATCTAAAAAGTTCAAAGAATCGGAGAACGACTGAGAGTCTGGATAGTAAAATTCAGTACTATTCATCATTAATTTTGCATCCTGTATATGGTTGTGTACTGCAGCAGCTCTTTTAGGTAAGTCTGGTGTTGTTTTTTATTATATTTCCTTAGCCGCCAGCGGTCTAAGAAATGCTGTAGTGAAAATCAGGCACGAAATTTATTTTGTAATATCGAAAGCTGAGATTACTGGAAAATGTGATAAGTTAATTTTTGCATGGTACTACCCAAATTGAAGGCATTAGTTTGTCTAATGCTTCCAGTTTGAGAACATTACATTAGAATCTTGAAGTACCAAAAGCAGGCAATTTTAATTCTAAACCGGAATAAGGATTAAACATACGGACGAGGTTCAGTTCTAATAGGTTACAGAGCGCTGACGGAATTGTTTAAGTACTGTAACTGCTTTATACAGTATCGTTGTCGTTGCTTAGCTTGTGCAGTATACAGTAATTTAATATTTTGGACCACGATTAAATTATGACTTCCGCTAGTGACCCTTACTAGCATCTTCCAGTTCCAGTTAGTTTTTAACATGCTTTCGGTTTTGGCGATATTACTGATTAATGAATGATACCCGGCTCCGCAGAGGAAATGTTAACCGGACCCGAGTCCATGTACATTATTTGTGCTATGGACTATGGTCATTTATCAGCCGCATGGCGATATGCATGCGAACTTTATCGTCCCTTTACGTACTGTACATTAATTTGCCAAACCACCACACTGCTGAATATGTTCTCGTACTTGACCTAGATTCCTTGATCTGCCCACTGAGTGACCACTCTTCACCACCACTGCTCTGGAAAGTTTGCCTTTGCTCGCGCCAGCCGGCGTGGGTAAACTTTGTTAGACCGAGAGAAGTTTGACCACGTTTGAACGTGTAGCCCACCGTTTCAAGAAGACCGTATGTGATGTGCACTATGTTCGTTCCGGCTGCATCGCCATCGATTTGTTCTGAGGATTTCTGACAAATGTTATGCCGTGCAACTACTCAGCAGCGTTAGCAATAAACTGGCCGTTTCCGTGTTTCGGAGAATCCACGATGACGTACGCACAAATTAATGGACAAGCTATGCGAAAATCCCAATTTTTACATTTTGTCGGGTAATCGGCGAATCGCCAGCTTTACAGCATGCGGTTCGTTAATTGTTAAGTAGGTGTAAATAATGACACCGCACACGTGATGTGATGAATTAAGTACCAACATACTGTAATTGGAAGAAAAGTTTCGTAGGAACTAACAAGTAAATAATTGTTTATGGAAAAATTCCATGTTCCTTGGGTATCATTGTGAAATTATTTATGTATTTTTTTATTGGACGGAAGTTTTTCGGAAAGTTACGAATTAAAAGTGTTGAACGCAGAAACTGGCAGATCGGTGGATCTGGTAAATAACCTTTGGAACATCGTTTCTCGGGCGATGTTAAATGTGTGTGGCGTGGGCTTGCTTTTTCGTTAATAGTGGAAGGATATTCATAGCATACACGTGCATGCGTCGATAGTCCCGTTGACCAGTGGCCACATTATCCAGGGCACCAACTGTATTTGACCAGTTGAAAGCATGGGCTTTACTATCCAACGGTTGTACTTCTTTGTTCAATTTACTACTGTAAACGTTTACGTTCTCCTGCTACACTTCTCTCTTTCCCCTTCAAACTGCCTCCAGCAGATTGTTACTGCACGCACTGGTCAGCAGCAGTTCGCTCTCTTGTCCAGGGAGATAACTCGCTATGGTCAGTCGTGCATGCGTATGTAGGCGCTTGTATACAGCTACAACATGACCGCACTCACCAAACAACCCGGCCACAACGTTAACCGGGGCTGCAGGCCGCACAGTTATCTCGCCATGGCCAAATTACAATCAATAACGGACCCTGTAAAGCAGGTGCTGGGTATGCTGCTGCTGCTTGCAGCCGGCCATCACACTTGTAAGCTGCGAAACAGGGGCAGGACTGAACAACGCTGTGAGTAGCCAGCAGGCATCCAGTCATACGCTGAACCACACAGCAGAAGGGTTTGAATAACAGGTCCAACATCAGCTCACTCAAAAGGCTGGCTGTCCGTAGAAAGAAGCCGGACATTGGCTGCACGGCTTTTATCGTCAGTACAGTAACTGTTAGTCTCCACAAAATTAGTTCGCCCAAACTGCAGTATTCAGTCGTCGCTTCGTAGTCTGCGAACTCTTCTTGTACCTGCTCCATATGTTTTGGCATTTCTGGCTGGGTCCACGAGTGCATGTTTTACCGACAATGCTAATTTTGTAATAAGTACAGGATGATCTTGTACAAAGTTTAGGCGTATTAATATAAGTAGCTTGTATGTTTAGACAGTAGACACCGTGTCATCTGCTGAACACGTACGTTTCTCAACTTCTCGCAAATCCTAGCGTAGTTACATCACCGGTGATTGTTGCACATTCTTGGACACCTGCCAACAGCAGTTCGGTTCTTGTTAACGTTGGCTGTTGCAGCCTGCTCCAGTTTTTCCAGTTAGTGTCAGTGGCAACGCAGCTTTGCCGGGTGGTAAATTCGTTTCCGAGCCGGCACGATAATGTCTCGTTCTAAGTCGTCCAGTTCTGCTGCTCCAACGATGGATCCAGGTAATTAACAATAAGTAACGGACTTGTTTGTTTACATCTACAAAAAATGAGACTGCGCAAAATTATGCGCTGGCGGCATGCCGATTATGTTTTACAATTAGCCATACGTAGTTTAAGGAATATTAATATTGGTTTGATTTTAATAATGTGAGATAGAGCGGACATTGTACATACTCATATTGTACAAGCCAGTATCCTTACTTACAACAATTCTACCGCCTTCCTAGTTATTGTTTGGGATCGATTATGGGCGGTTGTGTGTTAAGGTACAGTGTTGTAAATGCACGGAACTTATTCCTGAGTGGGATTTATGATAGATTTTAAATATTTTGGTATGGAAGGGGTTTCTGTTAACACCATCTTAAGTCCATATTTATAACAGTTGCACTCTGCAACAGCATGATCAGCATCGTGCTGGATTTCTGCAAAACTTTACTGCGTCCTGTTTGGTAGAAATAAAGGATGGGGCCGACAGTTATAGCGCTCACCAACGGACATTATTTACGATAGACGTATAGTGATCCCTGTGCATCTGACAATTGTGAAAGCCTGAAAGCTTGCTCGCCAGTGGCCATCTGCCGTGGTTCGGCGCAAGTTTGCCTTGTGGTTGCCGGCCACTGGCTGCTGCAGCAGTGATGTTATGAGTGCAAGTCGCTTTGTTCTGTTGTGGTGAGACGTTTGACTTCGGGTTGATGCCGTACGTTTCAGCGGCACAAGTTGTTACTCTTTCTTTGAAAAGCTATTGCTTTTCTCCAAAAAAACTTTTGCGTTTACTCCGACGCAAAAACATGTGCTCTTATAATTATAATTCTGGATCTATAATTGTAATTTTAGATATTTCATCGAGTTTACCGGCTTTTTATTAGTAACAGTAAATAGAATGATACTACAAAAGATAAAACTATAATTTTATATACGAGTAACGATGCAGGTACTTAATACTGATCACACCGGCACATGCAGTTCGTACACTCGTTGCGAACTTGCTTTTATATGCTAAAATGGTTTTGATAAATGACGGTTAAAAAATTTTTACTTCAAATGCGGCGTCCATGCTCGCATTAAACCCAGAGTAGGAAAACCCAGAGAATCTTAATGAAATTTTGTTGTCGTCATTACTGCTTTGTTGAATTATTTATTGCAAAGGTTGAAGAAAGTAAAAATTTGTGAACCGAAAAAACTATTACAGTGCTAATAGACTTGCATTTAAAATAAAAACTTGCGTGCAATATTATCTTTAAATTACCATGGTACTCAGGTACCGCTGCTCCAACCGGCCGCGCTCAGTTCTCGATTCCGGATTTACTTCAGTTGTACCGGCAAACACTGTATATGGCTTGCAAAGAGGCGGATTTGTCAGCAGCCGGCAATCCTTTCGGTGAAGACGGTTTGGCTGCCATTCGATCGGATTTGGACAATTGGAACAATGTGGAATTCGATCCACCTGGCTGTCTGCGACTATCCAAAAAGTCCGGAGCATGCCAAAAAATTGTGTCTTACTGGAAAAAACTTCTTGGAAGTATTCTTACGGATCGGGTATGTGGCTATACCGTGCGACTGAGCCTTGCACAAATACCAGTAGGAGTTTCAAACAACACACGCTAGCGTTTTTTTGTGACTAATTTTTGTTATTAATTTTGATGCGGTTAAAGTACGTTTTCCCCGTGGTATCTTTTGCTTCTCATAGTCAAAGATCACAACCAGTCTGCAAGGGAAATTATAGTGGTGCTCGTAATTTTACAGGATCCCTCCAGTTTCGGCAATCACGACCGCGGTGTTATGACAATCTGCAAGCTTTTGCATAAGGATTTTCAAGTGGCCGTTCTGGCTATTACAAAGTGGAATGAAAGGGATTTTCCGAATATCCCCACCGATCAAGTGAAAGAAAAACTTAGTATGAACCAGCTGACCTTTCTGTGCCGCCGCTACCACAACGATCTGACACTGATCGCTCATGCGTTCAAGTCTAGCATCGCTAACAATGATTTCAAATACCTCAATCCACGGTGCGATATGGTCATCACTCATTAGTGCGACAATGAATTATCTGACTTTTTTAGTAAAAAAAGGTAACTTGTAATGTTTTTTTCAGATCAACGGAAACATATCCAATAGACAATGCGGAATACGAATCCAAAGAAGAGGATAACGCTCACGATACTCCACCGAAACAGGAAAAGCGTAAACGTCCTTTCAATGGAGATGATGAGGGAATGGGAGTGGGCGCGAATGATACCTACGATATGTCGCCGAAGCTGGCGCAGTTGCCTTCGCGTCTTCCCGAAAAAAATTTTCCTACTTTTGCTAACCCTCTCACTGGGAATTCTCTTGCATTTCCCCCCAGTCAGAATCGGATACCGTACGAGCACGTAAGAACATACATTTCAGTCTAAAATACAAATGCAAATTCAAGTCTAAAATGTAAAAAACAAGAACTCAATAAAGGCTGTGTTTTTTCTGAGCCACCGGCAGTGCGTTTTAGTGAATGCAGCGACCAGCGGGTTGTTTTTTTCTACTCAGGATGCCAGCATTCTCAAATCATTGTTGCCAAAAGCGGATGGCAATCGAGGTCATGAGGCGCAGTTTTCGGCACCGCTGGATTTGGATCGTCATCCTCAGAAATCTCCCAAATTAAATGGCACTCAGACGGCACAGTATGCGAACCAGCAGGCTAGCCAACCTTCTCGTGTGCGCACTGAAGGACGAGAAGATCCCAATGCGGAAATACAGCGTCTACGCAATAAAAATAAGAAATATGTCGGCATAATTATGAATTTGGTCGAACAGTTGGTGCAAGTGGGACAAATTCCCTTCGTGGATCTGCGTTCCATTGAGCAGGAAGACCGGGTACGTAGGAGATACCAAGAAGTAATACGAAATCAATTTTTTTGAAAAAACTTCAGTCTCATGCCTTATTAAAGCGCTGTTGGTTTTGCCAAGTTCCCAGTAACCTTTCTGCACCTTTGTTTTCCATGATACAGACCTCACCCTTCAATACTGTTCTAATCTCTAAATAAAATTTGTGCACAAAGGTTTTTTTTGAATTTTTGTAAGTAATATCCTTGACATTCGTTTTTTATCCATTTAGGATCAGCAGCAGTCAAACACTATCATCGCTCCGGAACCACCGATCGCCGCGTCCCGCAATCCTGAACAGTCCGTGCCCCGGCGTAATTCAAGCTCATCGACCACGAGTGTCTATATTAATGGCCACACACAAAAGCGTGATGTGCAGCCATCTCCTGTTAATTACTCGGATCCACGCCGCAAAGTACCGAAACCGATGCCGCAGGTGACCTTTGACCGCACGACCATGCGCTGGAGCGATTCGGCTTCTGGGCAGGATTCCAACCACGGAGCCGTGGCTCAGCGGAATGCATATCCCGCTACCGTGATTCGTGTCCCTCCGGTGGTCAACGGTGCGGTTCGCTCTACCCTGTCATCGCTGCTCGAATCGCCATCCGGTAGCCCGGTCATCGACGCGAAAACCGAGCATCACTCGCAGATGAACGGTCACGGTGTAAAGAGCAAACGAAAGAACAATCCCGTTAAACGCGAGCTGCCGGGCTATGCGCCGCGATCGGTGGCGTCGCCGGATGCCAGTGGGACATCGGATGATACAGCCTCCGTAGCGTCGACCGATCTGAATAAGAACGTCCGAGCCAACCTCTTTGTTCCGCCCGTGGAAACAACATACGTGGATAATCGTGGAGGTGCAACACAGGAAGGAACCAAGATGGATCACCGCAACGAGAATGGGGCCAGCAAGAAGAAGTGTAATCTGCAGAGCCTCACGGATAGTTTAATGTTTGCGAACAGTGGACTGACGTCGATGGCGGCGGCTGCTACCGTGGATGGTAACGATGGCCAGACGACTGCACGTATTGTTCCGGGTTCGGTGGTTTTTGGTCGAGCGCGGGATGGCTGTTTGTATCCCGCAGAAGTGGTGGAAAAATTGGAGAACAGGTAAAAATTTGAACAAATTACCCAAGCTAATTTAGGCTTTTCATTTATTCTGAATTATGCGTTTTTCAGCTTTGTGGTTGCTTGGATGCATGCAAATTCTTCAGCCAGTTTACGAGCAGAAGACGTCTTCTCTCTGGAAGAGGTTCTTAAACCATACCAAGAAATTCGATACAGAAATGAGGACGAAGTGCATCGAGCAGTTTTTGTGGACCGTAATCGCAACCATTCTTGCTCTATTCTCAATTTGTTTGGCCATCAAAAGCGGTACGTCATGGTTATAAAGTTTTCAGCTTGCATCTAAATATTTGCGATTAAACTTACTTGGTACTTACCGCTAGTGGCATGGCAGGTTATAAGTGGCTGTTAAGGAAAGGTTAATATTTGTGACCAACAGGTGTCATCTCGCGGATATATTTGTTCCCGATGAGAAATACGAAGATTATGATGATCATGGACAACGAGAATATCTAAACGAAGCTCTGGAGTCACATGAAGCTGCTGCTCTGCAGAACTTATCGGCAAATTTGTTTCCGCGCACGGTCACACGAGGTTCTCGCACAGCGTATTTTCGAGGATGCTGTTTCATTCTGACGTCGCAGAAGAACAGTTTGTTCAAGGGATACGACGATGATCAGATCATTGGGCTGATCCAGGCGTTGGGTGGCAGTGTAGTGAAAAAGTTCGAAGATCTTGTTGCGGTAAGTTTAATGAATAAATTGTTGCTCAGGCTGGTGTGTTGTTTTAATTGAATTACAGAATATACCGGAAGTAGAGAAATGAGCAAAGGATTATTAAATATATAAAGTCTGGCAACTGCAAGAGCAGAAGCAGAAGCGCTGGCGAAAGTTGCTTATTGCTAACTTGTGTTGTAGCAGGGAGAGGAAAAGTACCTGGTCGCACCGTGTACCTGTGGAACTCCCAAGTTTTTCCAATGCCTCGCGGCCAACATTCCCTGCGTATCGTACCAGTGGATCATCGACTGCCACAATGACCGGTCCAAGTTGGATATCAGTCCATACATTTTACCGGCAGGAATGGACGGGGAGCAAGTAGTTCTTTGGTTAGTATCTGTAAATTTACAAAAATGCCCAATTTTCTTGTATGGTTTCTTGTTTGTAATTTTTATAACGCTTTAAGCCGGTGAATTTTGAGCTGTATACTCGTAACTGTTATTACAACTACTTTTCTGGTTGGTAGTGTATGAGATTTGGAAGCATTTGGTAGAAGACAAACCTGCAGTTTCATCAAGCAGGCTCGCTTGGTTATAGACAGTACTTTTCCAAAAAAGGATGAAAAATGCATTAAAACGGGTGGATTTTAGGAATCCACGTACCTTTATGTTTGGCGATCAGCGGATTGGCCTGTATGAGGCCGCATCCAAATTGTGCGAAACGTGGTTTTTGGCGCTCAAGTCCGGAAATGTGGATGTTCATGTGGTTGACCCGGATAGCGCTGTGAAAGGTTAGTTTTTAGATAGGTTATTTCTATGCGATATTGTCGCTCCTGTATTGGAACTTCAGACTTAAGTAGAAGAGATGTCGGTAGACTTCTGGACTTTCCAAAGACGTAATCGCGGAGAACGCATTTGTGCCTTGCGGCCTTGCTGTATGTACTGTAGTACAGTATATGGCACTTCTGTCAGTCTTTGTCTGGTATCGAATATTGCGCGGCGTTTAGATTGCGTTTTTGGATTATTTTTAATTTAAAATTTTCAGATCTGCAAAGCGTTGAAGTGCTGGTGGTTGAACGCTCATGTAGCCAAGCACTGCGGGATGCGGCGGCAGGCAGTGGAGTGCATGTTGTTAATGAAAACTGGTTAAAGAAAAGCCTGGTCCATGGAAAAATGCAGCTATGGAATAATCCTGAATTTGCGCCTGAAATCGAGTAGCACATTAACATCTTTGCGGATGGTTATAGTTCCAGTACTTTTGCTCAGCGGTTAAATTATTCCCGTAACTGTTGTCATTTGCTCACTTGAACTCATTGGTTCGAGCGGTCGTTCCAGTGCGTTTTCCTCATAACTTTGTATTTTGATTTTGTTTATTTTGCAACCTCAACGTTTTAGTAACTTCGTTCCTAATGGGATGGTATCGCGCTATAGTTTGCGGTGTTATCTTGAGAAAGTTGAGTTAAGAAATCAGGCGAATCGGTGAACTGCTTCTTTTTTGTTTTAATAACATTCTTGTTTATGTGTGAATTGTGTTTAAATTAACTTATTTACAGCACTTGTGTAATTGAGTAGCAGACCGTTGTAAGAACTATCGCTAAACGAAATAAAAATGCGATATAACTCACGATCACTATCGCTAAACGAACGTGGTGCAAACCAGATACAAAGCAGTTTAAAATGTTTGAAAGCTTACTTAATGCGTACCAAGTTCAGGCCGCATTCAGGCATGCTTTGGTCCAGGAATAAAAGTATAGGAGGGATAAGATTTCTCCCATGTACTAGTACCTTGCTTTTCACTACGTAATAATTTTGTGCAGTGCAAACTTCCTTTAAAATTTAAATACGATAAATCAAATACAAGTTATACTACACTAACTACAGTATGCAGTCACGGCAGGTCTTATATATATGTACAGACCTCTGTAACTCAGTAGCCAGTGCTCGTGTACAAACTCGAAACCGTCAACAAGAATTAAAACTTTTGTCAGACTTTATAATCAGTGTACGTAATTCAAGATCGTATTCGCAAATCGTATTGTAAAGAACATGGCATCATATTAGCATTAAGAGAATGCGGTTTTGTAGCCGAAGTGTGCAATGTTATGCAATAGCACCGGCAGCATGTACGGCCTCATGATCAATGGCACTATAAACGCGTAATTTTGTTACTACGCATTAGTTGAATGGAAATGATGTTTGTGGTTGATTGCGCATGTGTTGTATGGCTGTTTTTGGTTAAGTGCTATTTGACAGAGAAAGCCGCACACAAGTTCTGGGCTACTCGTGTATATAGCGTAGAATGTAGATGCTGAGGATGAGCTTCTTTTTCAATGGCACACTACTGACCCAGAGACATAAAAAGGTTTTTTCTAGGTTACTTTCAGTTTCTGTGCAAGTGGCACGAAGAACGTGTAGCACAGCCGATAAATTGGCTGTTGCACATCATACACTGCAAAACTGGGCTCCCATTCAAGACAGATGTTCTGTTTTTTATGCGCTCTTACTTTCTCTCTCTTCTGTATTTGACTCGCTGCGTTAGAATGAACATCTTATGTATCATGTATATAACGAAAACGGAAGCCGAAATGGAATGTCAAACGCGTAATGTTCAAGTTTAGGTCAACCTCCGTCATTGAATTTGTAGCGCATTCTGTTTATGCGTAGCAAATTTACGTTGACCATCCGAGCCTATTGATTGTACATTGCTGGATATATCACCACGAATCCACATGCTCGATAGGGCAGGATATTCCCACAGTGCGGTTATTTGACAGTATTTTTCATCGCGGCGGCTGGCGTTGGCGGAGATAACGTTGTCAGCGACATACACTAGTACTCCATTTTCTCCGGTTTGAACGTACGCGTGGACCGCGTTGTAGCTGACACATTCCCGCAGCAAGGCGGTTAGGGATGAGAGCGGAAGTGGGTCACAGTTCGCCGAGGAGGACTTGATTGTGTCATAGCATAAAGCGATTTTGGTTCAGCTGCAAAAACTGTGTCAACCCTCAAACGCCGACATCGTAAAGGCGTCGACACACTGCAGCAGCTCAGCTCGGCATTATCAACTGGCGCTCTAATTCCGAAAAACAGTGGATTGGAGGTGTTAGAGCATTGCCAACCGCAGACATCGATGACGCTCAAGCAACCGGTAAGAGCCGAATTGTGCGGCAGGAACTGTCGGTCGCTAAATTGCGATAACTTTCTGAACATTTTTGTCTTTCGTTACAGTTTTAATAACGCAAGGATGATTAGCTTTTTGAGCTCAAAAGGCAATAACCAAGGAAAAGATTTGGATTACGCGGGATGCAACGGCTGAATTTGATCATGTGACGCGTATAAAAGGTAAATACTGAAAAGTAAACCCTGAAAGGTCTCAAAAAATTACGAGGGTTGACGAGCATTCAGGATCAGCTTGGGTTTACAAATAAATTTACAGGAAACTCATTAGTACTATTATTACTAATGAATTTTAGATAAATACATAAAAATAATCAGACCGAAATGCTGTGCACTGCAATGTACAATCACTGCAATGTCTAATTGGACCGAGTTTGTGGAATGCGGATGAGTAATTTAGCAAGTTTTAAGAGTGAGTCCAGCGATCAGTGAGCGCCGCAAGGTGTCCAATGCTGTCCATGCTATGATAATAGTATGATTATGATTAATGTTTATTAACAATAAAATGCTTATAATTTGCAAATATTTTAGCATGTGTGGGACTGTGGGTTTCGTTAGTACCAGAATACTGCACTACTGTTTATTACGAGCATGCTGCGACCTACAACTACAAGCATTTTCTGATTAACGCTTACGCCAAGTTGATTAGAATTTTTTAATAAACTCATTATTGCTCAAGTCAATTCGGCCTCGTTTTTAACGCAGATTTATACATCAGTTATCTCTGTCTAATTATATATCTGAATTACGCAAGTTATTCGTGTAATGGGTAACCACATAAATCTGCATTATACAGCAAACCACTTCACCGTGTTCTGGTTTCATTACGGCATTACCACTGAAAATGGGGTGATTGACTGGCCTAGTTTTGATAACGGTTCACTGTACTCGTCGGCAATTTCACGTTGTGGGCGTAGCTAACACACATCTTTGAATCAAAGTCACGACCTTAAACAGGCTGTGCCAACCCGAAAATAATACGAGCGATGCCGGGTTGTGCAGGAAATGTTCCTTAGCTTGATTCGCCGGCCAGACGTAATTATAGGAGTGGCTAAGAGGCCGTGTGACGCCACCATAACAAGGTCTGATCCCGGTAATGTTGTTAATCTCCGGTCAATCTCCTGTGCGCGGTCTGCACACACAGGATATAGAATCTCTGTCTGTTCAAGGTAAATACGGTAGATCCATTTTGACCAGCCGTTACTCTGCTTGATTTAACCATGTTTGTTTACACTGTTGTTGAACTTCTTATCTGAACGGCATGACAATGACAGTCTACCGCAATCGTAATAATATGGCCTAGGCTGATTATTTTTCTGTTTTAATATTTTACGTTTCACTAATTCATGGCTTGATCGGAATCGGCATTTTGAACTTGAACGTGATTAGTAATCTAGTAATGCTCTGTGAATTATCGAGTGCAGTCCGATAATGATGGAAATCATTTCACTTATTTCGGTTTTTCTTCAAACGTGCAGAGCTGATGAATCAGGTCAACAGCAGTTACTTACTGCATGACGTTTGACAGGAGTGTTACACGCATTTGTTGTTCTCGATGATATTAATAAAAATAATAATACGTTGACTGGATTGACCAAGACTGACAGCTGATCTTGACAACAGCTTGTGCTTAACCATTGGAATTTGCTGCGTGACTGTTGCGATTATTAATATTCGTGTATTATTCCTTATTACGACAAGTTACAGCAACAACTGAACCATATTTTGATTTTTGTATTGCCATAAAGTGGAAAATTCGGACGATGGTCATCAATTTTGTTGGACTATCAAACTGTTCTTGAGATTCTAGGATTACGTAAGCGGTAATTATTACGAGAAGTTGGCTTCCCAATGGCTAATGTTGACGTAGCGTTCGTATCGCAATTCATTGAGCCGTTTCGAGTGCAGCATTGCTCTATTATTGGGTCATTACGCTCGCTTATCATACCCGGGTATGCGGCTTATGGCGTTCAGATTGAAAACTTTTGTTTAAAACATTTAAATTTAATACATTAAATCCAAGTTTCTAGTGTCACATTTTTAACCAGTGTTAACTCAATTCAGCTGCTAGTATAAAATTAATTTAATTTGCACGTAATTTAGACGGATCGCATTACCTGGAGAACGATTGCAGGCATGAGCAGGTATATGGTAATTATTAGGTATAATAATATTATGATGTTAGCGCTCTGTACAATCTTGCGATTCGTACGTTATTGTGAATTAAGCAAGAGTACATATGTTCAAAATATCAACGTTTCGTTGATTTATTGATCAAAGCAAGGTGGATAGGGTAACCCCATCCACTTTGACCAAAGCATGCTCAGCGAAACTTGCTAACTTCAATAAAAAAAACAGATTTGGTCAACATTTTAGTCATTTGGTCAGATTTGGTCATTTGGTCAGATTTGGTCATCATCTGTTGTACTTCAGATAATTTTTATGAAAATTTGCGTACTTTATGGAGTATCCGTATTGACGACTTCTTCAAATTCACGTCGAGACGGTAGAATGTGTCGATTCATTAGAGAGGACCAAAGCCCAATTATTATTATCTTTCCTGAAGTCATTGTTCATGCAAACGCTTAATGGCCGAAAATTTTATACATACGTTTCCGCTGCATTTTTTCTTTGTTGTTTGCAAGGCACATTACCGCTTTATTGTGAACTTGGTGGTTACGCTGATCGATAAAATTGTTGGATTTGGACTACCTTTGAACTTTTATCTAGATGATTGTGATGGGGATATTGTTAATTGACTCCCTAGCAGACGTTGAACGCTTAATTGGTGCAGTTAAGGTCAAGTGCATGGGTATGCTAACGTGATAAGGTCGATGCCCGGCCAGCTGAATCTATCATAACTACTACACATTCCCCAAGGTTAGCCGAGTCATTTACCCGACTCAAAACCGTGGAAAATAAGCAAGGAAGAGAGGCCTAGAGCAAAGGAACTTATCAGTCTGCCCACACTGTGTCCGTGTGTCGTATATGTATGCACCTAATCGCTGATCGAGATTGAGCGGCGCGGCAGGGCAATGGCCTTCCATCGCGTGTTGTGCCGTAGCTGGCAGTAAGGAAATACCGTGTAGTGGACGGTGGGTCTGTTGGAAATCGATGTCGCCCAATGAGGCCCTCAAGTACGAAAACATATGTTTGCTGACCTGACTGTGCATATTATTATTGCCCGAAATTGACAATTTTTCGGTGAAAATCTCGTGCGATTTTCAGTGTGCCCTTCATAAATGCGGATAGTGGATTCTGCGATCTGAATGTTTTTCTGCGTACCGTACATATTGTATTGTACATTGAGAACGTCGACCGGAGTGAATGATATTTTGAAATTTTGAATGTGAAAACACAAACTTTTATCTTTCCCCGATTAAGCGATTTAGTTGAACTCATAAACAGATGTAGTATATGTATAACTTACATAACGGCATAACAAAAATCATCTTTTTACAATTTCCAACTTCCCGCACAGCTTTTCTGTGCTCCTTGTTCATTCTCATGTCTAAATACAAGGAAATACAAATTTACTTTTGGAGGAAGTCTGATTTTTAAGCAGTAGCAAGAACTTACTATAGGTACTAGGTAGAGTACTCACACTATAGTAAGTACTTGGCCAGTAGCGAATTTTTCTAATGTGGACGTGCTTTGTTTATAAATTGCTTGCGAGTTGTGTTATAATATTGCAGCGGTCCTTGTCACCTTATTAGTTTTATTGATACTTGTGGTGGTCAAACTTCCGTAGTTGGTTTTAAAATTTTGCATGATCTGACTTTTTTCAACAAGTTTCATTTCGACCCCTTTACTGAAGACTACCTAAATCAAGTTCATCTTGAAAAATATTGTATGCACCCACCCAGCTATGTATCGCATTTAAAATATCGCTACTTAAAGTTTACTTTGAGTACCAAATCGCAGTACGAACAGCTGTAAGAATATCAATAACCATATTTCTGAGCTGATGAAGTACCGCTGTGTTGGATCTTATCGATCACGAACTCACAATACGCGCTTGGTAGTTTCACTAGTTTGCCTGCTTGGTGCGTTCGTAATCGGCATAGCCACAAAGAAATGGCGGGCATGTGATTCTGGCGCGTGATCCTCGTGGCGGCATATCTCCGGCGCCGGGCGCGTTAACAAGGCGGTTTTGTGTCCTTATGATTCGACACAAAGAAACTTGTGCGTCGCTGTTAAAATTATTGTTACCGCAGTATTTTGCCTGTCACAATTATTAGGACAACATTTTTAGATCACGTTTGCGGGATTTTTTTCTAACCGTACAACGGAAACTTGTATGCAATGTAATGTTCTAGGGGAGCATTATCGGTAGGTTTGAAATCCATCTTCTCTTCAAATGAAATGGAATTTGGAAAATCCGCTTAATACCTCATACTTCGTTCCTAGTACTTCCTACATACTTATACATAGATTTCGATTAGAAATGAGCGCATCTTATCTTATTTATATAATTCATGTTATTGTGGACTGTACGTGCTTAGATATTCATAAACATAAACAGGCAGTTTAATTATCAGATTCTTAAAAGTGTATGCAGACTTGCAGTACTTCGAAGTACTGGTACAGTCTGTATTAATACTCGTCTCATTGTCTAGTCTGTTTAATACTAAACGTAAGTTCAGGAATCGTTGCGATACGGAAAGTGTCCTTCTGAAGTTATAATTACCGAAGTAATCGAACGTACAGTTTTGGTTACGATTTTTGAACATGAAATATTAATTGCAAACGCTACAGGAGTCGTAACAGGACTCAATACTGAGTACGGTGTAGTGCCGTTGAACGCTTCCTTACTTCTGGCTAGGAAGCTGTTTAAACGATAAGGGCAAGTAGATTCGATAAAGAAAGCACTTTTCCATCTTGAAAATGCAAAGATCTCTGCGGATGCCTGCCTTGTCGATCGAGCATGTACGCACGAGTAAACACTAAACAGTTAATGTTCTCCATTGCATAAGTTGCACCTTTGTGTTGAACTTGTGCTAGTTTACGGACATTCAATTAGGCTTCTCATGGCATTCAAGTTTAGATGATCTCGGATTCTGTCGCTGTAATAACTTTCATTTTCTTGCGTCCGAATGGGTCGGCTGGCCGCACGAGGCCGGCACATAGCAGAGCGCTCTCGAGTAACTCACACCGGCTTATTACGAAACATATTGTAACTAAATTACACGGAAACGTACCAGCAATGCACTTCACTATTGGTCCGTACTCATAAGAACTTGAAAATCGGGCATGAAAAATCAACAGCACATGTCCGGTAAGGTCGTTCGATGACGCCGTTGATCTGTGCCATCACTTTCTCGCTCTAACCACAGCAGTGTGGCATGTAGCGTACGCACGCCGGGTTTTCGAAGCACAACATGACAGACCCTACGTGTTGTACGTATACCACAGACACACACTCCCGCTCGGTGAAATAAGCTCGATAGCCTCGACCTAGCTAGAGTTTAATTTCTGATTTCTGATTGCGTCGTTCCCCGTTCAACGCACTTGCGAAGGTTGGACTTGCAAAAAAAGTAGGCCGGCTGTGTGTATGGATTGTGTTCGACCGGCAAGTGCTGCATGCCTTTCAAGTGCGCTCTCCTTATCGGTCTTAAAATCACCCAATAATACCGTTTTTCTTGACCATTCCGTTAGAGTCATCTTCAGGTCAGCTGCATGAGCTTCCCGGTCCGCTTTTGTTTTCGTTTTATTGCCGTTCCAATAAGCCTTTTACTTGAAAGAGAAAAGTTTTCAATGGCCGATATTCACGCAAGGAATTTAACTTCCGGTGGCCTTTCTTGGTTGAGAAATTTGGAATAGCATCGTAAGTGAACGTTGTACCCATTACTGGCTTAACGTGCAGATCTTCCCAGAATTTTTGAAAGCACATCCGTCCGAACTTTTGGTGCGGCATGGTTCTTCTAACTTGTAGACCGCGTACATAATCTTACGATCAAACAGCTGATAGTGTGTGCAACGGCAACCGGTACAGGAGTGGCGGCAGTTTCCAAGTGTTATGTAGTGAGTTGCTCATATTTCTTGGATCCTTGCATGCATTCTACGTTTGAAAAGTTATCAGTTAACCAACGAAATAAGAAATGCTTTTTATTTTTATTGTACAGCAATATTGCTGAGGCATTGTCACTTTACGTACATTGACATACATAGTTTTTACTGTTTCTTTGTAACGTAAATCCTAGAATACTATGTTTTGACTGTTTTCGTTCTTCCCATTATATAAAACACCGGTAATTGTCAAACAGTTTTATAGTACAGTATTATTGTTAAATTATTATTATTCAAGTAAGTAGAATATTCCGTTTAAGAAGAGCGAGAAATGCAGTAGAATTCAGTTACAATAATTAGAAACATGAATATCGAGGTTGGGTAAGATTGTGAAAAACAGTGTTAAAACGCAGTTGGATTTGATAATAGTGTGAAAAACGCACTTACGAGGAATACTGTTTTGAATCTGGTAACCTGATTGTTAAGAAATGACTGTTTTGTTACAGTAATTTTGTTATTAATGTTATTAACATGACATTTTCCAAACTGACCACTGACCAGGCACATTAAGATTAAGAAAAGTCAAAACTCATTGGAGGCACTAGAAATAAAGCTTTAGTTATTTGTTGTTATAGAATAGTTTTGTTAGAGTTTAATACGCAGCAATAATCTTTGGGCGGCTTTCCTGGCCGGTTCCGAATTCTGACGGACGACCGCGCTCGGATGCTGTAGTTTTAACAAATTCTTGAGGGTAGAGTGTCTGTCGAATTTGTGTTATGTGAAAGTGTCTATTCAGGAAGTGCGGGATTCGCACGACGGAGATTAAGGGTCAAGAATACCGCGTGGAAAAATATTGTGCGCGAACTTGTTAATCCACCGTGCTTTTCCGTATCGTGTGTTGGGGTGTTTATTTACCCGTTTTTTTACTGCTACCAGCTCTGCTATTGGCTAGTACGGCTGGGTCATCAAGCTTTGCTGGTCAAGCAATATTTGTTAACTACGCAATCTCTGTCAAGTTGAAAATGACGAAGCTGCTGCAAGCGCATATACAAACGGAGAGAAAAGTCAAGTTTCACGTTTGAAATCGTAATATTATGTGTTTAGGTGAATGTCATCGTGAAACTGTTCAAGCTCAGTGATGCCGCCGCCGCGCATCGTACAGTGCTAATGTATGGTCGCGTTTAGTAATAGAAACTGCATAGTCCAATGATCGGCCAAGGAGAAGGTAAAGGCTATTATGCAATGGATTATGTTATGCGATGCGGAAGCCATCGAGCGAACAAGAACGACAAGACCAGAATAACGTGATTAAACAACATGTTTGCTATTACGGGTGCATCAATGACGAATATTACGATTATCGATGATAACGTTGCAGTTGATTTCCAGATTCCTGCAGTGTGTATCAGCGTTCTTAAGTGGAGCAGAAATTTGTATTTTCTTCTCACAGGTTTCGTAGATTGTACGCAGTTGTTGTTCGTCAGGAACACGACAACAGTTACAGTAGTCTCCGTGCTGGTTGCAGAAAATTGTAACCCATTAAACGACATGAGAAAAATACGCCCATATTTTCTAGTAGGTTAATGAAGTATGTAGCCGTAGATCCCTCACATATACTCGTATGCTTTTTGTTTTCTCTGCTGTAACTTTACCAATTCTCTGGTACATGTACAGTACTCGAAGTGGCGTGAAATGTGCATCTTCAGGAAGAAACACCTATTGAAATTGAAAAAAATCTTTTACGAGATTTCTCTTTCGTTTTATGACGACAGTAGAGTTGGATTCCGGCATAAAGATCGTACCCAGTTTACGGTCCATCGACTGACCTAGATCTTTTGGTCCGAAATAGGTTGATTACTGCATGGCATTGGTTTCTGTCGTTTTCTCTTTCCAGCCACGTTCACTTTATCGACAAGTTCCTCAGTCCATGCCTGGGAGAGCGCTAGATTCGTTCTCTCCATACGGCATACCGTACTGACCTCAATTTGATCGATTCAAACTTTAGCGGCGCGCACTGCCTTTCCTATCACCCAGCGCGCGCCGGTTCCTCTCGAAAACTGCCATTTATATGGCGGTCGTTAGATAGTGCAAAACCCGCTAGGAGCTGAAGTGGATAAAATAAAACGAACGATATGATTAATTATATAGGAGTCTAGAGTTTATAGGTCAAATTGTACAAGACTGCTGCGTTTTGCAGGATCATTATACACTGCCGCTATATGGTGCGACTGATGGGAAAGTGGACGCCCCGCTTGAATCTCAGTACAAGAGAGCCCAGTATACATTAATGGGATTTGGATTTCATGTGGAATGAGTCTTTTTTATGATTTGAAACTCAAACGGCAGAAAACTGGCGCCACTTCCGGCCCATCACCGGATATCAGCTATGGTCCCCATTCATCCTCCTCCTCGGTGAGCGATCACGATGCCGACTCCTCCAGTCCGCCATCATCACCCTCACACACCGATCTAGATCAGACCCATCTGCATCCGCGCCGCTTCAGCAGCGGCAGCAGTACGTGTCAGCGCGAAACCGGGTCACCCAGTGACATCAGCCCGACTAGGTCATCGGATGGAGATTCACTTTTATCTAGTCCAATTGCCACATCGCACCAGCTGCGCAATGGCCAGCCACCTCCGATGGCCACATCGCCCGCGGTCAATTTTGCGGCAGCACTACGACCGCATAAGAATCCTCTGCCCACCCATCCCGGCTGTTTTCCCACCGTCTTCCCGCAGCCGGCCTTCCAGCTGGTCAATCAGAAAGGCTCCATCGTGGTCCCGCCCAACGCCATGATAGCCAACGTCAACGCGGCTACCCAGTTCGTCGGTAACATCCTGTACCGGTGTCTGGTGCAGCCACGTGGGATGCCCATGGCGGAGTCGTATGCCAACTTGGCGCGTTCACCCAATCAGTACGTTCACACATCGACGCCCACACCAACAAAGGTCAGCGAAGAGCCGGTGAACTTGTCATTGGGCCGACAGAGTCCCGAGAGCAGTTCGTCCAGCGGGGCACGACGAGTACTACCATCGACCAGTTCCATTACATCCAAAAGCGAAATGGAATCGGAGGATGAGGAGGAAGCTGATGGGACGGCGCGGGAATCGCCGATGATATGTATGATCTGCGGGGATAAAGCCACCGGTCTGCATTACGGAATCATTACGTGCGAAGGGTACGTGTGCTAATAGATAGGTTGCGATGTGTGTGTTGTGTGGAAAATGGCGCCCTTGAAGTCCGTTCATACCACTCCGGCGTAGTGAACTTCCGGTTACGTATTTATCAGTTACACAAAATGCATCCCTACGGCGCTGCCTTTTCGTAATAATGCTGGGGTCAGCGTCTGTGCGGCTGTTATCATTTACTTACTTTGTTGTCGTAACGATTATATCTACAAGCACAGTTGCTGGTTTCAATGTCGACCGATTATTACGCACACCATGCGCATTAGCATTGACATTCGGACTGTTTTCTGTAGATGTAAAGGATTCTTCAAGCGGACCGTGCAGAACAAGCGGGTGTATACTTGCGTGGGGAGTGGCCTGTGTGAAATAACCAAGACACAGCGTAATCGCTGCCAGTATTGCCGCTTCCAGAAGTGCTTGAAGCAGGGCATGGTGTTGGCGGCTGTCCGCGAAGACCGCATGCCGGGAGGCCGGAATAGTGGCGCGGTGTATAATCTGTACAAAGTCAAGTATCGGACGCGGAAACGGAAGAATTCCTTGACGGGGAAGAATGGCGGTCATCACAGTCCGCGTGATTCCGATGTGGACAAGTCCACACCGCCCAGTCCGCACATAAAAGCGCAACAGACACCGGAATCCACTGTTCCTTCAGAACCCGGTAAATTGACAATTTGAAAAAAGAAAGCAGTAGAGGTTGTTTAATCTGCGCAACGCTCTATTTGTTTTCCCGTGGAAGTTACATTAAGTTTAATGGTTTCTTTGCATTTAATGCTTTCTATTTGTCAAATTTTATGCTAGTAATTTAATTTTGTTGTTTTTGTTTACAGAAGATGCTCATGTTCTGGGTAAGCTCATTGATTTGGACCAATTAGAGGATATAGCTACGTTAAAGAGTATGGAGTCGTTCTTCTCTGATACGAGTGTGGAACTGCCGGTGAGATTACGTTCCATGGGGGACCAAATGGTATTTAAACTGGTGGAGTGGACCAAAAGACTGCCGTACCTTAGCTCATTACCCCTCAATTTGTTGACGTCCCTCTTGACGTACCGATGGCATCTGATTTTACTCCTATCTACAAGGTAAGATAAAATAATTCAGGTATTTCTTTAACAAATTCTTTGCAGCTTGGTGTTTGGTGTTTCAGTTTTTATAATGCACAAAACCGATGGCGCAAGGTTAGAAAGATTTCCGACGCCAAATTCCCGATGGAGAACTCCATCATTAATGGTGAAAAAGCCATTCATGGGAAGGAGAAGTTAATGACCAAAGGAAAATGCGATATCGATGGTTTGTACTTGCAGTTTATAACGTTATTTGTTAATGCAAACTGCAAAGCATATTTGGCTCGGTCTTACAAAGGATTTTCCGTTAGCATGAGTATATTCTGCACAGGAGGGTACGCTGCATGATGTGGCAAATATGTTTATATGGTAGTTTACTGGTCATTCTTTATAAATTTTGCCACTTTTGTTGATCTGATTTGCAGTTTGTAATTCTCATCATTTTTGTCAGTTTTTTTCTTCGTTTGTGCAGTTGACTTATATTGTGCATTTCATTGCAGATGACCTGAAATATTCTCAACTACCAGAATCATCCACAAATCCCAGTGATAGTGAAGTTAGCGAATCCAAACCGATTCTTGCTGCCGGTGAAGAGAGTTTTAAAGAGGAACTGTGCCATAGTCTACTGCATTTGCAGTACTATCTGCGCCGCTTATTGGGTCGTGATGTGGAGTACGATGAGCTGGAAGCGGAAATCGGGAGCATGCTGCGCCAGTTGATCTCGTTTATCCGGCATTTACGTGACATTAAACTGACCACGGAGGAGTATGTGGCACTGAAGGTGCTGATTATGCTGCAGGATTCATCAGCCAGTGGCTCGCCGCAATTACGTCTGTACCAACAGAAATACATGAATGCGCTGATGTGCTACCTGGTACGCATTCATGGCCGCAATGCACAACAGCGACTCCATCTGCTGCTTAATCTCAATCCGCAGATCCACGCGGCGGCTGCAGCATTGCTGGAGAATAAAATGTTCTATGTTCCTTTTCTCCTCAACAGTTGAGTGCAGTATTTTTTCTCTCTGTCTCTCTCTCACTCTGGGTTTTTTCTGCAACTGTTTCCCTATACGTACAATTTTCGTCTTTTCTACTGTTGTCCATTGTCCAATCCAATCAAGGAAACTGCAATATGCAGCTTTTTTTCTTTTGGGAGTTTTTCTTCTGTACAGTTTTTTTGGATTACACTTTCCTCTGTGTTCGTCATCTGTTGACCAAATTTTTGATTCGATTTTGTACGTCAGTTTTTGTTCCTGTTGAGAACCAAAATTCTCTACAATAAATGATTTTATTAAACCTTGGTTTGCGCTATCTCGTAGTACCACACGGAAAATGAGCAAAGTTAGTACCAAGCACGCACGACGTCAGTAAAACATTAATAAAAGTCATTAAAAACTTAGAAACACATCAAACCAGAACCGAAATAACGTTAAAATCTGAATAAAAACTCTGCAATAAAACCAAAAGTGCGCTTTACAAACATGCTTCAACAGCCTTTGCTAATTGCTGTAACCGACAGAAACCGGGGAATGACAGAGCGGGGAAACGCATACTTTAGTGCCAATACTTTTTACATAAAAAGATAGCTACACCAACCACAGCCAATGTCGACAACACACTCCCGGTTGCGATAACAAATGCCGAAGTTTCCTTAGACTGTGCCTTCAGCTCGCTTTTGGAGCTGTGATCGCGCGCCCAGTGCATTGATCGGCGCACTGCCTCCTTCCAAAAAGAGTATTTTTCTCGGCGTTCCGAATCTTTCATCTCAGCAACATATCGCAGACCACTCTTATCTGACTGCTCTCCATCACTTTCCAAGAACGTTTTAACCCCAGTCGCGTGCGCCACAGCTACCGCGGCGCCCACGGAAGTTATCTCAGACATTTTCGGCACATCTGCAATACAAAACATCAGACAATACTGTTACGGAATCATTAAGTTACTGTACCTCAAACCACGAAGATAATAAACTGTGCTTACGAACAGGTAGGCCGGAAAAGTTGGCCTGGATTTGCATCAGCAGCGCACTTTGCGACAAACCGCCATCGACTTCGAGGCCCATTAATTTAACACCGCTGTCAGTTTTAACCGCATCCACAACCTGACAATCCACGAAAGTTATATTTGTACATACAGCAGTTTATGATAACGATAATGCACTGAGACGTTTACCTCGCATATCTGGAAAGCAATAGACTCCAGAGCAGCACGAGCAAAATGAGCTTGTTCAATATACTCAGTTAATCCACAGATAATCCTGAAAGATGCATACAAGCACAGTAAAGTACTTAAATAGCAAATATGCCATTTATGTGCCACTACAGCTGAAGACTTTCCATTACCCTCGCGCTTCCGTATCCCAGTAAGGAGCAAGTAATCCAGAGAAAGCCGGTACAAAATAGATACCTCCAGAATCCTTTACTGAACCGGCAATACCATCTGAAACAAACGAAAGAAGGGGGTTCAAAACCTCTAATCGTAAACGGTCCAAATCGAAAGAATTTCCTATATATTTTCTACGTAAATTGCAGATATAGGATAAAACGCTTGTACATACCTAAATCTTCCGCTTTTTGAATGACACCGAGATTTTTCTGTAGCCAGTTAACAACTGCGCCGGCCATCGCGACCGATCCTTCCAAGGCATAAACGGCCGGAGATTTCGGACCTAGTTGATATGCCACCGTCGTCAGGAGTCCATGATGAGATAATTTAGGCTATAAATCGTCAAATCCGTGTTAACGAATTTTACATGCAAATCCCAAGAGCCTGAGCGCTCTGTTACCTCATATCCAACATTGGCTAACAGGAAACAACCGGTCCCATACCTAAAAATATCATCGTATTATTGCACACAGTGCAGTTGATATCGTTAGCTCATCAATCAATTATTTGTTGCTCTAAACTTTCATCAGCACAACACCTATAGGAAACAAAGTTCACAACTCTACACAAAAGTGAATGAGCGCCCAGTTACTCACTACCGCTGGAAGGCCAGCTTACGTGCATTTCGCCATTCCCGGGCGGAAACAACCATGGCCAACCAGCGCCGCTTGCTGATCCCCCAAAATCTGCAACATCCCCCACTTGGAAGCCAACAAAACACATGCTGGAGAAATCACATGCTTTTCGTACCCCACAAACAGGCCTACCCGCCAGATTCGTCAATTTCATAATTCCATATTCTTCACTGGAACTACAAATCGTTGGAAGAACCGACACTGGTATACTGAAAAAGTCCACGAGCTTGCTGTCCCAGTCCATTGTTTTCAGATTCATCAACATGGTTCGGCTGGCGTTTGTAACATCGGTCTTGTGCACACCATCGTCTTGACCACCCGTCAGATTCTAAAAATTCATACAAGGCAAAATTATTAATATGGCATTCCAAAAAGCTACTTGTACACACACCCAAAGGACCCATGAATCCACTGTACCAAACAGACATGTCCCGTTGCGAATGGCTTCCCGGACAGGAGCGACGTTATCGATGATCCAGCGCAACTTGAGTGCGCTAAAGTAGGGATGAATGGGGAGGCCGCATAATGGCTTGAGGTAATCCTGATCCCCCTTGGCTTTGTCCTTAATGAGACCCGCCGCCAAATCAGCAGTTCGATTATCCAGCCACACTGCTCAAAATACATCCACTCACAACTAGTTCAGAAATTACATTTTTCCACAACCATTTTCTGAAACTACGGCTACCATAGAACGTCGCGATATCAGTTTTAACGCCCTAACGGGCTTGCTCTTCGCCTTAGATCGTCGTGATCGCTATAAAAATGTTATGATGTTACAATGCTATAATGTTGACAAGCCCAACTCAGCCTACCGATCGCATTGTAAAGTGCTCTTCCGGTTTTCTTATCCCAAACAACAGTCGTTTCCCGCTGGTTTGAAATTCCCAGTCCTGCAAAACAGATCTTAAAATACCAGTCGGCGGACAATATTACGGAGTTGTCCCTACTTCATTCAAGTCTTCCAACAACGGTATTAACAATCATACAGTTAGTCGGGAAAATAACCGAGAAATGCCAACTGCACCTGTTATATTCTGAACACTGTATCCGGCAAAAACCAAATCATCTGCCGCTTTGTTCATGCACAACATGGAGATATCCACAATTTCGTGAGGATCTTGTTCCACCCAACTACAAAAACAAGTAACACGTTCAACAGAACTATCAGGGGAGAAAGTCCTGAAGATATGTACTTTCTATCTTCCCTATCGCAATGCTTCTGTACTCGTATAAAATATCAAATTCGACATCAGTAGTCTGTGGTTTACATCATTACAACATAAACATCACCTACTGTAGACAATAAGTAAGTACCAGAAATCGAAATCATGGGAAGGGCGAAAACCGCGGACAAAAACCGCAACCGGCACTCTAACGTTTACGCGTACGGAAGGATGTGGCGGCACACCTCCGTGAGGTCATCAGTGGTATAAACAGCTCATTCAGAAAGTGCAAAATAAACAACGTTAAACACCAAAACCGGTTCGTCAGCTAATCATAAAGTCACTTATTAATATGGGATAGAGATAATTTTTATGCAGCTCTACTTCCGGAAACAAAAATTAATATACATTTTTACTTAAACCAGCAAGTAGCAACGCCCCTAATGTGTACTGATTTTTATGATTGTAATATGAATTAGAAAAGCTCTTAAATGTGAAACAAGTCCAGTCTTAACAAAGACCGCACTACAAATACTGTGACAACCTAACAATCCAACACTGATGTACTGTTCTGCCCTCATAAACCACCCAGATCAGTGAGATTACAAACCTTGGCTCCGGATAAATTCGTCGTATTTCTATTTGATGCTTGGCTAGCACCTGGCGCTTGGCATCGAAAATCTGTAAAGATCCATTTCTAGCATGACTGCGTAAATCCACAACAAGCGTAATTTAACGTTATAAGCTTGCGCCACACAGATGACGCAATCGCGTACCATGCATCGTATACTGCTTGTCCCCACATCCAACGTAGCGATGAGATTTTCTTCGTCGGGTCTACCCATGTCTGCCGATTTTTTGCTACTAATTCATAAATAAAAAAATACAAAAGAACTTCAAGGCAAATTAATCAGCTAACACAGAAAATTGAAGAAGAACAATAAGTGCTGAAATAATGGAGTCTGATTGTCCGGGCGAAGTAGTGTCCTAATAAAAGGCTATGAAAAGTACGTATTGTAACAAGGGCCCACGTTCAACGCGTATATAGGATAGACTGTATTGAAAGTGTCTGAAAAACTTACCCTGATGGAGAATTAAACTTTAAGTGGTCGTGAAATTCCCTTCAGGCGCAATCTGCAGATGCCGCTGTTTCAAGAAAGTATGATTATGTTATGGGCTTATGGCAGCAAACTCAGCAAATCAGATAAACATCATAAACCGAAGATAGACTGATGGTCCAACAAGATAGCTCTTCGTCGCTTATCATTTTACTCAGCCAACACCGTTGAAAATATACTATGCAAAAGCCCACAGCGGCAACACTGTCGTAAAACTGTAAACCATGACATCTTTTCTAAAAAGCGAAGAACTAAAATTACTATCTACACAAATAATAAACAGTAGTATTACTAAACAGTACGGTACGTATTGTAGGTACTGCACAATACACGTACTCTTCCTATAATACACGACACTGCCACCACTGACGGTGGTAATGGGGTGTCTTCACGGAGTTGCCGCCACTGTCCTAGAGCACTGGAGGCAGATTCGTGGCTGCGATTTCGCAATTTTTGCTCTCTTGTACGGTACTTGCTTGGTAGTTGGTACAGTAGTACTTACCTTCGAAACAACTACTTACTCGTAGCCGAAATAAAGCAATCGCAAAGGGCTGTTTTTTTTTATTAGCATATCGTTTTTGCTCTGATTTCCTGTACGAGTGTTTTAAAATTAATGATATTCTCTACTTCGTTCGAGTACAGCCTAATCACTGCAAGTCTGAAATTTTATGTATTGTAATGCTTTTTAAGAAAGTACCGTATTGCGACGCTCTCAAAAAATTGGCCGATTTTGCATCCGTAATAAAGGGAAAACCATAGCGAGAAAGCACTACAGATACAGATACGAGTACGGAACGAAAACCACTTCACCGTAAATTATATAGATATTAGTACACATCCCACACCTATACCTTCCGAATTCCCATTAACCTTAACATCAAATGCAGCACAAGATCCCTGTTCGGATTCAAAATCCAGTTTTCTCTCAAATGCTATCAACATTAATACGATATTAATAAATCTGACCTCTTTAAAGGGGTTTACAATAACGGTGGTCGGTGAGTAATAGCCTGAACCGCTGATGTACGTCCGAAATTATCCCAGAACGCCAGAAACATATAGATTATGCAAGTAAGTAAACACTAAACAGTAAATACAACTAGGCAGTAGTCCACTACGCTTTAATACTCGTACCAGAATGTATTTAGGTACGTACTAGTGAATTTTCCCATAGAAGCCCATGCTGCAAATCTTAAGTATTGCACTCGTACGAGTTTAGACCCGGATCGTTCACAAGCCGAATATCGTATCACGTGATGCAAAAACCGGCGAAACAGATTCCAAGGTGCTAAAAACCCTAATTCCCTATTGAACCGGGTCTACTTTTCCACACCTGCCATGCAATGCTCCTGTGAATCATGGGGCCGCTCAATCATAAAAGCACGAAATTTTGCTGTTTAGTCTAGCACACTATAGCCATACTGTAATCTCACTGCTCGTAGTGTACTAATCGTTGACGAACAAAACCAGAATGTTGAACTTCAAGATTTTTATAACATCTTCCTGCTCGGGTGGACATAGATGACAGAGGAACACACATTATTAATTTTAATCGATGACAATCAGCGCGCATGTTATGCAGTTTAACTAGCATACTCCCGCATCATAAAAAACCCTCTTAAGCGTTGACGCGACCACCACGTCCAGCACCACCACCTTGGCCGTCCTAAGAAAACAGAAGATGATTTTATCGGCACAGCATCATTTGGGCAGTTGCAGTCATATCTAGAGGGCACCCAGGGCAAAAATTTCTCGGTTTTAATAATCTTACCCGTTGTGCAGGTCGATCAGTTGGCCGGAATCGTTGGGGAGGAGTCCTAATCTTCCTGTCCTCCTTCGATCGGTTGCGAACGACTTTAGAGTGAATCGCGCAGCTCACGCAATAGTTCAACTTTGCATAGAGTTTGGGTAAAGCATATTCTGCAACAAGACATCAACTGTTAATATTTTTACAGTGTATCTCTTAAATCTTAATTCTTAAATTAAGCACTTAAGTGCATGCATGTAAAGCAGGCAATTTTAACAGCGCGAGCCTCTGCATCGTACGTTATAAATCTCACGGTCAGTTCGGAAGTTTAAGAGTCAAGTCTTAAGAACTTAAGCAACTAGAGCACTATAACCATACGTAAGTACTGTGCAACAGGCAGTCGTTCACTCAAAGTTCACACGAGACACGAAACTATTAAGAATAAAAGTTCAAAACAGGTTTCAACATAAATTCCAGAGATACAGTAGACGTTTTGTAGTTATGATTCCGCTATGGGCGCCAACATATAATTCTCCATGTCACGATCCGAAAGTAAACAGAAAGCCACTTCCAAATATTCAATGTGGAAAAACAGTATACGTAATAAGCACAACGAAAAGCACAGAGTGTTATCTAGAAACAAATGTGCTAGAAAAGAGAATCATGAATCTGATAAATTGAGAAACGTAAGTACGATACCAAAATTCGTAGAACTGAGAATATTATACAGTGTACGAAGAACCTACTATTAGCACTGAGCAGTACGACGCGAACGCGGAGGTCCTGAACTTACGTTCATAAACGGAAGCCTCTGTGATATCCCGCACTGCCGCAGCCTCCACGATATTCCTGATAACAAATTTCTTAATTGCTTTATCTTTGGGAACACATCGCGCGCAGTTTGTGCAGCGGACGAAGTTGACATGTCCTCGTCCGTGCTTAGAGCGACCTCCATTGCGGCGTTTAACAGCCTGAAAAGATACAGCAGGCAATCAAGGGTGGCATCCCCCAATGTTCCTGAAAATCAAGTAATTACCATTTTCCAGTGATTCGCTAGATCGGGAGATGAATAATAAACCGAAGTTTCACTTTTATCCGAAAGTCGTTTCGAGCACTTCTCTCCAGATCGCGACAGCCGAAAATGAAGAACCAGATCCACCGTGGCTGCAGAGAGCAGTGGTGCAGGCTTGAGTTTCGCAAGGAAGCCCTTAGCCATCATGGCCTGTTCCCACATGGTACGCGGTGCCATGATGCCATCCGCTCCGGGATCTGGCTTGAAGTGCCAATGCTGACTGCTGAGTACTAAATGTTCCGTGCAAGACTCGGCCTTAGTCCAAGTCAGTCGCATGAAAAGTTGATTTTGTTAATTTTTGAAAAAATTAAAAAGTTCTTAATTTCTTTTGGCTTCATCATAAGTATTGTTATCCATCGAGTGCAGAATTATTTTTCTCGTGATCACAGCATTCAGTTTTAGTACTTACTCTTTACGGTGTATTAGTGCTGAGCCGATGGGTACCGGACTTATGTTCACTGAATACTGATAGTAGTGAATACTGCATAGTGCATACCGTACACAGGACAGTATAGTGTGCAGTGTACTCGGAAGAACTGTTCGGACCTGAAATTCGCACATATTGCAGTCGAACGCGATAATGGAGGGAGAATCGCGAGGACGTCTTCCTGAAGTGGAAGTTTTGCTGAAGAAGGCTAAAGGACGTATGGCAGCAGATTTGATCAGACAGCTTACGGAAATCTCCGACGTCTATCGCTTTCAGAACTACTTAGTGCTCCCTAACATACAGGACGTAAGTGCACGCACGACATGTGGACCTGTGGTCACTGTCAGTAGTTCCAGCTAGCTCCCAGAAGTTCGGAATTACGGCTCCAGCTAGCTGAATTACGGTTACACCAAAGGCAAAATTCAGTTCAATAAGCATAATTGTTTGCCATTTTAGCTCCGGAAGACAGATTACTTGCCCGCAGTGCAGCTGCTGACGCTCTTCTCATCTGGAACCTACAAGGTGTTTGCTGGTGAGCTCTAAGAAAAAATTTGCAGGAATATTGAGGAAGCGTGGATAACAGTATGTATGCAATGCAGGAAATACCGGAGCTTATCCAAGTCTGTCAAACAAGCAGGTGTTCAACTTACGCTGCTTATCACTTGCGTCATTGGCGAAGCGTTCCTCTAGCCAGGTATTATTATTCTTTTTTTAATTCTACGGATAGCAAATCGCGTTAACGTTTTTCTAGTGCTATTAGCAATGTCTTTGTGGTAAATTTTGTAGAAGATCTCGTTCCGCATCATCGAGGAGGAACTTGGACTGGGCGATCAATGGCAAGTGTTCGACTTCCTCATTGAGGCGCTGAATTACGGTTACATCAAAGGAAAAATTGACGAAGCGGCTCAGATGTTGTACGTGGAGGATTTCGTCACTCGCGACATTGAGCCGGACGATGAAAAGATGGTTAAGGCTAAACTCACCACATTGTAAGCGGTGCCTTTGATTTTTTAGTTGGGTGTAAGGGGTTTGGTATTTTTTCTGCATATCATGTGTTGCAGCATGATGGCCTGTCAGAACACCATGGAAAAACTAAAGTCGGAAACTGCCAGGGTTGAAGAATTTAAGAAACAAGCCGAAGCCCAGAAGAAGCAGATTGACAATAAAGTATGCGCATGTACGGTCCTTGTGCCAGTTTGCACGTTATTACGTCGAAATATTTATTTGTTTCTAGATTGAAAACGTCAAGGGCTCCATGGGCGATGACCATCACATGGTGGCAGATGAACTTTACCGTCCGAGAATGGAGAATGTGTCCAAATTTTTTCGGAGCAGCAAACCAAAAAGGTATCACATTGACTGTTTCTAATTGGGCACACGTGCGTAGCTGGATCTGTGATTGCAGCGCATCCAGAGGTGGTTCATCCAAAATGGGACGCTATTAGAAGAGGAAGTTTCCTGTCGTCAGTGAGTTTGAACGGATTTTCTCATGCCTGACCGCTGAAATTTCTGATTTTGTTTCATTTATTGTTTGAATTATTCTCTTTGTTTGGAGTCTTTCGGAATAGTTCATTAGCATTCGGATTGGCGCAGTTTTGCTCAGTCATTGTAGATACAGTAACTTTCGTTATTTGGAATACTTCTGCATTTAATTCCCGAACCCTTTGATAAAACAGTTTCCAGATTCGCAAACACCAGAAAAAGTTACAAAGAACAGATGAAAGTGCTGAACTGTGGGTCCGTACTGCGTAAAAGCACAGGAAAACAATTTTTACTTTACAAACTGGCCAACAAATTATGAGCACATCATATAATAAATCTCAACGAAAATAAGGCAACCGTCCCCTTCGAAACGGAAGTTAGGAAAAAACCCAAATAAAGGCAGAAACGGATGAGCATTTTTAATTAATCACTTTCGATCACCGGTTCACAGAACTCCGGTCCTAGATATACTGATGCTCTTCTTCTTCACTGGATTCTGGCGAAAGCGTCAGATTATCTTTCTCAATATCAATCATTGTACGCAGCATCAAGAGCAGAGTGTCCTCAGAATCCCTAAACCGAACAAAATTCGATGTAAATCACGAAATGCAGCTGAATGGCACCTATGCTAATACTGACCAGTAAACCGCATGGCTGTTAAGGGCAAACAGGTACTGGTTCAAACTTTCCAGAGGTGCTTCCTGTAGCACATAGTCCACGCGGTTTCCACCATTTAGGGATCCAAATTTAGTGATCTTTGGTGCTTCTCCATTGACTGATCGCCTCGATGGTACGGGTGCAGCTGGCCCCAGAGTATTTTTCGGTCGCTCTAATCGTTCCTCTGATGGAGATGTGACATTCACACCTTCCTGTTCCCGGTCACGAGATTCGGCGCGCCTTTTTCCAATGAAATTAGAGGCACTTGTGGCTAAGTTGGACAGCAGTTTGAAGGGGTCCAGTAGACTGGATTTAATTGTGGAAGCCGCCGTAGCAATATTTTTCTGCACCTCTGTCAATAATCATATCCATTAAAAAGCAACTAATTTTGTTATATTTTTTCTTTGAAGTTGAGGAAATTCTAATCAACTTAAAAGGAAATATTGAATCAAGATCTGCGTACCGAGATGCATTCGCTTGCGACCTTTATGGTGTTCGATCACAGAAGGCGTGACTTGGCAAGCTTCAGGAATAATCAGCGGCTCAATACGATAAGCCACAGGATCATTCTGCAAAATAAAATAAATTCACATCCATTATCACACAAATCTTCCACAGCGTACACACCGGATGGAAAATATTTAAAAAACGCGGACAGGTTGGTAGACAGTAATCCTCTCCAATCTTGGTCACGCCCCGCACAGCCAAAAACATCCCCACGGGAGATCCGATAGCAAAGAAGCATGAAGGGTGAAACTGCAGTCGTGGGTATTGAACGGACGGATAGCCAGCGCCGGAGAAAGCAGGAACTGTGTATGGTGCCGAAACTCGGGATTCTTATTAATGAAAACAAAAATGTCATATTAATGCACGCCAGAGCTACTAGATGTAACATGAAGGCTCAATTCATGGTCAGCAATAAGGAATATGGAAGCAAAAACACAATTATTGTCACAAGCAGCAGCAGAAAACATTGTTTTTGTCTCTTTTAACACCAAAGATTCCCGAAAAATTTTGTATAAGATTTATTTGAACTAATTTTAGTGTTCGATAACACTATAAGAAAGAAGTCAGCGCTGCAACTATTTTTTTATACAATTCACAACTTGTGCGAAAGACTGCAAATCGGAAATCCTACCATGACGTTCAACCAGTGGCCGACTTGTCCGTGGCTCCATATCACCGACTAATGATTCCGTCAGCGTTATTTCCCTTTGTACAGTGGAGAAGTCGGTATCCATCGGGTTTTCCTTTTGCCTGGATGGTGGATTTGGATCAGGCTGGTGCGATAGCATATCGAACAGCACGATCGAGCCTTTGAACACAAAGTTTGCACTATTAATGTTACCATATAAACGATACATTAATGAGTAATATGATAAAAATAAAATCTTCACCTAAGCTATGGCCGACGATGGAAACGCTCCCTTTGTATCCAGGATTTCTATCGAGAAACAGGTTATACAGGCGATTCATGTCATCGCCCACATGATCTGCAATGAGCTACAAAGAAAAAACGATCCAATCAAAAGCAAAAAAGTAAGTCAAGTGAAAACGAACACACACACGCACACACCACGGAGCGCAAATGGTAACTGGCGTAGCAACACCCATTCTGATGAGAGCAAGAAGTGCAAAATTATTTGAAATTAAAGGGTCGATTATCTTACCCTGCAATACATCGGACTAGCATAAAACAGGATGTCCAGCACATAATCATTGGCGAAATATCGCACGATCGGTATACTTGGCAAAGTAATTCGTTTTATTCGGCTAAAAATAACATATAAACATGTTCTCGATCAGAAGTTCACAATTTATACAATACAAATTCCTTACATACTTTTCGAGTTCTGCATTATCGCTGTGCAGAATACCGTGCCAATTAATAGGGATAAATTCCACACGGAAACTCTTTCCTTTCTTGCCAGCGAAATTAAAATGCTCAGCGATTAAATTTCTGGCCATGAGTCTGTACGCATCGACTATAATGAAAAAAACTTGTTAAGAAATACAGCACAAAACACAGTACAAAATATTATGTAGAATGAAATATAACGCATACCACACTGATTCAGTGTGCGCCATTTTAAGTCGCAATATGAACCAATTCCATGGGAAACGAAGACAAGATGGTCAATTGGCTCCCATTCTCCTTCATCCGGAACACAGATTCCTTCCCAACCACGTTTGACAATCTTTTGATTTTTGTATAATGTTTCCTATGATCAACCATAAAACTCGCATACATAGAAAGCGTCAGCCATTTCCAAAACACGTCTACGTACAGCCATATCCGCCCAAGTCTTGGTGGAGTCATAATGTATCATTGTTGTCTCGGAATGTAAGACAATTGTTTCTCCACCAGGTAAATCAATCCGCTTTTGCCATTCTCCTGTTCGGCAAATCAGCTTGTATTCACCCTAAAATATTGCACTTGATGAGATGGCCAAATAACCTAACCGTAAGTATCTCCATAATTATCCTCCATAATTATCAAGTTCGAAATGCTCCTTATATTCTTCCCAATACAGACGGCAAGGTTTATGCAAACTTCGCGCCATGATATTGCCACAAATTTTTTCGACATTCGAAATACATTATAAACATCATAAATTGTATGTAAAATAGTTCAGAGTTCACAACAGTTTTTATTTACTGATAAATTAAACATACGGAACGTAAAAATCAAAAATGAATAACAACAGCCAAACGTCAAACCCAATCAATGATCTACAGTGACAACATTTCGCAGATAATTTGGAAACTATCCTGAATAAATAATTAACTTCAATTTTTGCAAAACGTTGAACCCTGTAAATTATTTTCATTTTCGAAGAAAAAAAATAATTTCATTCAGTATGGATTACGGAATATTCCATCTACTTCAATTACGAAATTCGAATCTACTCACCTCCAATTTTTCAGCAACAGGTTCTTCGTAAGGCACCCATGCTTCTCCAGCTGCTTTCCAAAACCATGTGCCTCGACGGACAGGATAAGCTTCTTCATCCCAGTAAACGGCAAAGAGACGCTTCTCCTTCAAGCTAACATCATAGCGTCCCCCCTGTGTAGGCACCATTTCCACATCACCTTCGCCGCGCTTATCTGTTGAAACCAATACTCACATTTGAACAGCGAACTCATAATCAGAATCCGTCAACTCAGGGTTTTCATGGAAGGCCATTCTTACGTTTGTGGTGCGCTTCTTCCAGACGGCCACTGTCATACATTGTGAACGGCACCCAACCATCTTTGTGATTCTCCTTGCGACAGAAAAACCAATGACTCTTGACGGGTGTATAGGGCAAAACAGCTGGACGGGATAAGAGTCCGTCCACATGGTCCTGACTGTGCTCCATGAAGTCGCTGTTGCTCCAGGTGCTTACGCGCGACCGAAACTAGATATCGATAAAAACCGCTGCAGTTATCCGGTCATGCGCATCAGGATTTATTGTCCGAATAAATTTTGGCGAGAATCAGCTCTAGCGAGCACATAAATTTGTAAAAATGTCTGATCACACCAACATTATTGTGTCACAATTTTTGAAACCAAAACATGTGCAGTATGATCGTATGCCATTGCCAATGTGTATGTAGCTATGCTGTCAATGCATACAACTGCATTACTGCGTACTCGTCCGCAATCAGTGAATCAGCTGTCATAATATACCCCGCCAGATGCACCGTGCATTGATGCGCTAGATCGTCCATGCGATGCACATAAAATTTTCTTTAAATCTATATTTTTATCTCTTCGCTGTCCACTATACAGTATTAACGTACTGTGTTTAAGTTAATTTTGAAATCGCTTGATTGTTACCAAGTTCACTGCCGAAGAAAATCTGGATTGCAAAATTACTACGTGATAAAACTTATTTAATCCAAGCAATGATTGAATACAGATACAGTACCGACATACCGTATCTTATTTTGTACACGGTCATTTAATGCAAATATAATAAAACCGAACCAAATCGGGTGTAATAAGTATTGCAGAAATTTGATTATAGTTAGGTAATAGTTTTCTGACCTGTTCTGCTGGTTCGCTTTCAGTTCTTCTTTTTCGCGAATTTGATGAACATGTGCATTGTCCTGACGGGGCCGATGATAGACTGGAGTCATCTAGTAATATTAAGAAGGTCACAAACTCGTACCGGCAAATAGTGAAGGAGTAACATCCATGGAAAAGTGCGTTAGGTAAAATTAAATAAGCTAAAAAATTGTGAATATCGAACAAATGTTAAATTGTACATTAGTTCATACAAATTTGCAGTCTAACAGGAAGGTGCATGACCAGGTTATAATTGGTAAAATACGCATGGCGCAATAATCAGGCAAGCGGCATGTAGATAAGTATCGCATTTATGTAGAAAAGCCGTAGTTGAACTCATATTATATATATGTCGTTAGATTGGTACAAATACATGTAGAAGCGTTTAGCCTAATCGTTGATGTTCGTAAAATTTGCAAAGCGCTTGCATTAATTGTAAGAGTAACCGAGGAATCGAACAAGAACATCATACGGCTAGGTGCACCGTGCATGTGGCATACCGAGATTGCGAAAAACGGGATACGGTGCTTCGGTGGACAAGGCCATACTGTATTTCATGAGATCCATCATGGATGAACTTCGACGTGTCAAGCGGGGACGAGGTGAGTTTCGTTGTTCACTGTGCTTCCAGTAAGCCTCAACTGATTCCGGGATAGGTGGTGGTGATTCGGGGACGGAATCCATTGCCGATTTTGCTGAAGTGAGTCTGTGCATTAGATCATTTGTCAAAGTTCAGTAATGTATCAGCCGACATCCAGTGTTACGCAATGCAAATGTAGATGTTGTTAGAAAACGTATTAAAGTGCTGCATCTGTGTATTTAACATAGCATAATAATATTGTACTCGTATTAAAGTTCAATTTTATATACGCACTGCTTTATATTGCTCGCTTACCGGAAAGTTCCACCCAGCTACTTACTGTATGTTAATTGGTCGTGTTCGATGGAGGAAATTTATTTGGTTCGACTATCGAGTCATTCACTTACAGATGATGATGAGTTATCGTGGACTTTAGAAAAATCTTTGTTCTAACGAATTGTTAATACTGTTGTACGTATTTCGACAATGCCGTCCATAAAGCCAGATGTTGTTGTTTTTCAGCCATATTTCATTCGGGAGATAAGCGTAAAGCATACCACACGTTACTAACAGTTACAACAGCATTGTTTACTTTTACCAAAAATCCTAATTAACGGGTTAAAATTATCGACTACACACAAGCAGTAACGCGACTGAAAAAAACTCGACCTTGAGTTTACGAAAACTTCAGTGCACACAGGTGCGATCGCTGCACATGGGAATTCAATTACAAACTGCAGCTTGAGTTGTGCTTTGATAGGATCAAAAGGGTACTACAGTTGTAGTAAAGTATTGCGTTTACACTGTAGGTACATGTGACTTAAAGACCCGAACCCGATGCCGATATCATTGCAGACGACTCTAAGATCGAACTTTGTTGTAAAGTCGAAAGTTCCGGTTTTAAACTACGAACTCCATCGCAATGCCGCCAATGCGTACACGTACTAACGATAAGAAGTATGAACACCTAACGGGCGGTCACCTCGGAGGAGGCGGCCAAGTGGCAGGCGGTTTAAGAGTTAGAAGCGCCACCTGGTGTTTGTATAAATGATTGAATGTGGGTTAATGAAAAAGAATGGTTAATGAAGTTGGAAGTATGGTTGTGCGTAGGACTCTGATAGAGACGTAGCTCAGTTAGTTTATAACATACATAAACTAACTGAGCATATTTATGACATACACCTGACTCTAAATCCCACCTCCTACGAGCTGGCAGTAAGTGTGGGTTGGGAGCAGTTGGGCGCATACTTATAACACACACCTGACTCTAACTGCTACCTCCTACGAGCTGGCAGTAACTGTTGGTTGGGCGCAGTTGGGCGCATATTTATAACACACACCTGACTCTAAATACTACCTCCTACGAGCTGGCAGTAAATGCTGGTTGGGCGCAGTTGGACGCATATTTTAAAATTTACACGTCTTAATTTTTAATTTTATTTTCACTTATTGTTACCACACACCAGCTGACTTTCGGTTTGTGTAATCGGTATGAGTACCGATCAGGATAGCATAATACAACTGTTCTTTTCCTTAAGGCCGTTTTGTTCTAATGCATATTTTGTACTCGTACCATGATAATTATTAAAGGTTCTCAGCTACCAGTAAGTTGTTACTTGAACTCAGTAGGTCGCATATTTATAAAATATTATGATCTACTCAAACTTGAAAACAAGAAACTGCCTTATTTATTTCGTTCTTTATTTATTGGTAACTTTAAAAGTTAATTACTACAAAACCAATACAAAAAAACAAAATAATAGTGTATTTCAGTAAAAGAAAAATACTAAGATACAAACTTTACAAGTATTAATCGAGTAATTCAACATAATTACATCACATAGATACTAATACCGCACCACCACTGTCAGATAATAATACCACAGATAACTATAATGCACTTAGAAAAAATGGTATAATGGCGGTAATAAATTGATGAATCACTCAAATAACAACAATAAAAATGAAAAGGGTTGGTCCATCTCAAAGTAAAAGCAACGGTTCATGCTATTCCATTCATTTATTTCGTTTCTTCGGAGTTCCTGTATAAACAAATAAATGATAAAGAAATAAATTTAGAAAAAATAAATTTTAAATTAATAATTATATTTAAATTCTTACCAACAGATCGTTTGCTGGATTCAGGCTGCAATGCGCTTGTATTGTCGTCATTGACAACAATATCCATAGCACTTCCTGGAATTTCGTCTATCAAAATAAAAATTCATTATTAATTTTGAATATTAATAATTGATTTATTCTCGTAAAAAGGTTATACCTGGCTTTTTTTCTTCCATATACGTTATGCTGATTGTTTCTTTGCTCCGACCCTATATATTTTATAAAAATTAAAAATTATAACTTGTGTTATTATCTTGTTATATTTATGAAACGTTTTTATTACTAACTTCAATATTAGTATAAGCCTGTTTCAGTATGACGCGATATTGCTTATTCATAGCTGAGAAATCGGGAATCCCAATCAATCCGCTTTGATGCGCAGCAGCTGAATGTCCAAATAATTGCTGTTGAATTTGATTATGTCCCACAACATCCACAACACCACTGTCGTCAACGATTTGCAACTATAATAACAAAAGAATTTATAATATAAATTATGACCTTATGCTTCATGACTATCGTAATTACAGTTACTGGCTTGTAGACAAATGTAACTTCCGATGGTTTCGGCTCAGTCAAGGATAATAATTAACCATGATTTTATTAAGATATGAACTGCCAAATATTTGTTTTTTAATCTGTTTCTTAGGTTTCTAACTCTTTTCACACTTGAGCTTAACACTTCTTTTTTCCATCTTTGTATAACCTACCCAAATTCTTGTCCCCCACTTTCCTTTGAATACCTTAAAAAACCAGTAAATAAAACTTTTTGCACAATCAAATTAAATTAAAACACTTACCAATAATAACCATACACCTGAAATGGCATGTATACAAAAACAACTCCAACATACAACCAAACAACCGGAACAAAAAGCGGAATGAAAATCATGTTCTCCAAATTTTTCCGATTTTCATCCACAATAAAAACATTTGTAAACCTCTAAACGGAACATTGCACCCACCTGTCTCTCATAACTCCAACTTCACTTGCCAATCTCCAAACGAATCAAAATACCCTAAAATACTGAATGATAGGGAACATTACACCCACCTGTTTCTTCAAAATATTTATTAGCTGTAGTAAAATAAAAATCCCTAAATACAACAGACTTCACATCATACGGATCGTTACACCCACCTGTTTCTTCAAAATATCTTATTCCCACACAAATAATCATTCATCCATAACTATATTTACTCCATAATATACCCAGATTCAAACCATAAAACCAGTCAACTTTACAGTACATTATACGCACCATGTACTATACAATAAACCATACGGAACACTACATCCACCTGTTTCTTTAATTTGATTTTATCAACTACAATATCTACACAACATAACTCCATAATGCCAAATAAATTTCCTATAATGCCACTTATTCTTTCTATATTTTACCACAATATCCTTTTCCATATTTTCCGTAATATATTTTCTATTTTCCTTCATATATTCCATATTTTCCTTTTCTTACATAATATCTTTCATCATTTATTAACATAAATATTATTTCTACCACCCTATTAATCAACTCACTATACCTTAAGATAATTTTCATTTTAACTTCTGCCTATCCAAATCACTCATTTCCAACTTTTTTTGACAGTCTGAAACTAAATGATGATATAACATCTAAATAAATCTTTCGTAGAATCAAATCAATTTCCTTACTTAAATCGTACCGAAAGTCCTCTAAGTTCAGCGCCAATGCAAAAATGTATCTGTGTTCGTTACGAAAGGTTGTTACCAAAGGTCATTACGAAAATGTTCCTAGCTCGTTATAATTGTAGGTTAAATTATTGATAATGTTAAGCACTAAAAGTGCTACTGGTAGCACGTTAAAAATTATTTATCTTTCACACAAGCGAAAAGCTGCTGCGCTCCGGTCTGCCAATGCACACCTAGTTTTTCTACTTTATAAACGTACTCTCAATAGCATCTACACACCAAACATCCGAATATACAGATATACTGTATAAAATTGCAAGAAAAAATTAACTAACCTCCTTAAAACTCTCGTTTTAAACCACACTGCCATAAAGTCAAAAGCCAACCAATACTCTATTTATTCCTTAATATCTCTTAATCTATTTAACTTAAGAAACCAAATACATTAAAAAATTAACAATAAATAAAAAAATTTCACTATAAACAAATATTCCTTACTTGTCACAAATCTGCCAAAATCCCTTCAAACACCTCTTCCCGGGCACTCCAAATCACTCTCCACCTTACTACAACAACCTTTACTATCAAACTATCAAATAAAATCTTACAACACAATCCAGACAACAAACTTCTCACAACTTCCCTTAACCAACTAAATTTCCACCGCACTCCGATTTCCTTTTATATACCCACAGCACACTATACTTCACAAAACCACCAATCACCAGCAAATACCTACCTCCCCCATCCGATAACTTCCAATCCAAAATCATTTCGTCAGAGAACTTTAAAAGCGGCCTCATTTATATCGAAACACCCAACCCGAAAATCGTCCTTGACAGGACACATATGGCTAAACTACTGCTTCTACAAAAAAGACTACCCTTACAAATTCTACACAACAGAGCCATATGGTCTCGGGTGCTAAACACCCTCTGTCGCAGTGGCAACCCCACCGCCTGCCGGAAAACCTGCCTTTGCGCTGCTGTATTTTCCCGTGCAGCGTAGTTTGCAGTTGCACATTGCACCTACCGCTACGTACTGTAATAATGCATCGTACCAAACCGGAAGTGCAATGACAAACGGTGGAAGTGTCTTTGTTATGGAATCGGTATATCTATAATATTCGGGATGTGACTTACAGCCGGTACACCTGTACAAACCTATAAAAAGTCTTCCCTTTAATAGTGTCTTTTATGGGTATTATTCCCAAGTTACAGATGTAAAAAAAATTTTACAAAGTGTAATATTTCAACTGTAGGAAAGTTCATGTTCATACAGTAACACAGTAGGTACACAGATTCGGTCGAAGACAGTTCAAGACACATAACGTGTTAAAAAACGTAAAGCTGCCGTTTTGCTAATTTTCCGCTCTTTCTGTCCTTTCGGGATCTATATAGTTCTAGGAATTTGGATTACCATAAAATACAAAGCAATCCAGTTCCATATTGCATCAAAAACATAAAATACCGTTACAGAAGAGCTGGTTGAGGGTAAGAAACCCTAAGACGAAACAATTATTCTATGCGTGCTACAACCCGGCATTTTTCAAAATTCAAAAAACCACAGGAATGTGGAATTTTGGGCAAGTTGAGTCACACAACATCGACAAATGTAGACGGTCGAATAACTGAAAAATTTCGTGGAAATTCGCCGCCGGTGTCTGTTCACAGTATAGGCACGAGTACGCTATAGTAGATGCTGCGTTTCCTCGCTGGATCAGATCTGTTGTTGATCCCGGAAGGGCCACTGGAAGTGAATCACTGCGCGTTGTTCCGCATTAATTTTAAGAGGTTTAATTTGTCGACGTGCCGCTATCGCGTTACAGCAAAAGCATTAAAGCGAGCAAACTAATTGTTGCTGCTAACATACAAATTATACAAATTATTAATGTTTGTGATTAGAATGCCGGTCCCGCCTTTGCCCATCATGACAGCGATAACAATCGGCAATTCGCCAGACCGAAGACAACACAATTTAAATGCGTGCCGCGCTACACCACGCACTGATGTTCACAGCATATTCGGGACTCATTTTGATTTGTGTACAATAAACCTGACGCCGGATTCATCGCGTACGACTTGGATCTCCGCTTTTACCCTATGGCAGTTGTTTGTCTGTTGGAACCGTCCGGCTGATGTGGTTGTCGTACGAAGCAGGGAATAATATTGAACCGAACAGTATTCAACGATCGTCGATATATCACGCGGAGCAGGGAATCAGTAGAGAGGGAAATGGATGAGTGCGCTGAGAGTCCTGAGCTGTCAGCCAGCGCTGCTCAACAGTAGGCGCACATGTGATGCATAATAGTCCACCGCGCCTTGTCATTCCGCGCAGTTCCCTTTTCCCGCTGCATGCGCTGTTTCCTTCTGTGATCCCTGGCAGTGTGGCGCTCCCTTTCCAGGGTCCATTGTGCGGATCTGTAGCTGCTGCTATCGCCGAGCGCAACTAGTCACCAATCGGTTGACCGTGTTGCCATTGTTTTAATTTTGAGCCTTTCCATCGCATTCCTCGTAACAATGGCGGCACCGGGCAACAGCGGGATGGAACAGCTGATCCCCATTGTCAACAAACTGCAGGATGCTTTTGCCCAGTTGGGTGTGCCCTTATCGCTGGATCTGCCACAGATTGCTGTGGTCGGCAGTCAAAGCGCCGGAAAAAGTAGTGTCTTGGAGAATTTTGTCGGCAGGTAAGAAACGCAATTGCTTTCAGCTTTCTTTAGTTCAGGGAACGGGCACATGTTGGGCTTACTGGAGATTTAAAGCACTTTGCGATAAGCCTACATTTTTGGCTTGGTCGTTACAGCGTATCCCAGTCAGTTTGTTAGGAGTGTGTGGTCTTCTGTGTTGTTTGAAAATCGATTGTCGCAGGCCGGAGCGGAAATGCGCTTTCCCATGTGCAGGGTGTTTCGTTGAAGCTTTGGGCTAGCCGCGTAGTGTAATTATGGATGAAATCCTTCAGATCGAGTTGTTGTACGATGACTTAGCAATCACAGTAATCGCCAACCAGACTTGTTTGTTTTTTGTTTACGCACACTACGAATACATCATGCTATTAAATCACGATTGCTGTTTCTAGTTGAAATTCAGTTAATTTTGATTTTGAAATAAAGTCTTTCTCGCTGGCAACGACTACCGGGTGATGGGAACTGCGTAATACTAGTAACATGGCTATGTAGTACTTTGCGCGTGATGTAGTGAAAATGAACTGAATAATTTTGTTTTGCAAAAGGAATTAGCTTACTGAGCATTATGAATACAAGTTTGGCTAACTATATCGTCACTCAGATCGCAAAAAAATGTCATAAAAGATGTAATTAGGATAATGTGACGCATCGTCCGGTAATCGTCATATACAGTAGAGCAATAAATTATCGCATAATCAAAAGTGGCCTCAATTTGAGTACAGCTTGTACAGTGTACAGGTTACATAACTGAGCCGATATTTCGAGGCGCCGAGGAAGTTACAGTCTTTGTGGTTCTTTGTAGTATTTTAAGATGTCAAAATTTTATGAAGAAACACTTATTTGTACTTCCAGTGTTATTAGGTTAATTATTTAAGTAAGGAAGCCATAACGTAAACGTGTTTACTTAACGTGTCGTCTACTTAATCCCCGATTGATTTGCAGAGATTTCCTTCCTCGAGGCTCTGGAATCGTTACACGTCGACCTTTAGTGCTGCAGCTAATTAACAGTCCAACCGGTATGCTGGTGTTTTCTTACAATAAACTGCGCAAATTTCAGTATTATAATTTTTGTGCATTGTGATTTGCTTTAGAATATGGAGAATTTCTACATCAGCGCGGCAAGATATATCAAGACTTTGATGCGATACGTAAGGAAATCGAGGATGAAACAGAACGTGTTACGGGTAGCGATAAAAACATTTCACCGGCTCCCATCAACCTCCGAGTGTATTCGCCACACGGTAACTGGAGAAAAATTCTACATTTCTATGCTTTCCTAGTTTTTAACGTTTTTACAGTGTTGAACCTAACGCTGATTGATCTTCCTGGCATGACCAAAGTGCCCGTTGGTGATCAACCGATTGATATTGAAGTTCAAATTCGCAACATGATTCTGACGTTTATTTCTAACGAAAACTGCCTAATTTTGGCTGTATCTCCGGCCAACTCGGATCTCGCTAATTCGGATGCGTTAAAAATTGCAAAGGAAGTTGACCCAGAAGGTTAGCACTTGAAGCAGTAATTTTTAACTGCTGCTTAAATACTTATTTATAAATTGCTTGTTGGTGTAATTTTTAACTACTTACCTGATAGAAAAAATGTTAGGTGAGTATCCGTTTTAAAGAAATTCCCGTGGCAGTTGCGCTTTGTTCATTTCGAGTGATGCACAAAGAAGTACTCGTACGGTATATCACATTTACACAGTATTCACGCTCTTCGTGCTTCCGTACGTTTTATCGATGGTTTTCGTTTAGGACTGCGCACAATTGGCGTTATTACCAAACTGGATCTTATGGACGAAGGCACGGACGCACGGGACATATTGGAGAATAAACTGCTGCCTTTGCGCCGTGGATACATTGGCATTGTTAATCGCAGCCAGCGGGATATCGACGGGAAGAAGGACATCAAAGCCGCACAAGATGCGGAGAGAAAATTTTTCATTACGCACCCATCTTATCGGTAATTGGTAATTTTAGCGTCTGGACTGATGGTCCAGACATTTAAAAAAACCACTCACTCTGCATATGCAGTACAATTATAACCGGCTTTTGTATTCAAAGAGGAAATTGCTGAACGAATAGCTGGCCTAAATGAGTAGACAAAAGTAGTATATGAAAAAGCAGTTTGTCGAAAAAATGAAAGCGATTAAGTATAAGTAACTGTCACTTCACACATACAAATTTTAGACATATTGCCGAACGAATGGGAACATCTTATCTCCAACGCGTCCTGAATCAGCAGCTCACCAACCACATTCGTGAAACTCTTCCTGGTCTACGGGATAAACTGCAGAAACAACTATTAGCCATGGAAAAAGATGTGGCCGAGTATAAGAATTACCGCCCAGATGATCCTGGTCGTAAAACCAAAGCGATGATGCAGTACGTTTGCGATTAGTAATTTGGATTGATTCCACAATGCGTTGTATTGCTTTCCTAAATCTGTTTTGTGTGACGCAGAATGATTCAGACTTTCGCTGTGGACTTCGAAAAGAACATTGAAGGGAATGCTATGGGAACAGGTGAAATCAACACACTGGAGCTGTCAGGTGGTGCAAAAATCAATCGCATCTTCCACGAACGATTTCCATTTGAAATTGTCAAGGTGCGAAAAGTTTTTTTATTGCTTAATTCGACTAATTTAGCTTGTTCGATTTAGCTTGCTCCTACGACTTGTTGAATTTCAACAATTGTTCGTATCTTTCTAAATGAAAGTCGACGAGTTATATTGTTAACAGAATGCGTGAACGAAATTCTGAAATTGGCGTATTTAGCTAACTGGATCCTTATTACCGAACTGAAATATTTACCTTCTTTCCCGTTTATTTAGTAGTGATGGCATGAATAATAACACTCTTTTGTACAGATGGAATTCGATGAGAAGGAGCTGCGCCGCGAAATTGCTTATGCCATCCGCAATATCCACGGCATTCGCGTGGGATTGTTCACGCCTGATAAAGCATTCGAAGCCATGACTAAACGACAAATTGCCCGCTTAAAGGAGCCATCACTGAAATGTGTGGATTTGGTGGTAGCTGAATTATCCAGTGTGATTCGCCGATGTAGTGAACGGGTACAGCTCGACCTAATCCATATATGTCGTCGCTTGTGGATGAACGGGTGGTATTAGCATATTTCCTTCACATTCTTTCTTGGTACCTCTTGCAGATGAATCGATATCCTCATCTACGGGAGGAGATTGAGAGGATCGTTGCGCAACATATTCGCGATAGGGAGCAGTTCACCAAAAATCAATTGAACCTCCTGGTTGAGATCGAGCTGGCTTACATGAATACCAACCACGAAGACTTTGTTGGTTTTAGCGCGTACGTAATGCCGGTAACTGTATCGTAGCGTTGCTATAAAGGTCACCGTTGCCGGTAACTGTCTTTACCTGTTCGATGGTGCAAGGCGTGCAGCGTACTGTATAGTAATCATTGTTCAAAAACCAATCAGAATTACCGATGGCTTAACTAAGGATAGGTTATAACAAAATAATTAAAATTTACTTATCGTAAATTGCCTTAAATCGTGGCAATGTACTTGATCTATAGTGCAGCTGCTACGAGCGGATCAACAGACCAGTCCGCAGCCCAAGCAGTGAAAAAGATCGGTAACCAAGTTATACGAAAAGGCTGGATGGCGATACACAATTTCAGTATAATGCGCGGTGGCTCGAAAGAGTTCTGGTTCGTGTTAACCAGCGAAAGTTTAGCGTGGTTTCGGGACCAAGAAGAGAAGGATAAGAAATTCATGCTGATGTTGGATGGGCTAAAACTGAAGGATTTGGACGCGGGTTTTCTATCACGCAGGCCTATGTTTGTAATTTTCTATCCCGATGGCAGAAATGTTTACAAGGAATTCAAGCAGCTTGAGTTGTCCTGTGCCAGCCAGGATGATGTGGACGGCTGGAAAGCGTCCTTTTTGCGGGCGGGTGTGTATCCGGAGAAGCGAGTAGAGGAGAACGGTCCACACGAAAATGTAATAAGCATTTTTTTGTTTTATTTCGAAATATTGCATGACCGTTCTTTCTTAAAGGGCATGGATGGTTCGGCGGACACCGCGTCCATTGATCCACAGCTGGAGCGTCAGGTGGAAACGATTCGCAATCTTGTCGGTTCATACATGCAGATTATCAATAAAACAATCAAAGATCTCGTTCCGAAGACCGTGATGCATCTGTTAATGAACGAAGTATGTATTAGCAGAGCTTCAGTCTTGCTTCTGTGGAAAACGTCCTCTAATAGAGGCTATTCTAGACTAAAGAGTTTATACACGGTGAGCTGCTAGCTCAGTTGTACTCCACAACCGATCAATCACAGTTGATGGAGGAAAGTCCCGAAGAGTCCCGGCGGCGCGATGAAATGTTGCGGATGTACCATGCTTGTAGTGAGGCTTTACGAATCATCGGTGATGTGTCCATGCAAACGGTGTCGACACCCCTACCGGCTCCCGTTGCCAATGATTGGCGTATTGGATTAGATCCCGGCGGCGGCGGAGCGTAAGTGTGCATTGTGCAGTGTCGCAATTAGGTTTCGGTTGGAACGTAGTAACTGGTGTCTGCAGTTTGCATATTCATCTACTTTTTGCTTGAAGTGTTTAAAAGTGCACGTATTAATACTACAAAATACGTTAGAATGATTGAAGCCATAAAATCAATCATCTACGACACTTGTTCTACATAGTGGCTGGCTAAACTTGCATTTGTATATGAACAAAACAACAAATAAACATGTAACGAAACAATTGCAGTCGGCGTCCTCCACCTTCACCGCAGCCCGTTCGACCTCCTGGTCCAGGTCTTCCACCCGGAGGGCCAGGCGGTCCCCCGCCACCGCGTCCAGGCGGCCCGCCACCACCGGGCTTCCGTGGACCACCGCCGGGAGGGCCCCGAGGTCCTCTTCCACCAGGCATGATGCCACCGGGTATGCCGCCCATTCGACCGGAACAGGTGCGAGCCGGCCTGCAGATGGCTGGCCAGATGATGAACATGATGCAACAGATGGGCCCGGGTGCGCCTCTCGTGCCGCAGCGACCCGGCCAAGGGGCTCCCCCGCCGCCTCAGAGAACTCCGCAGTGAGCGGAAGATTTATCATAGGATTGTTCATGTGGTTTGATTATTTTATCCTGAGATTGTCTTGTACTAGTGGATTTTACCGCGCATGAGAGAAATAGGAGGCACTGCAATAATGATTGTATTGTCCGCTTGTATTGCTGGAGTTGATTATGACCTATCTGTGGAACAGAAAGTATCGCATGTGTACCAAGTGTTATACAGTTTTGTGCGCTTTAATCGTCTATTTGGCTACAAGTGCTGTGATTTGATTTTAAAGGTTTAAAGTATTTCTTTGAGGTATGGCTTTATCTGGAGTATTTATTGCATGAAGCGCTAATGGTATGGGAGACAATAAATAGCTGGTATAAGTGGAATGTAAGACGTAGTTCGGATAGCACGAGATAACAGCGGTACCTCACCTGAACAAGAACTCAACAGTTGAGTAAAAAAATGTTTGCTAAGCGATTTTTATCACCATCAATCGATAGATGTTTATTAATGGTGGTTTAGTATTATATTATTAGCGTTATATTATTAGTATTATTAGAATTAGTATTATATTAGTATTAGTGCTACTTTAAGATTCAGTGACCTGTGCGTCAGCCGACAGGTAAGTACAACTTTTCACATAAGTCAACTTAGATTATACCCGTATTATGCTTTGAAATTTCATTGTAGAACGAGTCATATACCGCGCGGCTGCACATAAAGGAATTGGGCATGCGCTTTACGACAGAGCCGCATCTTCAGTTCTTCTGAACTTCGACACCGTTTTTCGGTTTTCCATTTATGAATCCACTTATGAATCCTTCTACGTCTTGCAGTCCTTACTGTATGGCATAAATTTTATCCGTGCTTTGAATTTTTCGTGAGAAAATTGCTTTATCTTTTTGCCATTTTGGTGGCAAATTGTTGATGTGCTAAATGCAGCCAGTCGAGGCACAATTGCTCAAAAGTCTGAGTCAATGAGGAACGATAATAACGTCCTGGTATGGCAGAATTATAATTATACATGTGGTTCTTAAGTTCAGCCTAGTTTCTCCAGTGCAAAGGTACTCACTCGTATACTAATTTATATAAAACAGTAAATATATCCTTAAACTTGCTGTATGGTCCGGCAACATTATGCACCGATGAATCTGCTGAATCGAAGAAAGTCAGTTATGCCGGAACATGATCGCCGACGAAGGAAGTACTACTCGTACTACTGTTTAATGAAGAACTTCTTCCTCAAACAATCACGGTAGTGTAATCGGGAAATCGTTCAGAACAGTCATCCATGTCTCTTGCGCCGTCTCAACGTGTGCGAAACTGCAGGGGAATGTATATATAAAGCAATTCCTCTAGTTTTAGGCACTGCAACTGTGGCCGTGTGGCGGGGAATTTTGTAAGGTCGCTTTTGAACATATATTCTTAGTGGATATTGTACTAAGTCTCTGATCCTATTGTTAGTGATTAACAAAAGAATTTTACAGTTTAGCTTAATTTACCTTAAATTCTCTTCCTCTCTCTTTCTTTTTTCTCACTGCAGAAACAAATGTTTTGTTTTGCAATGGAGCTACAAACTACAACGCATTCAATGTCCTACGGGAAGGTATGTAACTGGAGTATTAGTGCGCAAATAGATAACTTAAAATGCAATAGTTATCACTTATCAGTAACGTTTAACCGTAGGTGTTGTAGCTACGAATCAGTGCATATTCTATACATACTCTGTGTGTTTTTGTAAATTGACTGAGGCATTTGCGGAAGTATTTACAACGTTCAATAATAAAAAAATTTACTGAAATTTATGGCAGTGGTTTGCACTTTGCAGCTACTTACTTTTCTATTTTTTGGAGTACTGTGTCCGCAGTTCCTAGCCAAAGTTCTACCGGCTGCAGACAATGCTTCAGCACTGCTTCCCAATTCCCCGCTTTCAACACCAACGCAAGATATGAATGAAACAGCACTTACGCCCGTGAGTATAATACTGCTCGATACTTATCGCATATTTCCGTATTTTAAATGGCGGTTAAAGCCTTTTAGGACTTCAACAAATTCCCTTTACGAAAACCATCGTAGATTTTTGTTTCTCCGTGATATCAATATACTTGAAGCAAAGCCTTTGCACGAAACAAAACATGGTTTAAAATCCGGATTCCGGATCCAGACAGAGTTGTTTCACAAATTAAAGCACTCGAATCTCGAAGTATTGAAATCTTACGGCCCTACCTTTGACTCGGTGCATTTATTTTACTGACCGGAGCAAACGAAATTCAGACTTCCTCTCTTGTTATCTAATTTTCGGTACAGATGTTTATGTTTAGTTTAGACGTGTAGTTCCTTTCAAGTCCTGTAAACATTTTGTAAACTGTTGCCCGGTCGCGGTATTTCTTGCCCAAAACGCTGATTATGTTTTCTCAGCAAATTATTTCTGAATTCCATTTCCAGACATTTAGGTGCAGTAATTATTAATTTTATTGATTATTATTATATTTAGCGTACGAGGTCAGATTTTTCAACTTATCAAGTTGCCAGCGTGGTGCATGGGTCGTGTCCATATCCACAACAGAGCATGAATGTAAACATACCGGCAAATTAAAAAACCCTGAGCATGCGTTTTAACAACGCTAACCTTGACTCTTTTTACTGCCCTAAAGTTTAAAAGGTATAAAATGAACAACCAGTTCATTAAGAACCAATGTAACAGTAACTCCGCGTTAATCCTATATCCAGCAGTTAATTGTTTCCGTTTTGCTGTAGTTTGCGAACGGCAGGCCGATAATCGCTCTTGCACGTCACTACTGTAGCACTCAACTCGGGTTGAATTTCCTGACTATCTGCCATTCAGTTATTTCATTTTTCAATCAGTTTTCAAGCTACTTGTCCTATTTGAATTTTAGAGTTCAAATGCCACCAGAGTTCAAGTGCAACTTGTACGTTTTGAAAATCCTAATTCCTTGATGTTTGATGGACGATACTGTGATGTTGTCAGCAAATGCGATCCCCGAATCGCCGTGGATCTGGACGTGTAAGTGGATCAAAGCTCGTACTAAATGTGAACTTTGAGCGAAATAATACGGAAACCATCAAATGTTGGGTACGAGTATATATCGTATGTATTGTGAATTGTCCAAAAAGAACATTCACTTTGCGTTACGGTAAGGCAACTTCTAGCACCGGTCAGTTATCTGGTCGCGTATAAAGACATTTTCGCTCAAGCGAGCGCACAGTTAGTGCAACTTAACAGTTTTTTAACAGTTAACAGTTAGCACCCTAACTAGTTTGTTGTATAAATACATACCTATTCGGATCACTGAGTAGTGAGTACAACATAGTTTAAGTGAGATGTAATCTACCATAATACCTAAATTAAGTAGATTCAGTGCGTTTGACTGTGGTACAATAATACGGCACAATATTTTGTTTATTGGACTCTGCACTCTGCAGTATACGCAGTTCGCAACTATTGAAAATTAAAATACCTACATTGCAGGGAATCACCCTATGCAATATGGCCTGGACCACGGCATCCGGAAACATACCAGATACTTTACGAGATTAGCAATCAAGATGTCTTTAATATTGCCCAAGCTGTTTCAAAGGATTTTTGTCCCGGAAAGAAACTAGGAAATACGGTACGTAACTAATTACGTATACACCAACTCCTGCAAGCTAACAATCCACATTGTGAACCTGCAGGGAAATCTACGAGTGCAAATTGTGGATATTGACGATATTTCATCGCCTGATTTGATAAATCGGTTTGAATGCCTTTTCGAATTTAAAAAATTAGCGGAACATGCTAACGAGGAACATGCGGACATCACACCATGGAGTCGAATTAAAGAGTGTACTGCGACCTTTCTAGATCCTTCCAGTTTCAAGTAAATGAAGTACCTATAGTCACTTCCTGCAGTGCTGCGAGTCAAACTAAGCTTTTTTCTTAACATTACGTCTGCAGCTCGCTCAAACAACATACTTGCACTGAAACCTACGTATTGTTTTCCATTACAGGCTATACTACCGATACCGCATGTACAAGATTCCTCTGAACCAACATATAGTCTGCTAAACAGCATCCTGTTTGTCCAACTGTGACATTCTAGCGTTCCTTTAGCGCTCAAAGATGCACCCCTTGGTAGAACTTAATTACCTGGCATAACTTGGTTTTCAACAATGCAGTGAAAACATGTCTGATTTTGTATTACAACTCCATGACCTTTTGAGTGACACACCGGGATGTAACCCGCGGATGCAAAATAAAACGCAATCAAAAACTGAGTAATCGGTTTGAGCACCGGCAGAACGAGATATCAGCAACAATTTGCCAGAAAATACAAATCTTCAGTGTATTCATAATTTAGAACCGAATTCTGTAATAAAATGCTAAGTTCCAGAATAGCGGCTAATATCGCAAAAACCATATAGTGCGTGGTCAATGAGTCAATAACCGGTTTTGAATTTAAGAGGGAATGCCATTTTAAACAGTGTACCGCCGCGATTTGACTTAATATATGCGATGGCAACCGCATATGCGGTCACCTGATTACAAATTGGGTGGACGATTGGGTTAGTTCACGGTCAAACGAAATTATTTATTTCTCGATGTCCTCCGCAAGAAAGATGACAAAGTCGGCGAAGATTTTGGTAAATTTTGTTCGTAATCCAGCTTTTCAAGTTCGTCTTCGTCTAATAAATCCGCTTGAGACGTCGAATACGCACTCTCCGTTGCCTCCATTGATCTTATCGCCACCTCGGAAGTACTAGCCATTCGTTCAGCTGTGGACTGTGAAAAAACATCGATGGTAGAAACATCCATGCGATTTCCATCTTCAGATCTGGCATCGTTAACATTGCGGAGATCTTTTGGTAGCACAATCCGCAGAATTTCCGCTGGTGTATTGACGAAGCGGATGCTCTTGTTCCAGCGTTTACAATTCATGACCACCGATCGCAGCGCGCGCAGCGTTGTATAGTCAGATGCAGTCAAATGAATCCCGTCGAAGACGATCTCCTCCTTGATCTCCGCAATCTCCAAAAGAGTGGATGAATTATTCGTAGGCGACATAGTTACATCATTATATTCCTTAGTCACAATTTCATCCTGGAAGAAATCCTTGAGGTACTCGGCAGCAGGAAAGTAGATCGCGCCTTGAGGCGTCACGGCGACATTTATCGTGCGCTTGCCGGTTGTCGGATTTATAGGCCGCAAGCTGTACAGCGACTGCTTAAAATACGCAATAATTACAGGTCGCGCGATAGGATACAATAGCAGCAGCATTGATACCCTGCAACGCAAGAGATTCGCTGGGTTAATCACGCCTGTTCCAGTGAATTATTCCGGTTATATTCCCGTCAATTCTCATCATCGAGAACATTACACATGCAAGTATCCAAGTTCAAATTACACTCATTTTTTCTCAACATGACAAATGTCTGAATAGCTTAAGAAACGCACGTTCTTCAAAGTTTTTTTTAAAGTTTTAGCATAAAAATCAAAACAACTACTTACAGAAAAAAATGCCCATCAGCGTAACTTACCCTATTCCTGCCAAAATTCCATAGTCGACGCTGAATGTAAAACCAATAACGACGACAGTTCCAATGGCGAGAAGCTCTTTTTTGCTGATCAGCCACAAATCTTTGAAGATTTTAAATTCGAACAGGATCAAGATAGCCGCAATAATCACCGCACTTAATGCTGATTTGGGAACTGTAATTCATCGGTGTTAGTCGAACCCTCATTTTTTCTATATTTTGTGGGTAACCAAAAAGAAACCTCAAATATGCTTGTATGCTTTCTTACGAAACAAAATGTCCGCAAAACATCAAGTACGCAATCCTTACCGTACTTAAAGGCGGGAGAAATTACAGACATCGCTATTAAGACAAACGCCCCGGTCCACGTGCAACCGAATGGTGTCCGCACTCCAGATTGCGCCTTTAATGCTGATCGGGTGAAACTTCCAGTCACCGGATAAGCATGAAAGAATGAACATAACAGATTTGATAAGCCAAGAGCAAATAATTCTTGAGTAGGCTCTATGCGATATTGGAACTGGAATGCAAACGCCTTCGCAACAGCAATCCTGAAATCCAAAGGTCACCCTTACTAGTCGAAACTAACTGGACAAAACGACTTAACTTTACTTACGACTCCAGGGCACCAACCAAGACAATCATGGGAACACTTGGTAAAATTGCTGCTATACTGGCCGATGCCGAATGATTATTCCAACTGAAATCCGGTGGACCGAACTTGGGAATGGTAGCATTGACATCACTGGTTATACTTAAATATCCCTTGATCCCTAGGACAGCGGTCACGTAGTAGCTTATTCCCGTAGCCACAATAATAACTAATGCGTAACGTGTCACGCAGATGGTGCGCACGACTTCGCGAAGAATATTCCAAGTGCGTTTGGAACATCCAAAGCGTGGTCGCCTGGGCAGCTTCATTTCTTTCATCAACAAAAGGACAGTCAAGCAGATCATACCCATCAGCGTATCCCAACCACTGCAAATTTACTATCATAATAATTATTTTTATGAATTCGCTTTAGTTAAGTCGCTATTGCTTGGTAGGAAATGTCTGGTACGACTGCACGAGTAATGCAAATTAATTAACGATAGTGACCATGTATTGGAACTTCAACAAGCTAAGAATAATAATAATTATTGCAACTTTCAAGCTTTGTTTATCCTTCTACAAAAGGATTTAATTAAATTTATCGCTGACTGGTTAACTACAGTATTCGCTTACTTAATCGTTCGGATACTCATCACGTATGCCTGACTGATTTCCCACACGCTGTCTGCGGATGCTTTGTTTCCACTAGGTGTCCAAATTTTGGAGGGAAGTTTCAAGCCCGTTAGCGTTTTTATTTGTCCATATAAAATGATGAAAGCGGATGTGGTAGTAAAGCCGCTGATCACTGGAGCCGAAATGAAGTTTATCAGAAAACCTATAAAAGAGCCATGATTTATGGTAGGCTTCGGTGCAGGACATCCACAGCCAAAGTCAGTCAACCAAATACAAACAAATAAAGACGCTGCTCTGTTTAGATTGATATGATATGAATCGGGATCTTGCGCAATGACTACGAATAACCGTAGTTCATCCATTACCTACCGTACTCAGTGTTTTCACATGCGAAAACGAAGAACATGTTCCGTTACCGTATTGCTAAACAGCTGGATACTTCCTGTTATTGTTAATGTGAAAAAATCTTGCAAATGTTCGAAAGAGGCTTGCAAAAGTTCAGCTATACTAACGACCTTACCTAAGTTAAATATTCCCAAAAACAACTGGCTAACTCCGGAAAAGAAGCTGAGTATCACAGCATAATGTGCTTTGTCTTCTGGTGTGGCATCTTTAGGAAAAGCGGCAGCGGTCATCAGGGATAGCACTGCTGTTGGTCCTAAAGTGATGTCCTTTGCGGTTCCGAATAAGGTGTACATGAAACATCCCATAAAAGCAGAATACAATCCATACTGCAAAAAGATGTCCAAACGCTATCTGTAGGCTTTTGCACAACCAAAGCAAAATTATGCAAACCTCGAAGCAGGAAGCCTTGAAAGATATCTAAGCTGTTAGAAGCATTTAAACAATATGTAAACAATAACAGTCATTCTTTTAATAATTTAATTAGGATTGATACCTAAGAAAAATTCTGTGATGTGCGGCCTCGCAACGCCGGTCCAGACACAATAGACTGACGACAGTATCATGTAGAGTATGTAGTGCCCATATTGTGTCACGCTTAGCTTGATTAATTTTACATCTGCATCTTAATTTCCAAAAAAAACTACTCTGATAAAATGAATATAATAAAACTACAAAACCGTGTATCGGGCAAGATAAGTATATCAACACTTAACTTACGATGATGCCCGAACTTATCTGGCGTATACAGTAATATTACAGGCAGTAGCTAACTATTCGTTTTGACAATAAACTGCAAATCAGTCATGCGGAAAACCGGTAGAGACGTCCTGCTCGTATAAATGCTCAATCACTTCACATTATTACCCATAAATGCTAACCTCGAGAGGGACTTCCGCGATCGCTGCATACGCCAGACCTTGTGGCACCACGGTAAGGCCTGTAAAAGACAGTTTTACGAAAAAACACGATTATTATACGTATCAACCAGAGCTGGTCCGATAAGTCATCGGAGACCTCCGCTGTGTCCGATAACTCCGATAATTCCGATGTTTTCATCGGAAAAAGCGGTATCGGAAAAGTTCTGTAGCGTATCGTAGCGGATCGGAAAAATTGTTTATCGGGCGGAGCTGCAAAATCTTTAGCGTAGCGGAAATTCCACCCGATAGAAGCAAAAAAACGTAGTTCTAAAGGTTTTCGACGAACTTTTTCAGAAAAAAATGAGTCAGAAGGTGACTTTCTATGTTGGTGCCTCACTAAAAGACGTCACGAAACTGATGAAGCGCACTTTCCGCCAAAATATTAGCAGCTTATTTTTTTTAAAATCGTAAACTGAATTTTGTGAAATGCACTGGTGAATGCCGGCCTGCGCGAATTTTCACTTGAAAGTTTTGGTTTTTTTTATCGGATCATCGGATTTATCGTATCGGAGCGGTATCGTAGCGGAGGCGAAAAATTCATATCGGACCAGCTCTGGTATCAACTAACAGTAAGAAGACGTCGTTCATGTAATTGTGTATGTTACTAATCGTAAATGTTAAAGCAGCGAGAGGAAACCTGGACTGTGTTTGCATCATACATCAGATAAATAAAAACAAAATCAAACTCATACCGACGGTTAAGCCCGCAACGAGATCTCCCTTGAAATCCAGCAAACTATATTTGGGCAGCCATAAGGAAATGGGCAATCTGGAGCGCCATTTCTGCAATGTACAGCATCCGATAGCGGTCCGCTTTAGGCCGTTAGTTGTCGGATCACCGCCGGTAGTCACACAACGCTCGGTACTTTCCTCCAGTGTCCAGTCGCTGTCTTTTAAAGGATTCGAGTTGGGTATGTATCCCGCAGTAATCGCATGTCCGTCAGTTGTGGTGTTAATTCCGTTAGTTGCTGCATAATTCGGCGCGTTATCATCAGTGGTCACTTTTAACGGTTTCATTCCTTAACACGTGACGGATCTATTCAATTTTCGGACACTGATGTGATGATTAATATTGTTAATATATATAATGCGGAAAGCGATGGTGCTCTCTAGTCCATGTTTCATCAAGCTGTAATGAAATTAGTTGTTAAAGGTTTATAGAAACTAATTGAGAGTTTTAGAAATGTCAGGCGCGGCTTCGCAAAAGCTTGGAATGAATGGATTAGTTGTCGCCTTGGAGGTTTATGGACAAACCATAGTTAACGACCAATTGTGAACTCAAGAGTGTCAGCGAATTCCGCGCACATGTGGAAACAGCATGCGCCCGCTAATAACTGGTTCCATGTTCCAATAGCCAACACAGGTGTCAATAAAACTTCATAAAAAACCAAAAACGATGCCGCACAATGTGTTAGTGCCAAAACTTCATAAGGGCAGGCGTGAGTCATAACGTTTCCTGAAGCCCAGATACGAATTACAAAATAAGTAACATGCCTTAAGCGACGAGAACTCAAGAAATTCGCATTCTATCAGAAATAAGTTATCTTAGCAGACAAGTGCCAGAAGACAAAAAGAAAAGATAAAAATTATTCCTCGGTTACGAGCAGCTATATCTATACTTCTATGTGTAACAATCATGTTGTGGACTTATAGTGGTGTCGGAGCCGTACTTGGAACATTTGTTTACATTTATTCGAAACTGCTGATGATGACGAATTATTAGCGACAAAACTTACGATTCTGCAAAACACTCATTACTGTCTATTATAACACTCGTCATGCGAAATAAAATGACACTCGCGGAACACCGCGCTTAAAAATTAGGCTTGTAACTTATAGGCTCAGGTTCCGTAAACAGTTCACGGTAAACTTTCTGGTTTCTCATCGGCCACTCGATATTTGATTTAAAATGAATCGCAAATAGTGGTTATAAATTATAATAAAGAAATCAACAAACCCAAGTTGATGGTAAAAATCCGCAGTACAGCATGGCATCCTTTTAATAAAAAATGTACTATTCATTTATTGTGCCACGAGTATTCATGACAACTTCGACAAGATATGTACAGTTACTGCGAATGTTAACATCTTTCGTCTTTAATAATAAATTTAATCAGCAATACAATTTACAAAACCGAAATAATTTCTGTAAGTTACAAAACCGTTAATCTTTTCACCACCGAAAAAGGCTGGAAGAAAACTTAATCCACTGACTGTGACTGACACGAAAAGACGAACGAACGATTAGTGGGAGCGAACGATTACGCAAAGATGCTAAGTGCTAACAAGTGAAACTGAAATGGAAACACCTCGGATCTATCCCTGATCTCTACAGAGCCTCCCGGCAGAATTCCACGGTGCACCAGAGATTGTGATACTGCAATATCACACGTCGTCCACATCAACATCGCTTTTACTATCCTCGCTGTCGCTTTCACTGGCACTTCCTCCGCCAGCTGCATCGTCGAACTCAATACCGTCATTCTCCATATCCTGATCGACGAAGGTCGCCTCGTTAACTTTCGTAGACTCAGGAATTTCACCGTAGGACTTCAACAGACGTGCCTCTTCGGGAAAATACTTCATGATAACATCCGCCTTGCCGTCCTGATAATCGCGGAGACCCACCAGGATGATGTCACCTTGGTTAATCCATACCTTCTTCCGTAGTTTCCCGCGAATATGGCACAAACGCTTCGTTCCATCAAAACACACGGCCTCCACTCGTCCATTGCCTAGCATTTTGATTACTTGGGCATACTCCTGACCATCTTCTTTAAAAACCAGCTCACGCTTGTCGTTCTCATTCTCGTTTTTTCCACGTCGACGATTTTTTCCTCCTTTTCCTTTATTCTTAGGCATTGTTGATCAAAGTTATAAGAAGAATTAAAAAATAAAGGGTAACGATTTTTCGATACTTTTGAAACAACTGTCTCAATATTTATGTCTGTTTCCAGTTTCAGAAAACAAAAATAATTCAAATTGGTCACCACATCTGTCCAAGGTTCTAGCTACCGTAAGTTATAAGTACTGTACATAAAAACAATTTCTGCACTCTGCAGTCTGCGCGCTGTTTCTGGCTTGCCGTGCTATGGATTATGATGCAGTTTGTAAGACACAATATCCGTCGAGATTGCGCAAAGGCAGCATGCAACCAAATATTTCCCACGCAAAAAATCGATACTTCGTGGCTCCTGCAGGATTTGCTTCGAACCCTGCAGCTTTTTGAACAACTTTAATTCAAGAGCTCCATTTCGAATGGTATCATTGCTATGATGCTCTAAGTTTCACTCTAACCATAAGATACAATGTCATTCAAATTTATATTTGTATCCGTACTGGTCAGTAAAACAGTCCTACACATAACCAACTGAATTTTTGTATTACGCTTTTTTAAGTCTTTACAGGTTTTTTAAATTTCTAACAGTTTTTATGGCTAGCAAAAGGCAGCATTGTTTTTACGCCAAGAACTGTAGAAAAGTGACAGATTTTTTTATACAAACATAAACTGAATTTTGCGAAATAGCAAACAGCCAAAACGCAGCTTACAATTGCTAGCTAGCATCAAGGTTAATTTGCCGGCCACTGCTAACAATTTCATCGCGGTCAGCTATGGCAAATCGTTATGCAGACTTTATGGTTAGTTTTTGTGTTTACAGTTGTTTCTGCGGCAAGTTAAAAATTACTTACCCAAATTGCACTAGAAAGTAGAAACGTACAAGGAAATGCTGCTACTGTTTTTGCGAACGTTGCCGAACATAACTGGATTTGTTGATGGCACTGATTTTGTACTCCAAGTCCAGAGTATGACACTTCCGTACTAGTACGAGTATTACCGTAACGATTCATATTGTGAGTCGATAATGGAGAGAAAATGATTTGTTTACGATAAAAACATAGGTTGATCTTAAAGTTGTATATGAGAACTAAAATAATCAAATCCATTTTGCGGGCTGATAATAACGAAAAGCCCGTCACCGAACTCAAAAAAGGGTTATGAGCTTACAACCTCATCGGTCATTTAATCATAGTCTGGGCCGTCAGAATAGAAAGGAGTCAAACCAAAAAGGAAATACTGGTCGGCTAACGGGGTAGCCTGGCTTTGCCGTTGCAAATTGTTCTCGACCCGCTCAAAGTTTCCGTAGCCTTGTCTCTGAAACGCCGCAGACTCTTGATTCCAAAAATTATAGCTGGGATTTCCAGCCTGCCGACCGAAAGGGGCATTCTGGTGGCCTTCCCAAGAGTTGTACATGGCGTGAGATAATCCAATACACATAGCGGTGCTAAGTAAAACCACCCAAGTTCCACGCATCTCCTACAGTTTTCGTTTCAGTATAATACTTGAACGATCACAAAAGAGGTCACACAAGCAACGACTAGATTATACTGTAACTTCTAGGGTATACGTAAAACGGAACAGCGCTTTTGCATGCTCGTTGTGCCACACGCAAGTGTACGATTCGTGTTTTGTAAATTGCGTAGTAACTAATCAGAACTACATGTAGGTAAAAGCAATATGTGTAATACATCCTCTGGCTTTTGAAACTACAGGAACCCTTGGACCGCTAACAAAGAAATTTTTTAAGGAGTTATCAAAGAAGATTTGCGAATGTAGCGGTAACCCACGGTTGGGAGAGTTTTTGCGCCAGAGAATCAGTACTGATACAACGAGGAAGTGCAGTGGCTGTCCTCGAAACTTTTAACGACATGAGAGATAACGAGGATGATGTGTTTTTAGCTTTTAGATTGGCTGGTCGGGAATGATTAGTGCCTGATGTTGTTTTTCTTGGCAGCTTTGCTGTGATTTTGTTAACAATGAATTAAATGAAATGAGCTATATGTGTTGTAACAGTACTATTGTAATGCTTATTGTCAGAAGTTGAGAGCTACAGCATACGTACGATTTTTGTCGAGGGTTAAATTTAGTAATAATTCCAAGTACCAATGTTCGTATTTCTGGAGTTATCTCCTATTTCTAGAGGTATCATCTGTAAATCCGTTGCTGTTCGTACAGCAGATGACTAGAAATAGGGAAATCGAGACGAAGCTAAATAAGTTGATGTCTTTAACACTAGAGTGGTAGTTACAGAATCATCGTCAGAATTCAGACTACTGTACGAGTACAAAATTAAAAAATAAAATAACTATTAAGCCTAAAATAAATATCACAAAAAAGTGAATCAAGGAGGCGTGCGTGGAAAAACGTTTTTTCTGTCTACCTGCTAACAGAAATTTGTTAACAGTCTCCGTTAAATCGTTTGGAGGTGTTCTTGGTTCGTAGCCTAAATCCTTCCGCGCTCGCTCGATGCTAAAGAAATGGGTCACACCCGTCTTGAACACCTCTGTGCGCGTCAGCAAGGGCAAATATTGGTCAAGGCGGTGCTGAGTAAAAAACCAGAACCCGGAGACACATTCCGAAATACGAGCTGCAAAAGGGTACCCCGTTTATAGTGTGCACACTGAATCGGAATAGTTAATACCAATAAATTAGGTACCAGTAAATTGCAAAAGCACACGACATTGACCGCCATCTGAACTAAGCTCGTGAGCCATTATTAACTGTTATGCCAAACTATCCACACTCCTTAAAAGACGATATTAATTATGTCACTAAATCACGACTGCAAAATTGTGTACAATACAGAACACACAAACAGTTTGCTTACCAAAGGCAAAAATTATTCCCAAAGGCAATCGCACGGACGGAAACGAATATCCAAGCCCTTCGATCTACAGTACAAACAGCGAATACATAAGACAACTGCGACAAACAAACAGGATGCACGAAACATCACTTGATACTGACCAAAGGTCGAAAAAACTGGAAGTTACTGATCGGTTGTCCATCGCTGATAAAGTAACTATTTCCACCCTGAAAAATCTGATGCGAGTAGTGCGATAAAAGTGCTCCAATCTTCGTTTCTATCAGTATACTTTTCGTAAAAAACTGATCCTACTGTACTGCTTACAGCAACAAATTCCGTATCCGTCTTCAGTGCTTCCGCTGCTTTGGTATGCGCCTGGACCACATTATCGATGTGAACGAAATCCACTATCGCTTCTCCGTAAAGAAATTTGATCCACCCCCTTTCCAAATAGTCGACAATTCGCGGTAAATGCCGCTCTTCTCCTGGTCCATAAATTCCTGCCAACCGAAGACAGCAAGTGCGTAGTATTGTCTGGCCATCGCGACACAACTTCCGGTCGGCCATAAGCACTAGCTGTTCGCTAACTGACTTGGTCAATGCATAATGATCCGGATGCTGAAATAAAAGAAACCACGGTACTCAAATTAAAAATAAAATAATCATTTAAGCAGCACCCCTCATGCCATCATACCAGGTGCAAGGGCAAAAACGGCTGTGTTGCTTCGTCCCCGTTGATAATTTCTTGTCCACCGAATACTGTGTTATAGGTTGAAGTATATACCAAGCTTCCAACGTTTGCTTTTACGATGGCAGCAAGGACATTTTTGATTCCTCCAACATTGACTTCTTCTATCAGACGTTTATTTAACTACGAAAATCCAGAATCACTGGTACCCGACCGTACACCTGTTGCTCCAAAAAGCAGGCAAGATAAGATTCTGCACAGAGTGATTGATGGAACACTTAACAGTTATCAGTTAATACCATCTCCTTTCCGGACATTCCGTATGATGCAACGTGGAAAACCGTGTCCGGCTTCCAGAATATTAAACATTTTTCCAGCTCGCCAGCGTTTCGAACGTCAATCTGTCAGTAGAGGGAAATGTGTGAACTATGAAAGGATGTGGACGTCATGTGGTGCACTAAGTTACGGGTTAGTATACGTACACTTTAGCATACGAGTTTACAAGTGAACAGAAAAATAAAAAAGCACAGTCCGTTTTCCATTACGTATTGCACAAGCAGCAAGCAAGCACGGTAAACAAACCTTTATAAATTTAATTTGACCACTAATCGTGCAGTCCTGATGTTGGGAGAAATTTATGTCGACTGCCACAACAAGACACCTTGGATCGCTTGAAACCAGACTTTGAGCAATGTTCCATCCAACGTATCCACCTCCGCCAATAATTGCATAGCATTGGGTTTCTTTTTTAAATGACATTTTCCAAGAATGGCAGAACGTAATCGAAGCAATTTTTGGGAGTATGTACAGTATTATTTTGTGAGTATGAATTGTATGACCAACATAAAACAAGCTTATTCCGTAAACAAGTAAAACTTCTAAGGCATTCGTACTTACAGAAAGTGAGTGACTGAAAAAGGAATGAAATCCATAAGTATTCCGCAACCATGCCGCAACTGTGCAGGCTGCCTCCCGGAGTGTATGAAAGGTTTCGCCGTTTTGTATCGTAGTGCGAAGGCTTTCGTCCACTACATAATTAAAAGTAAAAATTAATTTTCATTAACAATTTTGTATTATTATAATATTATTATTTCTAATAGGGTGGTATTTGGTAAGGGTGGTATTTGGTAAGCGTTCGTACGATAGAGTCACCCGTTCCTGTGGAGTCGATGCCGCAGCCCTTTTCGACAGCGCCAGCTATCCCCATGAACAGGTCGCTCGAATTGAGCGAGGAAATTTTAGTGCACTTGTGACCTGTATTCAAGAAAACCATATTATGGTAAGTTAAAGTACATCGATTATAATTATAAGTTTATAACACAGGTTTCATTCGAACGGTTGATTTTGTATGGCAGTGCAATGTCCCGAACGGTGAATTTAGTCCCGAGTTGGGGCAGAAGCTGAAAACAAATGTTTGAATTTTTATTTATGGCATCCTACTCGGAATAGTCTATCATCATTCCATTGTGCAGTCAACTTCCGTGGTCTGTACAATTATTTACAGCATGCTTTCATTTTCAGACTGCAAACGCGAAAGAACCCGATGTTGGCAGTGGATCCGCATGATATCAACATCGCCGACGTCAAGGGATTTGTTTTGGATAAATTGCAAATAGCAAATTGCAAAGGTGTTAATCTAGGTTAGTGCAGGAATTAATTAAACTTACTACCGTTTCTGGAAAAATTTAAATTTTTCTAAAGATTTGAGATTTTTCGGAGAGTGTTATTTCGATTAAGGATGATTTCAGAAAGTTTACTGTGCTACGGGGAAGGAGACGGAATCGGATCCGAATGGGATGGAAGTGTTAATCCCACGTGCTTATAGCATTGGTGGCCGCGCGTAATGTTTCTGGTGGATCTGTCATTGAGCACCATGGCCCCTTCGCAAGTAAGAGAAACACGGAAAGGGAACGTTGGGTAAACGGTTAAGGGCGACCTCACATGTTGTTTTACACTTTTTGTATGGTTAAATGCTTATTTTTGTTATAGTGATAATCCCTCGGTTGCCAGCGTTCTGCCTGCGCTGGAGACTAAAGGCGTCATTCCAGAGAAACGTTCGGTTCAATTCGTTCCAGAACAAGAGGTTGCGACGGGTGCCAGTGAATCTTTTACGGTTAGCCAAACAATTTGATCAGATAGCACAGTTGTCAGTGGAAACCAGAAGGTAAACAGTTACATTCGAGCATGCCAACGGGAAATCGCAGACGGCTGTTGTCGAGGATTGATCCTGAGTGATCCTGGAAGGAATACTTTACCGTTATTGTCTATCCATGGATTTCCGCATCTGTGGATGTTATAGTGCATTTTGCGCCTGGCTGATGATATGGACTTGCCACTTGCCCCATTCTTGCGGGAACGGCGATATGCCTTTGATATCGGCAATAATATAACGGTAACTAATTCGTGAAATTATGTTTATATCTGTAGCTTCGTTTAAGTGATAACGGGGTTCATCAGTTTGTGGCTTCGGTTTGTACCGAATATACAGACTTTGTATGTGTAAGTGCGGGCTCACAAAAAACTTACCGGCCGTATGCATATATCAGAAGTGTGTGCAGTTCTGCTGGTCTCCTTACGCTCCTTATTTCGTGGTGATCGTGTTCTGATTGCCGTGAAGGTAAAGTAAGGATACATCATTTTCCGAATATTTCCTCACGGCAGCTCAAGAGCGTGAGCGTCATGCTTTAGTAAATCGGTACATTACGTTAATGTTTGAGAAGCGAAACGCATTGCTTCTCGTTTGCATTCGAAAGAAAATGCCATAGCTGAAGAATAGTAATTATGTAATTTTATTTCAGCAGAGTTTGCCGGTTTCTTGGAGTGGAATTCCCGCATTTTCTACTGCTACTGTATTGTTTAAATCCAAAACCCTTGGGGATCGTGTTTGCAGATTCCGACTGGAATATTACGTTCTGCCTTCTGGCGACAAGGCTACGATCTAGCCCAATATCATGTGTATTTCAAGGGACTTTGGAAAACGTTGCTGAAACTTAATGCGTGCCACCTTTCAGACATCCTTCTATTACAGTAAATCATTTAAATGCAAATGCATTCTGGTAATTATTCAGCTAGATTTCTTTAATGAATGATTGCTCTGCTTACCATAAATGTTGAGTGTGTATATAGTGGTATGTGGGTATTACTTGCCGCGTTAACTGCTGAAAACTGATTTGTTGTGATATGTCGAGTGATTTGATGAAAGTGATTGTCATCATGCATAACCTCGCGTAAAATGCAGTTTTCTTCTCCATATACTGTTTGTCTTTCAGTTAGTTACCATCACCAGTGTCGTTGGTGACTTACAAGTTGCCACCGGATTTTGGTAATGTCCATAATCATACTGCAAACCATTTTTTTTGTTTTTGAAACTGATATGGTAAGGAAGTCTCATAACAGTCGCGCGTGTCGCTCTGGTTGGATTCATTGCGAACTTTGATGTTGCTTAATCACCGTATCAAATTATGAAAAGATGAGCATTAATATCAACATTGTGACTGCACGTCAACATAAATATAATCAGTTACTCAACAATTTCCGATTGAGCAAACAGTAAAGCTTTACATTGGTCTGTATGAATGGACGAACAATAGGTCAGGAAATTCAGTGGAGAGGATTCAGCTGTCGGCCGGCCGACAACGATGTCGTACGGGCGATTTAGTATCACCGGTCATGTACTGTAAGGGGGGATCCATAAATTACGTACGCAGCGAACCAGGGAGGGACGGGTCCAAAAAATGTGACAAGCTGTGACGGCCCCCGGCGAACCTAGGGGGAGGGGTGGTCAGCTCCATGTATTATGATTGAGCGAACCAGGGGGGAGGGGTCAAGCAAACGTGACGGACCGCTACGAAGGGGGAGGGAGGGGGTAAAAAGTCGTGGTTTTCTGCGTACGTAATTTATGGATGCCCCCTAAGGCACCTCCCAGGGTATTTTCTGATCGACGATGATCGAACAAAATCGGTTTGTGCATCGCTATCCAGCAGATGAAGACACCGGGCCAGTGATCAACTGTTTTTTGACAATCTTCAACAGCACGTACATGCTAACACCCTCCCTAATCATACAGATTGTCTTTTGCTCTCACAGACTTACCGATTTTTATTGTATATTTATGATAACGAGCCGACTAATAACCTGCACGGCATCAAGATAATAATATATAAACTAGACCGGATCGGCAAACTGTTCTTTTATAACGGTAAACAAACATCTTACGTTAGCTGCTGTGGTCAGTTGCCACTGCGAGGCACCGTTGATTGTTAGCTAAACTTGTTTAATTTCTCGGCACCCGGGATCGACCGTTACGCAGAAATTTTTGAATTCGTCCTTTAATTCGAAATCTCACAGTTTCAATTTGTGGATGCAAGTTTTATTCCATAAAATGGGATTCAGAATAAATTCTGTCGTGCCTGTAATGGCGTTATTAGCGCGCTTGAGTGCCGCCCAGATTTATGGCGGTGGTAGCCTTCTTGGTCAGGGGTAAGTGTTAATGCTTATATCGCCCCCAAAACGGCCGACAATATTAGGAAACTGGAACTAAGCATCTAGAAATTTGAAAGGAATTTCGGCCACCAAGGTTTCGTTTTAAATCTGGAATCGTGCCACGGTCTGCATCCGCCGGCATTCTTCATCTTAGTCTTCTGGCTGTAGTGATCTGACGATGAGATCTCTATTCTACCTATACATACGGTTTTGCTTACGATTAGGTTATAGCACTTATAAAATTAAATAATAATAATATTTATTTTGCACTTACGCTATAACACGTTCGTGATTTAACTAAAGTCATCGCGATCGACTATTGTACAGAGGCAACTACATTAAATACAGATGTTCTGAAATCTGAGCTTTCCAGAAAGACCTTTTAGCGTACATTACTATTTACTGGTATTTGCCAGCGTAGAGCTGCAGTAGATGTGCCAGCTATTGCCTATTGGGATAGTAAACATGAGCTCACCAGTCAGTGAGTGCTCAGTATTGACAAATGATTGGTCATTCTTACCCACTTATCAGCGTAAAAAACTGGAAGTTAGTTAAGCGATAAACTTTACATTTAGATCTAATAATATAGTTAGTATATTATAGTATCTGTCTCAGTTTGCTTCGTTTAGTGCGTTATACATACTGGTATGTGGGCAAAACGAAAAAAACCAACGGTAGAATGTAGAAGCCATCGTATTAGTGCAAGTTTTGCAAATCCAAGACATTATTATAGTAGGTGTGCATCTTACGATTAGGTAACTGGTAGCTTTCACGATAATAATTTTGGATTGCTGATGGTATAGATATGGAGCTGGTGTTTCTGGAGGATACGGAGGAGGCGGAGTTTCTGGAGGATATGGAGGAGGCACCGGCAGTGGATTATACAGCGGAGCCATTTCAACATACGGTAACCGTGGTACTGGTTACGGTAACACTGGCTATGGGGGCAACACTGGGTACGCCAGTACCGGTTACGGAGGCAACACTGGTTATGGCAGCACAGGCTATGGAAACACTGGTTACGGAAATACCGGCTACGGCAACACCGGTGGACTGAGTATTTCATACACGTCCGGACTGAACAACGGATTGTATGGTAACAGCTACGGATCATCAGGTTTGGGAAGTGGTGGATATTCCGGTGGTAATAACTACGGTCTGGGCACGGGACTGAGTTCATATGGATCAACATACGCCAACACTGGTCTTGGAGCGGGTTACGGATCCGGGTTGTCCAGCGGGTACGGTTCATCGGGTTTGGGATCCAGCTACGGTCTGTCCGGTATTGGTAGTGGATATGGAACCGGCAGTGGATACGGCACCAGCGGTCTAGGTGGCGGTTACGGCAGCGGCTACAACTCGGGTATGCAATACGGCAGTGGACTGGGCAGCGGCTATGGCACGACCACATCGTACGGCACCAGCTCCGGGCTCGGTAACTCATACAGCGGACTGGGCAGCGGATTATACGGCGGTGGTGTGAGCAGCTATGGGTCAAACGGCGGATACGGAAACAGTGGCGGATATGGCAACACCGGTTACGGTATGGGAAGCAACTATGGATCAACCTATGGCAGCGGTTACAACGGACTGGGGAGCGGTCTCAATAGCTACAGCTCCGGGTATGGAATGGGTGCAGGTCTGGGCAGCTCGTACGGTTCTCAAATTGGACTGGGATCGGGCTACGGACAGGGATATAACTCCGGATACGGCGCTGGTTTGGGAACGTCGGGTTACGGGTCATACGGCTCCGGACTTACTGGGGGATATGGAATGAGCCGAGGCTACGGAAATCAGGGATATAGCGGATACAACCAAGGGATGCTGGGTGGATATGCCCAACAGCAGCAGATTTATGCCGCACAACCCATAAGCGGTAATACTTATGGATCGTCCGTAGGTCTGCCCTCGCAGTATGGAAAGAAATAAATTAACCTTTTCCAAGCAGTGCGACAAAGCATTTTTCTAATTTTGCCACATTGATCTACACATTTTTATTTGAACAATTTTTGTTCCTTTGTATTACTACATGATACAGCAGTCGGTAAAAATTCCTTTTCCACAATAAAAGCACAAGACTCGTTCCTCAGTAAAGTGCTTACTGGCTATCTACTGATGATATTCTGCACAATCTTGAAATTCAAAAAACAGCACAGCTTTTCATGCACCACTTGGGTGACCACTGACCACAAATTTACGGTCTGCAGATAATATCAAACTACAAAAATTCTGTTGATTAAAAAACAGTTCATACTGAAACATATCAGAAGTCTAAGGAAAAACCCGCAAAAGGCATGCAGCAATAAATAGGAATAGAGCCTCGAAAGCGTCGTGTGAATCCGCAACACTGTTTAAAACGAACCTCAGAAACAAACAAAATATCACAGAAAGTATTCTGGTTGTGGCTTTTTCGTAGGTCCACTACGGAGATCATGGGCGGCTGCTTCGAAGATAATAAAGTTCCTCCCAAGTTTGTCGTTCAGTTCAAGAATAGCAGCAACATTTCCACACCTAAACCAAAGATCGGTGAAATTTCCACTCACCACTTATTACCATACTTATTTCTTACCGATAGCAGTAGTTCGGTGCTGACCAGACAGTAAGCACAGTTTCGTTGAAATGCCACTTGTAACCTAAAAGCACTTCTCCGTGATCACGCCGCATAGAAAAGTAACTGTAAGTCTGTTGTTTCCGTAAATAACATGCTTACAAAAATATTTTTAGAAGGTAATAAGGTGATATTCCACAACAGAAACACGATGTACGTATACAAAAACCATATACGAAATACAATAATATAATATCATATCTTATCCGTGTAATATATGTACGAGTTATACGTATATTATATCGTATTTATATCTATATTATCATATAGATATACGAAGTACATATCGTACCTTCCATTACAAGCTGATGCGCACGGCAAATGAGTTCCACATTATTAGCTTCGTTGAAAGTCTGCGCTACGTCAGATCCAAACAGATATCCCGCGCCTCGCGGACTGATGCCCCAACCTTCGTTATTGTCTTCTGGGTCCGACCACAGTAAATCACACATCGGTCCGTCATGAGGAACTTCCTGTTTCCGGTCGATCATGCGAATCTGATCCAAGGTCTGAATCGAGGGCGACAACCCACCGTGCACACAGAAAATCTACAAAATTCAATATTATGGTTTCTCAGCCATTCTTTCATCGGTGACTTATTAAAAAACATGAACTTAAAATTTCGTATCAGAATGTCAGAAAGATGTTAAAAAAACTTAATGCTAAATGCTAAACGGAAGAAAGACGGCCGGACGGAAGTTATAACAAAATAAGCACTCTAATTGGAACATCCTGACTTAAGGGAAGTGGCCCGGTACATGGTACCAAATTCGTGTACATGCACGAAATCTTCCACTTTCGCGCACTCCCAAACCCTTTTTTCTCTTGTTTTATGACAATCTGTAGTCAAATGATTCGTATACACAGGCCTGAAAACCGTTTGCGCGCGCAACATCCGGTTCGCGAGTTATGGCTGTTAGAAAATTCCAAAAAGTTTAAATGCATTCAGGTGTACCAAAAGTCTCATTATGGACCGATCTCTTTCAGATTTTGCACGTAAATGCACATAACCACGAAGAACGTTTTTACACCGATCCACTGTTCTAGCATGTTTTTCAAATTTTAAAATGAATTTCAAAAATTTTAAAATTCATTTTAAAATTTGAAAAAAATTGTGGAAGTCTGGATCGGTGTAAAAACGATCTTCATGGCCATGTGCATTTACATGCAAAATTTGAAGGAGATCGGTCCATAATGAGACTTTTGGTACACCTGAAAGCATTTAAACTATTGGGAATTTTCTTACAGCCATAACTCCCGAACCGGATGTTGCGCGCGCAAACGGTTTTCAGGCCTGTGTATACAAATCATTTGACTACAGAATGTCATAAAACTAGAGAAAAAACGGTTTGGGAGTGCGCGAAAGTGAAAGATTTCGTGCATGTACATGAATTTGGTACCATGTACCGGGCCACTTCCCTTAAAGATACCGATCTCATTAAATAAGACAGTCAAAAAAAGCTTTTCAGCCACAGCGAATTAGTAAATTCTCCATTGTCTATGGTTTTAACCAAATAAAAACTTGTACATGCAAAAATAAAAAACCATACCTTTCCGTCGATAAGCGCTGCCAGGCTAAGATAATCGAATATTTCTGTGCAGTATCTCCACACATTTACTCCGCCATCTACAACATATTGAGTCACTATCAAATGAATTACCAGCAACAACACCAAACCATAACAATTCATCAAAAATCCAAATCAAATCAGTTATTCTTACATTTGCGAATGCACTCGTCATAAAATCCATACACTTGTGTGATCTGCCTCGATTCGTGGTTTCCTCTTATCAGAGTGATTCTGTCTGGATACCGCACCTGTTGAAACACCGCCACTAATCACATCAAAATTAACAGCTCCTAAACCATTACAAAACTCAAAACTTAAGCACCAAACGAACGCACATTCTTTCCAAGACATTGAGTCACAAACCTCAACATGTACTACAATTTTCAGCTGGTGCAGAAATACAGTATGTTCCAACGCGCAATCCCAGGGAAATTTAATCATTTGTACTTACTTTGTAGGCCAGGAGAAGGAGGAATGTTTCCACGGAATAATACCCACGATCCACGAAGTCGCCCATGAATAAATAATTTGTGTCCGGAACGTCGCCCCCCATTTTGAATAACTCTTTAAGATCGTAGAACTGGCCGTGAATGTCCCCACATATCTAACAGAAAAGTTGAGACAAAATGAAAATCAATACGAACAAAATGTCAAGCCCATAAAATCATTTACTGTAACAGGCGCATCCACTCGCTGTACATTGCCCTCTTCCACGAGAATCTCGCGCGCCTTGGCGCACAGGGCCTTCACTTCAGCTTCCGAAATAGGCTCACATTGTCGCAACATTTCGATCTGCCTGAAAATACAAAATCTTCATGTAGATTGTGCGCGCTTGATCACCCGAGCAGCGAGCTCTTCAAATGTAGAAATTTCTATTGCATGTATCATTTACATCAGCGTACTACAGGTGATGTACACAGCAAAACTAACAACATATCCGTCCTATCACCAAATCAAATTTATGCAAATTCATTATTCACGACTTCACTTACCTATCGAGATCGTGATGCCCTGCCATCTTTATAGCAAAAGATCCGAAGTTTTATAAAAGAAACAAAATTATCCACGACAAGCACAATTTATTCACAAAGAAGCACCAAAGAACTGGAAGACTGTCCAGACATGCAGTCCAGTTAAATGTGTTAATGCAAACAGATCACTATCCCACTTCAGCAATGTACAATTAGTCAATATTCGATACGGATACTCCAATTGTCAGTACGTAGGTCCACCACACCAGGTAGATAAGCTCCCATGCACACTTCGAAGACTTTTTGCAAACAAATCTCGACAAGGCTGAAAATGTCTTAACGGGAGAGAGCGTAAATGAATCCCGAACGCTGTACTCCTCCAACACTTTGAGGACTGAACGTAACAGAATTCCTTATAATACTAATAACAGCAACTTTTTAAAATATTATTATATGGTTTTCACTTTTCAGATTCAGATTAGTCCTACAGTAAAAAAAGTATAGGCAAAAAGGTTTTTCGAAACAGTACTTAACGTAGTCGCGCACCGTTTTGGGTTGCGAGTGACTATGGCACCTTGAACGACACAAAAAGGAAACGTACTCTATCTTTGTTAGTTTTGTACCCGTTCGATAAAAAGTGACATCACTCACATCACTGACATCAGCGATTGTTTTCGTCATGGTTTAATAACTTTAGCAATCACAATAATTACTCAGCAATGTCTGCAAGCGCAGGGTCGTTAATTGCCTACTCTATTGTTTTAACTTTTACGCGAAGTATTCTGGTATCGTGGTACGTTGCCAAGGCTTGAGCGACTGTCTACCGTGTTCTGGCTGTGCCAACCGGCCTGCTTTTCGTACACCGTGCAGTGATCGAGATACAATAGAAATAAGTCATACGACTTTCGAATTTTTTAAAGCGTTCGTCGGATTCCCTTTGAGTTCTTTGTAGGCTTTTGCCTGAGGAATTTTTTGCACATTTTCCTTAGGCTTAGTGAATCAATCTTTTGAAAGCCATAGCTTCTGTTTGAATTTAGACGTTCGGTCGCTTCTTGTTTCAGTTCTAGTTTTACAGAACGCTCGTGCGCTTAGAATGTCTCGGACCCGTTCTAAACGGTCCAAGCGAAAGGTCCCTCTGGATGCTGAGGATGAAGACTCGTCCTCGCGTGTCAAATCCTCGAAAGTTCTCCGGATTGAAGAAGCCCCTATTTTTGAGCCCACCTGGGAGGAATTTCAGGACATGCCATGTTTTCTCCATAGAGAGGATGTGAAAGAGGCAGGGATGCGCTGTGGGATAATTAAGGTAAGTATGAAGTATTTGGCCCTTTCGTCATGAATGCTTGATGAATTCTAGATGATTTAGTCTTTATGCACTATTTCACTGTTTCACAGTCTTGCGATATTATGGTGTGTTAATTTCAATTGCTCTCTAGCGTACTCCCTCTGATGTCTCGTCTTGTTTCGTTATGTAGTTTACAATATATTATTTTGCTGTGTAGCAGTGTCGATTCTCTAATTGCCAGATTGTATGTCCTCCGACATGGCAACCGGTAGACAATTCGGCAGTTCAGCGGTTGACGTCAGTTCCTGTCGTGACGCAGACATTTGAGCAGAAATGTGATGGATGTTATTATTTCTATCGAGATGAACCTGAGGAAATAAATCTGGGTGTGTGGGGCAGACGAGTTGCGGAGAACGACGAAGTAATAGATGAAGAATGGCGAGACATCTGCAAGGGAAAAACGAAGTCTGCATTCTCCGACAAGACGGAGAAGTACTGGTCCACACTGCTGAGCCAGAGAGCTCAATATGCCGCGGATGTTTCTGGATCGCTCATGAGAAAGGAGCTTGAGGTTCATATTCATTTTTCAGTGCGCCTGTTCCAGGAGAAACACACACTGAATTTAAGAAATGACGATAACTTATTGAACGTCTTTGTTAATGTTTCGGGTTTTGGGCGAAGGGTTCTTAGTATTCTAAGAAATATACAGCATTTTGTATTGTTTGTTGTCTTCTGTCTTGCTTTATGGTTTGTTTTGCAGCACTGGAATCTTGGAAGCGGTAACTTACATTGCCTCACGCAGAACCTGGGTCGCGAAGAGCGAAACATTCCTGGGGTGACGTCACCTTATTTGTATTTTGGAGCATTCGGGACAACGTTTGGGTATCACACGGAAGATGCGGATCTCTATTCAATTAACTATCTAGTTGAAGGCTCCCCAAAGGAATGGACCGCGGTTCCCGCGGCATATGGTGAAAAATTGGAGAACGTGGTTAAAAGTAAGATTAAGTAGATAAGATATCGGGCCCCTACTAAGATAGTTATTGGGAATGATAGACTATCAGTAAAGTAGTTTTGAGAATTTTCTAAATTTGCCTGACAATAACACTGACTAGATCAAACTGTTAACCTGTATGGCTGTGAATCGAAAATGTTTGTTCCATAAATCCAGAAAAAGGGAAAGCATTTCACTACACGTTTAGTGCTTCCATGGCACAGATATTTGACGCCTTCGTACGAAGGATCAACATGCGTGTCTTTTAAATGTAGGCGTTCATCCGAATTTAGACCTGTTTGAATGGTTATAGCTTACACATGTAAGCTAGCGATAGTTCGGGATACAGGTTAAAATTAGTCAGTTTTGCACTTGTGTTTCGAAAAACCATTGCTGTTTGTTAACTTAACTAAGTCGGAAATTATGATTCGATGTTTTTTAGAACTCTTCCAGTACGGACCGGACAAATGTCCAGCTTTTATGCGTGAAAAGTCTCATGTGATACGACCGGATGTCCTCTTGAAGGAAGGAGTTCCTGTCTATCGGGTTAGTTGTATACTATCAGTAGCATTCATTATTCGGAACGGCAGGAGTATTTTACCGGTTAGGGACATGTTGTGCTTAAAACTTTGTTGAAACGCGTAAATGGATAAAGATTTCATCGCCAAATTGCTCGTATTCTGGATTTGTATATAGTCGTACAGGCTAATGTAGGGAAGAAGTTATGATTAACACATTTTTAACATTAATTTCTAACTGTTGTCCGGTTATGGCATCTGTCATATGATTATTTTCGTGTTTAATTACTCGTTTGTTCAGGCGAGCCAAGGAAAGCATCAGATTATTGTTACCTTTCCTTACGCATATCATGGCGGCTTCAACAGCGGCGACAATGTGGCGGAAGCAAGAAATGTGGCGTTGTCAGACTGGATTCCGTACGGCCTGGCGGCTCGTTCGGTATGTGCAACATAAAGAAACCAAGTATCTAAGATCAGTAATTTCATATTTTAAGAGCTCATGGCGGTGTGCTTAGTGCTTACTTCAGAAGTCATGTATATTTTTGTAGTGCACATGTGGGAAATGTACGTATCCCAACCCAATGCCGAAGACATTGGTTGAGAAAATTGCTCGTAAAACTGATCATCCGGAGTATTACAAGTACAAGGAATTCGGTAAGAAGTTTGCAGACGGAGCACCATATCCCCATCCAAACCAGAAGTCTTAGGACTTCTTCGGATTTTTCTTTTAAGTTTAATGATTTGCGTTTTCGCACATATTTCTTTGGTTCTTGCCAGTTGCTGACATTTTGTACAGATTTGTATTTCAGTTATTTTTTTGTCTGGAATCGTAATTTATGGAACTTAAGTTAAGCAGGAAAGGAGATTTTTTGTTATTGTTCCGGCGGTGCATCGATGGACGCTTTTGTTTTAGTCAAAACTTTTACCAGAGTCTAGTGGTTAGGAAAATGTATTTTGTTCCGGATTTAATATTGTGTCATCTGATTAGATCGGTGCTTTGTATGTGCGGCGAATTGTATTAAATGCATTTAATATTATGTGATGGGCTCAGATGGAGTTACTCAAACCTCAGTTTCGATACTGCTCTGTGATAACCAATAATTTCATGAAGCCATGACCGATACTGCATAAAATTTCTAATGAAATTCTGGAAGGTAATGAGATTCTTGGTGAATTTAGTGGGCATTTCGACAAGGTTGTGTAATTGTCTGAGAAAAAGTGCAGGTGAAGATTTAGTGGAATGCTTTGATATTAATGATTACGGTGCACGTGTTGCGGTTTCTTACATCAGCGGAAGTACAGCTTGAGATTGTAGTAGCATCACAAAAGACCAAGAGAACTTTAGTTGGCCGTAAGGACAATAAGGATTAATTGTCCTTAATTAAGGCAGGACATCGTGAGAGATCTCCATTTCATGATGCACGTGGACTTACATGATTGTCTTTTCATCGCTGGTCAGCTGTGATGGAAAACCTTTTATCACAGTAGCTCATATTATTGTATTACCTACCGGTGGTCATCAAACAATATAAATGTAGCGAATAAACATAGCAATTAAGAACATGGTGTGAAAATGTCAAACTCCAATTGTTAGCGGGAAGTTTAGTGGGATGGCAGAACGTGAAAGCGATATATTGTGCCCACTGGAACAATTAGCGTATTAACAAAAGCACCGGTCAGTATGAGGCAGGGCATGATTGTGTAAAGCAATCCAGGCAGTTCTGATTAGCCGGTATGATGCTCTTTTGATTGCCGTAATATAACAAACTAAGAGCGCACGGAGAACTGTTCTGCTTCGCGGCTGCTTTGCACAAATTATACAACTGATTAGCAGCTGACAATAGCGTTGAGGTAGGGATACCTAATAATTCGCACCGATATAATCTGCAGTACTTCTAGTGTTAAAAGTGTAAAAACTGTAGACCTTCAACTTGTAAGTATGGTATGTTCATTTTAGAAACACGTGCGGCATTCATATGTTTTAAATTTTTGGGTTTTTGTTACTTATTGGCTAGTTTCTGGGTCAATTAAAGTTAAAGAGATGGACTGCCAAGTATAGCGCGTAATCTGTAGAATATTAATTTGAACTCGTTAGATCATAGTCGTACTTTGTACAGAATTTTTAGCTGCATTTCGGTAGCTTGTTCTGATGTAGAGCTGTATTTTCGGTTGAAAGTGCGCATAAAGTGCAGAAAATACTGCGTGGCAGTACGAACGTAGTGCTGGTTGATAATAGTCGGCTTTCGCAGGCTCGCAGCCCTGTTATCAACAACTTGTGTGGTATAGTTGTTAAGCGGACAAATGTTATTATTGGTACTAATTGGTCACATACCTTCTTAAAGCTGTTGACACCTTTATATTCGTTTTCGGCACAGCATGCCGCAAATGGCCGGCAACTCTGAAGTAAATGCTTGTCGGGAGTCCTTCGTGGAACATATTTTTGAACTGGGTGTAGCCAGGCGGATATCTATACCTATCCTACCTACTTGCAGGTAGTTTCTGCTGATTAAGTTATGATGTGTCATATGCGATTATGGGTACTTAATCAGTTACCAGCAGTAAATGTCAAAATTTCTAATGACTCATTTTTCAACGGATATAATATCAGCATACGAGAGCAGGAAGTTCACGAGAACTGCAGTTGGTTACAACATGCCGGCAAGGATGCCGGTAACGGTCGCAATAAATTTACTTGTACCGTTTGTATATATGACTACACTCCAACTTGCAGAAGCTCAAGAATGAGATTTAACTCACTGAATACTGAACTGCAACAACGACAATAAAAAACATTTGATAAGTTATAAAAATTTTTCAGTGCACGGCAATGATTAATTAAGCTTAATCTAAACGTAACCGTTAGAATTAAGTAAGTTTTTCCGGAGTTTTACAATCTTGGGAATATGTGTGCACGATCGATAGCACTAGCCGGTTTGGGACTTGCGGGCGATAATCATTGGTGCGTAATAATCGATGACTGATTCGAATGCGGCGTATTTCATAGCACCAGCACACGACAGGGCCGGTCTTGTGCCCACCTTGACCCGCCCCTCGCCATGGAGATCATGTCGGAAACACTATATGATGAAAGCCCACCCGCTGTTCGCCGAGTGCATCAAAGATATGTTCTACCGGCACATAGCGATTTGGTCTGATTTGAAATATATTCAAGAAAAAGATCTGTACGCTGGCGCTGATTGGTATGCGAGTGAGTGTGTGTATGTATTGCTTGGTCCCACGTTTCAAGAAGCGAAAACTCGAATCAGCTATGCGATACGGAGATCTTGCGAAAGTCACTTCGTTGGTTGTGCACAAGTGTTTCTAGCCACGGTGTTTATGGTGAACATTCGAACAAGTTTTTACGCACTGTCCGTGCTGTAAGCGGCAAGTAGAGTGAATTGATGCGGATAATTGTGATCCGCTTTTTTAATTTCTTATTGACTTTTTCCTCTGCATCTCAAGATTCCTTATGTTGTGGACATAGGACACTGTGTGGACATTAATAACAACTATACAGCCGACAACATCATGCATTATTCGGCGGATAATATTACTAATAATTATTCGGTTATGGGCTCAACATTTCCGCAAATGTCCAGCATGACAGCGGCCACCATGCCCGGTGGTCACATGCAGTATAACGGTTATGCGGCCGGGAATTTTATGACATCCGCTATCGCCCATACACCATCCACTATTACGGCCATGCCCGGTCACTTTTCCAGTGCCCACACCACCAATCTGCCGCCCGTTAATGTGCGCGCCAATTTAACGCAGAATGGCGTATCATCCGATGCCTTATCACCTTCATTAATGGTGCAACGTTCGAGGAATCCCGAGAAGAGTTATCGTAGAAATTACACTCACGCCAAACCGCCGTATTCCTACATTTCCTTGATTACCATGGCCATCCAGCATTCACCGGCCCGCATGTGTACATTGAGTGAGATCTATCAGTTTATCATGGATAATTTTCCCTTCTATCGCCAGAATCAACAACGATGGCAGAACAGTATTCGCCATTCATTATCCTTTAATGACTGCTTCGTTAAAGTGCCTCGTACGCCTGACAAACCGGGCAAAGGAAGTTTCTGGGGTTTACACCCGGAATCGGGTAATATGTTTGAAAATGGCTGTTATCTGAGACGACAAAAACGGTTCAAGTGCGAGAAACGTGAGGCAAGCCGTAGCACAAACAAAGGTTAGTGCGCGCAGCTCGGCTGCTCTTAATATGTGTTGACAGGCCCGTTATTTTTTCAGTTGTTGATGAATTTTCGCTTTCTTGACACTCACATGATCTTAATCGTCTTAACTTCATTTCCTGGTGGATTTAAAGACAATATAAAATGCACTGTTTTCTAACAACAGTAATTTAAGAAAACTCTGCGGAAATTTTTGTTCGTTTGGCACAACACTGCACATTTATAATGTTACAACGTTTACGACTCTTTATTAAATATATTTTCGCTAGTTTGACTGCGGCCTTAAGTTCTGGAGTAACTAAAGTTGCCGACTACGATTAAAAATCGTTATTTTTGTCCAAGAAGAGCATAAGAGGAACAGATAATTCCTGCGGTTATTGGGTGAATCTAAACGTATAATCAGTTTACTTGTGTTTATTTATTTATGCTAGATTTGTCAATGATGCCAGCTGGTGGTCGTTAAAGAATAGATTCCTTAAACACTCGTAAATTGTTGTCTCATGATATTGTACAAACAAACATACAACTTAATTCAACAAAAATATTAGTTCTTATAGAACCGATTCTTATTCTCACTGTGCTACATATACATGTATATTTAACATGAATGTGACTTTGTGGTGCATGGGGACAGTCCCCGCGAATTATAATTAGCCAGTTCGTGCGTATGGTCGCTCATATAGCTTGCTGCAAGTACACCGTTTCAATATTATTATTCGCAGTCACGTTGTGACAGTTGTACTAATGACCAAAACAGCCAGTACCAAAATTTTTGACAACATTGTGCTAATGTGGTTTCTTTTAATTATTAAATAACTTTAAAGCGATTGCCTGATTACCTATATTAAGATATGTTCTGTCAGTTTGATATGGTAGTTCAGTTTTAATTATCTCTGATTCGTTTTCTTTATGACGCCTGCTAACCATAACGTGTGAGAGTCAGCAAGCTTATTGAAAACGAATAATTTTTGTGCTGCGCACCGGTAATATTTTGAATTTCTCGATATTTCTAGTCACACTAACTGTTAGTTACAAGTTTAATTATGTGCATGCGCATTATGCAGAGCAAGTTGTGAATATGCTCCTAGTACATCAAATTTTTGTATCCGAAAATGTACATCAAAATTATTCGGTTTGGCTTGACGTTGTTATTGCGTCCAGTAATCTAATTCGAGTTCGCTTTGGACAGGTTCAAGTGGAACGAGCAATAGCTGCGGAAACGAAGACTCGAACCAAGACGCTGCCAGCGAAGATGCGCCGATCAAATCTGAGCCATCGGAAGATTGCGCATCCGCCGTCAACGACAACACAGCCAGTCCGCACAACAGCTCTCCAGCGCCGGTTAACGTATCCTGCATCACTGCCGGACCTAACGTTACCCAACCACCTAATAATTCCACCGCACAACAGCAACAGCGTCATTCGCCTGCCTCCTTGTACAATAATCCCAATAATGCCAAAATAGGAGACAGCAGCAGTCTGAACCCGGTGACACAATCCATGACCTCGGCCAATCTCCAAAGCCACTATCCCACGACAGCAGCTACCTCGTCGTCCATGTTCGCCTCGAATCCGGCGCTGTTCTCCAGTCAGTGGAAGATTCAGGGCACGGATTTCTCCCATCTCCATCCGGCCCACTTCTCCATTGCCAACCTGATGGCCGCTCAGGGCCCGTACAGTTCGGAGAATCGCCTGCCCGGGATTATGTCCGAGCATTATAAGCCCAGCGGCACAGTGTCGGCCAATGGGCCGTACGACAGTTCCTATGCAGCACTGAATTCCATGACCAGCGCCTATCCGCCGGCATTTCAAAGCAATCCCGAATCATATTTCGGCTACAGCACATCGGGACTATGATCGCAATATGTCTGTGCGTTGTACAAATATTATTAGCAAAATTATAACAATACCAGAGGATCCGGCCGACCTATGTATAGGTTAGTCTGCGAGATGACCTATGTTTTTGCAGTAGTTTTTCTTTGTCTCTCAGGATAATAGTTCCTAAAAGCCAAAAACTTTATTTAAGTTGACGTTTTACCTCTTCTTTAACAATAATCTCTTTCCTTTCATGATCTACTGTTGTTTTTTTCTTTTTTTGCCTGTTTTAATTGTGTACACGTTTTATTGTGTATGTTGACGGTTAATATTCGAATGATACAATTATATGCACTTGTCCGCCGAAGACAAAATAACGCTGATGTTTGTTTCTCTCTTCACGCTCTCTCCAGTTTTAAGCATTAATAATCGAATAGCCTACAATGTTTATTAACCGTTTTACCGCAGTTATTGGTATTGTAATCAAATATTTTGAATTCTGAAGTGCCAAGCGCGCGAGAGTACAGACTATAGGCCCGCCGGCTTTTGGTATCGTTTTTCAAGTTGGCATTCTTAATGTATTGAAACTAAATATTTGACTATGTACACTTTTGCCTGTGAAGCAGCTGTAAAAAGTGGGTAATAACAATAATAATCACTCGTCTATGTTATTTTGTTGTCCTGTTGGAAATTTTTAACACACGAGACACGCGTGTTGTACAGTGATTAGAAGTTTATTTTTTCAATAAAAGATTGATCAACGAGCTTCGGCTTGAGCAGTTATTCGATCATTTCCTTCACCACAGAATTCCGGTTCTCCGGTCCACTGTTATATTATGTTGGTTAAGTAGACATTTAAAAGAGTCTCGCGACTACACCATTAACGATCATAAACCAACATGCATCAAAGGCTGCGAAAGCATCAGTTCATCCGGTGATGATTGCGGTATTAGCATACACTGCTGGTACAGCTATTAAATAGCTCATGTTTTCAAAATTCTATGAAAAGCTTCGTTTTATTTGGTGGTTACCGCTTCACTTATGTTTTTATTAGAAAACAATGCTATCAATCTTTGAATAAAAAAATCTATAGAAACTGTAGTTGTACCGTATTTTTTTACCTGTTCTATTCTCGTGACCTTTGCATTATGAAAGAATCTCATTTACATAAAACGGCAAATAGTCTGCGGCTGCATCGATACTGATAGTTCATAGCGCTTTTTCGCTTGACACTTTTTATAGAAAACCGATGATAATAACAATACTAGAGTATTTTGCAAAAAGCATTTGACTCATTTCCTCTTGTGATGGAATGCCGGAGAACTAGTTAGCTGTTACAGACAAGTATTCGACGGGCGATGAAAGAGGAAACGGCAGTCTGCGCTTGCGCGATGCTGTGTTGTGCAGAAAATTTCTCGAGTGCTTCTCCTCTCGTATTCAACTAAATCGACTTTCTGCACAATTAAAAAATTTTGAGCCATCTTGTCCAATAGCTGGCGGCCAAGTGATCTCGATTGAACAGTTTGATTCAATTGCTGTGGATTAAAATATGGATGGATAGATATGGTCTTGCACAATTTTTAGCTGCAGCTGTAGGGAAGTGCATCATGCGTCTATCCATCACTTATGCCTGCCGGCTTAGTTGAATTTGGCACTTTTTGACTGCGCGCTCCCATCTGCGCATTAATTTTCTGTGCACTTTTACTTCCTTGTTATTTTCGTCATTCTTTCAGTAGCTATTATTAATTTGCAGTTATTTTATTTAGCATTACGGCATTCATAAAGACTGAACTCGATTTTGCTGTCAGCACCGATATTTTTGACGATTGTACAAATAATTTCAGGCTGAAAGTGGACGTTTTGAAGTCAGCAGCACATTGCTTTTGTTTCACAAATTTAGTATTTCGTTTCAGAGACCACAAGAAATTATTACCTAGCTCCGTAGCTCGTTCGACGGCAGTGGTCTTCGATCATTATTTAGCCAATCTCATAGTCTGATTATGGCAGGAAACTGTACGAAACACGTTCAGTTGTTTTGGAGGTTACACGGCACAAAAGGAAATTGTAAATGCATAAATCAGTCGTTAAGTTCGCAGGTTTGTGATTTCACGGTATCCAGACCAAATAAAAGTGTTGCTAACTTTTATTTCATTACAACTGGGGCGTAAAAGCTGACCACTTGCTGTAAATACCGCTAGTTCAGTAACTGTGAATTATGCATTTGCAGTTCAGTTCTATGTCTGTAATCGAACTTTCTGATTGATCTGTCTACGCATATTAAGTTTGCAGTTTGCCGCCAATAATGGGTGACTCAGTTAAATATAACTGATTTTATGCCGTACTGTACTTATAAATTCCATAATTCCTTCAACTATGACGTTTAAACTATATATAAAAAAAATTTTATTGGCGTTCTGCATATAAATTAATGTTACTTTGTTGTATGTACTGTACATGTCTCTATCCTTCACAATATCTTTTAAAACATGTACCTAAGACTGTATAGTGACTGAATGTACGGATACTTCCTATAATGCGCAAATCTTGCTATAAGGAACCGGATGCTTCCTCTTACGATGTCTTGAGACGGAGATCAATCACCACCGTAGAAAAGTCACGAAAATATTGAGGAAACGGCTCTTACCATGTTGAGAGCGTGTGAAACGGATACTCATTAGTAAATTGGAACTTGCAAGTCAGCGTACCATACCGTTCGCCATCGAGCCCAATGTACTGCATAGTTCGTAAAAAGTCACCGCGATCTTGCTTGTCCGGCTTAAACCTTTAAAATTAACATCGTTAAATTGATAAAGAGCTTAAAAACTGTTTTCGTTTACCATTTGCATGATATCAACCCTTACGGCAAGGAATGGATATTTTGAAAATCGCAGTGCTGGGTAGGAATAAAATTTAAAAAATAAGTGAGACAACTTTGTTTCGTTTTGCTCAGTTAAATTCTACTACGTTCGTGTGTTATTTAATGCATGGTGGGTCACGATTCTACTAGAGAAGGCTAAATAAATGCAGATAAAGGTCAAACCCAAGCATCAGCCGTTGTGTTTGGCGGCATCGCCGTAGTTAGCTGAATACCGGCCGCTGCCAAACTGCACAGGCTGTACATGTAAATGGCCTTTGTAACCGGTGCACTGAGAAGTGAGAACTGAGAAGCCAGCAATTTTTCGCTCGAGATAACAGCGACCATAGCGAACAGCATTTTGACTTGTGCGGCACAAAATATGTCTCATAGCAGATAATGAATGACGACGACAAATTTATCATTAAAAGATCTTTTATGAAGTGTGCACAAAGACTGTATTCATCAGAATAACGGTGTGTAAAAGGTGATTGGACAGTGCGGCTTGTCAAGGAGAAAGTGTTAACTTTAAAGTGTGGAAAGTCCAGTAAGGAAGATGTGCATGTAGTCATTTTATACAGTGCCAAACAACACACGTTTATAAACAAGCAATAATACGTGCACACAGTGGGTTTGCACTCTGCAGAGGAAAGAAGAGAAGCGTTGTTAAACTGATCATCTCTCCAAACTTGAAACCATTTTGCATGAATTTGTTCGGGCCAGATGAGGCCAGGCGCAAATATCCACACTGAGGAAGCTGTAAAGTAAACCCTTATAAATATCTTTGACTAATATTTGATAACAAAACATTCCCTTTACGGCACTCACTGTGCCCGTGAATTGATTTAGCAACAAATGATGATAGTCATAATTGTTCCGTATACAAACTTGTCAACATTTGTATTGATATACTGCGATGCTATCCGTTGATTCGATATGCCCCGTTAACAGACTGCTTATTTACTATATGCAAATGCGTATACGGTAAAATAAACAAGTTTCCTGTGATTATCTTTTTAACTGGCTATACGTAGTTTAAGCAAGAAAAAAACACTTTCCCTAGAGCTCGATTGCATAATTATATTGTCAGTTATGCTTTTGATGTATAAAAGGCGTCTGGTTTGATTTTACGCTCTTGGATAATTGTGTTAATTAGTAGTTACTAATTATACTTAAAACTGCTTAATTACAGAGGGTAAAGAAGCGTTTGCAGTGCAGCAAGATCTTTGTTCCCAACAAATCTTTAAATCTTTAATACGATCCGGTTAACGACCAGTGTAGAATAGATTTGCATTCTGCATAATTATACCATTTTGCACTGTATAACTGTCTACCAAGACAACTCCAATACTCGTAGTGCTCGTAGCTTTATTCGATTGTTCACTGTGGGCTAAAATGATTGGAAACCCATGAAAATCGGCACAAAACGCACCGGAAGTTTACAACAGACTTGGGAACACGGAACCCTGCTACGTAGACAGACGATAAACCCTGCTAAACACGGCGCTTATGGATGATTTTATCAGTTTATGCACGATTACTTTGGCTGCAAACCGCAAACAAGGAAGCAAACAATAGTTGGAAATTAAGCCGTTAACGTCATTGTTATGGATGACAAATAAAACAATCGCCGACTATTGGCGGCTTAAAATTATCTTATCACAGATTAATCTGTACGGCATAAGTGTAAAAGTCTTATCCGTTACGATAAATCACCCTTGTTGTAGTCGTCTCTGTTAAGAGCGACAGTTTAACGATGGAAATGAACTGGTATTTTATAACTTCATCTCGACCACTGAGAACTGGTTTTCGCGTATGTTTATGTTCAAACCATGATATCAAGAAATTATTTTCCCGGCTAAATACAGCCCTTTTAAAAAATACTAGACAAACTAATTATTATATACACATTTAAGGCAAGTTTAAGAAATTTTATTCTGTATTGTTGCAGTGCTGTCGATTTGTCTTATTACATAAAATGTGATAAGTACTCGTATATCGAATGCACGTGTGAATATACTCGTCATTTCTCTTCCCTCTAAATTATAAAAGCTATAATTGATGTTGGGAAAGCGACATGCACAATTGGCAAAGAAACCTTTTCTTTGAATGTACACAAGTGTATCTTAAATAAACATAACTGAATGAAGCGATGATCGTTTGCATTTCCGGTGCACTTTTGTTGCCTATCTGTATGCAAAGAAAACAGTTTAATTATGTGGCAGTGTATATCAGGGTCAGATAGTGGTCAGGGTGATCATCTCAAGTTAGTTTTTTTCCCGTCGATTCGGCATTCCTGAAGGCTCTTTCAAGACTGTTCGGGCTGGGCACTTAGACAATTTATTCACAATTCTGTTTGTTGTAGAGATCCGGTTGACCGCAATTCTCACGTTGTGCTATGCTAGGATGATGCATCGAGCGTACTACAATAATGGCGAAAACCAATCCTTTGCGTTTTGTTGTGTTGCGCGTGCAGTACATACGAGTTGCCGTCACTACACATCAAAATAAATGTAATTGTGCTGCAGTGACCTT